CTCAAACACACCCCCAAGCTGAAGACCGGTGGCCATCCGAACCGACAGATTCCTCAAAGGAACGGCGCCAACATGAGGCAACTGCCACCCCAAACGTGGAACCAAAACCTGCCAGGCATCAACCTCAGAAGCCGGCAGAGGTTGGGGCGGCAAGGCATCAACAAGAAAAGCCTCAGCAGCCTCCACCCAAGCCACAGGCACCGCACCCAACAACGACTCAAGAGACGTCAAAAGATCACGACACCTAGGCAACGAACAAAGAGCACAGGCATCCGGGGACGCCGGGTCCAAAAACCGACGTACAAGAGCGGACCAGCACCTCTCCATCACCCTGCCCTCAGCAACCCCCGACACACCGTTCAACAACGCTGAATCCCACGTGTCCTCAAAACAACGAAGTTGAGCCAGGGCAGCCACACACATACCCAATGAACTCAGGGCATGGCAATGAACGAGCACCGGATAGTGGTGTTCCAAACCCAACACACCAGGTTGGCCCGGCAGCCCAACCGGCAAGAAAGGGTTACCCCACAACGGAACACCCCAACACCAGCTACCCGGTACCAAAGGCTCCGACCCAATGTCAGTAACTGGCGGTAAAATTGCCATAGAAGTCACAACCCGACGAATATCCTCAGGCAAACCATCCACACCCAACCAAGGCCCCCTCCTGGACGCTGTCAACAATGATAGGGGACCAAAAGCCGGATGGTGTTGGAGTGGCAGGGGCGAGGGTGTTGGAGTGGCAGGGGCGAGGGCTTCGACGGCAGGTGCTACGGTGTGCGGTACACGGTGTCAGCTGTCAAAGCCCCTCTAACATCCCAGGGCCACCCTCCCTGTCTCCCACCTGCCAGGCAACGAAGGGGTCCGCCAGCTGCCCCCCGGCCTGCTGCTGCTGCTGCTGCTGCGCCACCTGCTCCCGCAGGGTGTTGATGGCGCGGATGTACGGCAGACAGGCCAGGTGGCGGGCCAGGCGGGCGGCGGCGGAGACCAGCTGGGGGAGGAGAGGGAGCAGTGGCAGGGGTACAGTGAACGAGCTACTCTTAACTACCGGCAAGGCTGGGATGTGCGTCGAGGAATGTGCGTGGGAGGAGAAGAGAATTGTATCCCCTTCAACTCCGCTCCCTGTCCCCCGCCTCCCTCCTCGCCCCCTCCGCACCTCCCCCGCCGGCAGCGCCCCCAGCTGCCCCACCAGCCGCCCCCAGGTGGCCGCCCCCACCGCCCCGGCCGGCAGGTCGCTCAGCGCCGCGGCGCCCCCCGGCTGCTCCCCGGGGACCAGCGACTCGAGCACCATGTGGGGGGCCTCTGGAGGGAGGGGGGGTGAGGAGGGAGGTGGTGAGGGCGCAGGGCGGGTGGGTGGGGGTGCAGGGCGGGTAAGGTGGAGGTTGCATGCAGAAATGCAGGCCAGGTGTACGACCATTATTACGGCAGTGAGCCCGAAGCACCACGAAGCACTACCATAGTACACCCGACGACGACAACCCGCCAACCCATGTTGCCCACCCACCCACCCACCCCTGTCGGACCGCATGTCCACACTCCGGATGCGCCGCGCCTCCAGCCCCTCTCCACCTCCTCCTCCTTCCTTCCCTCCTCCCTCTTCTCCTCCCGCCTGCCCCTGCTGCTGCTGCCCCCCCTGCTGCTCCCCCTGCTGTGCCAGCGGCTCCAGCACCACCAGCAGCCCACGCATGGTCTGCAGGTGCAGTCGGTGCTCCCGCCAGAACGCCTGCACCTCCGCCAGCCCGCCTAGCTGGGACGCGCGCACGTACAGCGGCAGCAGCAGCTGGGGGCGCAGCGGGATCTGGCGGTTGCGTGGGGAGATGTTGGGGGGAGGGGTTGGGGGAGATGAGGACAGAGCAGGGTGGGAGAGAGGGAGGGAGGGTGTGGTGTGGGGGAAGCGGCATGAGAGGTAGGCAGGAGCTGGCATGTCGCACTAGGAGCAGGAGCGAACGAACACGAGAAAGGGGTAGAGATGAGAAGGCACAACCAGCCCCTGCCCCAGCCCTCAAGGCTCACCCGGATGCTCCAGCACCAGCCGGAACCCGACGACGACCCATCCCCCGCATCCGCCCCAGCTGCTCCTCCCTCCGCCGCTAACGCCGTTGCCCGCTGGATCTCCTCAGACAGCCACAAACCGCTGGGCGGCCAGGGCAACGCTGAACACCAGTAACGAGGCGCCGGCGACGCCGGTGGTAGCGACGGCGCCCGAAGGCGACCCATGGGTCTTCCGTCGGCGCCGCCGCCGCCGCCGCCTCCTGGATGGTTAACATTGACGTCGAGATCCACGTACGGCAACGCCAGGAGCGCCTCCGACGGCACTGCCCAAAGGGCTCTGCCGTACAATAGCCCGCCGTCGTCGTACAATGGCGGCGTCGCTTGCGCCGCCGCCGCCGGTGGTGTCGCCGCTAGTGCCGGTGCGAGTGGGTCGTACAGGTCACGTAGCAGGGCATCCATGAGGGCTTCCGCGGAAGAGGTGGAATCTGTGTCGACGGGAGCACCGCCGTCATCTCCGTTGGGTCTCGAGGCGTCGCGATGGTTGCTACCCGCGTCCTTTCGCGTGCCCGACCCCCTGGGGATACGTCCGATGGAACGACCGCCGCCGCCGCCAGCAAGGGGACGTTTGGTGCTGCCAAAGCCGCCGCTGCCGCCTCGGTCGACGTCTCCGCGCCGGTCCTTCTCCTTCCGCCGCTCCCGCTCCCGCTCCCTGTCCTTGTCCCTGTCCCTTGCCTTAGCGCTGCGCTCGGTTACTTTCTCCTTGTCCCTTGCCTTGTCCTTGTCCCTGCCCCCATGCCGGTCGTCACCGCGCTGACGCTGCTTGTCGTCGTGCCTGCTCCGTTCCTGATCTCTACTTTTGTACTTGCCATGCTCCTTTTCCTTCTCCCGCTCCTTCCCCCTCTCCTCGCTTTTCTCCTTGCGCCTGCCCGCACCACGATCATCCGCTCGGCTCTCCTTCCCACGCACCTCGGCCCCGGATTCCTCCCGCCGCGCCGACCCATGGGTCACATCCCTCCCAGCATTCACCGCCGGTAACGCGCTGTCCGCCGCAGCGGCAGCGACCACAGCCTCCGCAATTGACCCATGGGTCAGTCGTGGGTTTACCTCTCTCCGCCCTTGCACGGCTCGCAGCGGCGGCGGCGGCGGGGGCGGCTCGTCGCTTTGCCATGATTTCTGGTGGGACAAAGAGAGCTGTGAGCTCAGGGCATTTGGCATGCTGTGCAAGCCAAACACCGACACCACGTCACCGCCGCCGTCATTGGCGGGGCCTTGACTCCCGGACTGTAGGGCAACTTTCTGGAGCGGTTGGGGTTCCGGAGGATGCAGCAGATCTAGCGGTGAGGTGCCGTAGTCGTACAGTTGCTGTTGCTGCTGCAGAAGCTGATGTGCTTGCGGCTGCGGCTGTAATGAAGGAGCATCCTCCGCCGCTCGATGCTCATCTAAGATAAACGGGGAAGCGAAGGACGGGAGGCTGAGCTCCATAGGCTCCTGCTGCTGCGGCTCCGGCGCCGGCGGTAACCGCGCTTGTTGATGTTTCTGCTGTGCCTGCATCTGCATGTGCGGTTGCTGCTGTTGCAGCGGCGGCATGTCGTCCTGCCGCTGCTCGCTTTTGGGCACGGGCTGCGGGCTTGCAGGTGCCGGGGGGGGCTGGAAGGGGACCGACTGGGCCGCATGTTCCGGTGTCACAGCCGCTGCCAGGACATCCACGGCCCCTGCGGAAGGGACGACAAAGGACTCCGGCGCAGTGGCTTTGGCGGCAGCTGGCGTCTCGGTCTCCGGCGTTGCCGCCGCCGCCGCCAGCTCCAACGGCAGCGATGCTGCTTCTGTCACAGGTTCCAAGACCGGCGGCGGTGCCGCCGCCGTCTTTCGTCGCCCTGCAGCGGCGGCTGAGGCGCGTTTCCAACGCAGCCGCGGGTCGTTGGGAATGCCGGGGCCCTCCGCCGCCCTCGCCGCCGCCGCCATGATGGTATGTGTGAGGCCGCTGCCCAGGGCGGGAAGTACGGCAGCAGCAGCTGAGGGAGCAGGAGGAGGAGAGGCGGCCGAACCGGTGGCACCGGCAGTGGCAGCAGGAGCGGGGCCATGCTCTACATGATGAGAAGGCGGCAACGCCGCCGCCGTTGCCGCCTCCTGAGCCGCGGTTGGGGCGTCGACGACGGGGATTGCCCTCACGGGCGTTACGGCACTTGCAGCAAGGTCTTCTCCGGTGTCTACTGAGGGCGCTAAGGCGTGGTGTGGAGGGGATGTCCGTGGCGACGGCGCGGGACGTCGCGTCTCGAAAACGCCGTACTTGCTAGGACCTCCGCGTCCAGTCGTGACGCCAGCAGGACAGCCGGCAGCTTCCGCGAGGCCGGTGCGAGCCGCGGATGGCTTGGGCCCAGCAGCCCTGGCAGCCGCGACCGCCCCACTTCCAGGAGAACCCAGAGCTGCGACTGTGGACAAGCCCAGATCGGAAGGTGTTACAAAGGGCGAGCTGGTTTGGACGAGACCATGGCTGCCCGCTTGGCCCGCGGTTGCAGGGCAAGCGGTTGACGCGGTGTTCGCGCTTGGGGCACTGTTCGGGGGAGTACCGGCACCGGTAGCTTGCAGCGCGCGGCGAGGATCTTTTGGCGCTGCAGCTACCTGCAACTTCACCTCTTGGTCGTCCATATAGTGTTGCTTGTATTCAAATGCTTGCGGGCTGAACGCAACGGATCTGGGCACGCCTCTTGTGTCGCGAACCGAGGTTCAAGTTGTCAGGACTCGGCTCCTGTGAGTCCTTAGAGGATACAGAGATCCTAGGTGTTGCAACGTTTAGCTCCTGGTGTTGAAAGTCGCAATCTCACCCGGAAAGGCAGTGCAGCGCCCGCGGGTCGCGGTCGCTCTGTGCCTTCCTCCAGACTAACTTGTCAACAGTTTAAGCCACATCAAGCATTTCTTGATGCCATGTTACAGAGCTTTGGCCATGCTGAAACTGACCTTCGACACACAGCAAATTATGTGGTAATGCGGGCATTGCCAAAGCGTTGGTCACACGTTTTATACCCCATCAAGTAACTAGTACACGCACTTTTGTGTCGAATAATCCTGCGATTTCTGGATAATAGCTGCTTGCAACTGGAAGTCCCATCAGGAGAAGTACGGCGTTACTGCAGCCGGCCTGTGTCATCTACCTCTAGCACTAAGCACCTCCTGTGTCATTATCTGTCTAACACTGATTCCGTTCATGAGTTGTCCTGCTCAACTCAACCAGACGTATGGAACATGAATAGAATGTAGGCTCGTGGACCGGCCAACAAGCTCTCGCGGAAAAAGCATTTCCACAAGCAAACGTCGGCATATCCTGGCCGGACTTGCCCTCCTGTCGCGAGCAGCTTGCAACTCACTTAATAACGCGTCCCTGTGACTGGCTTCCTCAACCTATGACATTCGAAGTCCTGCAACTGCCGCAACCGCCGACCCCCTCCAACCGACCCACGGGACTAATCCCCCCACCCCGCTCCTGATAACGCGCACTTCAACCCCTGCACATACCATCCAGTTCGCTACCGTCCCACCTCCTGCCAACGCCTCACCACCTGCACCTGCCCTTGCCCCTGCTTCTGTCTCTGCTGACCCTGCCCCTGCACCTGCTGCTGCCCGGCACGCCCCTGCTGTCCCACCGCTCCCACCTGCTGCTGTCCCTGCACCTTCACCTGTCCTTGCACCTGTCCCTGCTGCTGTTGCTTCTTCTTCTCCTCCTCCTGCTGCCGCAGCAGCTGCCGCTGTCGCTCCAACCTCAGCTGTGCCTTGGCTCGCTGCACGCGCCGCGCCGCCAGCCGCGCCCGCATCTCCTGGTAGCCCGGCATCTGCTCCGGCGGCAGGCGCAGCAGCTCGCACCAGCGCGGCAGGTCGCGGCAGCCGAACGCATGCAGCGCCAACAGCAGGCGGCGGCGGTGGTAGGGGCGCATCAGGTGGTGGCAGCGGCGGGCCTGCTGCAGCAGCTCCGCGTACCAACGGCCGGGTACGGGCACCTGGGAGGAGGGAGGAGGCACCGGGGCAGCAGCACGCAGTGTGTGTGCAGTGTTGGTGTGCTTCCGCATAGCTAGCTTGGAGGAAGCACTTTGCTCAATCCATTTGTACTCTCAAGCCGCATGACACCCACATTCCAGCGCGCCAACCCTCCCCCTTCTGCGCGCACTTCTCCCCCTCCCCAACCGCACCGCACCTTCATTGTCCCCAACCCCCACGCCAGGTTCGCCAGCTGCGCCGGCGTGAAGCCGCCGGCCTGCATGGCCATCCCACTGCGCACCCACAGCGCATCCAGCCACGCCCCCTCCGGCCGCAGCCCCAGAAACGCCATGCCGCGCACCAGCTGGCTCATCTCCCCCGGCTCCATGCGCCCCGCCGCAAGCGCCGCGCGTGTAGCCCCCAGGTACGCTGCCAGCCAGGCATCCCGCGGCTTGAACCGCAACCGGCCCAGCGCGTGCATCAGCCCAGCTAGACCCGTTGCGTCCATGTGAGCCAGTCGCCGGTACGCCACCTCCATGCAGGCCGCCATCCAGGGCGCCGGCGGCTTGGTGGGCAGTCGGCAGGCGCCGTACAGCAGCATGGTGAATTGGGCGTCTGACGTGGCAGCGAGCTGGCGGGCAGAGGTGAGGTAGAAGCCGTACAGCCAGGTGGGCGGCGGCGCGACGCGCAGACAGGCGAGACCGTACAGCATGCGCGCGAAATCGCCGGCCCGGAAGGAGGCGAGGGAGGAGTAGCTGCCGGATAGGAGGCCGCGTGTGAAGGAAGGAGGCAGGCGGAGGGCGAAGCGGAAGGGGCGCGAGCGGACGTTGACGCGGCCTAGGAAGTAGCATAGCCAAGCGAACAAGGGGCCGGACATGGAAGTGGAAGAAGTAGCCCAGGGCCTAGGGCTGGTGATAAGCATGGCGGGGGTGCCGCTGCCGCCGCCACCAGCAGCATTGCTCGTTGCTGTCGTACTTGTTGTCGTACGTGCTGCCTGATTTGGATTGACCTGCCGTACCGGTGCTATAACTGCTGGAGCTGCTTGCGTCGGCGGTAGGGGCGGCGGCCGTGAAGGAGGCTGCGGAGAGGAGGGTGACGGTGCTTGCGGTGCCCCAGGCGGCATGGGCAACAACGCTTGGGATTGATTCCCCGCCATGCCACCGGGAGCACCACCACCGCCACCGCCGCCACGGCGTCCTGTGGCTGTAGCCACCTGGCTCACGTTCAAGATCCCGCCTCCGCTGCCCATCCCGCCGCCGTCAGCGCCGCCGTCACCACCACTTCCCCCACCTCCTCCGCCGCCGCCGCCGGCAGGACGCACCTCCGGTACGACATTATGCTGGCTAAACCTCAGCACCCCCTGCAACGCGATGACCATGCTCCGCACCCGCGGACTGAAATCCCAGGGCATGGACACCACCGCCGCCACCACCGCCACCACCTGGGGCCCCGACAAGTCCGCCGCCGCCGCCGCTAGCGCCTCCAGCACCGCTCGCCACAGCACGTAGAACTGCTCCCGCCCGCCGCCCCGCCGCACCCAGCCCGGCGTGTTGAAGAACCGCGACAACTGCTGCACCATGACAGCTAGATGCGCCGCCGTCAGCGCGCCGCGGTGCGTCTCGAAGAGCTCCCCCACGCGCTTCCAGTGCCAAGCGCCCTGCACGTCGCGCATGAGCTGCGCTTCAAAGGACGACTCTAGCTGCTGCTGCGCCGCTGCAGCCGCCTCCGCTTCCGTCGCTGCCCCCGGGTCCTGCTGCTCCAACCTAGAAACCTCCTCGTTAATCAGCGCCAACACCTCCTCCAAGCTAGGCACCTCCTGAGCAGGCTGTTGTGGCTGCTGTGACTGCCGCTGCTGATGCGCTCCCGCCAGCTGCGGCTGCTGCTGCTGCTGCTGGCTTACAGCTCCAGCCGTCCCTGCCGCCCCCCGCGGCGCCCCTGCCGCCGCCGGCCCCAACCGCTCGTCAAACCGCAGCAGGTCCTTCCACGTGCTGCCCAGCAGCTCCGTCCGCACCGCCTCATCACGCGCCAGCAGCAGCTCCGAGGAGTCCACCACACGCACCCGCGCGCGCTTGCGCCGTACCAGCACCTTCGCCCCCGCTGCACCGCCTGCTGCCCCCACCTCTCCATCTAACGCCCCAGCCGCTGCCGTACCACCTCCACCACCGGCTCCTGCTGCTGCTGCTCCCGCGGCCGCCGCCGCCGCCCCAGCAGCCGCACTAGTCGCAGCGGGTCGGGTCTTGTACACGCGCTGTGCGTTGTTGTTGGCCGCTGCGGGCCCCGCGGGTTGCGGCGGCTGCAGCTGCAGGAAGTCCAGCAGCGGTGCGATGACGTCGGAGTTACCCTCCATGGAAGCCAGGTTGCGGCTCACGGCAGAGCCCGCGTAGAGCTGTGCCGCGGCGGGGGGCACCCCGGCAGCCGCAGTGCCGGGGGGAGCAGGAGCTGAGGCGGCCGCAGCAGCGCCTGGAGGGGTGGCGCCGGTGCTGCTGCTGGTAATGCTGCTGGAGCGCGGGGGTGGTGAGGGGAACAGGGTGGCGAAGGGGGAGCTGCTGTTACGTGGCGTGGCAGGCCAGGAGGGAAAGCTGGGGAGGGTGCTGGCGCTGCTGTTCCGACTGGTGCTGGTGGTGCTGGTGCTGCTGCCAGTGGAGGAGGCAGTTGCTGTGCTGGTGCTAGCGGTGAGGTTGCTGCGGCGCCGGCCCTCCAGCTGCTCTTCTAGCAGGTCGGAGGTGGAGGGTTCCAGGGGGCCCGCGGAAAGCGAGGGCCCCAGGTCGACCAGGGCGGAGGAGCCATCGTCCGTTTGGACTGCCACAGCATCCGGGGAGGTGGGTTGGGGTCGCAGGACGGACGCCTGAGCTGGGGCCTGCAGGGCCGGGCGGGCGCGTAGGGCGCGTAGGAATGAAGTCAGGGGCAAGGGTAAGGACGTGCGCTGGCTTAGGGCCATGAAGCCGTACACGGTGTGAGGGTATCATAGCGGGGGTGGAGCTGGCTTACCCCATCGCCTAAAGCGCGCGTGTGGAGAAGGCGCTGTCCAGCCACTTTCGGTGTGGGGTTGCGGCACCGTAAGCGGACCTGTGACATTGAACGGAAGAAATGTATAGGGCGGTCCACCGGCCAACGGGAATTGGTAATGGTGTATTAATATACATTTTGTGAACGTACCAGCGGGCAGTTTTTGTCCAGAAACATGCCACGTGGTGCGTGCGTTCGCCTGCAAGCACAAGGATAACGAAGTCGAGGTAAATGCCTCGATCAGGCACTGATCCGACAGGCCAATTGCTCCAAGGCATATCATCTTTAACTACTGATCAAAATTCGCTCGGTGATCGGCCAGAGACATAACCCCTTACCTTACATCCGCCGCCCTCTTACACCTGCCACTCTGGGGCAGCGCAGAAGCATGGTCAAGCATTTCAGCTGCAGAGTCCGGTGGTACCCAGGCGCATTACAAAATCCTTCGGGCACCCATAGCTTCGTATCCGTGTGGTCAGCAGAGAGAAGCTTAGTAGATGTGGGTACGCTATCGTAAAAGATACCAAGGGAAAGGCATTTTAGGAAAATTAACGTCGCGGCTTCAAGTCAAAAGATCGGTAAGCTGATCGCTGCCTTGCGCTTGTACGGCAAGGCAAAATGAACGAGCTGGGATGCAGAAATAGTAAGCTAAATGCAATAAGGTTTTGATAACTTTATGCTTGAACTGAATGCACTGAGCTAGAGAAACCTTCTCCTAACATCATTGGTTAGCAATCAATTAGGCCGCTGCGTCTAAACTTGACAGAAGTCGCCGACAAACAATCATAATACCATGGCTCTCCGCTCGGTTGCACACAGGCTGCCAGTCCTGCGCGACCTTTCGGTAATGGCGGTGGGGCGGGAAGGAGCCGTCCTTTGCTCGCACAACGCAATGACCCAAGCCATATTCTCGGCAACCTGGAGCAGCACCAGCGGGAGTGGCAGCAGCACCAGCAGTCCGTCAACTGACCCAGCCACTGCTTCCGGCAGCGCTGCCGCACCCAGTGCTGAGGCCGCGACGCCAACCACTTCCACGGCTACCGCCCCTGCGGTCTCTGAGACCTCGAAGTCCGCTGTGGAGGACGATGAGTGGACTGAGGTGGTTCATGCTTCTGGGCAGTTGTACTACTGGAACCAGCGCACAGGTGCGGGCTAGGGGGCAGGATGACCGATGTGACGCGTTACTTCCTAAATCCGCGTTTGGAAGGGCATTACCGTGTCTGTATGGCCGTGAAGGGTGGCAAGCAGTCGAAGGGGCTATGTACGGATGCTGTTGTCAGGGTGCGGCACCGATCATGTCTAAGTGTGCCGAAACATAGCCTTGAACCGCATGACTCATGCGGGGCATGACATGCAACGCTACACCGCGAATAGCGTACTGCACACCATGAAGCCAATGTTAGCGCGCTCAGCCTCCTCCCTCCTGTCGCCACATCTAATGCCTCAGCCTTTGCTGGGAAGTGGGAAGGAAAGGCTCACCGCACTCACCGGTATTGCGCTGTGCTGTGCCTCCAGAGCCCACGTCCCCCACTGGTGATGCATAACCGGCACCTCACCTGCTTACGACACCGCCGGCACTCCATCACCAGCTGCATGCCCCTACAACGCCCCCATCCCATCCCATCGCTTTCCTAGCCCTGGCTCATCTGCTCTCCACCTCCGCAACCCCCCTCCCATGCAAAACCATGATGATGCCATGATCACACGGTCAGTTAGTTGTTTCCTCTTTACCTCTCCCATGCACTTCCCATGCACCCGCCCAGGTGAGACCACCAACCTGGGAGAGCCCAAGCCGTCCGGCAAGGGCGGCAGCGGCGGCCGCAGCGACGGTGGATCTGCGGGGGCCAGCGGCGCGGGCGACACCGCCACCAACGACCCGCGCGCCGAGGCATACCTGGAGGATCGTACGGGGACCTATGCGGGCGTGGGCTTGTTCGCGGGCGCCATCTTGGGCTGGCTGTCGCAGTTTGTGTAAGCTGCTTGTGTGGGTGTAATCCGGCATGGGACATGGGTGCGTAAAAGGCTGCTATGATGGTTTGATGTATAAGGCTGGGCGGGAATGCGGCACGTCGGCATACAGATACCGTACATGGGGAGTGACGCGGCGTCTGGGTATGACCTCTATGAAGTAAAGCGCGCGCGTAGCGGTATCTGGGTCCGTAAGCTGGCTTATGCAGCAGAGTTGTTGGTGGTTTAGATTTCTGCTGCCCGATTGGACGAGTGCATGGGTACGTGAGCGCTGTTGGGCGGTTGCTTCCAACTGCTGTTTGTGGGACCTGCTGAAGTGCAATTCGGGTGGACTGTTCAGTTACAGAGATGGCCGCTAACGCTGCGTGTACGATAGGCATTGGGGATGGGGATGGTCTAGGTTATCTGTATGACCAAGACCATGACGGCCAGCTATATGGGCATTCGGCTGTATGCCTAGCAAATGCTATCCGGACGCTGGTATGCTAGTCGTTTGAGGTCTGACAGGTGCCCATGCTGTGCTGTACGGTCGCTGGGAAAGCACTCCTCGGGTCGATTCGCAAACTTCCCGTGGCGGGAGAAGAGTTGAGAGGGAGATGCCAGAGGGTAGGGCTTTAGTACAGGTTGCGGTAAAGTTAGTTTTGCAGCATGGCGCCCAGGCTACTAGTTGGCCATACAACTGGTGTAACAAACCTAGATGTGCGTGCATTTTTGCTTACAGAGAATTTGGCAAGCAAAGTCATATGGCTACAGGATATGAAAGTACTAGCGAGAGTTAACAATGTGCCAAAAGGTGCCTCATGTTCGCAACCGGCAGACAGTCCTAATGGCTGAAGGGATGGAAGAAACATTGCGCCCCCAGGCTGCCCCAGGTGTCCGCTTTATGGGAGGTGACTTACAAGCCTTAAATTCCGTCTACCCAGTTCGACATTTACAGTGCAAATACTAAACGACCTATAGTAACTTGCCTAAGGTGTAAGGTCTTGTCATGGACTCGTGTGGCTGTGCCAGCGTGCGAATGCCTCCGGAACGATGTAAGCCGTTCGCCTTGGCCGTACTTTGTGATTCGCCGTCCGATTGTCGGGTGAGCTGTATCAAAAGATTCTGTCACCAGCTCATCTCGTACGATGCTCGTCCAAATTGAGTGGTGCAAAAGTCCCGGAAGCCATAATCCAAGCGTTCTCCCGCCAGAGGTGGGAACTTGGAACTTCATCAGATACATTCTGCTCACAACTCAATTTGTCCTCTGTACAATGAGGGGAGAGGAGTGCGAGCGGAGGGCGAGAGAATGGGAGCTTACTGGGAGCAGCCCTTCTGGGCGCGGCAGCGCTTAACCACAATCTCTGTGGAGGCTTAATGAAATTGACGAGCCGAGCAAGGCATCAGGTGAGCACTAGTGTTGCGCAGAATCGAGACCTGATGGGAGGTCGACCCGATGCGCGGAAGACCTGTCCAGCCGCGAAGGGCTTACTGTCATTAATTGTCTTTCATGGATCCAGGCCGACTTTTCTGCCATCCTCTGTGCCTCTTACAACCTGCTGTTCGTTTGTGTCATGCATGGTATAATGCGGAACGACCTTGCCTTGCGCGCAGGCATGACTTTGCCGCTAAAAGGCCTCTTTGAGATTGAGATACGAGACTGGGGGGTCGAGACTTGAGAGGTGTCGGCGTGTGCAGAGGAGCTGAGGAGTTGATGGTGCAGTTATCGCCCAGGCGTCGAATTGGCAACCGCTGACGTGTTCTCGCTGGCGATTGTCAGTAATGGCACAGCGGATTTCTATTCTTCGCCGGGAAGGTCTTCGCTGCTGGTGGAGAGGACTTGAGGGCTGTTGCTCAGGACGCACCCTTTCGGGTACGTCGGGATTACAACCCTTTCGTGATTCGTGAGGTGCGGAGTCGTGGTGTGCTTTTGCACTTCCGTACCCTGAGCAAGAGCCCAATCGAGATGAGAAAAAGGTTGAGTGCCTGACTTGGCAATGTTTGCCGTGAGAGGTGCTTTGTACAGCGAAGTGGGACAAGTTTTGATACCTGTCGAGCGAAAGGGTTTATAGAGCTGCGCCTGTGAGCGTTGATGCGGTTTGCTACATGTGCAGTCAGGCCACAGCATGAATTGATGTGGTCCGTGGAGGGAACGGCGTAAAAACTCATGATTTCGAATTCAATGCAGTGCATGGGTGCACAGAACTAACGATGGTGCGCACTAATGCACGGACAGTGTGTTTTTGTCTCTGAATCTAGGTCGGCAGCTTGCATTCAGTGGCTAGCTGCAAAACTCAAGCACAGCATCATCCTTGCACGTCCTCAGATTTCCCACATATTGTGGTTTGCCATGGAGACGGTCGGACTGCTGAATAACCATAACACTATTCACGATGCCGCCTTGTACGAGCACTTTATGTGTTATGCTATCAACGAAAGTGGTGTAAGCGTATAACTGGTAGGTATGCAGAGGGACCCAACGGTCTCCGTGTTCTTTGAGTTCTGGAATCTGTTTGCGCAATGCATTTGTTCCGGATAGCTATCTGAATGGCAGTTTCTTAGGGTACTCTCAAATTAACACGTTCTACGTGTATTCGATTGCCAATGGTTATTGTCGTACTCGGGTGTGTGGACCCGGGTGGGTGTACCCGAGTTACAAAGCTGCATGGTGGAGGTCCTGGAGTGCTGTAGACGTGTCCCCCACATGCTGCTCATGACTAATTGCATGAGAGTATCTTGCGGGCACGCCGCTGTGTATCCGTAAGCCGCCTCCTGTAATAATTGATCGGCGGGTCCTATTCTACTTTGCGGTCTTCCTGTCCCATGCACACTGTAACCTCAGCTGCAACTTACACATTACCGTACAACTTCCGCTGTAGGGGGGCGTGGTCTCGATCCCCAACATGCATTTCAGGTTTGGTTACCTCTGTTTTGCCTGTACTTGCGGTTCACATGCGAACCTATCCCAACTGCTTGCTCTTGTTTCTACTCAACTACACACCCCTTGCCTCACAACGATGGCATACTCTGTATCGACCGTAAGAACCAAGCGTCAGCCAGCATACCTTCCCACATATACAATACAGCTCAACAACAGACGACTTAGCAGCTTTCGCCCTCAACACTCAACCAACATGTTGGAATACAGTACGGTATTGCATGTAGACAGTGGCAATTGTAGGCGGGGAGCTCTCTCTAGGCTCTATGGCACTAAGCAAGGCGTTCCAGCCTTGTAAAGGTGCGAGTCTTGCGAGCTCGGCTGACAGCGCAAGTACAGCAATTCAGCTCCCCCAGTCAAGCGGCACGCACTTGCAGAGGCACAGCGGCAGGTGCGGCTCCAGCTGCCGCATCCATGCCTGCGCCCCTCTCGCCTGGCGGCTGGGGCACAGCTGCAGCAGGCAGCGCAGACCCGTAAGGCGCCGCAGGTGCTGCAAACCGGCGGGCCTGTCGGGGAGGGGGTTTGTGCCGGGGAGCCGGAGGGAGCAAGATAGGGGTGCTGGTTAACATGGGGCACCGGATCACCGGTAACACGTGAGCGCTTGTGGGCTAGGAGCATGGCCTCACGTGCGGTTGCAGGGCAGGGATGATGGAGTGCCCGCACAGCCCAACACCTTACCTGGTCAGGAAACCCCCCAACCTCCACCTCGTACCTGCCCCATCAGCCCCGGCCAGCACCCTACATGGGCTACGGTATACGGGCCCTACATCCTCCCCGCCCCCGCTACCCGCTTTCCCACCCCCACCCCCACTACCCACGCACCCCACGTGTGCACACAGGAACAACTGCCGCAGCTCCCTCAGCGGCCCCAGCCCCGCCAGCAGCCGCTCCTGCTGCTCCGCGCCAACCTCCCAGCACAGCGATTGCAGCCGCGGCAGCCGCTGCAATGCCTGACTCAGCACCCTCGCCGCCGCCGCGCCGCCGCCGCCGCCTTCACGACCGCCACTGACGTCCAGCAGCCCCGAGGGTTGCGTCACTCGCAGTACTCGCAGCGATCGGCCGCATGCCGACGTAAGCGCCGCCAACTCCGCCGCCAGCAGCAGCTGCGCGGCGCGGGGTGTCGTACCGGGCGGCAGCGGAGTACGGCAGCCGGCCAGGGTGAGTGAGGTAAGGGCGGTACGACAGCCGGCGGCGGCGAGGAGGGAGCTCAGGGGCGGTAGGACACAGTTTTCGGCGGAGAGGCTGACGAGGTGGGGCAGCAGAGGCGGCGGTGCAGCTGCCGCTACCGCTGTTGACGGCCCGGCGGCAGCGGCAGCAGCCGCGTCGGTCTTCATAACTGCCGAACTGGGACCTGCTTTTTTACCTTCATGCGAAGGAACCTGCTCGCGAACATGCGCGTCCTCAGGCACCTCACCGTCCTCCTCGGGGCTGGGGTCAGAGTTGGAGAGATCTGAGCCTAAGAGTGCGCTCCTGGGCCGTTCCTTCCGGCACCGCTTGAAGCGCACTCCGCCGCTGTTGCGGCCCCCAGCGGCCGACACGGCGTCATGGGTGGTGGTGGCTTTGTTCGGCCCATCTGACGGTCCGTCAGGTAGCAGCGGCAGCAGCAGCAGCGTCACCCCGGTCAAGCTGAGGTGGCGTAGGCTTGGAGGCAGCCAAGACAGCCAAAGCACAGCTGCGAGGGCAAGGGAAGGAAGGTAGCGTACCATCATCACTTCATCAGTGGCGGGAAAACCATTGAGTCTTGCTGCTCTTGCACCATACCAATCGGGCGGAGGGGTAACACTGACATGAACGACATTGACTGGCCCTGCATGACATGGCATGCACTCGGAACACAGCACAGCACACAGCACGGCACAGCATGCAGCACACGGCACTCACTCGGCATGTTGAGCTCCAGGGAACGCAGCGCAGTGAGCGCCGCCAGCCGTTGCAACACAGGAGGGCCTCCTGGACCAGCAAAGCCCACCCCAGGCCCACCCAGCACATCCTCCTTCTCCTCCTCGTCCTCATCCTCATCGCTCCCCGCTGCCCCCGCCCTGTACAGGAGCGGCAGATTGGGGCGGCCGGCCCGGCCGCGCAGGTGCAGGCGGAGGTGCTGCAGCCGCTGCGGGGTCGCAGAAGGTGCTGCTGCGGAGGGCTGTGGGCGGCCCTGGGGGTCGGCCTCCTGAGGTGCTGGGTGCGGTGGTGGTAGTGGCGGCGGTAGGAGTACCTCGAGCCATTGGGGGCAGGTGGTGTGCAGTGTCAGGCTGGTGAGGGAGGGCAGGCGGAGCAGCTGGGAGATGTGGTCCCCGGGGTCGTCCGTTGGGCCCTCCTACGACGTGAGGGAGAGAAGGAGGAGGAGAAGGGTTGGGAGCACGGGCAGGATACGGAGTATCGGGTTGCAAGGGACTGCAACCCTTATTTTTACTACCACACCAAGCATGCTCCCAAACTCAACCAACCCCTTCCTTCCGTGGTCTTGAGGACCACAGTTGACCCATGGGTCCGCCGCCCGCTTCCAATTTCGCTTTCTACAGACGACCCATAACCCACGACACCTCCAACACCACAAACTGACTCCTCCCATGCTTCCCCGCTTCAGCAGCCCCGGCACCGCACCTGCGCCCCTCCTCGCCGCCCAGGCCCCTCCTCCTCCTCCTGCCGTACATGCCGCTGCCGCCCCTGTCCCTGCCGTACATGCGGCGGCTCCCGCCCCAAGTCCCGCAGCTGCAGCTCCCGCAGCGCTGTCAGCGCGTCGAGTGAGCGCAGCGACAGACCCTCGCCTGCCCCCTGCACACCGCATATCACACGGCAGCCAGCAACCCGCATTGACCACTCAAGCTGGGATGTTGCCGTGCCGCGAGCGAACGGGCGTGGCGGTAAGCAGCCGGCAGCCATTTACCCCCAATGCATGCATTGATCCATTGATGATCTGCTGTCAGTGTGTCTAATCCAAACCTGGCCCCGAGCCATCTCGCACCGCCACGCTCTGTCCCCACCCACACGGCCCCACTAGGACCCCCATGTGCCCCAGCCTGGGCACCGGTATCATCCGTTGTCCCTCCTACCCTTGCCGCCCCCCACTCCCTCCCTCCCTCCCTTGGATACCGGTATTCTTCCTTTCCCCCCAAGCCTACCCTACCCAGTCCAAGCAGGGGTCCTCGAGCACCAGGCAGCCCACCCGAGCCCCCGGCAGACCGCCCGCCGCCGCGTCCAGCGCCCCTGCCGCATCCAGGCAGGATCCCAGCCAGCTGCTGCCGCTCACCCGCAGACCCAACGACACATCCCCCCCAACCGCACCCGCACCCGCCTCAGCCTCAGCCGCTGAGCACAGCGCGGCTGCCCCCCCATGAGCAGCGCTGAGTTGTTGTGGCCTGCAGCTGGTTGGGGTTGCTACAGCTGCTGAAGGGCTGCTCAGTGTGGCAGCGCCGCCTTCGAAATAGCCTTCATGGCTTCCGTTAGCGCCCTGAGATTCCGGCTGGCAGCAGCTGCACCATTCAAGCCGCTGCCAAATGAAGACCTGCTTGTCGGGCCCTGCGGAGTCGTCACGAATGGGGCTCAGCGCGTGATGCCCTGCCGAGTCAGCCGCCAGCCAGTTGTACAGCGTCTTGGGCGCCAACTGCCATTCGGATAGCACGCGGAAGCCGAAGCGACACAGTCGCGGGCAGGCGCGACGCGCCGCCGCCAGAAGCTCAGGCGGCGCGAGCAACGAGCGCGCCATGCTCTCGCAGCACACGCTGAGTCGGAGGTCGGTCAGGGAAGGCAAGGCGGTCAAGGCAGCCAGGGTGGGGAGCACTTGCTCCAAAGTGAGAGCGGAAGCACCGGAGGAGGGGAGGTTGTGGAGGTAGAAGTCATCGCCTTCGTCGCTTAGACCGGACTCGTCGTCGTCATCGTCGCCTTCCTTGTGGTCGCAGTTAGCGTTGGGTGACGACAGAAGGAGTTCTAGTTCGTGGTCTAGCTGGCTGCTGCTGGGGCTGCTGCTGTTGCTGTTATCGCTTCTCGATCGTGTTCGGGCGGCGGAACTCGGCGTGCTTTCTGTACTATTGCGGAGAGAGGCCTGGTGCTGCTGATGCTGCCGCGCCGGCGGCAGCGACGCTGCGCCGGCCCCCGCACCCGTCGCGACTGCCGCCGCAACGGTCTTAGCTGGCCACGTGACGGTGAAGTGCAGGCACTGCAGCGTGGTCAGTCGGGGCAAACAAGCGGCAGCCGCGTTGACCGGTAACGGCAGGTCCACACACAGCCGCGTCAGCTGCGCGAGGGACGTCAGGCTGGCCAGCAGTGCAGGCCGGAAGGAGATGCCGTACAGCTCCAGCGAACGCAACCCATGCAGCGCCGTCAGGGCTGACAGGCCCGGCGCAGGCAGGTGGCGCTGTGGCGGCGGCAGCGCAGTGGCGCCCCAGCAGTCGCAGCCGCCGCTGCTAGGGAGAGGAGAAGAGGAGGAGGACGAAGCGGTAGAGGTGCCGGTACCGCAGCTGCATGGGTGGTATGGCTGGAGGGCGGTCTCTCCCAGACCGCGGCCGCGGGGGGTGCGGTCGAGGTGACGCCAGATGCCGGCTTGGGTGATGCCACAGGAGTAAGGTGACAGGACGCCAGCTGCTGCAGATGCTGCCGCGTGTTGTATACGCAGGTGTTGCTGGCCGGTCGCAGCCAAGTGGTGGAGCACGGAGGAGAGTGACGTACCGTGGCCAACGCTGCGGTCACCAACGGTCGCGCCATTTCCGATGGCCGTGCCATCGTCTCCACCAGCCTTGGGCGTACGAGCTCCGCTGCCGTGCGCAGCGGCAGTCCTGCTGCTGGCGCCCCGGATGCTCCGCTGGCTTTGTAAACCGGACCGACCTTCTTGCACCGTCAGCACAACAGTTCCTTCTTGCTCCAACTGACCGCCGAAGGTGGACGATAACCAGCCCAATAGACCCACTGCAGGTGAAGCAGCATGGCCTTGGGGCCAAGCCGTTTCCCTAGCACGGGATGCTGTTGCTACGGTTTGCTGGTCGTCGTGCGCGGGGGTTTCGGGACCGGCGGGGCAGTCGGCGGATGCGCTAGCGTGCAAAGCTGCGGGATGTGCCGCTTCATCAAGAGGGCAGAGACGAATCGGTACGCATGGTTCCAGGCGCGCTTGAGCTGGTCTCCATCCTTTGCATACAAGGCGCGCAACCTGGGGCATCCGGCCGGGGTAAGTTCTGAGCCGAGAAGCCCTCGGCAGGCGCCTAGCACTTGGCAATATGTCCCGCTTACCTTAATCGTCTCCAAGTCTCCATACGACAAAATCACCTGTGAAGAGTCCCCGGCCGTTGGAAATTACAGGATTGGTGCCAGCTTGTCAGCTGAAGTAAAAAAGACCGCTACACTTAAATACTCACATGCAGCAACTCGGTTGGTATTGTCGACCAGCAGTCGCCTACAGAAGCGGAAATGCGTCGACGTCACACCATGCGGACTTTTGGCACCAGCAAACTCGCGCAGCCTGACCTTCATTACTGGGAGGCGAACTACCTTTACGCATTTTCATAAAGCAACTGCCTGTAGGCAAAGAGTCCAACATGCTTACATAAGGTCTTCAAAAGAACTCACACTATGAGGCGGATTTAGGAAAGCCCATGCCGTGCGTAAGTACCTATGCGCAACAAGTTCACATGCGATAAACAACAAACGTAAAATGCCATGCATGTCACAAGGTCCAAGAAGTCGTTAAGACGTTAGCCCAATCTGGGGCCTCGCCTACTCAAGCAAGCGCTCTCGTCAGGTGGCCCTTTAAGCCCTGCACCGATTGCACGATATCACGGTACAGCGCCTCGTTCTCGCCGTCCGTCTTTATTTGCAGCTGCTGCACCGCCATGTCCAGCGCGTCTGCCACTGTTTCAGCTGGAACATTGCCAGCAGTGCACTTCTGGATGGTGAAGAGCACCCCGACGCAGCCGACGATGACGTCCCGCAACCAGCTCTCCGCCAACTCCTCCTCCCCTAGAGGCTGCTCCCGCGATTTTGGCCCTGCTACGACGGCTGCGCGATGATGCTCTTCCTCCTTCTCCTCCGTCTTTACCTGGACCGAAGCCGCTGCTGCGTCCTCACCGCCACCCGCCGCGGCATCACCATTTGCCCCTGCCGCCTGCTGCCCTGGCAAGTGCTCGGGTTGGCCGGCTTGCTGCGGGCTGTCCACAGCAACTGCTTGCTGTTGCACCAGCTGCGGTGGCATCACCGCTCCAGGGGGGAGCACGAGAGGCACCACCGCACCGCCTGGCGCCTGCACCTGCATCGTGACTATGGGCCCTACCACGGGCAGCGGCTGAGGCGCAGGTGGCAACAGCAATGGCTGCGGCGGCAGCGTCTCCGCGCCCTTGTTCCGGCACGCATCAACGACCGCCCGCGCCTCCTCCATTGCCTGCTGAACTAGATGGTCAGGGCTGAGGCCTTGCGCGGGAACCGGCAGCGGCGACGCTTGGGCAGGTAATGGGTACAGCGCCTGTGCGATTGGAGCAGCAGATGCGACAGCCGGCCGCGGCTGCGGTGCAAGAGTCGGCACATTCCCTGAAGCTGCCGGGAGTGGCATTGGCGCCTTTGCGTTTGTAGCACGCTCTTGCGCCTGCTGGGATTGCTGCTCTGCAACGGACGCACTGGGCGAAGGGTCGCTTGCCAGCGCTGGCACGTGCTGCGGTTGCTGCGATTGCGACAGCGGCGCTGCTTGGGCAGGCGCCTGCTGCGGTTGCGCCTGCGCAAGTGGCGACGGCGCGCTTGGTAGGCCCGCCACTGGGCCGCCAACCCGCGGTGCGCCGGCGCCCGGGAACATGGCTGCTGCCGCCGGAACTGCCAGCTGCGGCGGCTGCAGCGCCCTCATCGCATCGGCGGCCGACGTGACTTGCTGCTGACGGCTCTGCAGCCGTGTCAGTGCGCTTTCCAGCGTGGTGTTGGTCTCCTTCAGCTGCAGCACGACCTCCGTGTACTGCAGCTGGAAGCGCTCGGTGCGCCCGCCGTGCTCGTCCGTGTGCAGCCCGGACGCCGCCTCGTTGTTGAGCTGCGCCAGGCGCGCTACCAGGGCCTCCTTCACCTGCAGGGCGCGCTCCACCTCGGCCACCATCGCGGCGTCCTGTGCTCGCATCTGCAGGAGGGGAATATTGCATAGCGTGAGCACTCGCTGTAAACAAAGGGAGCGCTGCTAAGCAAATGCCTCAGGGCACAAGACTCCATGGGATAGTACTTTCCCATGTCATTGCCTTACCATCTGCGTATCCAGACCGGCCGCCCAGGACCCAACCGGCCGCAGATTGGCGCCCAGCGGCGGAGCAACCATGCCTGGCACGAGGCCGCGCAGCGCCGCCAGACGCACGGCGTCGAAGGTGCGGCCGTTGAGCATCGCCGGCAGGAAGGACGTGTGCAGCGGCAAGCACTCGAACGGGTCGAGGGGCATGACGTCGGTGTCCCGGATAACCTCCGTCATCAGGTCGCCGCGGTGGAACTGAACCCTGCGGACCACCACAAGCACATGGCGCATGAGTTTATGGACAGGGTAGTCGAGAGGCGCAGAGCGACTAACTATTGCAATTGGATAGCTGGTCTACAGGAGGACACCAGGAACCGGTTATCCTCTTGCGGGTTTGCTAAGGTACAACCATATCTAGAGTTTAGGCTATTAATTCACACACCTGTACTTGCTGCCCTTGACGGTGAGGATGACGCCGTCGTGCAGCTGCCGCGAGATGGGGTGCCGTGCGGTGACCTCCTGGCCGACCCGGAGCTGTCGTGGCAGCTCCATTGGGAAGTCCATGCCCTGGGCAGCCTCCTCGTACTTCAACCGAGCGTGCTCCCTGTTAGGATTGTTAGGAGTCCATGCGGGTTAGGGTGGACTGTAGGGGGAAACAATGCCTGGGTAAGCGTTAGCTTCACACAGAAACCAGCTAACTCCACCTGCTATGTGAAGCCTATAGTGCTCGTGCAACCCAGGAATGAAGCCTCCCTTTTCAAGTAAAGTAGCACCCGGAAGCATGCTAGCACGCGCACGTACCGGTAGCCCTCCAACCGCACGCGCTCCTCTCGCAGGAACGCCAGGGAGAGCCGCCGCGGCCTGCCCAGCGCTGCCCGCAGCACCGACCACTCCAGCCGGGTCAACTTCGTAGTCGGCAGCTGCATATGCATGCAGAATTCCTGCAAAAGCCACGCCGCACATTAGCCACCTTCCGCATCCACACTAAGTGTGACATACCGGCGCCAGTGGCTGCGTATCTAGCCATGGTCACTCATCACTTAAACAGATGTCACTAACTTACCATGAGCTCGTTGCGCATGAACCAAGGTCGGTCGAGGGCGCTGTACAGGAACTCGTACATGCACCACCGCCGTACGCGGGTGCCCAGGCAGTGACGCAACGCAACCTCCGCTGCCAGCATCTGCGGCTTAGCCATGCTAGCTGCTGCAGCTGCCTGCCCCGTTGCAGTTGCCAGGCTCTCGGCCTCGGCGCCGGTAGGCGCCGCGGTGTCGGACGCTGGCCCCAACGCACCGTCCGCTGACTGCGCCGCAACGCCAGCGGTGGATTCATCCCCGATGCTGCCGGCGAGCGTGCTGACGCTGCCTGGGCCTGCAGGGGTAAAGACATGGATCGAGGCCAACGTCACGCGAAAGACCTAGGCGACTAAAATAGCTTACAACGGCGCCATTCCCCTTGCAAGCCAAGTGATGCAGCGCTCCTGTGCTGATGGTCCAAACGCGCACCTACCCGGCTGCGAAAGCGGAACTTTGAGCGACTCAAACATCGGCGGTAACCGCTCTGGACGCGACTTCCGTTGCCGTGTACGCCCTGGCAACGGCAGGTTTCGCAATCGCGCGCCGGTCTGCGGCGCAGCAGGCTCCGCCGGAGCAGTCGAACGGCTTCGCCCTGGAACCGCGCCGGGTAATTCCCCTGCAGGTTCGTCCCCTGGATCCTCAGCCTCCGACACAGCAACCGCAACGGCAGCTGCGGGGGCTTGAGGAAGAGGAGCGGCCGGTGAGGGCCGATCAGTTGCGCGCCGGCTGCCTGGGCCGTTGCTAGTGGCCCGGGTCGACCCTCGGGTCCTTACCGGCGGCACTGAGGCGAGCAGGGCAGCCGTGTCATCCGCGCCCGGGCCGCTACCGCTTGCGTCCTCCAGCATAGACGCCGCAATGTCGTCCGGCATCGGAATTGGCGGTAATGAGCCAGGAACCACGCTTGCTGCCGCCACCACCGCTGCAAGAACGGCTGCTTCCCCCCGAATGCCCCCCTCCTCCTCCTCTGCTGCCGCAGCTGCTGCAATGGCTATCGCTGACGGCTTCCGCTTGCGGACTGGTCTTCCCGCCGCAATGCTAACGCTTGGCCCTTCTTCAGCCGCTGCCCGGTCCGCGTCCTGGGGTTCTGTTGTCGCTGCCTCGCCAGCATCAAGGTCGCCTGCGTCAGCCCCTGCTTGCGTTGGCGATGTGTCGTCGCCAGCCTCCTTCTGTGAAGATGTGGGCGAAGCTTGCTGCTCTTTCCGCTGGCGCCCTGCTACAGCTGGAGGACCGCGGCCAGAGGTCGTCGCGACAGCAGCTGCTGCAGCAGCAGCGCGAGCCCTTGGGCTGCGGAGTCCAGTCGTGGTTGGCAACAATATCGCTTCTGCTGCGGCAGCGGCTGCTGCTGTCGCAGACGATGACCGCGCTGCACCCTTTAGGGGCGTCCCCGTTGGAGTTGGCGTTCGGCCGCCTCGGCCGCCTGCGTTAGGAACATTGCAACGCCCGCGAAAGCCATGTTGTATAAAATTTCTCTGGGAAGCGGGGTTCGGGTCATAGTTGCATGGGGTATGCATGGACGCGTCGGTCCAGCCAGGTATACCGGTACCCTACATAAACTACATAAACGCCGATACTCACTACCCCTCGCACCTCGTGCTCGTTTCGGTGAACCGAGTACGGGCTCCTGCTCCTGCTCGTCAACCTCCGGCTCGGCAGTGCTGGCGGCTACTTCGTGCGCGCTTGGTCCCTCATCCAAGAGGGCTGAGGGGCGTGCGCCGGAAGCCAGTGACAGCAGTGCGTCCACGCCTTCGTCAACGTCGTCGGTGTTATGCCGGCCTGGAACGATCGGCGTACAAAGGGAAGGGGCAAGGAATAAGACGTGTAATTTGCCTCCAAGCAACGCGCTGTGAGACAGGTGCACGTTACTGTACACATGGCTTTGGGGCTATCGTCTAAGAAGCTAAGGGGCGCTACATGCAAAGATATGTACCCAACGACAGCGCCACCACCGTACCGCGCCAACGGTCTGGGGGTGAACGGTATCGAGGCCCCTCCAAGTCCCCGTTGTCCTCAAATAGGCGGCGAGTGCGCTTGCGCTGCGATGACGTCCATTCTCCAGCTGGGGGTGATGGGGGCGCCTTCAACATGTGCTGCGGCGTGAACACGCGGGAAAATTTCTAACCAAGGGCCCACCGCAGAACGTGCAGAAAGGGAACACATATATGGAGACGTACATGCGCGTGGTGCACTAGCCTCAATCGAAAGGCACTCGTCCCCCTCTTAAGGGACAGCGAGACAGGTTACACCTCTACGACTTTCCCTAACAAGTAACGACAGGAGCCAAACACCCTCGTCGTACCTTGAACTTAGCGCTTTTGGGGGTGCCCTGATTGGATCTGGCCTGACGCCGCGCCTGCTGCTCCTCCTCAGCGGCCAGGCGCTGGGGAGTGGGCTTTGGAGTGCGCCGTGGTTTCTGCGGTAAACGGCAATCACAGCAGCATCCTTCAACAACCCATAGTTATACATTAAAGAGTAGTCCCAGTATGCACCGCGCAAGGACAGTCCTGTCTGTCTTTCAGAGCACATACTCAACTTTTTGCCGTTCGCCATCCCAAAACTACAAAAGCTTAGAGCTAAAAGTATTTGCAACATGCGTTGGTTTTCACTTCTTCTTGCCTGGCTGCTGCTGCTTGCGACATGTGAATCTGGCTCCTCCGGCTCGACCGCTCCACGCCGGGCTGGCCGTCCGCTACGTGTTGTGTCCTCCCCTAAATCTTCGTCTTTTAACTGCTTTTGAGTTGCGTTATAGTGGTCGTTGACAAGGGCCACGAAAGCCGCCTCGAGGGCTTGGCTTGCAGGAAGGCTGAGAAAGGAGGTGTGTTGCCTATGCAGCGCCTCACACTGCTCAACTGACATCTTGGTGTCCCTGGCAACCTGTGACATGGTACGGTGGGACAGAAGACCCTTGACAGCTGGGCGGCCACAGACATATCATATCAATTCGCCCCAACAGACAGCGCAACTTTAGCACAACCTGGAGTCCCACCTTCGCCCAACCGCTTGCACCATGTTTGTGAAATGAACGGTAAAATTTCCTGAGAACCTCGTCCTCCCATTTGACGGGAGCTGCGCCAGCCATTTCGGGCAGCTGTGATGGCTACCCTGAAGGAGCCAGGTGCCGGATCTCCTCAAGCCGCTACATGCGTACAACACGAGCTGCACAAGCAAGCTGCAAGCTGGGTTCGCATATCATGCTTAGCGACGCTGAGCTCTCAGTGGTGCCTTACGGCTATGACAGCTGAGCCCCAAGGCAACCTAAGGTATGTACAGCTATGAAAGAGGTTTGCAAGTCGGGTTAACACATGGGTGTTGGGCTTAGCGTCCTTGTTGAGCTTGAGGTCCTTGCAAAATTACGCTAGGACAAGGAGGAGACCAATAGATGATAAAGAGCAGTACAAAAGTTATGTAGGAAAGTACAAAGGCGTGTGGGGTGGTGATGTTACTGCATCTGTCCTGGCCAAAGCTCAAAGCCAAACGCCGCGTACGGCAAAGTTATTCCAGACGAACTTCTGCGTGCGATCGTAACGCACTTGTAATCTATATTCTGATGTTGCTCATGTATAATTTTAGCAGTTTTTTGCCTCCTGAAGGCGCAGGTCATTGGAGCCAGAGATGACGGTTGCAAAAGTTAAGCGTTGGTTACATTCCACAGCCAACAGCCACGACCGAGTCCCGATTGCGTGGCGGTCTTCACTTGAAGTTAGGGCAGCTGCTGGAACCAGTGTTGGCCCGGCTCAAGTACCCAAGGTGCGTGTCTGTGCTTGTTCCCCGAGTGCGCAAGTAATGACTAGGGTGACTGAAGCCTTGGCATGCGGCAGGCGGAATGACCGGGTATAGAAAGCCAACTGTACGTTCAACAAGGAACATGTGAACGACGTACACTGCCACCCTGGCAACACATGTGCACCATCACCAACCCGAAGTTCCCGCCCGGGTAGGACAATGCCAACATCTATCTGCATGACATCTTGACTAATCTCACGTGTGCTAATCAATATCCTTATAAGGAACGAACTCTGCCGTTGTACGACACATGTCCAACCTTGAACCGGTTCCAGCGCCCTTTAATTGCCGCAACGTATGTTGACAGCCACCTTTGATTTCCCATTGGGCGAAAACAATAACACCAGACGTGCTACTACATCTGAGCCCGTTAGGTAGGAACGAGGATACTGCTCCGGCATAACAAACTAGGATGGGTAAACAAAGTTGTCGAGGACAGCCAACACACAAACGTAGGGCGCTACGCCCATGCAACTCAAGACATGCACCAATCGGCACATGCTGCTGCAGAGGCTACTGCTTCCCCTGCACACGCAGCCACCGCTGGCACGCCACCTAACGGTTGACGCTACGCGCCTTCCACGCGAGCGTCCGCGTAAACACGACGCATACATGGCTACCAAATGACTCGCAGTTTTTAAAAGGTATAAGACCCACGACTCCAATCCCAAAACTGTTGCAGCGGCCAAGGGCAGCGCCACGCTTCGTAACACTCCACTCCATAGATGATCCACCAAATACATGCGCAACTCTCACAATACATAAGCAATGCGTATATGGCACGGCACGCGCACACCGCTGTCGGACAGCCCCACGCGCCCTCCCCTTCGAGAGCCACGCACTCGTCAACTTCCCGTTGCTGCGCCACATCCTCACAGCGCATGGTTTGGTTGATAGTTCTTGTTCACCTGGGGCTACCGGTGAGGGCCATCACAGCCACCCGTTGCCGTATTGCGCAACCTTGGCCTCGAGTCCTCAAGCAACACATCAACACTAGGCCTCGAGTTGGAGGCGGATGTCAAGTGCACGGCAGCCCCCAAGCATGCAGGGACACCACGCACCAGCCATGCAAACCCCGCTTTACCTTCCTCACCCTCGTCGCAAAAAACATGTTCCCCTCCTGTTCCAAGTCATCTCTCCTCCTCTGCACTCTCCACGTTTTTAGCAGCGACTGCCATACGCGTCAACTCCAAATTCCTGCGCAGCCTTCCGCTGCCTCCACGCTCTTCTGCCTTACTTGCGCTCGCACTCCCTCAGCAAGCTTATTCCGCAAGGGTTCCCCTCCCTTACAGCAGCTCCTCTCGCCTCGCAAGTCACCCCGACTGCTCCTGCTCCCACCACTTCCAATCTCGCTCTCTCCAACACACCGCAACGCCCCTCCTCTCCCACCTCACCTCAATCCCAGGGCTCTCCTCGCCCCCCTCTCTGCACCCCCGCTAGCTCTCCAATGCCTTCAAAGCCTCCGCCAATGTCCTACGCCAAACCGCGAGGACACAAAGCATTCCTTCCTCATCCCCGCCCTCGCCCCCCACACCGCCTAGGGACTCCATGGCTTCGCTTCTCACCGCGCCCTGCCCCCTTACACCGTCTGCCCCGTCAGCTGCAGCTCCTTCTTCTCCAGCTGCGCCACCTTGAGGTAGTTCTTGAGCAGCAGGAAGCCGCACGCCGCCGCGCCCACAAAGCAGGCGGTGGCGCCCGCCGCCCGCGACGCCACCGACAGTGCGGTGCCGATGTTGAGCAGCGAGGAGGCAGCCAGCGCGGCGAAGATGACGCGCTGCCAGGCCTGCAGAAAGGGAAGCGGAGGGGGGAATGTAGTGGAGATAGGGCGCATGGAGCGGACGTTTACCCCAAGCACTGTAGCCTGGGCCGTTTCTCTGCCTCCCCCTTTGCCTCCTCTTGTCTTTGTCCACCCAACTTTCCTGTAAAACCTCCTGCCTAGCTCTCGCCACCCCCCCTTTGCTTGCATCCTCATTTGACACATTGAGAATTCTTCTTTTGTTCCCCCGCGTGCTCACCTGCACCCGCGCCAGCGCTCGCTCCGCCTCCAGCGCCCGCACCCGCAGCTTGAGGTCTCCCCGCTCCAGGCGCTGCATGGTGAGCGCGATATCCTCGATCTTGTTGGGACCCACAAACAGATTCTTCAGGGCGCGGTTCTGCGAGCAGGGGGGAAGGGAGGGAGCAGGTGGGGGTGGGAGTGGCGGGGTTACTCGAGTGAGGAGGTGGCGGTGCTAGCCACTGCTAGGAAGCGAGCTCAAAGACAGAAGAGATGGGGAAGCGGAGCTAGCGGGTTCCGTTTCTCACCCCTCCCCCTCATCCCCGCATGCGTCGGGCCATAGGATTGGGATCCCAATGCATCACTTTTCCTATCCCTATCCCTACCCCGCCCCCCCCCCCCCTCCTCCTCCCGCACCTGGTTCGCCAGCCCGATCTGGAACTCCCGCTGCAGCTTGGCCCCCACCGGGTTGCCCTCCAGCAGCAGCTCCCGCGCGTACGGCGCAGCGATCTCCGTGATGTCGAACCGCGGGTCCAGGCTCTTGCCGATGCCGTCCAGCACCGTGAAGGAGCGCACCACAAAGGTGAAGGTGGCGGGGAAGCGGAAGGGCTGGTCGGCGGCGGCAAGCAGCAGGTCCTCTCCGATGGAGGAGAGGATCTGGCGCCGCCGCTCCTTGGCCTCGTCCTGGACGGGAAGGGGGAATAGAAGCGAAGGAGGGGGAAGGGGAGGGTTAGGAGAGGAAGGGACGAAGTAACCGTGTGGCAAGGCTCCACCAGGGGTTGCAACGTTGGATCACCGAGGGGGCGGGTAGGGGAGGAGGAGGAAGCCTACCACGAGCAGGAAAAGGGGGCCCGTAACACTGAAGCGTGCGCAAACCCAGACATGCGATAGGTGTACGGCAACGCTGTGTGTATGTCGTACTAGGATGCATGTTGGCATCGGTACCTACCTTGTTGCGTTGCGGCTTGTAGGACTGGTTGTACTCCTTGCCCTTCTCCTCCCGCTGAGCCTTCTGGGCGTCAAGGCGATCCTGAGGAAGAGGAGGTGGAGGGGAGGGTGCCAATCAGCGAGGGTGACGCATTGGGAGCAAACAACAAATAATGGGCCTCGCAAACACATTGGGAACTCAGGTAGTCTCTTCTCCTCTTTACCCTCTCCCCAGCCGCACCTTACCCCGCCCCCCTCGTTACCCCTCTCCTGGACCGCACCTGGAAGCCCTTGAGGAAGAACTCTGCCGTACGCCGCACCGCCGTACGGTCCCCCGTGGACACGTACACCCCCATGGTGGCCAGCGCGTCCAGGCAGCGGTCGGGGTCGCGGTTGTACACGCCTGGAGGGGGGGAGAGGGGGTTTTGAGAGGGGGGTTGAGAAGGTGTGAGGGGGGTGAGAAGGGGTGTACGAAAGGATGCTACTACGGTACGTGGGTGAGTGGGCGCCTGACACCGCGGCTATGCAAAGCTTGCCTCCTATCCGCAATATACGACAACTATATAGTGCCTATAACCCTCCCCCTGCCTGTCGCCCCGCTCTCCTCCCGCTCCTCCTCCCCAGACTCCCTTTTCCCCCCAGACACCGCGCACCGTAGAATAGCTCCAGCAGCCCCGACTTGACCTGCGGCGCCAGGCTGCCCATCATGCCGAAGTCGTAGTAGATCAGCCGCCCGCCGTTCTCGGCGTCAACAGCCACATTGCCAGGGTGCTGAGGGGGAGGGGAAGGGGGAAGGGGCAGGAGGGGGTCTTCAGCGCCGAAAGTTTCGCGCAAGCACACACCAAGGTCGCCCTGTAAGCTGCAACGTTGTTCATGCGCTTCACACCTCTTTGCCCATATGGCTCCCTGCCTCTGCTCCCATACCTTCTCCCTTTCCCCTCCCTTCCAGCTCGTCAGTTTCCCGTTTTCCCCCCTTTTCCTCACTCCCCTTCCCCGCCCTTTCCTCCACCCCTCCGCCGCCTCACCGGGTCCGCATGGAAGAAGCCGTACCGCAGGATCTGCTGCAGGTACGACTCCACCGCCAGCCGGGCCAGCCGCTTGCGGTCCAGGCCCATGCGGTCGATGGCGGCACCGTCGTTGATCTTAGTGCCTGCGAGGTAGCGGGAGGGAGGCAGGGCGAAGGGATACAGAGGTGGGGACAGAGTGGAGGGAGGGGTAATGTGTTGGTAGGGTGGTGTGGTTGCAAGGCTAGCGTGGGGAGGGGGAGCGGGGGTAAGCCGCAGAGGGCGGAGTGGGGGAGTACGGCCCATGGTAGAGACTTATCATGGGCAGCTTTAGCCTTTTTATCCCCCCCCCACGCCTCCCCCCTTTTGTCGTTTGGCTTGACTAAGCCTGGTGGGGCGGCATGGGCCAGGTCCAATGTAGCAACCCATGGTGAAGCCCCCTCGTCATACAGCCCGTCAGTTTCCTCCTGTTCACCCCCCTTCCCCCACCTCATTCAACTCATTCAGCCTCATTCAACACAATGGGTATTCTTCTCCTCCCCCCCCCCCACCTGGCGCATACTCCAGCACCAGCACCTCCTGGCTGCTGTACTCCCAGAACACGCGCGGCACCTTGACCCAGTCCACCCCCGCGAAGTTCTCCCGGAAGCGGTCCGCGTTGCGCCCCTCCAGCCGGTAGTCGATCTCCTGGTACAGGATGCGGCTGCACTCGTCGTAGATGGCGACCCAGTCGCGAGCGGCGCCGTCGGTCTTGGGGTCCACCTGGGGGCAGCAGAGGCAGGGGCAGCAGGGACAGCAGAGGAGGAGGAGTACTTTGTGAGGAGAGAGTGGAGTGAGGAGGGCTTGCAGTAGCAGCAAACACACAGCATGCAGGGCCTTGGGTATGGTTGGAGCCACCGGTGTTAGCACTAGCCATTGAGGACAGGCGGCAACCTAACTGGAGGACACTTCCCCGCAATCTTAGCATGCTCACAGCCCTCACCAGACCTCCCCCCATCCTGCCCCCTCCTCTCCCCATACAAGCCATTCACATTCAACACACTTGGTAACCTTTTCCCCCTCCCGCTCCCCCGCACCTTCTGCAGCCACACCGCCAGCGCCCGGATGTTCTTGAGGTCGATGTCGAAGAGCTCCTTCAGCCCCGGCCGCTGCACCTTCACCACCACCCGCTGACCGTCCTTCAGACGAGCGAGGTGCACCTGAGGGGGCGGGGGGGCGGGAGAGGGGTTGGTAGGAGAGTGTTGACAACTTGACATGTAGTGCAGGGCGACTGGCATACTGCTCGTTCGGGCCAGTCCACAGCCCTCTTCCCCCACTTCGTCTTGCATGTCTTTCAGGCATTTTGCCGTTTCTCCGCCCTTCCCCCGCGCGGAACGGGCGTTCTGTTTCTCCACCCTGGCCTCCTCCCGGCCCCTGTTTGACAGCCCGTTTCAAGTACCGGTAACCACCTAAACACCACCCACCTGTCCCAGCGAGGCCGCCGCGATGGGCTCAATCTCAAACTCCGCAAACACCTGATCCACGGGGCGACCCAGCGAGGCCTCCAGGATGCTGCGAGCCGCCTCGCGGTCAAAGGGGGGCACGTTGTCCTGCGGGGGGGGAAGAGGCGGAGAGGGATAAGAAGGAATCAGGTAGAATGAGCGCCGAGCGTAAGGCCAGGCCAAAACAAGAGCATCGTGCATGTTGCACTGTTTATGTTATCAAGTGCAATTCGTAGACGTCCCGGGCATGATTGCTCCAATCCCTCCGTGCTTCCAACTTGGAGCCGCGCATCCTTCCCCAGGTCCCAGGCCCTACAAGGCCTACAACCCCCCTCCCCCCATCCTGCCTGCAGCTTCTCCAGCTCCTTGACGAACTCGGGCGACAGCACGTCCACACGCGTAGAGAACTGCTGACCAATCTTGATAAACCTGAGCGGTGAGGGACAAGGCAAGGAGGCGGGAGGAAGGCCGCCGACCCAAATCACCATCAGGGCTATTCACATAAGTCTACACCACCACTGTCCTCGTCTCCTCCCGGCTCCTCCACAACTCAGCTCGCAAACCCCGCTCGAGCCCGCAACACAGCCCCCGCTGTTGCCCCTCCTTCCACCCGCATTCCCCCATTTGGGTCACCCCCCGCCGGCCGTGCGTCTCTCACGTGGGTCCCAGGCGGACCAGCCCCTCCCGCAGCCAGATGGCGAGCTCCTTCTTGCGCGCCGAAACCGCCTCCTTCGTCATGCCCTCCTTGCCGTACGTGAACTTCTGGTTGAGCAGCAGGTAGCGGAAGGCAAACTGGAAGGCGAAGCTCCAGATCTCAAACGTGCGCTGAGGGGACAAGGGGAAGGAAGGTGTCATGAGGGTAAGAGAGTAGGTCAATGAATATATGTAAGGGGAAGATGGGCGGAAAGCAGGGTGGGCTGGGCACGTATGAAGTGGCTTGGGGTGTGGCGGGATGCCCGCTGGGGCCGAGGCGCCCGGTGAGAGGGGGATAATAGGGGTGAAGGCGCCCGGTGAGAGGGGAAGGGTTAGGAGCAATGAGGACGACAGTGAGCTGTAAGCTGCACGCCAGGAAGTGGGTCATGCTCTTTTATGAAACAAAAAATGAAATATCTGTAATTTACATGGAAAGGGAATATCCACAACCTCAGCTGGATCCCCCTGGCCCTGGCCCGTAACTCCCCCGCTCCCGCCCCGCCGGCCACGCACCTGAGCCACCGAGTACGTCTTGAACTGGTTCCAGCGGCCACCTGGGTTGCTGTACGGCGTGCCGGCGGCGGTCTTGGGCTTCTTCACCTCCGCCGCCGCAGCCTTACCGCCAGCAGCACCCGGGGTCGCCGCCGCCCGCTCCGCGCCTATGGTGGCAGCCACCGTCTCAATCTGCCCCGCAGCCTGGGGGTCCATGGCACTGTCCAGGGAGGCTGTGGACAGCGGAGACAGCACCGAAGTGGAGGAGGATGAGGAGGACGAGGAGGAGGGTACGGCAGGGGAAGCCGGGGAGGCTGCCAGCTTGCTGGGCTGAACGGCTGGGGGTTGCGGTAGGGGGGCGCTGCTCGCAGCCGGGCTGGCAGCAGCAGCCGCGGCGGCGCCGTTGCTGGTACCGTTGGAGTAGGCGGCGGTTGGAGCTTGGGCGCCGTTGCTGCTGGCGCCGTTGCCATTGCCGTTGTGGCTGGCGGGTGGGGTGCTCACGGCGGCTGCTGTGTCGCTGCGTGCGTTGTACAGGATGGTGCCTGCGTTCAGGCTCTCCGGGGTGACAACGGTCGAGTCCACGTCTGCAGTCTTGCACCCCTCTGCCTCGCTTGACTTGGCCTCCACCAGCTCAGTCACCGCGGCCTGCGCACGAACCCGGCCCCAGCGCGGAAACATGGTGTTTGGCATAAACGACTTTAAAAGGTGTAAGAACAAATCCGCTAACAGGGTTTGAAGCTAACCTCGCGAACAGCCACCAACTTGCGGGCGCGCTGAACATTAAGCAGGCCCGTTGCAATTGGGCGACGTGGAGGAAGCGACGAACTAAAGCCCCGGGGCGTGCCAGCAAGCTTGCCCAACCGCGGCTGAAGGCAAGGAAGCATTCTTCTAAGCGACGTGCAGTAAGCAGCTGTTTAACGCTTTAGGACCTGCAAAATGCGTTGTCGCCCTTAAGCGCCAACCAGAGAACTTCACAACGACCCTTGCCAGTATTTACAAACGTTTATATGTTTTGTGCAGTGCAGTGAATTACTTCAAAGGCGCAACGCACAAGCAAGCATGAGGCCTCTAGATGAGTGCCTGTACGGCGCGGCTCGCTTCCTGATTTTCCAAGTGCGCGCAGCAAATTAAGTGTAGCAGCCGCCACCGCTATTGTCCTCGTGCGGGACACACCGTTGCCAGCTTAGATCTATATCTGCGCGCGAGCGCGCTTGCTTAACGACAGCCTCGACTTGGGCGCTTCCGCCGGCGCACGCTTTGCGCTGGTCGCGCTATTCAAGCCTGCATTCAAGGCGTGCTTGTATTATTCCACTGCACTAAAATGATCCAGCCGGCAAGACGTGTGTCAAGCGTGATGCTTGCAAAGCCTTGCAGCTTCGCACCTGCCGTTGTTGTGACTGCACCTGCTCCTGCTTCTCCTCTCACGTTCCTGTCTTGCATTGGCTGCTCCGGCTTTGCCACTTGCGCTGACTCGCGAGCGGCCGTTGCGCTTAAGCTTGCATCTTCCGCCGTCGCATCTGCCTTGCTCTGCCGCAAGGGTAGCGTCACCTCAGCCTGGGCGGCCCCAGCGGTGGAACCAGATGCATGCAGTTGTCCTGCCCCGGGCCCAGCGGTGACGCCTGCTTGGCCTCCAGTTCCAGAGCCCTCCGCCTGGGCCGCAGTGCTCGTGGGCCTGTGTGCTTCCGGGAAAGCGTACTTGCGCGTAAACTCGGCAGCGCGCCTTCGGAAGAGCTCCGGATGAGCCTTGTGCTCCCTGCCCTGTATGCGGAGCCAGTGATAACCAGGTTAAGCATGCTTGTCACTAAAAGGGGCCCGTGATTGCATATCAGTGGGACGATTTAGGAGCCTCGCATGAGCGACACCATGGCGGGAAACACGGAACCAGCAGCAGCAACACCCAGGCTCCACGCCACCCAACAACGCACCGCATCTGCGTCCAGCGGGTCGTTTGAGTTGGGCTCTGCTAGAAGCGACTGAATGCTGAGGAGCACGCTTGTCAGGTTGTGCTGCGGTCCCCAATCAGTCTGGAGGAGGGAAATATCGGTAGTTCTTGGAGATGGCATCTCATGGTGTCGCATGCGGGATGCATGGAAAGCAGGGCACCCGAAGCGCATGCCTCCCATGTGGGTTACGACAACGAAGCACGATAGATAGATGGCCTACCTTTAGTACGCTGAGGCAGATGTTTCCGTCATGTGAAATGTTGGGGTGATACACCTGCGGAGTGTTTCAAACATCAAGGTGATTGCGGCAGACAGGTATGCGGAGACCAGGGGGACCTGGGAGAAGGAAGCAAGCGGAGGATTGGCTCCACCTTTGTGAGGAACTTCACGTTTGGAGGCTCGAAAGGGTACCTGCAAGCGTCAAAGTGGGTTTATAAGTCAAACCCCAAGGAGTTGCGGTGGCGAGCGTGCCGGCAAAATGGATGGCAAGTACTCCAGTCCAGATGACAGCTGGGTCCACCTGTCGGGGAAATTCACCCGCAGGTGAAAAAGGCCGCCTTCATAGGGGCTACCTTCAGGCCCCATGATCTGCGCAAGGGCGTGGGTTATTTCACGGTTGCTGGGGTTGCTTCGGGAAATGCATGACACGCCAGCGGGCTGTCAGTTACCTGTGCATCGATGCAGGTGGCACTACCTTCGTTAGGCCAAGCCGATATGCCTGCTGGGGGCTCGTTGGCAAGCTTTTTCACCTCCGCTGCTATCCTATTCCGGCTCACGTTCAGAGACATTCCTCGGGGGTTGCCCCGGGCTGCTGGGAACTGATCAGGGTGATCACCTGGGCCTGAAGTAAGGAGTAGAAATAAGCCTAAATCGCGCAGTAGGAAAGCTCTGCTGGATGCCCCAAAAATAAGTACGATGACAACAGCTCAAGCAAATCCATGTACGAGCTCATTTCCTACCCCACCAGCAACCGGCAGCGTAGAGCGTTGGCTTTCGGATTCCTTAGACGATCAACTTGCTGCCTCTTAGAATAATTACACCCACCTCGTTGCTCGTAACAAACCTTCTTCACTGCTACCAACTTATATCGAGAGAGTCACCTGCTATGCTGCGCACTATAATGAACATGTATAAGTTTTAAGTGGGCCTAGAAGGGTCGCGTAGGCGATGGCTTATGCCCCAGGTGCGCGGTCCGCGACGGGCCTCGTCGTTGCTCTTGCATGAGCCGCTTTCTTAAGTTTTCAATACGTATAATATGTTTGTTTGTTCTTTGCAAAAAAACTTGTTTCGTCTGAGTTGGGCGCGTTGTTGGGCTCCGCGCCCCATTCTTGACCGTCATGCGCTGGACCATGATTTATATTACCGCCGCAACCCAAAATACTGTACATGTCCATATTTAACGCAGGAGAAAAGCGGAATGGGACCTCAACTACTGGGGCTCCTGGACCGCCGGAGGGAGGACGAGCCAACGGGCCAACGTCTACTCCTTCTCCGCCTACGCAGCCGCGGAAGGGTACCAGCAGCAGACCGGTACTAAGTGCGAGACCCACAACAGCGGCTAGCAGTGGCCCGTCATCGAGCGGGCCGCTAGTCGCCAGCGTACTGGGCAGCAGCTATGCGTACCACAACCGCAACGCGTCCCCAGCTCCTCAGCGCACGTCGGCTGCGCAGCACGGCTCCAGCCAACGGAGCACATCCGCATCACTGCAACGGACCACGTCAAGCAGACGTACGAGGGGCTAGGCGCAGGGAGGGTTGCAACGCCACACCTGACTACGGCATAGCAGAGTTACAGACAATGCTGCCGCCTCGAATGCGATCCCGGCATACTACAGACACTTGAAACGGCGGGTTGGGTGCTATAGGGACACGCTTAGTTGTACGCCCTAGCAGGGATCCGGTGCACTATGATCCGGTGGTCTAGTGTTGATCCCGTCATGTTGCGCCGTTCTTTGCCTCCACAGAGCGAAGCCACAGTCAAGCCCTGCCCGCCAAGCCGCTCTTCGCGGCCTATGGCCTCCAGTACCAGAGCAGCAATGGGCGGGGCGTGGTGGCCGCCGGCCGAACCTCCGCAAACATGAGCCCCTACCGCAGCCGCCCGGCCTCCTCGACTGGACCACCCTCGAATGGCGGGGGCTTGACTTCAAGACCGTCAACCTCGCAGTCGCAGCAACGAGCGGGTGCGGAAAGAGACCGGGCAGTGGACGGAAGGGAGGATGACCATGCGGATGCTGGGACGGGTGGTATGGACATTGCGGCACGGCGGGGTGTGAACAACGGTTGGAAGCTAGCACGCTTGCTTGCTCAGAGTCCTGTTATGACGTCCCGCAATTTCCATGTTTATTACTTTCAGGTGAAAACTGGTTCGGGAACACGAAGCTTGCAGTCACTTTTCCGAACCACACGGCTGCAGAGGTAAGCGGATTTGCATGGCCCACGGCGTTATATGAGGCCCTCTTGGACTTGGCTTACGTCATGGGGCGACCAACGAAGACATGTTACCAGCACCCCACGGCCGTTTAAGGCTAGCTGTACTGTGCTCCGCAAGTTTCCTAGCCCCGTAGCCACAATGCGCTTTTCCAATCCGCCGGTGAGCCACACGCTCATAGCGCCCATGATGCCATCCTGCCTTTGCATCCCAACGCTTCCCCTTGCCGCCCGTCCCTGGCCTATAACCCTTAGCTACTCCCGCCACAGGCAGCACGCGTGGTCCAGGAGCTAGGCCAGCTGCTGTCCGTGTTCGCCCCGCCGGCGCCCGGCGGTGGGCCATCTGGCATCAAGGCGTCAAGCAGCTTCCGCGCAAGCAAGTACGTGGGCGGGAGCAGCGGTGGGGGCGCAAGCAGCGGCGGCGGTGCGCACAAGGAAGCGTGGGGCAGTGGAGGCGGAGGAGAGGTAGCATCTTCAGTAGCGCTGGGAAGCAGCAGCGGCGGAGGAGCGGTTAGCAGCGGCGGAGGCATGTTGTTGCGGCCCACCAGTGCCGCGAGCAGCACCGGCAGCGCCGCCTCCAAGCCCATCATGGCTCCCTACATGGGCGACGGCCGGCACGGCCACGGCGCCAACTTAAGCCTCATGCGCCTGCAACAGCAGCAGCAGCAACAACAACAGCACCAACTCCAACAGCATTCGCAGGCCATATATGGCACCCAGTCAGGTGGAGGTATGTCCAACGCCTCGGCGTCGGTCCAGCAACAGCAGCAGCCCCACGCCGGAACCGGTCCCTCGGGCTCCGGGTCCTTCCTCCACACCACCTTCATCACCTTCCAGCCCTCGGGCGGCGCCAGCGGCGGCGGCGCCCACCCTCCACGCCTGAACCTCAACGTGGGCAGCGGCGCATCGCCGGTGAGCAGCCCCAAGGAGTCCCCTGCCGGCGCGGCGTCCCCGCATGCACTGCACTACCAGCAGCCGCATGGCTACCCCCAGGCGCACCCGCACGCGCCGAGCGGGCCGCCGCCCACCAGGCCCTGGGAGGCAGCGCACGCCCCTCACGTGCATGGCCATCCGCATGGCTCGGCCTTCGCCGCGGGAGCGGCGGGTGCACAGGCCTTGTCGCCGAGGCCGTCGCTGGGCGGCGCCAGCAGCGGGCAGCAGCAACAGCAGGTCCTGCACTACCTGCCGTCTGTCGACGGCGGGGCCGCAGCGCCGCCTGCTGCCAGCGGGACATCGCCCGGCTACACAACCATGACGGTGGCGGCCGGCTCGGCTGTTGCGCCGCAGCCCTTCGGCATGCACAACAACCCTCCCCCACAGCAGCAGCAGCAGCAGATGCACGTCCATGCTGCCACGGCCCCCGCCTCGTTGGCCTTCACTTCAGCCATGGCAAACGCTGCCGCGGCGGCCATGGGTAACTACCCTGCGCAGCAGCAGTCCGTTCCGCTGCCTACCAGCTCAGGCCCCGTGCCCCAGCCGCCGCCTTCAGCCCTTGCGCCCTCACCGCACTCTGCACCCCTGCACTACCAGACGCACCCCGGCGCCACCGCCGTGCCTGCCTCCCCTGCGAACGGGCCCACCTCCACCTCCGGCACCACAACCGCCTTTACCGCACCCACAATGCACGCAGCCGCCACGGGCAAAGGCGGCGTGCGCGACTCCCTCATCTCAACCACATCCGCCAACTCCAGCTCTGGCAACGTCTCAATCCCCAGCTCCAACTCCCTTCAAGTGCAGCCGGGCAATGCAGCTGCCGGCAGCCGTAACGCTTCCCTGGCCAACGCACCCCACCCGGTGGGGCTGCCGCCGCCGTCGCCGCTCAAGGCCGCGCCGCCGCCTGCAGCCACTCCGGGTACGACACGCGGTCAGTACATCCGCTCCAACTCCTCCCGCTCGTCCAACGGCTCGGGTTTCGACAACGGGCCGTACTACGGCATCAACCCGCAAGCTGCGCATGATGCCGAGCGCGAGGAGCACCAAAGCACTAGCCTCGGAGGCGGCATGCCGGGCGGCCAGCAGCTGCCTCAGACACCCACGCGAGCAGGGTATCACGGCAACGATGGCGTCCACGTCCACGGTGCTGCTGCGGCTGCTCATGTCACCGTGCCGTCCAGCCCCGGGTACGGCAGCTCACATGCAGGCAACTCTGCCGCCGGCATTGCCGGGCACGTCACATGGGGCGCAAACATCACGCAGGCGTCTAACCCCAGTACGCCCACGCGCCCGACCGGGTTGCAATCTGACCCAGCGGCTCGGCGCGCCAGCACCGGCAGCCAGGCGGCCCTCGAAATAGGCTCCCCCTTCGCGCGCGGCAGCGAGGGCTTCTCACGCATGCTGGTAGAGCATGGCACCCTCACATGCGTGCGGCCCTCCACGGTTCCCTCGAATTTCGCCGCGGACAGCCAGAACGACGTGACCATGTACACCGACCTGCAGGTGTCGCCGTCGCGGGGCAGCGGCAGTGACACGCCCGGCGACAGCGCAGGCGGGATGTACGGCGGCCGTACTGTTTCGGTAACGGCAGGGACGACGGCGGGTACGACCGCGTCCAACGTGATGCATTGGGCGCCGGGTGCCATGGGAGTGACCCATGGGACGTACGCGCCCGCCACGACGCACCTGCCCTGGCGACAGTCCATGGAAGAAGCAGGCCTGGTGAGCAGGAGCGGCAGCGTGACGGCGGGGCCTGGCGCGACGGCAGCGCTGCCGCCGACGCAGCAGGAGCAGCAGCCACCTAGCACCTCTCACGCCATCCAGCCGACCAGCCAACAGCACCCGGGTGGCTCTAGCGGTGTGAGTGCAGCACCGGCGATGGCATCACAGGCGTACGGCAGCACACGGGAGGAAGGCGGTGCATGGGGGCGGTCTCGGGACACCACACCCACGCGGTCGTACGCGCACACAACGACATCGGCCCCGCAGCATCCGGCCATGATATCGTCACAGCAGCAGCAATACCACCACCAGCAACAACAACATCATCATCAGCAACAGCCGCAGCAGCAGCAAACGGGCGAGGCTGAAGCCGTTGCTGCAGCGGTGGCGGCTGCAACGGCCGCAGCCGCCGCGGTACGGCAGGCTGTGGTGGATGCCGCCGGTGTGGGCTCACGCGGCCACACCAGCGTCAGCAGCACCGCAGCGGCCAGCAGCACGCATGCAGGCAGCTCAGCGACCTCAGCCCTGGCTGCTGCCGCTACGGCTGCTGCAGCGGCGGCAGCAGCGGCGGCGGCTGCGGGTGCCGCGGGTGTGCCGTTGACTGGCGAGCAGCAGCCGCGGACGAAGATCTCCACTACGCCAGGCCCCGCTCGCTACGGCCATTGGAGCGAAAATGGCACGGCCGCAAGCACCACTTCCACCACCACCACCCGCGGGCAGTCCTCCTCATCCGCCTCCCAGACCGCACATGCCCAACCTCACCAGCCCTCCTCCGCTACTCCCACCACCACAGCCGCCACATCAACCCCCACCACAAACACCACCACCACCACCACGCCCGCAGCAACCACCGCCGCTTCCACCACTGCCTCCGCCACGACCACTGCAACCCATACCTCGACCTCCACACCACCGGTGTCCTCCCACGCCACCGCCACCACCACAACGCCGGCCACCGCGCCCGCTTCCTCCGCCGCCGGCTCCGCGGGCAGCGCCACCAGCACCAGCAGCGGCAGCGGCACCTCCAGCTCCACCAGTTCCAGCGGCGGCGCACATCCGCCGGGCAGCGCGCGGCGCTCCGCCGGCTCCATGCCGCGCTTCAACCCCGCCTCCGTGCTGGGCTGCGAGCCCGACCCCACCTTCGGCAACCTGCTGCCCGGCTACAGCGTGGGCAAAGTCATCGGCGAGGGCGGCTTCTGTCAGGTGGGATGGATGTGGGTCGGAAGGAAGGTGGATGGGCGGTCATTGCTGCTGTCGTCTACCTGGTGCGCTAGCCAAGCGCTCGCCTCGCGTCATCGCACTCATGCCCTTTGCCTAAAGCACCATGGCCTTCGACGCTCTGCCACTAAAGTGCCGCCTCCTGCTCCCATGCGCCTCCTTCTCACCCCCACCCCCCACTGCCCAACCCCACTGCACCCTCCAGGTGCGGCTGGCGGTGCACCACCTGAGTCAGCGCAAGGTGGCGGTCAAGGTGATCGACCGCGCCAAGCTGGTGGACCCCAACGAGGCCAAGCGCATGCAGCGCGAAATCCGCGTCATGAAGCACCTCAGCCACCAGTGCGTCATCAAGCTGTTCGAGGTGGTGGAGTCGCCGCGACACCTCTTCCTGGTCATGGAGCATGCGCCGTCCGGGTCACTGCTGGACTATGTGCGCGCGCGCAAGCGGCTGCCGGAGGCCGATGCGTGCATCTTCTTCCAGCAGATCGTGGCGTCTTTGGAGTACTGTCACAGTCGGGAGGTGGTGCACCGGGATATCAAGCTGGAGAATATCTTGTTGGATGCGGAGCAACGCATGAAGCTGATTGATTTCGGGCTGTCGGCGTTCTTCGTGCCGGGCAAGCGCCTGCGTGTGCACTGCGGCTCGCCGTCGTATGCAGGTAAGGGGGGTTACTGAGGGGGAAGGCGCTGGGCGTGTGCGGGGGGGGGGCATGTGCGATGTGTTTGTGAGGGACGCCTGTGATTACTATAACGTGTGCTTGTGTGGGTGTGAACGTTTAACTTCAGTGGTACATCGTAACCGCTTCGCGCATTCACCGTCACTGACGTGGCTTCACGTTTTCTGCCTCCGCTGCCGCTTGCCGCCTCAGCTCCCGAGATCGTGGCGCGCAAGGCCTACGAGGGCCCCCCGGTGGACGTGTGGTCGCTGGGTGTGGTGCTGTTTGCCATGGTGGCCGGCTACCTGCCCTTCCACGCCAGCGGCGGCAACAAGCAGGTGCGAGCTGTGAAGCTGCAGGTGCTGCGCAAACATCGGCAGGAACAGCCGGATGACACAGAAGCTACTACCATTCTTTATCCCTGCTTGGACGCAAGGAAGATTGGGTTGGGACAGTACGCAGCTTTCGTCCCTAGTCGATTCAGCCCCAATTCGCCTCCTGAGTTCCGCGCCTGGTAGTGGTGGTTCCTCACCTCATATCACCTCACCTGGTGGCCTTACCATCTGCCTTTGCAGGAGCTGTGCAACAAGATCATGGCGGGCCAGTACACGGCGCCCGACTGGCTGTCGCCCTCCATGAAGGACCTGCTGGCGCGCATGCTCACCACCGACCCGGAGAAGCGCATCACGTTCCAGCAGGTACGGTAATGCGGCTTGTTGAACGAGTCGTGCACTCTTTCCGGCCCCAAACCTTTACGGTACTAGTATGTGTATAACAGCGTTCACTGGGACGGTGGTGAGGACAGGGGGCGGTATTCCGGTGTAAGCAAGGGAAGGCGCTACTGAGCTCCTGGTCGCCGCTTCACCCCTCCACCAGGGCTCCCGGCACACGCTGCCGCACCCTGGCACCCACCCACCCTCTCCCAAATGCGTTGCCCTAACCTGTGGTTTTGGTACATCTGTGACCCACCCTCCCTCCCTCCCTGCTCCTCCGCTCCCCCCGCCGCACAGGTCTGGCAGCACAGCTGGGTACGCAACGGCCCGCAGTGGCACGAGCGCGGCGTCAACTGCTACGAAGTCGCGCCCGACCCCTCCGCGCCCGGCGGCCTGCGCTGCGACGAGCAGGTGGTGGGAGAGCTGGAGGCGGCGGGCTACCCGCGCGCCGCCGTACTGCAACACCTGGCGGCCGGAGACGCCAACCACCTAACCGCCAGCTACTTCCTGCTGTGTGAGTCCAAGGCGGAGGCCATGCGGCGCCTGCGCGCCACTTCCAGTGGCGGCAGCCGCAGCCGTACAAGCGCCTCTTCGAGTTCGCTGAGGGCCGGGGCGGGATCTGGGTCGTACTCGGGTTCAGCGGCGGCGGCAGCGGCGTACGGCACAGCGCAGGTGGCGGCCGCGGCGGCGGCGGCGAAGGCGCGTGAGAGCCCCAGCCGGTCGAGTGGTGGGAATGGCAGTGGTGGCGGCGGGGGGAGCAGCGGCGGTGGTGGGGGTTCCAGTCGGCCGTCTACGGCGACGAGTGGGGGTGGTGGGTACTCGTCGTCGGCTCGAGGGCACCGCGGGGGGCAGCAGCAGGGCGAGGAGATGGTCATGGGCGGCACGGGCCGCATGGCGGTGGCGGTGTGAGGAGAGCTGCAGGCGCGGCGTGGGAGCGGGGGGAAGCACATGCTGGTGCTGTGAACCTTGTGACACATGGCGGACTTGGGCGTTCACTTGGTCAGGCGGGGTGCGGCTTTTGGACTGTGGCGGCGCCGTCAAGGCGTTGCGAGTCACATCATTGCATGGGGTGCTGCGTGCGGGAGAAGAGGGCTTGATGTTTGTCCGCGAATGCAGCAGCCTTTCATATAGCGATTTATGTACCATTGCGGCTGGGCTGCGGAACGAAAAGGTGATCCGGTGTACCGGTATATGATTGGGATCAGCATGGGTGCGAGCTGCGCCTCTAGGGGTGGCAGCTGTATGGCTTTAATGTTTTTTGTTTTATCCGCAATCTGGAGGAAGGGCGGCTTTGCATCGATGGGATTTTTGTCAAACATGAAGGGCAATGAAGGGGCTAGCTGCGGTCGACACGTGACAAGGGACAAGTGCACAGGGCCGCTGTCTCCGCTGCAGCTTTCAGTTACAGCGGCGGAGGAGGGGCGGGTGTTCGCGAAGCATGCGAGACGTGAGAGGGTCTCTGTGTGCGTGTGTGTGTGTTTGCTCGTTGCGACAAATGAGCTACATGCCCGGATGCGCTGGTTTTGCTTGTGCCTTTGCTGCCGCGGCAACGCGGTTTCTGGAAAGCTAACCCTTTGGAAACGCTCGGTCGGTACATATGTTTGGAAGACGTGACTCGCGTTCTGCACGGATTCGTGTGTCTCTGCGGGCAAGAGGACCCCAGAAGATCGTGTTTTGGCTGGTGAACGGATTATAGGAGGACAGGCCGAGCAGCGCACAGTGATACGGTGGTTACGGTGATGAACACCTACTTGTTGGACTTTTGCGAGGCGCACGTTTGCGTGTCCGTACTACAGGAGAGAGCCTCGATGGTGGCTTTAGGGATGGATGTCTGGGAGGAGGAAAAGGAAGGACGCTGGCTTTTTCCGTCACACCGCATGTTTTGTTTCACGCATATACCTATACATGCCGCATGCCTATGCTGGGTTTGCCGCTACTTGCTGCTATATGTTTTGACTGTTTTGGACATACGCCCCTTGGACTGCCATGCTGTGTGCTGCAGGCGGGAAGGGGCCCTAGGTGTATTTGGTTGTCTGCGTATTATGCGGGCTCGCACGAGCGGCTTTAGGGCGTGTGGGGATGCACGACAGGGAGATGCAGCCCATGCTTGGGCCACGCCAACTGCGTCGGGGCTATTTGCGCTCACACTTCGTCCTGACGAAGAGCGGTCATTATGGATATCCAAACGTTTCCAAGGTAAAGGGGATTAGTAACGGTGACGGTACGTTCGGACAGCACAGCAACCCGCATCGCTTGCAACGGGTGGAAGGTCTCTGGTGGGGTTTGGTAATCGCGCGCGCAAAGCCAACGCACCAATGCACACGGCGATTGGAACTCATGCCGGGTATATAACAATATATAAGTTCAAGGATGTCGTGTAATACGCCGTACGGCAGGCTACCGGTGGGCATGCCATGGTGGCCTCAGCGCAACAACCACGCCCCACACCACAGCTGCTCAGCGTCGCCCGCTGAGGCCCCAGGAAGCTTCAGTTGTACTTCACGCCTTGGGGACCCTGTTAACTCGGTAGGAGGGTGTTGGTTGCCGCACAGCCCCGCTTACCGGTACTCAGCCGCTGGGCCGTGGCACACGGGCTGGTGTCCCATGGGTCGCGGGCTTGTGAGTCCGCGCGTTCCGTGCTCCTGCACCTTTGGCATGCCATGTTTTCGCAACTGCGAACTACATGTGTGGGTTTTGGTCGTGTTGGAGTTACCATGCATTTCACAGTGAGCCTAAGGCTTTACAGCCCCAGGAGGAATTCACCTGCGCTCGGGCCACAATAACGCACGCTAGCAGTACGTCATTTAACATGCACCCCTCCGGGCGTGTCCAATTGATAAACGCTACATCACCTCATACATAATCCGTTATCAAGGCATGTAACCAGCTAACCACCCCTGTGCCTGCCCCGCCTCCCGCTACTGCTACACGAACTACCCCATCGCCAAACCCCTCTACGGTATCATTTGCCACCTTGAAAGTACACCTGTCGACAAACTATCTAGCAACCTGCAACCATCAAAACTACCGTAACAGCAAGCGACGCCACACAAGTTCCGTGCACCTCAGCCCCCGCTACATCGCTCGCTCCTGTGGCCTCATCACGAATAAATTTACAGTCGGCATAAGCGCCCAGCCACCAATGCATGCGCAGCCTTGGATTCTAAACCCGAATGCACGTCCTTCACACACAAGCGACACACAAAGAAACACAACCACACGCGCACGCAGCCACCAGCGGACAGGCCGCAACCAAGTATGCGTTATGTACCGGTATTGCGGAGGGCACCCAGATAGGCAGTACCGGTATGTACGCTGCCTTACTCTGTACCGCCTCCGCTGCTTGTGTCCCCTCCAGGGAGTCCAGCTAACAGCCCCGACACACTTCTTGTATTGCTTGTTGAGCAGTGTCACAGGCGACCTTGTATCACTGCCAGCTCCTTTTCTCCTCTCGTCCGCCTCACGCGACCACCACGACCGCCCTTTCAGCAGTCGCCATTAACCTCCTAACCGCCGTCGAACCCTCCAGACCAGCACCCCAGTTCGCAAATCCTCGCAGCCTTCGCATTAAAAACGCAGAAGCGACTCGCGCACACATCCATCGCCCCAACCACGTAATCCACGGCAGCCAGGTCACCAGCCCCCCCCCCTATGCTCCTTTGTCGTTGGTTCCATTAGCACGGGTCGGTTCCTGTTTGATGACACCCAATGGGCTACTTCGCAATGACCTTGAGCTTCGTCTGCGGCTGCTGCTGCTGCCCTCCCGCGCTGCTGGCTCCGCCCCTCGCGGCCGTCACCTCCAGCGCTATAAACTCCAGCGGGTCCTCCGGCAGCCGCTCACAGTCGTACAGCTTCTCGATGGCGCCGTTCAGCTTCTCCATCACCTGCGGAGGAAATGGTGTGCGTGTGTGTTTTGTGTTGGATCAACTGAACCGCGTACTATACAGGATTTGTACTGAGATTGTGTGGGTACATGGTTGGGAAGGGCGGACAGGGAAAGGGCGAGGGGTGGGAAATCGTGGGGGCGCAGAGAGGACGCGAAATCGTTGTCGCAGATAAGCCGGGATTGTTAGGGCAAATGCAAGGGGGTACTGGTAGTTGTGTGTGGTATGAGCTGGTGAGCGGTGTGGGGAGCCCGGTGCACGCGGGTGCCCCAGGGGTGTTGCGGCCTGCCCATGACATGGGGTTCAGGACTTACAGCAGCAGAAGCACGTACAATAGCGTCACACGGGTAGGGGTGCTACGAGGGTGAAGGAGAAACGGGTGTACCGTTGTCCTTCCAGCTGTCGCCCCGGTTTATCGAAGTGCCGCGTCCGTCCGCTATCCTAGGCGCGACTGTAGGGCACTGTGTGAACACGACACCGCACGCACCTGATGACGCGCCAGGTACTCCTTGAAGAGTCGCTTTCGCTCCAAAGCCCGCTTGTAGGCCTCATCAAACTGCTGCTTGGTAAACTCCTGAACGTCCGCCATCGGTTACGACGAATACCCAGCGCTGTAACTTATGAAAAGCGCTGGACGCTGAGTGTAAGAAGCTAATAGTCGATACTGCCAAGATGTTACGCCGTATTTGCGCCTGTGTCGACAGTCTGCAGAGCTAGAGTGTGCGCATGTCCAGCCAATATGCTGAGACGGGGCGTCGATGCTCACGCTAGCCTCAGGATGGCTATACAAGCTTCCATGAGCTTATGAAGGTTAGGGTGACAGAGAATACGTGGAAACCACTGCGACGGATTGCAGAATGTACCGGTAACCTACACACCTATTATGCGTTTTGCAAGGACTAACTCTCTTAATTTCTTACTAAACAACCGAATAGCAGTCACCGCAGTGGCAATAGGACATCAAACATTGCAAAACCTCGACCTGTCGTACGTAACATCATTCAAGGCACTCAACAGCACATCGCAAGCGCTTCAACGCATTGCTTGTCACACTTTGGGGTGTTGCTGGGGGAGCTCGGCGCAGTCTGGTCGCGCACGCCAAGCAAAGATGCTCGCCAACCGACAGCCTGCATGTTGCACTGGGATTGGGAGAAAATGCAATTATACCAACATGTACGCTAAATCGGTCAGAGGCTTCGCGTCGTTTAGCGGTCTAGGAACAGCAACCGACGTGGCTGCAGCCTCGTGGCCGGCAAGTTGTCGACGCTCGCCAAAGCATCAACAGTTCCAGAGAAAGCGCCTCGATGTTCATGCAACAGCTGAACAGGTGGGCTTCAGACCTTGCTGTCCAACTCCCCTGACCCAGGGGACCTTCAATCTGCGGTTTCTCATCGCGCTTTGTTTCCGCAGAGCTTCTACAACCACAACCACAGCAACAACAACAGCAGCACAAGCATCCCCGTGACCGACTACCTGCAGCCGGGGCCGCACTCCTCGCTGCAGTTGCCGCTCATCAGCTTCACGGTTGGCCAGGGCAAGACGGGCCCGCTGGAGTGCAGCCTGCGGGTCACCGTGCCGCAGGGTGAGGAGCCGGGCGTCCCCATGTCCAGACGACCCACATGCAGGGCTCATGACCGCGTACGACACTTACCGGTCACAACATGGTCACAGCGCCAGGCTCGTGGCTGGTTAACTGGACCGTACGGTTCCTTGCCATAAACACCAGTTATCCCATAACAGCCATAATACACAGGAGTTGCATGCCATGCCACGTACCTCCATCCGTCATCTCAGCCCCCGCCCCCTCCTGCCCTCAAATCCCCCTCCTCCCGCCAGCGGCTCCGCACGCCCCGTCGCCCCCCTCTGGCCGCTGGCCGCTGCTGCTGCTGTCCGCCGGCTTCCTGCTGCACAGCGGGCTGTACGGCTCGTACGGCAGGGAGCTGGCGTCGTGGGGGCTGGCGGTGGCGCTGTACGACATACCCGAGCTGCTGGATGACGTCACAATGGTCAACACGCTGGGGTGAGTCCGGTGTACGATGATACAGGAAGTTACAATACCAAAATGGCTTGTCAGGGGTGGCGTTACGGAGAGACAGGGTATGCGGACGTCACCATGCGACGGTTGGAGGCAATCAGGCAAATCAATGGCTGTGTCGTCAATCTCTCAACTTACCCAGAGTGCTAGCACTGCGGCGGACGTGGCTGGCTGCCCGTTCTTGCCGCCCTGTCGAGTAGAACCAAACCGCTGGACTCTTCTCCGCGAACCATTTACAGGTGCATTATCGACACATGCATGAACGACCCGCGGGTCGCTCCATACATAGACCCGCGTGTGGTGCTGCTGGCTGGCCACTCCCGGGGCGGCAAGCTGAGCGTGTTGGCGGCTGCGGGTGACCCACGGGTCAAGGGGGTGGCCCTGCTGGACCCGGTGGATGTGACCGCCATGACGCCCGCAGGTGGGTCTCATTGGGGCGTCGCATGCTACCTGGTAGAGAATCCGATAAGAATCCGATTATCCAGTAAGGTAGGATGCGGAGTGCACGCTGTCTCGTCAGGTCGCGCAGCGTGACCCACAGCGGCTCCGCCTGCACCCCGGTACGCCCCGCGCCCGTCTGCGCTCCCCACCGCCCCAGGCCCCGGCTACCCCTCCGCCCTGCCCGCCATGCGGATCGCCTGCAGCCCGCCCCGCCGCATGCCGGTGCTGGTGGTGGGGGCGGCGCGCAACACGGACGTCATTCCCGCGGACGCCAACTACAGGTGGGCTCGGGAAGCTCACCTACGCTCCAAGTACGGAGCCAAACCTCCCGAATCCATTCTAAAGCTACAAGGCCGGGAGTATTCCTCCACAGGCCTTCCTGTCCATACCTCAAGTATTCAACACTGATTAATGTTCATGTGCGAATCCTCGCTTGCTAACCCCCATCCTTGTTCCTGTCCCCGCCCTGCTGCTGCCGCTGCCCTGCCGTGCCCCCAGGCGCTTCGTGAGCAGCTGCCCGGGGCCCTGCTGGTCTCTGGAGCTGCTGGGGGCGGGGCACCTGCAGTTCCTGGATGCCAGGGTGCGACCCTGGGAGGGAGGGAGGGAGGGGGGGCATGGGGGAGGGAGGGAAGAGGGAGGAGGACTGGGCTGTGGGGATGACGGGTGCGAAGGCTGGGGGACGTGGCCATGTGCGGGACGGACTTCTGCAGCGCTGGCTCCCTCGTCTCACCCTCATCCTCACCCCGCTTTCCCCCCCGTGTGCGGGTTGGGTGGCGGCAGGTGGAGCTGCTGAGCATGTTCGTGGGGAGCGGCAGCACGCCGGATGAGGCGGTGCGGCGAGTCAGCCGGGCGGCCATGGCGGTGTGGGCGCGGGAGCTGGCGGTGCCCCTGGCGCGGGGGGAGCCGGTTGGGGGGCAGCAGGTGGGCGGGAGCGGGGCGGAGGGAGGGATATGAACGTATGATGCAGCCTAGGGTGGAGCCTTGTCACGCGGTTGGTCAGTTTCCTTCACTTCCTCGTTACCGGTGGTGACTCCCCTTCCCGGCCGCCAGGTGACGGAGCGGCTGCGGCAGGCCTCCGCCGCCCTGGAGCAGCTGGCCCCTCTGTCGTACTCGGTCAAGGGGTTTGACCACCTGGGAGCCCCGGGGAGCTTTACGTACGGCAGCAGTAGTAGAGGCGATGCTGGCAAGCGGACGAGCAGTAGCAGTGGCGGTGATCGTGATAGCAGCAGCAGTAGCAGCAAGGATGGAAGCAGCAGTAGCGAAAGTGGCAGCGGTGCAGGAGGCGGTGCAGCAGCGGCTGGGGCGCATGAGGAGGGGCGATCAGGCGCCACCGGATCCTCTTTTGCGGGACCGAGCGCCTCAGCTGCGGGTAAGTTCCTACCTAGGTGCCGTGTTCCCTGCGCCTGCCAGTTTTGGATGGGGGGCCTTTTGGTAGCACCTGATAGCATCGTATCTGTGGGCCCCACCAATACCGATATCTGCAGTGCTTACATTACCGGTAGCATAGCGCCGCACCTACCTTCGCTCTCCCCCGAGCTAACAGCGTCATCGCCACACCATCTTCTGTACTCCCGCTTTGTCGCAGCAGCTGGGGCCTCGGGCGCCGGCGGTGGCAGCCGGTTGGGAGGCTGGAGTCGCGAGCAGCTGCAGGGCATGCGGGCCCGGGAGCTGAAGGCCCTGCTGCAGGAGCGAGGGGTGGAGTGCTCGGATTGCTTTGAGAAGGAGGACTTGGTGAGGAGGATCCTGGAGAGGTGTTGAGGGGGCGCTGCGGAGCGGCTGGATAGAGAGTGTCGAGGAGAGCGGAGGGGTGGAGTAGAGGGGGACTTTGGGCTGACATGCCCCTGAGATGCGCATGGGAGGGGTAGTGTGGACAGTGGGACAAGTGAGAGCGGTGATGTTGCAGGTTTAGCTTCCGCATTATGACTTTATGAGAGTTCCGAGTTGCAGGAGGGAGAGAGGGGAGGGCCAGGGCACGCGTTAGTTATTACCGAAGCATTAAACATTTGGTTTTGAGTGCACGACACCACCCTGAGTTCTGAAAGCTCAGCGACGGGTGCAGTGTCGCAAGTATAACGTTGAGCATAGTGGCTTGCCTTAGCTATTAACACCAGCTGTCGTAACCGTTCCACATCTGGATGACGGCTTGGTAAGTAGGGCAGCCTGCATTGGGTGCAAAACCTCAACCTGGCCTGCCAACTGTGTGAAGGAAACTGGCCGCGAGTCTGTGTTCCATATAAGCAGTTGAAAGCCCAGCTTCATAACAATGCACATGCTGCTCCTGCGGTCTCTTAACCCTGTCATTATGCCTAGCCTGCGGATGTAACGCTTGATATCATGCCTACCTATGATCGTGCCTACCAACGAAAATACAGCAAAACAGTGTTCCCCAACGCCCCAAGCTCCTAACTCTCTCTCTGCGCTCCGACATTGTGAGCAATGCGCGCGCCGTACATACTGCGATAGTGGCCTCCTGCGCTCCTGCCTACGCCGGGATAAACTCAAACCCATTCCATCCCCAGCCTGCAAACCCGAAGCCCATTCCACTTCGAAACCCTTAGGTATCACATACACAGCCCCCAGCTTCCTGCACCGCGTCTAAGCCTGGTCACACGTCCTCGCTTGGTGGCCATGGGCGCCGAGCGGACCGCACGCTGCTACCCTCGCTGCCACGACTTGAGCAGCTCCTCTATCTGCTGGTTGCGCCTCGCCTGCGTCTTGGCGTCCTCCGCCTTCCACTCCTGCAGCATGCCCTCAGCCTGCTTGGCGAACTTGGCCTGCCGGTCCTTGGCCTGCTTGACCTCCTCCTTGAGCCCGTTGATCTGCGTCCCCAGGGAACAGGCGAGATAAAGGCGACATGGGTGGTTTCAAGGGGCAAGACGGCAAAAAACACGTACATGGACAACTTTGCAACAGTGGTGCGGGAAGCAGAGCACCCTACACTGGATAGGGTTGTTGCAAAGCCCGGCGTGCCCGTACCTTCTCGTCCCGCTCCTCCACTTGGGCCTGCAGCTTTTCCTTGTCCCGCTGCAACCCGTTGAGCTCGTTGGCGTCGCGGCCGCGCTCCTTCTCCACCTGCGCCGCAGCGCTCTTGGCGTTCTTGACCTCCGCCTGCAGCTGCGAGATGGTGGCCTGCAGCATGCAATGAAGGACACGGCAGCACATGGGGCAATTGGAGACGACATGCATGCTGGGTGAAGGCCGTGGCTGGACACAGGGGCGTGTCAATGGGTGCAATCAATGGGCACGTGAACATCGTCACACAACGGGCGTATGATGCGCGCATGGCAACGGCAACCCAACATTCGCCAACCTTCCCTACCCAGCGTGAGTAGTGTTTGTCCTTCCTAATCCAATGCATGTCCACTCCTCCCGTACACCCTAGTCCCAAGCGCGCCAACTCACGTCGCGGTCCTTGCACCTCAAATCCAGCTCCTGGTTCCGCGCTCGCAACCCTTCAATCTCCTTCAGCTGCTGCTGGTACTCCAGGCGGAGCGCCTTGTTGTTGCGAGCAGTGTCATCGCCCACGGGCACCGGCTCACGTGAGCGCTTCGTCGCGTTGCCGCCCGTGCAGTCCGCGCCGCCACCGGCCCCCTCGTTAGGCTTGCTGACGGAGGCGGGCGGCATTGGCGGCTTGCCAGCCGCGCCGTTAATGGAGGCCGGTTGGGTTCTCCGGCCTCGTGCTGAGGGCGGCGGTGCAGCCTGGGTGTCCATGGGATCTACCGCTGCTGCGTCCTCTGCTGCTGCGGCGGCGGCAGCAACTGCCCGTGTGCCGCGCCTGTGGGGTTGTCAGATGCGGTTAGGGGTATAGCACACGAACAGGTGGCGTGTTGCGCATAACTAGTGGTGGCTGAATGCCGCGGACATGCCCCAACAGTGACGACATCAAGCCAACGTTGGGAAGCCCTTTGCTAAAGGGTGGCGGTTTCTCTGCCGGTCCTTCCGTACCCCAACCAGACTCGCCTTGGTACCGGCTGCTTCGGCAACGTGCTCTTTGGCGCCGTCGCTGGCGCCTCGGCCTCCACCGCTTTCGCCTTGCGCGTGCCCCGGCGTTGCGGGCCCTGTGCCTGCGGCGGCTCCTGCTCCTGCTGTGCCGCGACCGAGGGCGCTGTGGCCCGGTCTGTGAGGTCCTCTGCATGCGTCTCGGACCTGTCGGCCACTGCGCCGGCTGCCGCCGCTGCCTTCTTGGCAGCACCCTGCTGCGTTGGGCGCTTGATGCCTGTCTTTGAGCCGCCGGGTATCCCCGATTTCTTGGTGGGGGCGGTCGTGGCCACCACGGTAGCAGTGGCGTCCACCATGTCGATATCTATCACCTCCCGCGGCTGCGGCTTCACCTCGCGCCGTTGGTCGTCCTCATTATCCGTGTCGTTGGTTTCTGCGAGGGTGTTGCACGATATGGTGGTGCTCGCATTTTGAACGGATGCTTGATCCTTCCGTCTGTGATCTCCGGAGCGTAAGAACGAACATAAGACGATGAAGGGTAAAACAGCCTGGGAACCGTTTACCTTCCAGGAAGAGGGGCGGCTCATACTTTGGGGCGGGCAGCTCGTCCACATCCATTGCTGGCAGCTCCTTCTCCAGCTTCTCGCCGTACGTCTGTGATAAGGGCAACATGGACGAGTGAACGTTGACATGCGTTTTAGGGCTAAGAGCGCTCTCCGCAAAGGCTAAGAGCGCTTTCAGCAACTGCCGTGAAGAGGACAGTAAAGTACAGCACCCTAAGACAAGGCGGATAACCATCTTGAGCATATACCTACTCCGGGGTTCCTGGGCAAAGACAGGTGGACTCACCCCGCCCCACTGCTTGTGCAGCTTCTCCCGCAGCGTAGGGCTCTTGTAGCGACGCTTCCCCTGTTTGGCATCCTCCGGGTCCCCGAGCTGCTCAACCATTTTGCCGAGCGCCATGTTCAGCCTCCATATGTCCTCTCCCGTGCGGGCCGCGCCCTGACTCAAGCTGTTACGCTGCGATGCTGGCTTCGAGGCGCGACCTGCAGCCGCCGGCTCTGCTACCGGCTGTTGCACCGCCGGTGGTTGCTCGTCTGCGTTGGGGCTCTCAGGTACGCTGAGGGGTTCCGATGCTTCCTGCTCTGGCGACTGCACCCGCTCAACATCTGGCTTGATGTTGACGACCGCAGCTTTCGATGCTGCAGCACCTGCCTGGCCGCGGCCCCTTGCCTGGCCTGCCGGCTTGGCCGCCGAAGCTGGGCATTTTCTTCGCGTCCTCTTTTCAGGAAGTTCAAAAGGGGCATCGTTGCTGTGCGGCGAGCTCGATCCAGAAGTTGCCCCGCACAAATCTTCTCCGCTGTTTTCCAAGCTGTCAGCAAGAGCATCCTCAGGAGGCGCAGGCAAGGGATCCTTAGCAGCTTCTAGTGCTTTAGCCTTCACTTTTGGTTGTTGGAATGTGTTGGCCTTGAGGCCTTTGACGACATTGCCGAGGAGGACCTTCATTTAGCCTACTAGCATACAACCCAGGCGCTTACGAATAACCAGGGCGGCACCAAAGGTTTACTGCCAGGTAGCAATGCAATCTGCAGTCTGCGATAGGGCGATCTGTAGTTTTAAACAAAAATCGGTTGCATATGGATCCAGAGGCGATTCCTGCCTTCCATAAAGCTCAGCAATATTGATAAATGTGTAGTGGACGATTTGGCGTATGTCTACTGCTATAGCAAAAGTTGGGTGTTCTAAAGGGGCTTGGCCTGACGCCGGAGGTACACCCGTACGCAAGATACGAAATTACGTTTTGTCAAGGTTGAGGCCTTACTTACATGTATATTTCCACTGCCTGTAGGTCGGGCACGCGCTACAAGGATTCGCATGCCTACTAATCTCCCCAAGGCCTGCAACCCCAGAAACGAAAAGTCGCCATTTGTTACTTTGTTACTGAAAGCGCAATTCCTAGAGTATATCGATAACTCATACGCGTTATCTAAACCCAGCGTTTGTCCTAACCGTTAGTCGTCCTCCTGGTAGTAACTAGCAGCCTACCTGAATAGCGTTAGCGCTTGGATTGGTCAGTGCTTCTATCTCGGTAGACAGGCCCGCGCCTTCAGCCTGAAGTGGGCTTCTGTTCTACAACGGCTGCAAACCATGACGGCGTCCCCCGCATCCCTGCTGCTGCTGTTAAGCAGTTACCTGACGCTTAGCACCGCCCAGGACGTATGTAACACATACGCCTGGGATTCACAAGCGTTGGGTGGATACTGCACCACGTCGGGCCAGGCAACATACCGTTCTCCAGCGTGCAGCATTTACCGCTTATGCCACGACGCAAGCTCCGGATTGGGTCCGCAGCTATGTGATACGGGCCGCGTATTTATCTCACTCTGTGCCGACAATCCTGACTTGCCTGAGTGCAAAACGTGAGTCGCGTCGTGCTATGCAAGTTGACGGATTGTCAGGGGCCGTCCCCAAGTCGCCAACAGCAGGCATGGCTAGCACCACATACGATAGAACGGCATTTGCGTCTACATAATAATACCTGGCATGATTAGGTCATGCACAAATTGCCGCCTGCACGAAGTGCCTATTCGCGCTCCTTGCCTCGTAGGCGTGCAATTCTGCAGCCCAATACTTCCTAACCTGCTATGGGTGCACTCCTCGCTTAACCAAACAATTTCCCTTCCTGTCCATCTGTCCTTTTCCGCCCTTTCCCCTTCATCACTCTACCGAGTCTATCCTGTTGTACCGCATGCTCGGATAACCCCAGCTCCAACCCACCTGCCTTTAACCCGTGCGCGCAGGTTCCAGCAAAGGTTCAATTCCTCCGCGGATTACCTCAGCTGCATGAACACCCGGGCGGTCAAGGTGTACAGCACCAGTGCCGCCGAGGCCTTCCTGGTCGACTCCTGCTCTCCAGGGCACCAGATGGCCGGCTGCAACCTGTGCAACGCCACCGCATGTGACACGCCGGACCCGCTGCGTGAGTGCCTTTTCTAGACTTTGACCAAGCATATGATTCGAGAGTGGGGTTTGGATCTCTATGACTTGTGCGCAGGTTCATGATATGGGTCACGCTTAGCTTCGTTCGCATAGGGCCCTAGAGGCAAGGCGTTGCCATCTCTAGTCAAACCACCCAAAAGACTCCTCACATCATCCGCCGGGTGTTTCCTCCTCACTACCCCATCGCCAGCCCCCTACCTCCCTTCCCATCATCCCTTCCCTCCTCCTCGCTCGCCCCCCCAGTCGCCTACTCCGCCGGCTGTCTCGACATGCTCATGTCCGGCTGCAAGCCCTGGATCTCCTTCTGCACCCAGGAGACACCCGCTCTAGCACAGGCGCTGTGCCTGGCTCCCCAGGGCCGCACCACCACCGCCACCTCGCCGCCACCCCCCGCCTCTTCCCTCTCCGTCAATGTCAGCGCCGATCCCTGTGTGTTGGACCCCACGCAGCCCGCCTGCGCCTCCTACACCTACCCCGACAGTGCGGCGCAGGCGGGCATCGACAAGCTGTGCGGCTCCATGCCTGATATGCCGGGCTGCGCGCTGCAGGCGGCATGCGGAAAGGTAGGGGGGCTGGATGGCATGGTGGGCGGATTGGCTGCATGGTTGGGCTATTAACCAATGCCGACAGGAGCTTTGGTACCCGCAACGCCCCCTGCTTTCCCTCCCTCGACTGCGCGTCTCCTTCGCAAGGGATCCTTCATCGCAGGTTACCGCTTATGGCTACTAACCCGGTCTTATGCGCTACCCTCATTGGGTGTTCTTCTCCCTCCCGCGCAGGGTCAGGGCCTGGTCGCCGCCAAGTACTGCGCGCCCTTCGTGGTGCTGGCCACGCTGTGCCACGACATGCCGGGCATGCGCGGCTGCGAGGACTACAAGGCGCTGTGCAACCGGGCCGGCAGCGTCGTCAAGCAGTGCAGCGACCAGCCGGCAGTGCCGGGGTGAGGGGGCTGGCGTGCATGGGGCGTGGGAGGTTGCTGATTGCGCGGGCTCTGTGGCTTCTGTGGGGGACATACGCATTGATGATCTGTGTAAAGCGTATCCTTCCAACTGCCGCCAATCCCCACATCTCCGCCTCCATCTCCTCCCGCCCCACCCTGCCCCCCCCCGCGCCCAGGCTGCCCACCTGGTCCCAGGCGCGCAAGGCCGTCTTCTCCGCCTGCGACGACCACCCCATGGCGGGCTGCGCCACCTGCTCCTCCTCCGACTGCCCCGACCCGCTGGCCTCGCTGGCGGACATCTGCCACGAAATGCCCAACATGGCGGTGTGCGCGGGCTTCTGGGCCTTTTGCAACGCGGCGGGCGCGCAGGACGTGGCGCAGTGGTGCGCGGAGGATGACAGCAAGTGAGCAGCACGGGGGGGAGGGGAAGGGGACGGCTGGCTTTTGCGGTCCGCTGAGCCCCGTCCTCCGGTTGCCATTTCACCCCTGAAGTTTGTTTGTGGTAATGTATACCCGTTATCTCTCAACATGTTCCACATGCTCCAGGCACGCCAAACCCGCCCGTTGTTGACCTTATCGACCGTCTGGGCTGCGCCGTCCCCGGGTGCTGAAATGCTGACCCTGGTGCCCCTGGCCATGCTGCCCCCCCCCCCCCCACCCGCCCGCCACCCCGACACCAGGTACCTTCCCTCCATGCTCATGTACTTCCACCAGCGGACCCAGGAGCTGCTGCTGTGGAGGCAGTGGCGCCCGCGGACGCAAGGTGCGGTTCTGCTGACCCATGGGTCATCGCTTTGACACATGCAATACCCAATAATGCCCCGGTCGCTACTGTTAGCCTGTGATAAGCCCCGCCCTTCACGGTCTCCGCTTGTATGTGTGGATGCGGTTGGGGCGTATTGCAACCACTCCCATGCATCGCGCCACATCACCTGGCCCTTGAACCTGCTGTCCCGGATCCTCCCGTACATCCACCCCTGTACGACAGGTCAGTACGTGGGTAGCATCATCGCCATTGTGGCCATGGGCATTGCGGCCACCGGTCTGAAGACGCTCAAGGGCGCTCTGGCGCTGCGTTGGAGCCACCTGCGCGCGCTGAGCGGCGAGGAGGAGCCGCAGGTGGTCAGCGTATGGCTGCCGCGGGGCGGACAGGCGGGGGAGATACTGGCCAAGTCGGCCATCACAGGTGGGTGGGTGGGTGGGTGGGTGGGTGGGTGCGGCGGAATGGTGCGCAGAGCGAGGCGTGCGTGGTGACCGTCGGAGGGAAGGAGGTGGGGGACTGGGAGGAGTGGAGCGGTAGCGAACAGAGGTGGCCGGTTGCTGCTGCGCTGCTGTGGATGCTTAGCCGGCCATGCAGGCGCACAGGCCGCCAACGGTCTATTCAGAGCTCTATACCTTTGCCAATTGCACCCTCTCCCAGCCCTCCGCACCCACATGCACCCAGGTCCCCGACCACTGCTGATTTCTTCGCTCCACTCCTTCCGTCCCACCACCCCTCCCTTCTAGCCCTCCCCTAAATCCCCACACTTGGTCTCATCTTAGCTACCCCCCCCCGGTATGGTCTTTGACCCCCCCCCTAGGCATCAGCCTCACGCTCGACTATTTCAACATGCTCATAGCCATGACCTTCAACGTGGGATTCTTCTGCGCCGTCATTGCGGGCTACATCGCGGGTACCCTGCTGTTCAGCCACGTGCTCGAGAACTACGGCGTGCTGCTCTACCAGCAGCGCCGCAAGCTGCAGGCGGCGGAGGTGGCGGCGCTGACGGGACGGGGCTCGCTGGGAGAGGCGCTGGAGACGGGGGCAGGCAAGGCGGGGTCGTTCAACTACGGGCGGCGGACGGGGGATGAGTCGTCGGAGGAGCAGTTTCGGGTTGCGGTGGCGGGTGAGGGGGAGTGCAACTGCGTGCACAGCGCGTAGGGAGGTGAGTTGGTGGGGGCGGCGGTAGTGGGGGGTGGTAGGGTGGGTAGGTTGAGGAGTGGTTGAGCGGCGGGTAGAGGTAGAGGACAGGAAACCCGGTGTTGTGGATGGTTGACGAGTGTGTATAACACATGAGACGAACAGGCGGGCAGGCTGACTGATTGACCATGCTTGCTGGAGACGCGGGGTTGGAGTGTTAAAGCGTGCTGTGGAGTGCCTTGCAAGTGGAGTGGGGTGTATTTCCGTGATGTATATGGGTTTTTTGGGGGGGGGGGGGCGGCCTGTTGGAAACCCGTCTTTGCCGTTTAACGCATGTTGGAAGCCGGTTTACGGCTACAACGAGGCATGTGGTAAGCATGTAAATTATAGTAGTGCGCGTTGTTGCTTGTACCTGCAGGACAGAGTGGCAGCGGTTGTGGTTGAAGTCCATTTTGAGGGGTCCTGGGGGCTTCCTCCGGTGGTGGTGGTCTGGTAAATGTCAAGGAGGGCCCACAGCCCCTGCGGAAATTGGAGCGGCTTTCAGTTGGTACACTTTACGTCGTTTAGTGCTTCCTCATGGAAACAGAACTGCTGAAATCCCTGGGATGTTTGACTGCCGACCCCTGCAATGGCGCTAGTGGTTGCCGATCGCCGATTTTGCTCTTCAGGCGTTTCGGGCCACATGGCGTTTGGGGCTCCCAGGACGCGATATGCAGTGCTGAGCGCTTGAGGCAACTTACCTTACGAGTAGGGACTCGATGGTTTTCGCGTTTTGGATGGCTGGGATGTGCGTTCCCTGTGTAACCGTGGACTGTGCTGATTAGACACATCGTACACAAAGTTTTGGAGCTGGATTGTGAAGTCGTCTGGAACATGTTTACAGCGTATAGAAAGCTATTTTCTGGGTTGTTAGTATCACATGAGTTGAAATTGGCTTTGTTTATCGGCATCCGTGGCTGGAAATTCTCTGGTCGTAACCTATACTTACAGTAGTCCAGTACCCTGCCTCTCAGAACATTGTGCGCCCACATCGCTTAGTTTATTCGCACTTCATAGTTATATCGCGTCTAACAGTTTAGTTTAGGAAAAAACCCTTGCCTTGCTCATACGCGTCCCTTGCATCGACCTCCAATAGCCTGCTAAAGCCTGCAACAGTCTGTGGTACTATTTATACAGCAAGGCAAGAAACTCCGGCTGCCATTACAACGATTAGGAGAAGAAATGCCGCTCTTACTGGTGCAGGGTACCCATCCTAACGCGCGCGATTGTCGTTGGACGAGGAGCTTCCATGACCGATGCACCGACCAGCCCTGCTCGTCAGACACAGGAGGCCGAAGCCACAAAGGTGGTGGTGATGGGCGAGGAGGTTGTGGCCAATGAAAAGGCCGCCTCCGCCATCAAGCCCATCAAGGATGAGTGCGAGGCGGACCTGGCGGTGGTGCTGCCGATGCTGAACAACGCGCTAAGGGTGGGGGCGGGGGTGCTACGAGGATTGCATAATAAGAATACCGTTAAACTAACGCACGAAAGAGCAGAGCATGTCAGATGCTATCATAACCCCTCGTGGGGAGGCCGATTACATGCCGTGTGAGGGCCCATGGAGGAAGGGGGGGTGCTTGTCAGATTGCTGTCCAACGCACCCTCCCAACTCAGTTTCTTTTGTTCCTTGCCACAACTTTGCCAGGCTCTGGACAGTTTGACGAAGGCTAATATTACGGAGATAAAGAACATGAAGAACCCACCCAGGGCGGTGAAGCTGGTGATGGAGGCGGTGTGCAAGATGCTCAGCATCAGGCCCAACAAGGTCAACGACCCAGCCAATCCAGCGCGCAAGGTCAACGATTACTGGGCACCATCAAAGGTAGGAAGGGGGAGAAGAGGGGAGAAAGGAAGAGGAGGAAGTTGTGGGGTGACACCTGGAGGAGAAATACAGTACCGGATGAAAAGTATTGTACGCATGCTCGAAGACTAGCAACGACTGGCTGGAAAGGAGGTCGGGAGAGCCCCAGGGATGGCTCGAGGCACGCCTCGTTTAGAGCGATCGCATACAGGGCACGCTTTGCAGCCCTCGGCAACGAAACCCCGCACCCCACGCTCACTTCTTTCCACCACCGCCTCCCTCCCAACCTCACAGGCCTTGCTGGCGGATCCCAAGTTTCTGGAAATGCTGATGAGGTACGACAAGGACAATATCCCGCCGTCCATCATCTCTGCCGTACAACCGTACATGGCGATGGACGAGTTTGACCCCAATGCGGTCCGCAAGGCCTCAGCCGCCGCTTACGGCCTGTGCTGCTGGGTACGAGCCATGGTAGAGTACGACAAGGCTGTAAAGGTACGACATGTCTCAGTACGACACGCTGTACGGCAAGTCTAAACTGTACTGTACGTCATCAGGACTTTGTTCTCAGGACTTGTACATAGCAGTCGTGTACATTGGTGATGGAGGTTCGTACATGCCAAGTGAGACGTGTGTTAAGAAAACGGGCCGCGAGTAGGAACTTACTGTGATTGTGATGCGTGTGTGGGGGGGCTGTCCTCTGTAACTGATTGCATTACCTCCTGTCCAGGTTGTTGCCCCCAAGAAAGCCAAGCTGGCGGAGGCGGAGGCGGCGTGCAGCGAACTGATGACGGCGGGTCCGAACGCCACGAAGGCAGAGGCGGAGGACAAGACGGCTGAGCTGCCGCAGGCACAGGACAGGCAGGCTGAGCTGCCGCAGGTGGCGGGGGACCCAGTGGCGCAGGTGGAGGGACTCAACAAGCAGCTCTGCTGCTCGTGCCCACTCGCAAACGGGTCTGACGGGAGCCCCCTGAAGGGGCGCTTCGTGGTGCCTGCTGAGGAGGTGCGGCAGCTGCTCGCCAGCAGCGGCAAGACGCTGGAGGAGCTCCTGCACTCGCTCATCACACCCGCGTCCAAGCTTGCATGGCCGCCGATATCGGGGTTCTGCGTCGGGTACGTGGGGGTTCGGGGGTTGCTGCAGGCGTGACCACGGCTTTCCCCCATCTCCGTATGTGGGGTATCTCCGTATACCGGTACCCCGCAGTTGCGAAATAGCGAATGCGCAATGCCTCCTGCACCCTCCCATGCATCCTAACGCCTTTCCCTCACTTGTGGTTTCCATTAGATTTGTTTGGATGGTTTCTCTTGGACCCGCCCATGCGCCCTCCCCCCTGCAGAGCGGTGGCCCTAGGCGGCTCGGGTAACGTGTACGTGGGAGTCAATGTGGAGTTCCCTGGGGCGCCGCTAAACAACTCGGTCAGTGGGACGCTGGAGGGTGGGTCGCTGGAACCGCTTGGAACCCTTGAGGGTCACGACCTGAGGAGGGGCGCAAGGCAGAGCCAGCAAGGCAGATCCAGTGCTGGAAACCCAACAAGGAATGTGATGTAGGGTTGCTGGTTGTGCGGCAGTCGCTGGGGCCGCAGGAGCTACAGCCCATGTCCCCTTATCGCACCACCACACAGTCCCGCATGCAACCCGCATGCCTGCATACCTCCCTCCCTCCTCCTTGCAACCTCCTTGCAACCTCCTTGCACCCTCCTTGCAACCCCCTGCTCCCTGATCCTCCCTCCTTGCAGATTCACGCGGAGCAGTGTCTGCTGGTGAGCTGCCTGCGGCGAGGGGAGACCTGCATCCGCGCACTGGCAGTGTCCTCGGCGCCGTGCGGGCACTGCAGGTGCGGGGTGGGGTGGGGTGAAAAATTATATAAGAAATGCAAACAACTAAAGTCCCAATCCCATATCCCGACTCATGGGTGGGGTGGGGTGGACGGCGGCGGGGCGGAGAGCGGCACGCATGCATGCCAGGCCGTACCTTGCCATAGCCATGTCATGTCATGTCAGCCATGCGTGGAACGTAGAAGCGAGGTGCCGCTTGTGTGGCGGGTTGCGTCCCATAGAAGCACGTTGTTTTGCGCATTGGTGAGCACTGCGGGGGTCAGCGCCGTCGGGATGGCACTGATCACAACCGCACGCTCTCTCCCTTCCTGTTCTTCCTCCTCGTGTCTCGCCCACCTCGCATCACCTGCCCTTCTGCACCCCGCCCCCTCCCCGCCCCCAGGCAGTTCTATGCGGAGGTGAAGGACGTGGTGAGGCGGTCGCTTGGAGGGGCGGGGGCGGGCAGGGCGGGGATGGGCCATTGCTGCCGTCTGCGTGTCTGTGCGCTGCCGAGTGCTCCCGTACCCCTACGATCAGTCCCTGCGATCCCGGGTGTTCACTGTTGTGAGCACTGTTTGTGTTCACGTGGCCATGGGGTACTTTTACCTTCGTATCCCACCTTCGCATACTCTACTTCTTGCGTACTCCTGTACGGCACACATGGCACTGGCCCCGGCACGACATATACCGATGTACGACGTGTTTTCCTTAGCCCCATTTTTCGTCATGCAGCTCCCGCACACGCCCGCACCCACCCCCACAGTACCTTCCCACTCGCGGCCGGTTTCCTTAACCCACCCACCCTCACCCACACCCACCCACCCACCAGGACTCCCTGGAGTTCATCTTCGGCTCGGACGCGCAGCCCAAGTACCTTGGGGACCTGCTGCCTGAGCGCTTCGGACCCGCAGACCTGCAGGTGGGGGCGGGCGGGGCGAAGGGGTGGGTGCTCCTCATCATCATTATGCGAGGACGCGCATACGGCCCTCCTCCCCGCTCTGTCAGCCTCCCCCTCTCCCACCCCTACACCTCCCTGGTGCCCCCGATGCTCCTACCACTGCTCCACCCGCCCGCAGTCTGAGCCCTTCCCGCTGCTCCTAGAGCGTCAGAGCCACAACGTGGTCTGGCAGGCGGATGCAGAGGCGCAGCTGGCGGCGCGGGGCGGCGAGGAGGCCTTCCAGCGGGCAGCGGAGGCGGCGCTGCGGGAGACACGGCAGGTGGGGCGGCACAGGGGGCCGGGGGTGTAGGCACTCCCCGGCTTGTGTTGCACCGGCAGCATTTGTGTCTGCATGCCTGCATGCCCGCTTGCATCTGCAAACCTCCCTTCCCGTACTGTACAGTATTTGTACCTGCCTCGGCTGTCGCCTCCAACTCCACCTGCCCGCGTCTGCCGTCTTGCAGTGCTACGCGCCCTACACGCGCTGCCACTCGGGTGCCTCGCTCATCACGGCGGGCGGGCGGGTGTTTGCGGGAGGCTACATCGAGAGCGCCGCATACAACCCCTCGCTGTCGCCCTTCCACTGCGCCGTGGTGGATGCAATCACCAGCTACGGGATAACGGCGTACGACCAGGTAGGGTATACGATTGATGAACATACAACCAGAGAAACGAACACACGATAATCAGAGGTAACGTTACCATCGTCACCCCCCACATGCTGACGCCTTATCACACGGTCAGTTTGTTGTTTCCTCTTTACCCCACCTGCTCCCCTCCCCCGCTCCTGCTGCCGTGCAGATCGCAGAGGTGGTGTTGGCTGAGCGGCCGGGTGCCCCGGTGCAACATGCAGCCAACATACGACTGTTGCTGGCGGCAGTGGCACCCGCGGCGCGACTGACGGTGCTGCCGTTGGCGTGAGAGGGGGGAAAAGAGGAAACAACTAACTGACCGCTGGCGCGAGGCGGGGAGGGAGGGCGCTGCGTGTGGCACAAACGTTGTAATGTGTTCGGGTGGGGAGCTGGCGGCATTCGCTAGTAGTGGTAGTAGTGCGATAGCGGAGCGGTAGGTAGCGGGATGAAAAGAGATGAGTGTGTTCAAGTGTCTGTGGGGAAGGGGCCTTGTGAGAACGATGATGACGACATGCTGCCTGCTCGTGACGCCCGTACGAGCCAGGAAGCTCATGGACCGCTGCAAAAGCCGAACGCATAAAGAGCGTGTTACCGTGTGCCGTTCCGTGTGCTGCACGATGTGTACTGAACGTGAGGGGTTGGTGCGAACGCCTTCTGTGTGGAACTGGCCTTCTGTGATTGTGGCCTTCTGTGTGTTAAGAAAACTGGCCGCGGCCAGTGTGTTCTGTGTGTGTGTATACCTAAGAGCCGGCGGCCGTGAGCCTCGCTGCGGTGCCGAGCGCGTGGAACGGAGGTGGTGAGGTTTCGGCTGTGGTCAAGTAACAGGGTGGTGCGAAACCTTAGCGGAGCGTTGATGGGATGGGTGGGCGGATTGATGTGTGCTGTGCGCATGACTTGGCAGAGCGTGGCGCCTTGCTGCGGCATCCTAGCACATCCTCAAGATCAGCATCAACATGGTCCGTAGAAGCACGCATCTTCTAAAACACGCCTTCTGTGCACGAACGCGATGCCTTGGCAAGCAAGTAATGCAGGCAGGGGCTACCCGGCAACCCAAAGGTGGCGTCAGCTTTCCCAAATCTGGAAAAGGGCGGAGCCCCTTGGTGAGGAGGGGAAAGTGAACACTGGAATGGGAGGGCAGTAGTACAGCTGCTGGCAACACCGGTTCCAAGCACGTGCCCAGGCCTGAATCCTGCAACGCATGGAAACTGCTTTGTCGATGTATCCCGACTTCGCTTAGCTGAAGGTACCGCCAATCCCAGGCCTCCTTGCGAGCAAAGACTAAGATTGTAGTCATGCACGGTCGTCCCACTGACACATAAGTGATAGCACCGAAACGTCAAGGGTTTTGATTAGTAGACTTCCGCTAAACAAGCTTGATATAGCTTTTTCGCGGCATGTACGGCAGGAAGTTAGTCCTGGATCGAACGCAACTGCCTCCACAAAGAACGCGGTCGACGGTGATTCTACTTGTGTGGATCATGCACGTACGTGCGTGCCGCTGCGTCGGCTGCCTAAAATTTGTTGTCAAAATCTCGCGAATGCAACTTCAACCAAGGAAAACCACCAGGGACTTGTACGCATGTTAAGCGCTAGTCCGAATGTATATAAGGCCATCTTGGCAAGAGAGCTAGGTGGGCGTCGGCCGGGCACCGCGGTAGGTTTGGCTTTTTGCGACGTCTGGTTGCCTGTGCGCGATGGTGAAGTGCGTGGCTTGGATCGACTGTAACACGCTTCACGCTATCGACCCGATCATTAAGGCTTTCGCTTTGTGCACCATGTTGCTGTAAATTGCGTGGTTTGGCGCCGTCCACCTCTGTGTGGCTGTTCTTGCGGCTGGCACTCGTCGACGTGCTCACCACCTGTTAAATGCGCTGCAGACGGTCAACAGCCGGAGGTTGTACCAGTTCATATGTCCAAATCATAAGGTGTGTTAGCGCTTAGCTTGCGACTTTGCTTCGGGCTTTCGTCGTAACATGGGGCGTTGCGATTACTACGACTCCCACCCCCAGGTCCAGCATCTTGAGGCCCCGGAGGTCCATATATGTCGTTTTTCACCATGTGGACAATACCTGGTAAGACAATTACAGCGACAACCAGTTGGCTGGCCCGCGCAACCCATTCCATGGGCATGCATCGCAAGCCGCTGCAGGATCAACCGTGCCTGCGCTGGCTTGACGGAGTCAGGCATTGTGAAAATCCCCGCTGTAATTGGCTACCACCAACTTGATTACTCGCCGTAGACCTAAGTCCTTAACCGTGTCGCTCCATGAACCTGCCGGCTGCCGGCAGACAACATGCAGGGACTGCTATCCTGGCTCTCAGTTGTCGGGAAGGCTAGAAACCCATGTAGCAAGTTTCAGTTACATATTCCAGCCTTTTCCCTTGGCCGCTTGCCTAAATATCCCACCATATAAGTCCATGATCCGCCCGGCCTCCTCACCAGATCTGCTTTGCGGGCGGCTTCACGCAGCTGGCGGTGTACCGCTTCACTGGGCCGCGCGTCAGCTGGCAGGGGGAGCGAGAGGAGGCGGAGTTGGCGGCGCTGCTGGACCGCTTCGAATGGTGGGTGCAACGGCTGTGGTAATCTGGTAACTAAAGACTCTGCAGAGAAAACGACGAGGATCATTACGCCACGGATTTCGCGAGGGCCTATGGCAAGGACTCAGTCATTACGGCCACACATTGGAAGACACCATCCTCGCAAACTCCCACACTACCATTCAGCCTCTGCCTCTCACTCCCCTTTCTGCCTGTCACCCCCGCCCCTCCCCGCCCCCACCGCTCCAGCTTCTTCTCGCTCCTCTACCGAGTGCCCCTGGCGCCCGCGGGTGAGGTGCTGGCTCGCGACGTGGTCCTCTTCCTGGGCGGCGGCAGCCTGCTGCTGCTGGCCTCGCACTCGCCCCTGGCGCCGCCGCAACAACACCAGCCGGGGCAGCAGCAGCAGCACCACCAGCCACAGGCGGGGCTGCAGCAGCAGCAGCAACACCAGCAGCAGGGGGGTGTGCTGCAGCAGCAGCAGCCCCTGCTACCGCACCACCAGCACCAGCAGCAGCAGGCGGGTGGCGGTGCGGGAGACCCGCTGCATGCGCTGCCGGTGGCGGAATCCACCCAGCTACATGTGGTGGGTGCTGGGTGGGGTTCAGGTCGCGTCAGCACTGGGACCGTGCTACGCCTGTGTCGCATTCCCGCCCCTTGTCGCTGCAAGCGGAAGTCCTGCCCGCGGACTGCTTCCACCGCTAGTAGCTGGGAACATGGATGCCCTGCCCGTTACCTGGGTGCTTCCCCACCCCCCTTGCAGCATTGCCACCCGGCCCTGCTGCCTGCTGCCCTCTTAATGCCTCCTGTCACAAGCGAAGTTCCCCCTCCTCACCTGCTCCCTCCCTCCCGCCCAGGTCCGTCTGAGCGACGGAGTGCGGCTGAGCGGATTCCGGTTCGAGGGGGAGCTGGTGGAGCTGGGCGGGCGGGGGGCGGCAGCGGGCGGGGGCGGCGGGCTGGGGGTCAGCGCGCATGAGGACCTCGTGGCGGTGCTGGCGGTGGGTGAGGGGGCGATGGGTTGGGGGGCGGCCAGCAGGAGGGGCCAGCAAAAGGTGGACTGGGGTCCGCTGGGGTAGCAGGAAACCGGTGCACTGCGGCACTGGCTGGGTGGTAGGGCTGTTGGGAGCGGCTCGGGCATGCAGCCGTCCTTCTGTGCAGCTGTCCAACGCCATCCGATGCGCCCCTCCTGTCAGCTGCACCCCTGCTACTGCTGCTGCATCCCTCAATCCCCTCTGCTCCCCTTCCGCCCCCCTCAGGTTCGCAGCCAGGTGATCCACCTGCTTCAGGTGCTGCGGGGCGGGGAGGAGCTGGTGCCGGTGCGCGCGCTGGGGCCGCATGTGCGGGAGGACGACGAGCTGGTGCTGCGGACGGCGGCGCGCGCGGAGGAGCGGTGGCGCAGTAGTAGTAGCAGGGCGGGGCGGGAGGCAGCGGGAGGGGAGGGAGGTGCGGGCGGGGTGCCGCCGCCGCCACCGGCGCTGCGTCGCAGTGTTACAGGAGGCTTGGTGAGGAGTGAGGAGTTGCAGGGGACGGAGGCAGCAGCGGCAACGGCGCCGTCTGCTGCCGCCCTGCCCGCACCCATTGCCGTACTTTACCCCCCACCAGAGCCGTACCAGCCGTATCAACACACCCATGTGCAACAGCAGCAGCAGTACCAGCAGCAACACCCCGCCAGCGGCAGCATCCTCCCTGCTGCTAGTACGGCGACAACGACGCCGGCAGAGGACCTGGCGGCGGCGGCGGCGCAGCAGGCGGCTGTACGGCAGCAAGCGAGGCGACTGCAGTACGAACAGCTGGCGGCGCAGGGGGGGCCGACGCAGCCGCCGCCGCCGCTGCAGCGCAGTGCGCAAGGGGGCGGCGTGCGGCCGAGGGGAGGGCTGCAGGGGGGGTTGAGAGCTGCTGCGCGTTATGGGTCGGGGATGGGAGCGGAGCAGCAGGGAAGGGCGGATGAGGGTCCAGTGGGCGGTTTCGGAGCTGCTTCTTCCGGGCAGCTGGGCAGTCATAATGGAGGTTCTCGAGCTGCTGCTGCGGATGCTGCGGGTGGTTCTACCATGCAGTCAGCCAATCGCCCGCACCCGCAACCACCGCAGCAGCCGCAGCCCCAGCGACCACCCCCACCGCCGCTGCCGTCAGAGGCGCCCTACTGGCAGCACCACCAAGCAGCCAACAACACGCACGCTCGCGCCCACAGCCGGCCTCATCAGCTTTCTCGCCCTTCACATCCTCCCCTGCACTCCCTCCACCACAACCCGCAACGACACTCCTTAGAAGCCCCAGGAGGCCACGTGCCGGGGCAGCTGTTTTCGCAGCAGCAACAGCAACAACGGCAACACCAGCAGCAGCAGCTAGCGGCACATCCCGCGGCTCCCGGTGGCATCTTCCACGCCGGCATGGCGCCTGACGGAGCCCCTGACGGCGACGGCAGCTTCATAACTGGCATCAAGCAGCGGTTGCTGGCGTATCTGTACGGCAACTGCCTCCGCCTGCACGCCAACAACCCCCGGCGGCGGCAGCGCGAGGCGTTGACGCTGTTTCGTCACATCGAAACCTACCGCTCGCTTATCATGCGTAAGGTGCGCGGACGGCCTGGCGGGCGGGCGGGCGGGCGGGCGGCTTTGCCTCGGGAGGGACATGTTGCGGTGCTGGCTAGTCCTGGCCCCCTCGACATCTGGCCTCCCCTTGGCCCCGCATATTTCGCAGGGCTCCCTACCCTAACCCCTCCCCGTTCACCATCATCCTCTCCTTCCTGCCGCTCTGCTGCCAATAACACTGCTGCTGCTGCCACTGGTTCCGCTCTGCTGCCAATAACACTCCTGATGCTTCCACTGATTCCGCTGCTGCTGCTGCCACTGATTCCGCTGCGGCTGCTGCCGCTGCCCGTCATCCGCCCCCGCAGGTGTACCTGCTGGACCGCAGCCGGCTGCTGATCGACATGCGCACTCCCGCAGGGGCGGAGCTGGGGCCGGGCCAGCTGGGGCAGCTGGGGGCGGTGCCGGCGGGCGGCGGTCCGGGGCTGCCCCCCTCGCAGTTCTTCCTGCTGTTCGACATGCACTCCACACGCGTGCTGGGATTTAAAGCCGGTGGGTGCGGGGGACGCAAAAGCTGAATTCGGGTTACCCGCACGTTCTGCTAGCCTATCTTTTTGTTAGCCTGTCTTTGAGACGGATGAAGCTTCTGGTCAGTAATGGTCAATCATCCGGCTCCCGGCGTGATACCGGTACCCGTATACGTCCAGGGTCCTCCCTCGCTCCTCCCAGCTGCTCACACCTCCCTCCTCCCTGCCACTCCCACTGCAGGCAGCGCAGACCGGGTGCTGCAGCGCTACCTGGCTGAGGCGACCTCCGCAGCAGTGGCGCCCTGGGCCGAGTCGCTGCCGCCCTGGGACAGGTGGGGGGGGGTGCCGTACCGCGAGTACGGCAGCAGAAGCCGCTGCTCTGCAGTACTGTGGGAGGAGGCAACACAAGCCGCCACACGCCTTGCCGATCTGGGAGATAACGTCCGAGTGGATTGAAATTTGCGTGCGCGTGTTCCTGATCACACAATAGGCGTCGCACATGCATCGTATTCGCACTGTCAGACTTACACTGACACATGCGTCACCGCTCACCCGCCTATCGCAGGTTCACGTACGACAACGCGCTCGCAGCCGTACGAGCCAAGCCCCCGAGGCCCCAAGCCGGCAGCGGTGCTGGCGGCGGCAGCAGCAGCGCAGCAGCCCTAGGGCCCGGCGGCGGCGGAGGAGGAGGAGCTTTTGCTGATGCAGGCAACGCCATGGCGTCCTCACACCACACCGCGGCGGCTACAGCTGCCGACCGAGCGGTCTCCGCATGCAAGCTGATGCAGCTGCTGCCGCCCGTTAGCGGCAGCTACGGCCTGAGCGCTAGTCCCTACCTCGACTCTTCGCTGTACATGTACGACGAAAGGGTGGTTTCACCGTACATCCGTACACGCCCGTGCCTGGAGCAGCCCGTTTCATTTAGGCCTCGGAACAGGCCAGATCGAACGGGGTTTCGGTTGGAACCGGGGCCTTATGAGGCCATGGTTGTACGGGACAGGCGATTGGCGCGTAGCGTGACGTACCTTTTTCACCCGGAGGTGCCTTTTGTGATGGCGGTGTTTGGGGTGTTCCAACAGAACTCAATCAACATAAACTTTCGAATTTAACAGGTCGTTTGAATTCAACTGCCGTACATGTTCGCATGTGATATGGCATAGTCTGCATGTGCTTTTTTATGATGCCCTTGATGAAACATCAACAAGGGACATGAACCAGCGACTAATACTAACCAGACGGCAATAAGCTGCTGAGGGGTCTAGCAGGGTTCGGTGCAGGTATAGGTGCGCTGGTGGCTTTCCGGTTCTTACGGCAGGCGGTCACAACATGATCTTTACAACGCGCGGTTGCTTTAAAATCGAAGATTTGTAATCCGATGATGTTGTGCCAGTGGTATTCAGGCCCGGTACGTCTGTGGAGGTTTTGCCGCGCCGCCGCCCCGGAAGGCCTTGCCTGCATGGTGCATGGTGGCTTGCCTGCAAGATGCTGCCGGGCACTCGCGCCAGGGAACCTAGGCAAAGCAGCCCCAGGCAAGGTACCGTTGCCTTCGCCGCCCTCCCAAGCAAGCTAAAATACATAAGCACTCAAGTGCTTCAACAACAATACCGGTACATCAACACGAGAACACCATGCGTCACCAGTTTCTGTGTCCTAGCCAGGAAAGCAGCGACGTCGTCACCCCGCCCGCTCTCTAAGGCGAGGTTGGCCCTGCAAGCTGCAACCATATCCCTTTCAACTACCGGTACCCTTACAAACTACCCAGCCAACTACGTCAACCGCTCCTCTCCTCCCCTTTCGCCTCTCTGCCCTCTTATCCTTGCTCTCGCGTTCTACGTGACTGACCGTTTCGAACCGGGAATCTACCCAACCAGGCACCCGTACGAGCCAGACACACTACCCGATGAGGCGCTTCGCAAGCAGCTTCACCTTGCGGTCGAAATCGCGGCTGGTGATGCGGGTGGTGGGCGTGTGGAAGGGGTTCAACAGCACCTGGGCGGGGGTGGGGAGGGGCGGGAAGAACACCCAGTGTGTTGAATGATAGTGGCAAACAGGAGAAGGAAGGGGCAGAGGGGTGAGGAGGGAGAGGCGCGCTGCGTGTCAAAACACGCCTGGTGAGGACTGAGGAGAGGCCGTCAAAAGTAGGTAATGGTAGCCTCCTTGGAACCCTTGAGGAGCACGATGCCTGACCCTGAGTTTCCGAACTCCTTGCTGACTCTCTCCCTCCTACACCCTGCCCAATCTCCCTGTCTCCTCTCCCGCAGAGTCCCGCCCTACGGCCCCTGCCCCTCACCCCCGCCCCCACCCATCTGCCCACCCGCCCCTACCCGCAGGTAGAGCTCGTACACCTCATTGAAGAAGGAACGCAGTGCGTCATCGCTGCGGCCGTCGTGCAGCATGAGGAAGCGCGTGTTGCCGGCGGTCACGAAGGCGGTTACGTTCAGGCCGTTGAAACGGTCAACCACCTGTGCGTGCCGGGAGGGTTTGGGTGAGGAGTGTTACCTCTGCCGCTGCCTCCAAACCCAACCCAGCCCCCCTTGCCCCTAGCACGTGTTGCCGCTGCCGCTGCCATTGCCCCCAGACCCAACCCAACCCAACCCATATCAAGCACAGCACAGCCCTCCCTCCCCCTTGCCTTTTGGTACGTTCTTTTATTCTTTCGGCTAGACTATTTCGGGTAAGGTGGATTGGACCGGCTGCACCCCATGGTGAAGCCTTGTCATACAGCTCGTCAGTTGCATCGTCAGTGCCTCATTATTTTTCACCTCCCCCTTGCCCCCATCCCCCCAGGGTGTGTCGTGGCACCTCTGCCGCCTCCTCTCCCAACTTTCCCTTACTTGCGGACTGGGTTTTCCTCCTACCCCCCAGGTCCCAGGTCCCAGTCCCCACCTTGAGGTGCGGCTCCCTGCTGAGCCACATCTGCTCGTCCACCGCATCCAGCGAGGAGTGCAGTACGAACTGGTGCAGGTACTGGGTCTGTTGCTGCGGGCCGGTTGGTGCGGTGCACGTGGTGGGGGACGAGTAGGAGTGCAGTGCGAGGGCAGCCATGAGGGCAGCTAGGTGAGGCCTCCAGAGAAGGGAGGCACCCTAGATTCCATCCAGCGTCTGCTCCCCTCACCTCCTTTGGGCCAGTAAGGTCAACCTCATAGATTGGGTGATCTTCTTGGCCAACAATAACAAAGGTTAGAGTCGGAACAGACATGCTCGCGCGTACAAGGCAACGAAACGGCTTTAGGTGGGTCTCATCCTCAAAAACGTCTTAGGAGATACCGCTTACTGGGCGATATTACAATAACTTAGCGTATCGTGATCTTTTGTCCTGCTTTTACTAAGAAAATATAGCTACTAGCGAGGTGCAACCATGGGGTCCACGCCGCGCATAGCGCGAGGCCGTACAAGTAGTTTGCTAAGAATACGCATGGACAACCTTCGTCGCCGAAGGCGAAGGGCTTTAACAGTAGTCGCGATAAGGAATTTCCATCACTCGCTTTATTACTAGCTCTTCCTTTGTTACTGGAAATCTGTGCCAGCATCTTCACTGTTTGGCCTGCGCACTTCCTGAGTGGCCCTAGTGTATAAGTTAGCAGAGGCGAACCTTTTTTAAAGAAGCTGGGCGCTAGATAAGCCACTTGGCAGGAGCCGGGCGGCTGCGCAGCCCGAAGCGGTCTTCTTGAGGGTCTAGCAGCCATGATTATCCCCGTGCGCTGCTTTACGTGCGGAAAGGTATATTCCCTTGGGAGCCCCTAGCCAGGGGGCAGCATGACGTTGCTCATCCCGTTGCCGTGCCCAGCATGACGTTGCCCGCACCGTTGCTTTCGCTGAAGGTTATCGGCAACAAGTGGGATACATATTTGGACCTGCTTCAAGCTGGATACAGCGAACAGTGAGTTGCCCGCGGGCAAACCAGCCCTGGCAAGGGGCTTTGGGGTTTGGGTTACAGGGTCTGAGCTGGGTTGGCGGCTTAGTTTCGCCGCTGCTTAAGATTCTATCCTATAGCAGACCCCCATCCCAATCCCCATGTATAGCAGCGTCCTCCTGACACTACAGGATATTTGCGCATGCAGGGAAGCGCTAGATGGCCTCGGCCTGAGCAGGTACTGCTGCCGACGCATGCTCATGACGCACGTGGACCTTATAGAGAAGCTTCTAAACTACAACACCCTCGAGCGAGCAGCGCAGCACCAGCAGCGGCCTGGACAGTAGGGGGCCTTGGAGGCATTTGCGGCGGTGCATGGGGGGTTGTAAAGGGCAAGTTAGTAGGATGCTCTTGATGCTGCACAGGAGGCGTCGGCAAAGACTGTTAGGAATGGTTAGCGACACGTCAATGCGACGTAAATTGGAGGACCGGGGTTCGCTTGGTGGAGCTGGCAGGTTGCAGGTGGACGGGGAAGGGGTTCCTGAACATTTGGGATAGGAATGTGGTGGAGGTTCAGCTGGAAGCATAGAAGATGCCGGGCGCTTGCTAGTCCATAATGGCGGTGAAGACTTTTATGCACCATACCGGAACGTTGTTGCCGCGTCGACTGTTGGAACCGATTCGGTTTTGGATGTTTGGATGGGTCTTCCAGCGTGCTGGCACGTCCGGCATGAGCTTGCCGATGTTCAGGCTCGTGGGCTATTGCGCTTTTACGGCACGAGGGGGTGGATAGCTGTGCTTCGTGTTGTAGGTGTCAACTGCTGTAGCCTGTCGTGGCAACTGTATGCGCTGTGCCTATTGTATGCTACATAGCATACAGCTAGTAAACTAGTTCACAAACAGCACAGACCCGCCGACGAGGCCTTTGCACGCGACCCGTCGCGACGCCTGATAGACGTACTTCAACCGTTGATCGGCCTTGTATGTGACCGATAACTGGCACAGCTTAGAGAGTAACCAGACAAGTGTAATGTATCGTTGTGTAATTGATGAGCCCTGCGTCCGACTATGACTCCGGCACGTGGTTGATATACGGCACAGTCACTAGCTCCGCTCTGTGGTCACGAAATGGCGAAATGCTGGCCGACAGATACTCAATTACACGAAAGGGAGGTTATGCAATTCGCGCTGCGAACCTCCGCCGCCGTAGGAATGCCTCGTCGTACTATAATTGAGGAGCACCTGTGACTAGTCCAAATCGCGTGCATTGCCAAGAAGCAATTTCAACGTTATACAGGGTCATCAAGCATACGTTTAAATATACAATTACTGACACTTTTGTTATTTGTGTTCCATTCCAGACCGCAACTAGACTTTGCGCCTCTGCGCATCAACTCCGATGAAGCCTCGTCTAGGAAGTGTACTCTTTACGTGAGGCAGAACTGGAGCGAGCGCCTCTTCTCGAAGTGGAGGTTGAAACTGGTGTCAGCGCACTTTGACCACCGAAGTCCTTTCTAGAGCAGTTGGTGTAGCCTGCACTTGCGGAGTCTATACGGGCGTGGTACGTTGCTGGATGCGCTCGGCACGCCTCGAGGTGGCTTCAACTTCGGCTGTTACCCTCTGTGGCGCAGAGACAATATGGGCAACCTGTGTTCTTGCGTTGGAGATGCCCAACAAAATGCTAGCAGCCCAGCGGCTGTGGCGACTGGCTCTCCGCCCAGTAAGCCTCCGCCCCGCAAGGAGCCAGGGCCAATGGACATAATAGAGCAGGCCTTGGAGGAAGCAAAGCGAGAGCTTGAGAAGAATCGCGGGCACGACTTTAACGATAAATATAAAGTCAGCAAGCTGGTTGGCCACGGGGCTTTTGCAAAGGTATGATGGCTCGGTGGCCGCGTGGGCAACGACAACAGCGAACGGCTCAATTAATGGTATGGCCATTTACAACGTTCTTCTGGGGCGTAACAGGTGATGATTTGCTCTCACAAAGACACGCACGAGAAGTACGCCGTGAAGACGGTGCAAAAGAACGCGGAGGACCCCGGCAAGCAGCGGGAAGGTGGGGTTGATATGTTTAATGGATGTACGTTAAACGCTGCCAAACCTCTGACATGCGAGTGGTCTTTGGAGCAGGCATCCTCAAGGAGATAGCAATTATGCGCCTTCTTTGCGACCACCCCAATACTATTAAGCTGTATGAAGTGTTCGAGGACAAGGAGAGCTACCACCTCATCCTGGAGCTGTGCAGCGGTGGTGAGCTGTTTGACCAGATTATCGCCAAGGTACGTGTCTGGTGGGTCATAGCCGCTGGGCTGTTATGTTCCTGAGTGGTCTTGCCCCCGCCCCTGCTCCCCACAGGGTCACTTCAGCGAAAAGGACGCGGCGGAGAAAATGCACTGCCTCTTAGATTTTATCAACTACGCACACTCTAAGAACATTATACACCGTGATCTGAAGCCAGAAAACATCCTGCTGTCGGATAAGACACCACACGCGGTGCTGAAAGTTATTGACTTCGGCACCAGTGACTTCTGCCTGGATGGCCAACGGCTTAGTCAGAAGTTTGGGACGCCGTACTACGTTGCCCCGGAGGTGGGTGGGTCTGGGTCCGGGATATGCCTACGTGGACGGATGTGTGTGGCGACCCGACGGGTGGGTATCACGGCAGCGGTGAACACCATTGTTGCTTGCCATATCCGCACTCCCGTATCCCGGACAACTCACGATCTCATTTGGCCTTGCAGGTTCTTAAGAAGGACTACGACAAATCAGCGGACATCTGGAGCGCCGGGGTCATCATGTTCATCCTGCTGTGCGGCTATCCGCCCTTCGGGGGCAAGACGGACGCTAAGATCTTGCAGCGCGTACAAGCAGGTGAGGTCCGCGCCATGAGATACCAAGCGCCACCCACCTTCAACTTCTGTAACGCTTCCGCATGCATGGTGTCATGAAGGGAGGCAGCCCGAACTGCTCGGCTAAACCGGTTGTCCTGTTCGGCAAGCTGGTAGCCATATACGGATAGGGAGTCTGTATTGGGGTTCTGGTCAATGCATTAAGACACCATGCTAACGCCAATGGCCATGCCGTCGGCGCCTGCCTCCCTAACCGCGTAGGGCAATTCTCTTTTGACGGGAAGGAGTGGGAGGTGGTGACGGAGGCCGCGAAGGATATGATCTCCAACATGCTGGTCATGGACACCGCTAAGCGCGCCACCGCCAAGCAGCTGCTGCAGCACCGCTGGTTCCAGGTGGCGGCCACCGCGCCGGCGGCGGCGCTGGGAGCACACATGGTCAAGCGCCTGCGCGCTTTCGCGGGCATGAGCCGCATGAAGCGCCTGGCGCTGGTGGTGCTGGCGAGGACGCTAACGGACAACGATGTAAAGCGTTTGCGGGTGAGTGCTGCACGGGTCTCTGAATGGGCGGGCTGCGGCTGCCGGTGTGGAGGAAGGTGCTGCTAAATAAGTAGTGGTCGCAAGGCATTGCGTGTAAAGGGTGGTGAAAAAGCACCTAGGGGACAGCCGTATCAGTGCATGCAACTTGGTATGCCTTCGGCTGTACGTCGTGATGCCATCCGCGTAATTGCGTTTGCCTTGGCAAGCCTAGATAGCTGCGACCGATTGGGGATTGCGATATGGGTGGCGGGGAGAGAGCTGGTAGGAGCACGACAATACAACCTGGTGCCTATGGCGAAGACACGAAGATGAAGGTGGTCGCTTTCAATACAAGGCCTGCGTTCTGCTGGTTCGCGCTCTTCCACCATTGCCCAAGGCGGCCCTATCTTAGGAGCGCGTGCGCACCCCATACTCTCGAGCACGGCCTCAGAGCCCCCCCCCGCACAGCTTTTCTGCCCCTCACCACGCACACTGCACACGCCATTCACCTTGATGCTGCGCAGGAGCTGTTTGTGGCCATGGACACGAACAACGACGGCCGCATCGACAGCCAGGACCTGCACAAAGCCCTGGAGAAGGTGGGCGCCGCCATCGACGAGCACGAGATGCAGGACCTCTTCCACGCCTCGGACATAGACGGCACTGGCCAGATTGACTACGAGGAGTTCATCGCCGCAATGCTCGACTCGAACCGCGTCGCGCGGCGCAAGGAGGCGGTGCGCAAGTCGTTTGAGGAGCTTGATAAGGTGCGTATGGTATGGGGCTTCCGGGATGAGGCAAGCATTGGGTGCAAATCCACAACACATGGAGGTATAGAATTGCGGTTGGGCTATGCCGATAGTGCTGCCCTTGTGGCGGCAGCCCGCGCATCCCGACATTCATGGCACCCACTGCATCTGGATCCCCCCCGGCCGGTGCGTAGGACGGTGACGGCTTCATCACGGCGGAGGACCTGGTGAAGGTGATGCCGCGCGGCTCCTCGATCGAGCTGGCGCGGGAAATGGTGAACGAGGTGGACAAGAACAACGACGGGCGCGTGGACTATGCGGAGGTGCGTGTCTGGGGGCATTTGGGTTGGGATTGCATGGGGCTGGTTACGAGGCATAGTGAAGGTTTTTGCATGGGACACGTTATGGCTTTGGAGCTACTGCTGTGTCTTGGCATGGCCGTTTGACCGTTTGCTTTCCACCCTCCCGTTGTTGAACTCGCAGTTCGAGAAGATGATGCAATCCTAACCTTGACGCGCGTGGAGGATGGGCGTTGACGAAGAAAGGCTTACTTTTCTTGCTTGCAGCCAGGAACAGGCGAGCGGTGTTCCCGGGAGTTCCAGAGACAGGACTTGTGGCTGAGTTTGGGGAAGACTTTTAGGAACGCGTTGGTGCTTTAGGGTGCCCTCTTCGAACAAAAGGTTAAACTTAGCTGTGGGGACAATGGGTCGTTTTATCTTGGAAAGTCCTTGCTTAACCTATTGACGCTTGCATTTCTGTCCGCGACTGGTCTGACCGAAGCGCATCTCGTGCGCTGGGGGCATGCGCATAACGTGGCAGCGAGTTGAGGTATACTCGTGGCGAAGGGGAGGCGATGTGTGCATGGGTGTGAGGGGATGCGGTGGCACCATTGCCACTGTGTGCTTTCAGCGCGCCTCAAGTATGGGCGGGTTTACGGGGTCCTGAAGTGTTGACTCTTTCACCGGTGCGTCCTTTAATTTGGCCTGACTAGGGTTTTGACCTCGGCAAGGTTCAGGTAGCTCAGCTGATGATCTTGTCCTATTCCGATGCTGTCCTGTGCTCCACAAGGGGGTACGTTTTGCACTGACTGTCCTAACCCATTTTGTATGGAACTGCTTGAGGGCCAACCCGTCCAAAGGGTCATGCGGCTGGCGTCGGCCAGTACGGCGCGAGAGGTGGTATTTGGAGGGGGTGAAGTGGTAAATGCAGTATGCATGTCACAGGCGGCGCACAGTGATAGGGTGCGCCGGGGGCTGTGGTAGGGCTTGCTAAGCGTGAGCGCGCTGTGTGCCTTAAGAGCGCGGATACGCTGGGTCATGGGACAACTGTCCTGTAATGGCACTGCGCTTTTAGCATCTTGCATTATAGGGGAAACACTTGTGCTAGGCGTTTCCCTTGTGTTGGCGGTGGTTGCGACGGTCGCAAACGGTACAGGCTCAGTTGCTCCTTCGTGTACGGCGGGCAAGTTTTTGAGACGGTCGACAAAAGTATTGTAGTTGATTTGGGTTTGATCTTCAATTGTTATATCGTAACATTTGTGCTATATATGGGCTCCTTGCGCCCGCACACTACTAAAAACTGTAAATAGCTTCCAGAACCATTCCTTTCCTTCACTGTTACGGGGCAGCTAAGGCGCTTCTGCACGTAAGACGATAGAGGAAACCATATATTACCAGAACTAACATAGCAAACACGCAAGGGCACTTGCCCAGTAAAGATACTAGAAACCGGTTACCATGCGCTTTAGAGTGGAGCAATTTGCGCTGGCAGCGGCTGCACTTCTATTTGTCAGCTACGCCAGCGCAGACAACCTTATGGTAGGAATTGCTAGGGGACAGCAAAGCATGCAGGATCACTTGGCCGGCTTGCAGACATAAGAGGGCCTTGACGACCTGCAGGTTACATGCGGTAGCACAATTAAACTGCAACACGTAGCGACCAAGGCGCGACTGCATTCGCATCAAGTAGCGTATTCTCGCGGATCTCAGCAGCAATCCGTTACCGGATTCCCTGATGGAGACGACGGTAATAGCCTTTGGCTGGTGCAAGGCCCCGTGGTAAGCTGCAGGAAGGAACTCCTACTTATTCCATTAGGATACAGTCATACACCATTGCCATGTGTAGGATGAGCCATGTGTGACCGGTGCGCCAATCAAGAAGGGCTCGCGGCTGCGCCTTCAGCACGTATCCACTCGGAAGTGGCTGCATAGCCATTTGTACCAGTCGCCTCTCTCCGGCAGTCAGGAGGTGCGTACGGTAGACAGCCATTACTGCGCGCCGTGAGGCTAACGAGCTCAACACGCTGCCGGTTGTTGAAGCCGCGGAGGACGGCTGCACCGCGGGCCCCTGACCAGTGCTCTCGCCGTCCCCCCTTCTGTGACGGCTTAGGCCAAAGAGCTCGCACCTGTGCTGTTCGCCTGTGATGAGTCGGGTGCTAGCGTTTGAACCACGTGTTGCAATTGCGTCGGGTTGTACACACAGGTTTCATGCGTGTACTGCAATGAACATCTTGGGGTTTCACAATAGCGCCATGAGCACCAACCGGAAGAGTACGGGTTACCATTTAGCGTCCAAGCCGTAAACACACACTTGCATGCCCCTCCTTAGGTTAGCGCCTTCGGTGGTGACGGGCAGTCCGACGGAGGCGACATCTGGATCCTCGAGTGGGATGGGAAGGGAAAGACCTGGAAGCAGAACACCAAGGTAGGTGGCTTAGGTGATTGGGCCGGCAAGGCGATGTACAGCTCGTTAGGCGTCCCTAGGCCGTCCAGTGGGTGCAAGGCTTCGTGTTGGATCTGCTCGAATTGCTCGTTGGGAATGTACGCCAAAGTTGAGAAAGTTCCTGCCCCCAGGGACGCAATGTGCCTCCTTGTGTTTCTCGAGGACTCTCATGACTCACGATCTTCTTGTCCATTACCTCTAAGCGCTAACCCCTTCGTCCATGTCGCTCCTCCCCCCTGGACCCGCTTGTCCCGCCCTGCAGGCGCGCTTCAAGCACGTGGATACGGGCGCCTACCTATTCGCGCACGACGCCCGGTACGGCAACCCCATTGCCGGGCAGTACGAGGTGGCCGCCATCAGCAGCAAGAACCGCAACACGGAGTGGCTGGCCGCTGAGGGAGTGTATCTGCCCAAGCTGGGGGCGGATGATGACAAGGAGGAGCTCTGAGTGCGAGGATTCGGAGGAGTCCAGTTGGACACAAACAGCTGGCTTACCTGGTAGCGCTTACTGGCTACCCGGTGACCGGCTGGCTGGGCTGCGTAGGGCGCTCTGCCGTGGCGGTAGCGGTGCTCGGCGTGCACAGTCGCGTTGGTTTCTGGGTTTTAAGAGCGAGGGGGAGAGGGTATGAAAGGATCCGCGATCCCGTGACGTGTGAGCGTGTTTGGAAAAATATGATGGACGTACATTCGAGAGAGAAATTCACAACAGAGCCGTGCACTGCGTGCGATGTTGCTTGTGCCATGTAGGAGAATGGATTTTTAAGCGGCAACATTCAGGAACGGTCAAGTTTGGCTCCGACGGCCCCTGCTGCTTCACTTGTGGACATCCCTCCGTACACCTGGTGCATCCCTGAGTGTCCTTATCGTGTTATTTACCCAGAGCATCATGCATCTGACCAATCCCCCCAACCATCTCATTTATTTAGGTACTCCGTTTATTGTTTCAAACGAAGCGCAGGAAACTTACCAGCAAGGAAAGCAACCTCTGGATTTCGTACCACTTCGTACTTCATTACGTACCAGCTGCCACATCAGCGGTTTCAAGACAAAATGAAGCACACACTCCCACCTGTGTAAGCGCGATCGCACAACTGGAGAGTAAATGAGTAATGGAGCAAAGCAAAACTGACCCACATGAAATCTTCCACAAAGTACAACAACCAATGCTACACCCATAGTACACAGACAGGGAAGCAGTAATCATAGCCACTCTTTTCCAGTCACATAACCCACAACGCGACTGTGACCCAACGGCATTGCGGCGGTCTTGTACAAACCAAAACAACCTCATTTGATCTGGATCTTAGCAATTCGTCGTACAGAACGGCGCTTGACGACTTCCCTCGCGTCGCCACCTCCAAACGATAACCACCTCCTGCGTGCCCGCTTTCCATCCGATATCTGAAATCTAAACCACCACCGAGAAAGACTGCGAATAAAACAGCATCGCTTGTTTACGTTGTGCATCAAGAAGAACCTAAGCAAACACTAAGCAGTACAAATGCAACATCACGCCACGACCACCCATCACATTCACTATCTCTCTTCCACTGCTTCGGCTATGGGCGGCGGCAACGCCTGTGCTCCTCTTCCCACGCCTCCAGACGCCTCCGCACCCACCTCGCCTACCACCACCTCCTCAGCCGCTACAGCCCCACCGCCACAGGACGGCTGCTGCCGTACCGCGGATGCTTGTAGTTGGGAGCCATCGACAGAGGGCTGCTGTGGTAGCTGCTGCTGCTGGTGCTGTCCCTGCTGCCCCTGCGGCTGCGCGGGGTGCTGCTGCGCGATGAAGTTCCTCAGCGGGCGGCTCCGCAGCAGATCCACCCGGTACATGCGCACGGCGGCCAGCACCTGCTCCGGCAGCTCCTCGGGGCTGTTGCCCTGGATCACGATGGCGTTCTCAAAGATGACTTCCTGCAGCCTGCAGGGGAGGCAGGGGAACGGGGGCAGGAGGGGGAAGCGGGGTAACTACGGCAGCGGAAATCAAGAGGAAAGAGGAAGTGGAAGAGTCGGAGGCAAAGCGGCGCGTGTTGCTACCGTAATGGAACTACCGGTAGAAGGCGGAGGGGGGGTCCTACGGTATCGCCAGCCACAGCCAGGCCGGATGTCGTGCGCCCTTCCCCCCTCCCCTACACACTCATTTTCTTAACACCTCCCCCACCCCCCAGGGCCGCGCCCACCTTGTGAAGAAGGAGCACAGCGCCTTGCGCGCCAGGAACTGGTAGCAGTGGATGTCCACGTCAACCTGGGGGGCAGGTGAGCGGATGCGGAGGAAGCGAGCGTCGGTGGGAGGCTATTGGGTGCTGCTGCGTTGCAAGCGCGCATGCCGGCATCCAGCGGGGCCCTGGTTGCACCTCCCGCCCTAGTCACCACACAATTCACGCATTCCCACGTCGCAGCACACCCCACCGCGTCAGTGTTTCCTCGTGGTTCCAGTTTACCTAATACCCCGCCGCACCGCACCTCCAAGTAGCCCGGACCGGTGAAGAAGTGGTGCTGCGGACGAGCCAGCACGGGCTTGTCGTTGTACGCTGCGAGCAGCTTGTGCTCCGCGGGACTGAGCGGCCCCTTCTGGGCCCACTCGTCCACGTTCACCACACGCGGAATGATTTTCAACCTGGCAGATAACAACAAAGCGGCATGGCAACGCAGCAGGGAGGGCCGTCATGAGCTATATTAAGGCGAAGCGTTCGGAGTTCACAGTTCAAGAGTGCGGAAACGGTGTGCGTGGAAGGTGCATGCAGGGTCTTGCAGCATGCGCATGTCACCCATGTCGTACCTGTCGCGGGTGGGGCTGCCGTCAGCCTCCCGGCCGTTGGTGACGAATCGCCGCAGCAGCGCTAGCGCCGTCTGGTTTTCGTACTCGGCGGGTTTGAAGTCCGGAGGCAGCCCAAAGTAGTACACCAGGCTCTGACTCTGACCGTCGTTGCCGCCGAACAACGTAGCCTAGCGGGCGGGAACGGGGATACGGCACACCACACAGGGGAACACGACCGGTCAGGGGACATAACACCGAACAACAGCAGGGCAGCAGCAGCTTGCAAAGCCAGCAACCCCGCACACGCTCATCCCCCACCCACGCCCACGCCCCACCCGCGCCCCCCTGCCTCGCCTCCTTAGTTGCCTCGTCAGTTTCCCTACTTTCAAACCCCCCCCCGCCCATTGCTTTGCCCTAACCTGTGGTCTCTTATGGTTTGGTATGGTCTTTGACCCCCCTCCGCCCATGACCACGCCCCCACCCCCACCCCACCGGGTACATGGGCAGCATGATGGTGAAGATCAGCAGAGGCGGCAGGTGCGGGTCCGCCGCGAGTGCCGGCCGCAGCAGCTGCTGCAGGTTCACTAGTCGCGCCACGTGCGTCATCTTGGTGTCGGTGCTGATGACGTCAGCAGCCAGCAGCCGGTACAGCGCGGGGCGGCTGGGGATCTTGACGCGCGTCTTCATGTAGTCTGGGCCGCGCACCATGAAGGGGCGGCCGGAGGTGCAGGGGGGCTGCTGCGGCCCCGCGCCGCCGCCGCCCTCGTCCTGGCTGCAGGGCTCCCAGGCCTCCCGCACCTCCAGCACGCTTTCGGACATGTCGCGCCGCTGGGTGGGGGGTTGTTGGTGTTGGGGTATTGGGAAGGGAGGAGTGAAAGGGATGGGGAGGCGGAAGTAGCATTGACGGCCCACGCTGGCTAGTCCCACCACACTACACCCGCGACCAACCACTACTCCTGAATCCATCCATTCACCCAGTCTCGGAAGCTGTTCCGCTGTCCCCTCCTCGCCCCGCCCCGCCCGCCCTCCTCACCCGCAATGTGCAACCCGGCTCCAGCTTCCCGCCCAAACTCCTCGCCGTCGGCCTCCCTCCCGCTGCCCCTCCCGCCGGCCCCTCCTCCACCCCGCCTACAACCCCCGGCTGCTGCTGCAGCTGCGCCTCCGCCGCCTCCCCCCCGCCTCCCGCACAGGGCCCACCGCCTGCAATGAACGGCAAGCTGCCCGCAAACGCAGCGGCGCCGGGCAGTGCGGGCAGGGTCGGTAACGTGGGCAGCGCGGGCATGCGGATGTTGTCGAGGATGGTGAGGCAGCTGGCTAGCTTGGCAATGGGCCCCCCGGCCGCCTGCAGCGGCTCCTCCGAGGCCTCGCTGCTGCCCACCAGGTGACAGCTGAAGCCGCGTGCGGCCGCGTCCGGGGGGATGCAACTGCTGGCGGTGTCGCCGCCGGTGGTGGTGGTGGTGCTGGTGGTGGTGGTGGCGACGAGGCCGGCGTGGTGGGGAGGGGTGGAGGGACAGGTGTCAAGGGACACGGCAGCGTCCACGCCGCATAGGTGTGAGGAGGGAGGGTAGCGGTGGTGGTGGTGGTGGTGGGGACCGGGACCGTGAGCCTGCAGAGGAGGGAGGGAGGAGGAGGAAGAGGGCGTTGGGACACAGCGTGTGGACTGTGTTGAGATACGTGGGTTGGGAGGTGCGGGGCAGAGGAGGGAGGGGTCCTAACAGCTTCCTTTCCGTGGGGGTAAGACAACCGGACGTCAACCGGTCCTCGCTGCATTGGCCCTCTTGTGCAACTTCTGCCACCTCTCGACCAAACTGACAACCCCAAACCATCCGGCGCGGGTGGACCCCGACCCCACGCACCTCATCAAGGCCTTTTTCTTGGCCTATGGAGTGGCGAGGTGCGGTGCTACAAGTCGGGCTCGACGCTGCAATGCACGGTACAGAGCAGGAGTATGAACAGCTCTCAAGGAAATAACCAGAGTAACGGAAGATGACATATTTTATAAGCACTGGACTCACCTTCACCCGCAGGAAAATGCTCTTGGGCATCATAATATTCTGTGGGCCGCATGCAGCAACAACAGTCCGTCAGGACCCACGTGAAAGCATGCAAGGACCCCCAGAAGAGCTCAATTGCATCAATCTTTACAGACCTGATGTGAAGCTGTTACAGGACAGCGGGGACTGCAGCTCGCCATCCTTGGTTTTCCCCGCTGCTTCATGCGACCGCCCAGTTGACCGCCGGTTCGTAGTGCGTCGCCCAAAGCAGCAACAAAACGGTGACATTGGTAACCTATGAATGCCGCTACGATGCGCTTGCGAGGCCTGGCCTCGCCTTGGCCTGGCCTTGGCTTGCTGAGCTACCTCAAAGCTCGGTTCATAGGTTTAGATGTTGTCACCTATAAGTTTATACGCTGACAGTAGAAGACGTTAAAAGGCAAACACGGTGTGCTATGTAGGGCTATCACAGTCAGCTGCTGCTGGGAGCTGAGGATAGTGGCAACGCTCATAACGTGACAAATAACAAAGCTATTATTTGCCAAGCATACACAAGAGCAATACCACTTTTGGAATTCGCTAACAAGTAAGCAGACCGCGCGCCCCGTCCAACGACCGCTCGCCGTCCGGCTCTGCCGTGATTCATTCCCCTCCGGATTGCAAGTCCTAAATGCGAAACCCCAATACCCCCTCAGCACTGTGAGCGGCGTAGGCTGCTCCTTTCAACAGATTTTTATATATGCAGCAGCGCACCAGATGGCAGGCCCCGTAGCCCGTACAATTACAAGCCTACACAGACAAAGGCACAACAATGGTACAAGCACAAAACGAAATCCCCGCTCGCTCTTCCGATTGAGCAGTTCCGGACTTGCTCCCCCCCGTGTGTTTTGTCCTTAATCGCGCGTCCTCCCAACCGTCATGCCGTCATGCTTTCGTCATGCTGTCCGGCCTGCAACACACAGCGCATCCAAGGCATCCTACCCTCCGGGTCCACGTGCCGCGTCCATCCTGCTCCTCCTACGGTAGCCCCCAGCTCCTCTAACCCCAGCCCTAACCCTCTCCTCCTCCATTCCGCAGCCACGCTCCATGCCCCTCCTCGCCTCCGCCGTCTGGCCACCCTCTTTACCCTCCCATTCTCCTAACCTAGGGACCTTCTCTTCCTCCTCCTCCTACCTCCTTCCCTGCTCAGATACACTCCGCACTCCCCGGCCCCCGCCCCCAACCCCTCCCAGCCCCTCCTGCATCCCTTTACCACACCTCCGACTCCTTACCACACCCCCCACACCCCCCTCTCACCGCACCGCCGAGTACGCCGCCATCTGCTGCGTGCTGATGCCACACGGCAGCAACCGGTGCGAGTCAGCTCGCGCCGCATATACCCGCACCTGGACCGGGGAGGGGAGGGGATGCACGCGGTTGCCCAATAAGGCAATGACCAATTGACCCACGCAACAAACACACACACACCGACCGCAAACCTGCACCGGCTGCTGCTAGGCATGCGGTGTGGCTGCTGCTGTTGCGGTGGTGGGGCACCGACAGAAGGGCAGTGGTTGCGGGGCCCACTGCATGTGCCTGCGGTTGCGGACATCATAACAACCAAAGGGATCTTCCTCACCTGCCGTACAGGACCTCCCTCACCTGCCGTATGTGCGTGTCGCGGCCGTTCTGGTGGTTTGCCAGCACCGCCAGCTGCAGCTGGAAGGCGCGCAGGGGGGTGTGCGGCGGGGCGGACTCGGGGGCCAGCGGGATGACCACCCAGCCGGAGGGCTCCTCCAGCTCCACCACACGGACCTCCTGGGGGGAAAAGAGGAGGGAGGGAGGCCGCGTGTGGAGGAAACCGGCCGTGTGAGCGTGAGTGTGGTTGCGGCTATACGGGTGCGCGGGCGCGTGCATGTGTGACGGTGTGAGGCGCGCGCACCTACCTTGAGGTCCTGGTAGGTGTGCCCCGCCCGCACGGACACGCGGCTGGGGGTGTAGCTCTCGTCCAGCTTGTAATCCACGTGCAGGTGGACCTCCTGGGGGCGGGGAGTGGAGCGGAGGGGAGAGGGGGCGGAGCGGAGGGCGTCATAAGCCGTCCCAACCCATACGGCCTAGAATATGGGCTGCTATAGCGCTTCACGTGGCGCTGGGCTGTCCCTCACCAAGAGCGGCATCTTGCGCTGGAATTGGATGTTAATGAGGTGTGGCTGGAGGCCATCTGACCTGCCGGACAGAGCAATCATACATGTTATGGCGTTGAAACACGGCGACAAGTTGGTGCATGCGAGGCAAAGTATTCCACTTACTGCCAGAATGTATCCCCGCTGCCATCCCTCAGCATTTCCACGCCATTGCCGGGCTTCGCGCTCGTGACCGACCATACAGCCAGATGCCCAACCTCACGCCGCAGTGAATTATCCTCAGCTGTTGTAGCCTGGCTCACATTCATATCTTCGCAAGATAGCACTTGGCAGTTGGAAGAGCGAACTACCAATACAAGTTACGGTGGATAGCAAGATTTATAGAAAAGAAAGAGGTAACGAAAACATGACTGTTAGCAAGGCGTTAATGGGACCTTGGCCGGTAGGTAAAGGCGGGAGCACGGAGGAATCACGGCGTGCCTATATGCAGAGTGTCAATAGGAGCTTCTACTTTTCTGGCTACCTAATATTTTTAATTTAAAGACGCTGGACTTCCATTCTAGCTTGTTCTCGTACAGCCACCATGCTTAATAAGCTCTTTGAGGACGCTGGGAGCTTTTTGCCGTGCACAAGTCCAATCCTTATTAATTATTTCTGTTTGTATCATTGACATTGCTTATTACAGCATTGCCTGTGGATGGTCGTCGCTCGTCGGCATGGATGTTGCAGCAATGTTGCTGGATGTTGCAGCAATCGGACTGCCACTTGCTTTACAAGCGACGGCATACACGCAAGCAGTACTACTGTGACAACCACCGTCATCAGGCGAGGCCACTATCCACCCAAGCCCCGGAATTCCGTCAAGGAAAGCGCAAGGGCTGTAGCTCTAGGGCGGACCTCTAACCTGGCATAAAGAGGCTATGGAGAAGTAGAAACCAATTAGCTATCTACAATAGCTGAGACTTCGCGTGCCTAACGTGTTCATGGAAAAGGTGAACGGACCTGCGGACGACAAAATTCAAGCCGCCATACCACGTCAGTTCCGCTAGACATTCCTCATACAACAATACGTGTATACCCAGGGGTGCATAAGAAAAACGACTTATGCGTGCAAGCCGACACAGTAAGTCCAGCTTTGCCACTTAACAGCTTGGCGCCTTGACAGTATCCTCTTCCATTGTGTAGCCAATTGCATTGCGTATAGCAACATTCAGTTTTAGCCTTGCATGTCACAAGAAATGCAGGCAGTGCCACAGCAACTACCCATATAGTACAGCAACTGGCGAGGCGACAGGTGCTGCCGTCCCACGCCTGCGGCGTGACGCTCTTGTCCCGCTCTTAACCCAGCACGGCATCAGTACGGCATCCATGTAAGTAGCAGTACATGCGTTCATCTCATTTATTGCATGACGCTTGAGGCAATATCAGCACCTCAAGCCATGCGAGCAACACGTACCACCACATCGCAAGCGGACCTAGGTATGGCATTCAGTTCGTTGAAGCACCTCCAAGCCCAAGATTAACGTTTCTTGACATCGTAATACGTTCATTACCTGCCACCGCCCCCTCAGTGCACCCCCTCCCCCTACCGCCCTCGCTCCGACCCTCCGCCCCCCTGCTGCTGCTGCTGCTGTTGCCCCCGCACCTGCAGCACCAGGGTGCGATCCGGCAGGCGCCGCCAGCCCGTACGCACCAGCCCCCGCACCCGCTTCACCGGCAGACCGGGCAGAAACACCGAATTGTTGAAGTGGTACGCCTTGAAGTGCGCGTCGTACCGCTCGGGCTGCAGCACGCCGTCCACCTCAAAGGCCACCTGCACCGGCACGGGGGCCGCCCCCGGCGCGATGACGGCGTCCGGGTACCAGCGGGACACCAGTTGCATGCTGAGCCAGGGCATGGTGCGGATCACCAGCTCCTCCGTCGCCTCGTAATCGCCGCCCCCATCAGTCATGTGGCCAGCCCCAGCCGCAGCAGCCGCAGCAGCCGCAGCTTCCGCAGCCTCAGCCGCAGCGGATGGGACGGAGTGGGGCGGTCGTTGGGAGGCGGGTGGAAGCAGCGGTGCGGCAGGGGGCGGAGCGGCCGCATGGCTTCGCTGTCCAACCGCGTCTCCATGGGGCACCCGGAGCTGTGCTGGGAGGTGCTGGAGGGGTTGCGAGGGCTGCTGGGAGGCTGCCGTGCGGGGCGGCGGCGCACAGGACTTAGGCCTGAGATGATCTGGCGGCTGCCAAACGTTACTCAGTGCGAGGGGCTCACATGCCGAATTTGGCTGTGGCCATGCACGTTGCTGTTGCTGTGGTTGCGGTTGCTGCTGATGATGATGCGGTTGCTGCTGTCGCTGTCTCTGCTGCTGCTTCAGAAGGATGCTCAAGGCGCTCAAGAGCTCTTCAGCCCCAGGTGACCCACGGGTCGCCTCCGCAGCCGCTACCATGCGAATGAGGGTCTCCCCGAGCGGCGCTGCAGCAGCGACGTCCCCGCGACTACCGCCGCCGCCGCTGACGGCCACCGGTAGCGCGCGTGCCGAAGCCAGGTACCGGGCTTTCTTGACATCAGGAAGGCACGTTTCACTAATTGGGCGATAGCCAGCCCCTTCTGCGTTGCCGCTGGAAGAGGGTTGCTGCCGCTGCTGCTGCTGTGGCTGCTGGTGCGGGTGCCGCAGCAGCCTTAGCTGCGTGTCCGCATGCGCTTGCTGTTGGCTCGGCTCGCAGCATGGAACCGAATCTCCGTGTGAGTAGTCTTCAGGCTGCGGCCTCTTACCCGTGCGTTTACCGCCGGAGCCCCGTGGCGACCCGTTGCAGTGCGACTGGGAGTTGTGACTGTCACTGCCGCAGCCGCAGCCGCAGCAGGTGCTAGCGGGCTCCTTGCAAGTCTCACGTCGCAAGGGCTCCTGGCGCTGCTGAAGCAGCAGCAGCAGCAGCTGTTGCTGTTGCTGCGCTGCTGCTGGTGCTGGTGCTGGTGGTGGTGCTGCTGCATGTGCTTGCAGCCTGCCAGCGGCGGGTAAGGCGGTCGTGGCAGCCGTGACGGCTGCAGCGGGCGACAGGCCGCCTGCGAGCTGCTGCGCCTCCAGCTGCTCCACCTTCATCACCGAGGAAGCAGGGGGCTGTGTCAGGGCCACACACCCCATAGCCGGGGCTGCCGCAGGGGTGATAGCCGCTGCAACGCCCGCAGCAGTCCCAGCACCCGTGCCGGGCTTGCAGCTGCTGCCGCCGTCCGTGCTGCTGCCGCCGTCCGTGCCATCACTGTCACACGAACCCCCAGCACCCCCCAGCAGCAGCACCTCAGCCCCACCCCTGCCATGTAGCCGCTGCAGCTGCCGCCCCCCTGCATGCCGCCCCTCCTCCTCCCCTCCCGAACCCGCCGTACCGCAGCGCACATGCTGCTGCAACAGCAGCGCTGCTGCCCCGGGACCCGCACCGCCACACACACCCAACGGCCGCTCCGCTGGCTGCTGCGGCCGCAGTCCAGTAGCCGCCGGCGCGGGCACGGCAGGCTTGCCCCTGCCCCGCACCGCCCAGCCCTCGGGCGGCTGGTCCCATGCGACCGCCAGCAGCCGGGTCCTGCAGGGGCCCAGCCAGTGCAGGTCCTGCAGGAAGCGCCCGCGCAACTGACCCAGCGGCTGCAGGGAGGGTGGGGAGGAGAGGGAGGAGAGGGAGCAGGGGAGGAGAGGGAGGGGTAAGGGACGTCCAGTGCGAGTGGAATGTTATGAGGGAGGATTGGGACGTCTCATCGTGGGCCACATCTGGCACATTCCTTGTAGCGTTGAATGAGGACAACTGCAGCTGCAGTTTCCCTCGTCACGGGGTTGCCACAAGTGCCACCTGGCCCCTGATTACCCGTACATGAGCCCCTTGCACAGCACTTTCAGGGGAGTGCAATGCAAGGCGACTTACCGCGCCCTTGGGATAGAAGCTCCCCTTGTGGCAGCCCTCCTGCAGGTACCAATGAGGGCGGCGGACACGATTGAGAATTACCAGTAATCCCTCACTTCAGGGAACGCTTCCGAGCCGAGCAGCCTGTCCTCAGTTGCCTCAAATCAGCTCTGGATACAAGGTTCCACAGCAACGCCCGTAGCGCTATTAACAGTTGGCATTCCAAGCCCCACATGTGTACCTACTATATGACAAGTGAGTGTACAGCCCCCAACAGCCCCCAAGGGGCCAGCTGACCTCGCATGTGTGAATTACCTCAAGGTATACAAAGCCCCCAGCTACCGGTGCCCGCACGCCTCGCCCTCGCCTCCTCTCCCCCGCCACCCACCTTCCACGTCACGCAGTGCACCTCCGGCAGCAGCTCCCCGTTTAACATCAGCTGCATCTCGGACTGCGTGCCGTTCTCAAAGTCGGGGCCGTACAGCGACTGCAACTGCCGCCGACCGATGTACAGATTGGTGGCAACCACACGGGAAATGAAGGAGCTGCTGCTGCTGCGAAAACCGCGTCCGCCAAAGCAAGGAACACCGGCTTGTGGTTGAGGTTGCGGTATGATGAGGCCAGGCGGGCGGGCGGGCGGGTTACTGCTCGGAAGAGCGGCGGCAGCGGCAGCGGTGGGGATGGCCGGAGCGCGATCGGTGACCCGTGGGTCGCTCCGGTTGAAGGTATGGTCCTGGATGAAGGAGGCGTTGTGCGGCAGGGTTGTGTCGGTGCTTGAGCTTGGGGAGGGCTCCCCCACCTGTGGCATGTTTAGGCAGGAAGGGCGAATGACGTTACACATATACCACAATGCTAACACCACAAGCATCTGACCATCACGCTCCGTAATGGGCATTCCTAGACATCTCGGTGCGAAAACCGACAATACCGAATCTCCACGAAGCCCTCTCAAGCATGAACTGACGCCCCCCAGCCCTACCGGCTCGCCAAGACGGCAGCTCCGCTCTCCCCGCTGCAGCTGCCCACCAGCCGCCTGCTGCCATGCAACAGCTGCCAGTGCGTCCAGCTTCCCTGCCCCTCCACAACCGTCCGCTGTCGCCGGCCCCTCAAGCCGCTGACGCTTGCACCCCTTCAGGCCCTTCAGCTCCATCACCCGCACCAAGCCTTCACCGCCGCAACCGACGCCGCCTTGTGCCGCCCAGCAACCATCCCCGCGGCACTCCTCCTCAGCCTCCTCCTCCGCGTCTTCGTCCTCAGACTCCCGCTTGGCACCCTCACGCGCCGCAGGGCCCTGCTGGCTGTCCCGCTCCAGGCCCGCTGCCATGAGCAGGGGCCCCAAAGCACCCTTGCTGCCGCCGCCGCCCTGCCCAGCGCCATCACCGCCGCCAACCGCCGCCCCGTCTTCACCACCCGACACAGCCGCAGCCTCAGCCTCTCCATCCGCCTCTGTCGCATCCTGTTCCTCCTCCTCCACTTCACATTCGGGCGCGCCAGCTAGGTCACGCCGCCGCAAGCGACATGGCGAAGACACCACCCGCCGCCACAGCCCCCGAGGCCGGAACGCCACCAACGGCGGCAGCGCGGCTGCGGCTTCCTCCGTTAGCGGTTGCACCACGGATTCTGCCGCTGCAGCTGCTGCTGCTGCGGCGGCGGCAGCGGAGCGGCTGCCTTCGTCCGCGTCATCCGAGCCCTGCTGTGGTGACGCTGAGCGTCTTGAGGTAGCCCACAGCTGCAGCATCCCTGAAGCGCAACGGCGATAGTGGATCAGCGTGTCCGAGAGCCGCTTCCAGGGGATGGCAGGCGAGGTGGACTCCTGGGAGGGCACGCTGGTGAGGTAGCGCGGCGAGCTGGCGTTGTAGCGGCAGATCTGCGAGTCCTGCGGCGGACCCATGGGTCGGCCGTCCAGGAAGATCTGCAGCCTCAACTGCAGGCCGCAGGGCGGGTCGCTCAGCACCTGGGCGTCGCGTTTTGAAAACAGGATCTGGATCTCATTCGTGTTCAGGTAGCGACTCATGGCCCGAGCGGTGGTGCGAGCGACCACCACCTCTTCCACCTCGCCACAGCCGTCAGCATGGTGGTCGGTCGGCATGTCAACCTGCGGCGACGACCGCCGTACCAGGTATTGCTGTTGTGGCTGCGACTGATGGTGGTGTGTTAGCTGAAGCGTCACTGGGTGGGCCTGACGAACCTGATGTGTGAGCGGTGGCGGCTGCCGCTGTTGCTGTTGTTCCTGCTGCTGACTTTCAGGCCTGAACGGCGCGATGTGCTTCGCAACGCCCTGAAGCTGCGGCCGCTGTACTCCCTCCCCCAGCTGCTGCGGTTGCTGTCGCTCGAGGCCCCCACATGCTTGCGCCTGCGCCAGCTGCCGCCGTATGGCCTCCTGCTGTCGCTGCAGCGCCTGCAACGCCCGGAGCAGCCCCGCCTCAACCTCCCCTGCCTCCTGCTGTTCCTCTTCCTCTTCCTCCTCCCCACACCCCACCTCACGCCCCCTTCCACCGTCCCCACCACGTGCCGCACCTGCCCCGAGCGCCTCACCAGGCGCCCTGGGCTTCACCGCCGCTGCTAGCGGGGGCACCTCGCCGCAACACGACGACCGTAACGACTCCCGCAGCGACAACGCCGACGGCGGCGGTACCGGCTCTAGCGGCGGCACCTCCCCCCGCCGCACCTGCCACTCCACCATGTACGTCGGGTGCATGCCACCGCCACCAGCAGCAGCGGCAGCGGCAGCGGCAGAAGCGGCAGCTCCCTCCTCCGTCAGCAGCTGCACCAGCCGCCAGCCCACAGTGCTCCAGCCGCGGTAGGCAGTCAGCGCCTGCGAGACGTGCGGATCTGCCAGGATACCGCTGCCGTCCCACTGCACCTGCAGCGCACACGGCAGCAGGTGCTGGCGCCGGCGACCCGCGCGGACGCCGCAATTGATGCGACTGTTGCCTTGCTGCTGGGGTGGGTCGGATGGGTTGGTAGGGTCGGTAGGGAAGGCGTCGTCGGCGGGAGAGGGGTCCTCAGCGGCAGTGCCGTCATGGATGGTGAGCACTGCGGGCAGCGAGCTCCCCGGCGGGGCTCCCGGGATGTACTGCGCCAGCACGTGACGAGGAATGAGAAGTATGGCGGAAGGACGTGATGGCGGCGGAGGAGGCGGTTGGGGTGGCAGGGTTGGGGTCTGTTGCTGCTGCTGCTGCCTGCGGTGCGGCAGCAGCGGTACCCATTCCACTCGTTGCGCAGGCCGATGATGCTGCTGGTGCTGCTGCTGATGCCTGTCGTACAATGCTCCGTCATCGTCACCATCACCCTCAGCAGCAGCGGAGGCGGTGGATGCGGCCCCGCGCAGACTGGGCCCGAAGGCTGATGGGGCCAAGGAGGGGCTGGGCGGGGAGCGCGGCGGCGCCTGCCGCTGGGGTTGCTGTTGGGGTTTTGGCCGCTCGAGCTGCGGCGGCTGTGGCCTTACAGGCGGAGGTTGCTTGTGCTGACGGGTGCTGCTGAGTCCGCGCTGCTCGGGAACAGGCGAGCGCTTCGCAGCCCGTAGCAGCTGGACCAGGAGGCGTGGCTCCTGTCCTCCCTCTTGTAGCTGCTGCTGCTGCTGCAACAGCTGTGGATGCTGCTGTTGTTGTTCTTGTTGCTTTTGTACAGGTTGCTGCAAGGCACGGATGCTGGATGCCTCCAGTGTCGCCAGCCTACCGCCAGCAACGACATCCAGCCCAGGCTGCTGCTGCCGCTCCTGACCATCATCTTGCTGCTCATCATCCGGTAGGTAGCGCCGCTTCCGGGGCAGCAGCAGCAGCAGCTGCTGGTGCTGGTGCTGTGGCCGCGATGTGCGCTGCTCCACTAGCTGCTCCATTAGCTGCCGCTCCTCCCTCCGCTGCTGCTCCCGCTGCTGTTGTTGTTGCTCTTGTTGTTGGTGGTGCAGCAGGAGGTGTGCGGCCAGCAGGCTCTGCAGGGGAGCCGCCGCCGCCGCCGCCGCCGCAGCAGCAGCAGCACCTGGGAGAACCCCACGCTGGGAATAGCCGTCGTCGCACACTGCCCGACTGGAGGGAGGACTCCCCAGGCGGGAGGACTCCCGCGGGGGAGGGTGTGGGTGCGGGCGGGCGAGGATGGGGGCCTGGGGGCAGCTGGCGGGGGCTGCCGTGTGCCTGTTGCGTGGAGGGGAGAGGTCGATGCAAGGGCCGCACTGCAGGGGTTGTTGTAGGTCGGGGTCGGCCCTGTTGGGGATGCGCCGTGGCAGGTTGGTGGGGACGCCGGCGCCGGCGGCTGCAGCCGGGCGGTGGAGGCCCAAGGCGCTGAGGGGCTCCGGCCGGCGGTCAGCTGTTACAGGTGAGTGCGGGTGGGCGAGGTGGCGAGGCAGCGGTGGGGGCAGCGACCAGGTTGCTGGGAGGTCGGGATCCTGCAGCAGAGGACGGGGAGGGGAAGGGGCCGGCAAGGACGTAACCCGCGGCGTTCCGCAGCACAGCGGTTGATGGTCGCTTTGGGATTGGATTGCGGTCGCCACCGGTATAAGCTCAGAACGGTGCAGAGTAACAATACTTTGAGCAGTTCCGGACGCTACGTGCCTACGTGTCCTTCCCTGGTTCTGCCACGTTCACCATTACCCCCGCTTGCCGCCGCACCTCCCGAGGTCTGCCAGCCGGCTGGGGGCAGCGCAGTGTGAGCACGACCAGATTGGCCTCTGCTTGCGGCCGCCAGGACAGCACCTCCCACCCTCGGAACCGGTGCAGCAGCCCCTCCGCTCCCGCAACCAACCGCAAGGCCTGCAGGCCGCAGCGGACAGCAGCAGCAGCGGGATGGAGCAGGGCTGTGGTGACTGCAGGAGAAGAGGCAAGCTTTATTTAATACAGGGTGTCCTCCGCTTGGCTAGGCAGGGCGTAGATAATCCTAGCAAGGTTTTTTTAGGAAGTTTACATGCAATCATGCGATGAGCAGTAAGGACCATGCGATGTAGCCTTGTGAGGCAAGACGCGGAGTTAGGCAGTTAAGGGGCGGTTGACAGCTCGTATGATACGACTAGGTAGGCAATAGCGGGCTCACGGTAGGGGGCGCTGTCACTCCCTTACGTGCGTAGCCTCGGAAAGCAAAGAGTATACTGTAGACAAAGAGAGTGCCCCTACCTGTCGTATATGCATGGACACTCAAGTGCCAAGAACCCCAAGATAGTCCTCCACGATTACACGCATCAGTCCAAAAGACAACACCATCTATGCCGCCTACTCATGTACTGTATACCTGTATAACCGCGACACATCGGTACACTGCCACGCCGTCGACGACCACGACGATTCGAGTAGGTCTTTCCGCATTGCTGCAGAGCTCCGGCATCGCAGCCCATACTTCGCGCAGCGCTGGAAGGAAGATGGGTGCCTCCAGAAGACCCATTGCAATGTCCTCCTGTCAGAGTGAAATTGGTATACGAACGACAGCGGTGTTACAAAGCCATGAACTACAAAACCATATTCTATCGCCCAAGGTTGTGCGCTTATGGATGCAAGATCCTCCGGTATCCGTATAACGATAGGATAACACATCGACCATGCAATGTCTCTATGTCTGCACTGGTCCTTGCGTTTCCCAACGCATGGCTACCATGCCAAATCCCAATACAGTAAAGAAGGCATGCAGCTTATCTCCGGATGGCCGGTGCCTCAGAGCAACAAATTCTGCTGAGCCAGGCCCCAGACGGGTGACCTGGTAGCTGTCCTAGCTACATCAGGTGCTTACCTCCATAGTCAGTAGTGATACAAATAAGAAGTGATTCTTTCGCGCTCGGTAGGATTAGATACGAGCCTGTCGCATACACATGAAAGTTGGACCACTCCTCCAGTCTGGCTGTGCGTGGGAATGCTTTTTAATTTGCTACAATACTACAAGCGGCTCGACTGGAGTTTCATTACTATACTAACCAATGTGCCAACGGAAGGCGCTGCCACCAGCAGTGCGAATCGTCGGAAACAAACGCGCCAGGGCTGGTCTAGTTGTTTTGCCATCAAGGGTACTCCTCCTAATTCATTATACAGAATCAAAGAGTATTTTACATAAGCCCGAAGCACGGATGCTCGAAAGCTTGACGCGACACTCACCATTCGTATACAGCGTATGGCACTCATGACATAATCGTATAATATATGCACACGCAGCACACCGCACTTCGAGCAAGTGTACAAATCAAAATGTTTTCCAGGCTGCTACTAGAGTTCTTTAATGCTTCTGATGTTTCCATCGCATCGTAGATTGTCTGCCTCCGTTGTCGTAGCTGTCTTCCACCATCACGATCCAGAAACGTTGCACGCCAGGCAACAATCGATTTCACGTCTTCATTCTGATGCCCGGTTGGGTTTATTTCTGATATCACTGCGAGCCTACTGGCGACATTGCGCATGTTTAGTGAGATCCTTCATACCGGAACATATGAATGTTAAGATAAATACAAAATATAATAAAGTTATGTCCAAATGAGCCGGAAGGCAGCAATTTTCACGGTTGGGTATGCGCGAAGCTGACATTGCGAGCACTGCCGGGAACCGATTCGGGGACCCGCAGTCCGTATACGGTATCCCTTTCATGTCAGGAGACATCCGAACGCCAACACAATGATAACATTATGAACTTGTTCTTGTTGGTTCTCATAGCCGCCTGTACACAGAAAACGCGAACCTAGTAGGTTGCCGGATGTATGGGATGGAGGCCAAATAGACACATTTGCGCACAAGGCAGAGCGAGTTCCCCTTGAGACCACCCAGATGCCTATTTTAAATCTCCGGCCTTTACCTACCCTCATGTTCGGCACTGCCTCTAACTGGCCACTTTGTTTTGGTCGAGGCTAAGTAAAGAATATTTGCGTGCCCGGCACCTACGCACACACGCAACTAGGTTCAATTTCCCACGTTCTCATGTACGTGTCGTTCCAATGCAGCGTTGTAGCGTTAGGAGTGTGGAGCCAGCGGTTGCCAAGATTGCCGCGTAAGTCGGTCAACGGGTTATTCGGTCACGTAAACAAGTTTACGACCACTCAGCATTGCTTAGGTCGCACACGTAAACCTACAGGTAAAGGTATAGCCTTACGGTATCAGCTAAACAAGCAAGAAAGTGCTCAATACCAGAAGATCAACAGCCGTACGGTACACGGAGCGACGTCGTCTAGTTGTTGCTCCTGCGTCGACAATGGCTGATAGCTTCATATTGGGGCTTCTAGTGTCTCTGGACCAGTTGTAGCAAACCAACTTTTGAGGACAAGCCGTAATCTTCTGAATAGGGCTACGCGATTAATTAGCCACTACAAACAATCTTTATAATTATACGCTTTTCAATGCTGTGCGGCGCGGGTGTGCGATTTAGGGTTGCGTCCAGGCAGCCGGCGGTAAGCTGCTCCATTGCAACTCTTAACCCCAACGGAAACGCAGTAACTCCTGATACATAATTTGACCCAATCCGTAGGATCAAACGTTTGGGTTCGCGTCGTCGGCCCTGTCGTGTCCCCCGGTGCAGCTCCTCTCAGGTTATGGCGCTCGCGGCACCAGCACCCGGTGTGTCCCGCGCCCGCACTCCGCATGGCCCTGGGACCATCAACCCTTACACCTGCGCCTTGCAACTAGCCAGTATGTCCATGCGCCTGCTTTTACCCGTTATGTCCGCTCCCAGGCCAGCCCCGCCTTGCTATGCGTGATCCGCCCTAGACCCCGGTGCTTGTGGTGGGGCTGACGGTGGTGATGGTGGTGGCGATGTTTCTCCCCTAGGTCCCCATCCTTATACCTTGTTCCTTACACCGAATCCCCGTTTTCCTGTCCTCTACCGGCTCATGCTTTGCTGCAATACAGATCTCTTAATCACACCACCTGCCCCAACACGTGATCCCCCTCCCCGCCCACCACACGACCGCAGGGCCCGCGCGGCCCCCCCTGCCTCCCCTTCCTCCCCCTCCTCCGGCGGGCTGGTGGCGGGTGAGGTTATCAACAAGGTCCCCACCGCTGTGGGCATGACGCCACGACTGTACGGCTACATCCTGCAGCACACCCGCGAGCCGGAGGTACGGCACTTCCCGGCCTGCCCCTAGCAGTCGTACTGCATGCCGCGCTGGATGCCTGTTTGCTACCCGTTTCTGCTACCGGTACCCTGCAATCCAATTGATCCAGAACTGCAGCAGGCAGCTTGTTTCTGCTGTTGCCAGACGTCCACTCTGTCCCTCGGCCGCCCCGTGCCGACCCATGGGTCGCCCTCCAGGTGCTGCGGCAGCTGCGCGCCGAGACCGCCGGGGTGCATGGCGCGCACATGCAGATCACCCCCGAGCAGGGGGCGCTGCTGGCGCTGCTTGTGGAGCTGAGCGGGGCGCGACGGGTGGTGGAGGTGGGCACTTTCACCGGGTACTCGTCGCTGGCCATGGCACTGGTGGGTGGTGGCGGTGGTGGTGGGGGAAACAGTAAGTAAAGCAAAAGAGGGGCGGCGGTGGGGCGGCGGTGGGTGGTGGGGGAAGTGGGGAAGCCGGAGTGATGGTGTGAGGGAGCTTTGGTGGCGGCGGTGGTAATGCTGGCGGTAGGATGGAACGTGGAAGGAAGGGTGTGTTTGTGCCCATCCATCCTGAACACCCACCCCTGCTGTCGGCCCATGCGCCCTGCCTCACCCCTCCCCTTCCCCCTCCACCTCACAGGCGCTACCGGCGGAAGGGCGGCTGGTGGCACTCGACATCGACGAGCAGCCGGTGCAGATGGCCCGCAAGTACTGGCAGCTGGCGGGGGTGGGGGAGCGGGTGGAGGCGCGCATAGGTCCCGCGCTGGCCTCCCTGCAGCAGCTGCTGGAGCAGGAGGGACCCGGCTCGTACGACATGGCGTTCATTGGTGAGCCGTACTGCGAGGTTTGGGCTGCCGTACGGGACTACATGCAGCCGTGGCGGGGAGCACACTGCTATGGGTACCGGTAATGCCTTGCCGGTATTTCTCCTGAGGGCGCAGGAGGGAAGGTTAATGAATGGGTCTATCTTGTGATGGGGGTTGGTTAATGTATAATTGTAGGATCCGGTTGGTGTAATAAGTACACGAAGGGTACGACATGCCGCCCCTGGTTGCTGCCGTACCGTACTGCAGATGCAGACAAGCGCTCGTACGATGCTTACTACGAGATGCTGCTGCAATTGGTGCGGCCCGGAGGCCTAATTGCCATCGACAACACGCTCTTCTTCGGCCGAGTGGTCGAGCCGCAGGTACGGCAGTGCATTGTACGGCAATGTGTTAGAAACCTTACAATAACCGTTACCACGCCATGTTACGTGAGCCCCAATCGCAACGCGACTTCTGGTCATGACGTTTACGCACGAGTAGTCTGGCTGCGCACTCGGGTTGTCGTAAGAAAGACACAGCGGGGCAGTAGACCGTTTCTTTGCGTGTTCGTACCCCGCAGGCGGATGACAAGGCTGGGATCGCCCTGCGCGATCTGAACGCCAAGCTGTTGCGCGACGAGCGAGTGAGTGTGAGCATGGTGCCCATCGGTGACGGAATGACACTGTGCAGGCGGAGATGAAGGGGAGATGAAGGGGAGCGCCGGGGGACAGACGGGGCGGGGTGGGGATGTCGTGACTGAGCTGCGATGAGAGCGTGGGGAGTAGGTGTAAAGTGGAGACAGATAAGGCACATTAGGGTCAGCGATATGAGTGCTTTGGGGAGTGGGTGAAGTCCCAACTGCACAAGGGCCTGATTGGATACTGCTTTAAGTAGCCTGCAAGTAGCTGGGATCTAGGTTAGCTTACGGGGCTGCAGTACCGGTACGTATGGAAGGGCAGGAAGCAGACCGAGGATGGGTTGTCAAAGGGTATGTTATTGGTGCATGCAACGGGATAGTCATACGGCTATCATGCGCACGTGACATCTAGGCTTATTGACGCGCAAAGAGTCGTTACTGCGATTCTACGGTTGCTTTGGTTGTAGCGCATGCAACACGTCCTGTGAGTCCTTCCATAGGAGCCGGGTGGGTTCTTCGGCGGCAGGACATGCGAACATGCGATGGAAAGGCGGGCAGGGCGCCAATGCGCTGTCTGTGCATGCTAATAATACTGACATAGAATCTCATGTGATGAAAGATCCATACAAGGAGACCCAACGCTTGCTTACACCGATGGGCAACACACCCCGCACTGGCATGCGACTGACGGATGTTCCATTGGTGGCCCAACACAGGGCCACGTAGGGGCGCCGTCAGCCGCCACCCTGATGCCCTCGCTGTATCGCCGGCAAGCAAAAGCGCTCTCTTACACACAATCTCGCCTTTACAACTCCCTGCATGACACATGAGGCCACCCAGCGCCACAACACCAACGCCATGCTTAAATAGCACTGGTCCGTCAAGAGGCAAGAAAGGAGTCATGTGGGCCTGAAAGCCTCGGCTACACACATCAGCGCGGCTCCAAACAGGCACCACGTGATGCAGAGAACGCGGGGCAGACAGGCGGTCACTAGTCGTATGCACAGTTAAGACGAAGTCGAACCCGCGAACGAGCCCATCCATGCCAGACCCAGCATACACCTCGTGCCCCCCTCCCGCTTCACACTACTATATATTCATTGTCGTCACCAGTCGCAACAACAGAGATCAAACCAGCAGGCGGCCACTATCAGCCAAACTAGAGAAGCCTAAAGTAAGGAGACGAAAGTAGATGACCAAAACCAAAAGTCCCATGAAATATACAAGAGGCAGTGCTTCGGGTCGCCACCCCAACCAAATGGCATCACACATGGGATGCTGGCCTACAAAGCCCTCCACATCGCCACAGCCTGCCGGCCGCAAATAGGGCCCTCAGACAGTGAGCGACGCTGAAACAACCAGCAGCCTCCAACACCAGAAAGCTGTGCTGGTTGCCAACATCCCAGGTGACAGCCACTTCGGTACTCTGCTAACACCAAAGAGCCCCCTTCACGTCCCTCACCGCGGCTCCCGAGAAAAAGCCTCGACATCCCTCTTGTGTGATCGTTCTACTTCGTCCTTGTCAAGACCTGCACAGCGCACGAGTAACCACACAACAGCACACAACGAGACGTGTCAACCGCCCACTGTGCAAACGGGAGCCAGCACCAACATGTGGTGCACAGCGGCTGAGTAGCTCCGATGACATTCCGCCCTCAGCGCGGCATCCGCGTTCGCACGGTTGACCGATTGGATAGCAAACACACACGCACACTTCACAGCACACACCTCAACCAAACGTGTACGCTAGGTGGACCTAGGCCACCAGCAAAACCTAAAGCGATGGGCCTAAGCCATCACTATCCTACTTTTGTGTGTCCCAAAAGCTCACAACAGTTCTCTGGGCACACGTCTCGTTCGTTTTCAATCCTAGTCGCCAACAGCAACATCACCTGGTTGGCCAAGCCCCCAAGGCCACACATGTTGCGAGCCCTGGTCATCCCGCTTACGACATGCGTTGTTGCGGTCAATGTCCGTACACTGCACGCGCAAAAGATGCCGCCTAAGCGGCACGTGGCTAATGTGTGACAGCTCCACCAGCAGCTACTGCATTCGGTGAACAAACCACGACCACGACCTCTCTCAACATGCCACAACCAACAGCACGAAATATAGAAACACACAAACACACAATGTTGTGTCCAACGCCCGACGCCCGCCTGCAACATGCAGCGGACACACCCGCGCATCCTATCACGGCGACAGCTGATCGACTTGTAGCACAACTCTATTCTACTCTGCGCCTTGCCCGTCCTGTTCCGGTTGCTCCCGTGCAACGGCACTCAGCATGCGGAGCACACCCGGACGGCGCGGCGCACCCTCCTCACCCGACTCCATCGGAGCGTCCCCGTCATGCCCCGCACGCTCTTCTACTCCTACACCTCTACTAGACAAAGCGGCGTCAGCGCTGCGTTGCTCCCCCACGGTTGCTGTTGCCGTTGTTGTTGCATGTGTCAAATCCAAGCGTGGCAACCATCGCTGCTGGGCGTGCGCTGGATCAGAGTGCGCTTGGGCCCCGGTGGAGGGTGGCAGCATGGATAACCCCGTCGCTGGACTGCCGCTGCTGCTCCCAACAGCTCCCAACGGCGGCCGACCCGAGTCTGACCCCAGCGCGGGCGACAGCTGCTGCTGCTCCGAAGACGCCCTCCGTGCCTGGTGCTCGGAGGATTTTCGTCGCGGCAGCTCCTCCGTGCTCGGCGCGGTGTCAGAAAGCCGGTGCCGCGCTCTATGAGCCTGGTTGAACTGCATGAACGCCTCACGACTGTCACTCAAGTCCTGAGCGCTGCCAAGAGTCGTCCGCGAGGGCTCCTCCGCGGCCTCCTTCAACCCCGCCCCGGGCGCCGGCGTCATCAGGTGCGACTGGGCTCCCTGCACCTTTTCTCCACCACCTTGCAACAGTCCTGCTGTAGTACCACCTCCTGCTGTTCCAAAGTTGACGTCTGATGACATGGCAGGGTCACGAAGCTCTACCGACGCTATGGCGTCGTACGATCGTAGCGCTCCTGAGCCGTACGACAAATCACCGCCGTGTTGAGCAACCGCCCCCAAGCCGTGTGATGACCGCCTGGCCTCCGTACCAGCCGCCGTACCTCGGGAGCTTGTGGCTCCGCCCGCGTCGGGGCCCTCGCTTGCAGGCACATGCAAGCCGTCAGGCGTGGGGCTCAGCACAATCCTGGGGAACCCAGCCGAGCTCGGCTCCTCCCGGTACCTGGACTGGGACTGGCTGCGTCGCTCGTCACTGGCTCCTCCTCCAGCCGCGGCATGCGAGACCTCACCGGTTCCCGGCGCCACGTCATCTACGGGCGCTGCTGGCGAGGCAGCAGCCGGGCCCCATCGTGATCTGGCGCTCCGTACTACACCCAACGGCGGCCCCAGCTCGTGGCTGCTGTCACTCGCAGTGCCCCGACCCCCACGTGAGCCATCCAAGCGAGGGGTGGAGTGCTGCTCCTGCAGCTCGAAGCGCAAGGACTGGGAGGTGCGGATCTGGAGCGGCGGCAGGTGGTGGTGAGCGATAGGATGCTCGGTGCCGTACTGCGCATGCGGCGGCTGCAAGTCAACCGCACGCTCCGCCACAGCTCCATCCGATGCAACGCCACGGATCTCCGGGCTCCTGCCCGGCCCCCCTGCAGCCTGGCTGGTGAGGTAACGCAGCGAGAAGACCGCATCACTGTCGCCCGCGCTACCAACCGCTGCCAACGACGCGGCGTTGTGGTCTCCGCTGCCGACGTTGGGCCACACCGGGCGACCCGCCGCGTCCACCTCTACGTCGCCGGTGCCCGGCGCGGGAGCGCCGGTGCTCCTGCGAATGTCTTGGTCTGCGCCCTCATGCTGCTGCCTGGACACTTGGAGGACGGGATGAGACTGCGGGGTCAAGCGCTGTTGCTGTTGCTGGGACTGGGGCTGCTGCATGTGCACCTGGACACCGGAGGCATTGCCGGAACCGAACTCTCCAGGCTGACCCGCGCTGCGCGACTTGGGCGTGCTACCAGCAAAGACGTTGGCGTCGGCCTGGCCTGAACCACTGCCGCTGGCACCGCGCCCAGACGAGTTCGTTTGGGGCTGATGATGCTGGGGCCGTTTGGCTGCCAGGGACATGTCCGGAGGGCCGATGGAGGACGCCGTTTCCAAGTTCAAGCCGTACTGCGCAAAGACGGTGGGTGCGTTGCCACCAGCAACGGCCGCCGCTCCGGAACCGCTTTCGAGTTGCCAGGGGTACATGGTCGCCGCAGGAGCAGAGCGTGGGGTGACTGTAGGGCGTCCCGACGGCGCAAGCATGGGTGTTGCATGCGCCGCAGAAGCCACATTGGACAGCAGGTTCGCGTTGGAGGGCTCTGGGTTGGATGACTGCGGCCGCGGCGCCCCGGTGGAACCGCCAACCGGCCCCCGAGGCCCAGGGAGGGGCCCCATGGGTCGACCCGTGGCAGCTCCCCCAAGCGCAGGCGACTCGGGGCGCGCTCCGGAGCCAGGGGCTCCGCTCGTGCGCTCGGGCATGTAGCCACCTTGCGCCGGCAGGAGGCTGTTGCTGGTCTGTAAGAGCGGCTGACTGAGCGGCAGTTTGCTACTTCCGACACCGGCTAGCGTCCCGCTGAACACGGGCTGCAGCGGCGGAGGCGGCATGCCGAGCTGGGGGCTGCCGTCGGCGCTGGGCGGTCGTTGCGGGTGCTGTCGGGCGCTGAGGGGTCCGGAGGCGGGTTGGTGGTGGTGCGATTGCAGTGGCAAGGATGGCAAGGATGGCCGCGATGGCGGCGGAATGCTACTAGGTCTGGGAGCACCCGAAAACGTCGGCTGCAGGGAGGCGAACGCGTTACCGGGGCTGCCACCCGCTTGCCGTGGTCTTGACGGTGGGGGGTGCAGTGGGGGCTCGCCCAGCCCGCCCCAGTGCTGCCCGGGCTGCTCGCTGGTGCGGAGGGGTAGGTGGGGTTGCGGGTGGAGCTGTTGCTGGGCGGAGGTGGGGGTGGCCTGCTGCGGCACCGAGAGGTAGTCGGCACGGGAGCGGCGGAGGTCCTCCTCGCGGCCTTGGCGCATGCTGGTCGTCGCACTCACGGACTTGGCCTGGTCGGGCAGGTGCGCAGGAGGGTGTAGATGTCAGGCGAGATGTGAACGTTTCGCTAAGTTCACTAGTGGATATTCAGGAAACATAGGGCGTGAGAGGAGGCTTAAACGGTATGATTATGCCCTGAGCGGCGACAGTAACATGAGAACACAGGGGTCTACGTGAGGAATTCATGTGGCTGTCATTCTGCTGCTTACCTGCAATCCCTCAGCCTCCAGCCGAGACTCCAAGCACACCACCAACAGCTGGTGCGACCAGACATTGGTCCGCCTCCAGCCCGTGAGGGTTCGCCCCGCCAACGACTCATGGGGAATGCCGCGGATGACTAGCTCCCCGCCCGCATCCACCACCTCCGCCAGGTACACCTGCGCAGCGACATGAAGACATGCGCCCAATGTGTGTGCTTACATGGTGCAAGGCAATGAAAGGAAAAGAAAGACAAAGTGTAACTTGCTACCTGAACTGTCCGAGCAGCGCACGCAAGCTACAGCAGATACCGGAAGGATGCTTGGCGGCCATTCCCAACCGCGAGTACAAAGCAAACAGCCGCGCAGCAACCCTCTTCACCGTACCTGCGCCTCCAGCTCTCCGTTGACCTGGAACCTCACGAGCACCGGGTGCGGTAGCTTCACGGCGCCGTACAGGCTGTCCATGGCCTGCCGCGGGATCACCAGCGGGCCCGCACGTTCTCGCCGGGCATCCGGCTTGGGCTCGAGGACGGGCAACGTCGCCGCCACCACCGGAGGCTCCGCAGCCGCAGTACCCGTAGCAGCGGCGCCAGGCCCGTACCCCGCATCCTCCGGCAGGTGCTCGTGTGGGCTGGGCACCTGGGGGCTGCCGCCGCCAATGCCTCCAACAGCGAAGCCTGCCGGTGGGGAAAGCAGCGTGGGAGCTCCCAGGTCGTCGGGATCCGGGTTCTGTGCGTGGGCGCTTGGACTGGGCCTCTCGACGTTGGGCTGGACTCTGCTTGGCAGGCTGGGGCGAGCACCGGGCAGGTCGGCGGAGACGCTGGCGGTGCCGATGATCGAGCCACCCTGTAAGCAAGGGAGAATAAAGGGCCGTACGTTGAGTAATAGAGCACAGCGTCGCTCCTAGCTCTACATCGTGCAAGTCACAGTGCATGACAGCACTGTGTTAACACTGCCTCAACTATGAAGGAAGCCCAAGTCACCTGAGGGTGGCTGGGAGCGCTACGCACGGACTTGTTTTCCACGAGGACTTGCGCTTGCGGCACGGTCTTCAAGCAGAGCACCAGGCAGCCGTCCTCGCTGATCATCCAGTCCTGCTGCGACCGACCCTCCAGCACACTGGGCGGGAGGTTGTACAGGTAGCAGTGGCCTTGGTGACCGGTGCGGTGAATCTGTGTGGAGTGCGGGGGAAGGGAGCACAGGGACAACAGCATGGTTAAGACATACGGTCGTTGCCATCAGAGCAGGTGCAAACAAAGGCAAGGTTTCAAGCCCAGAGCCAAGCAGAAGCAGACGGTGTATTGTGCGCTTCCAGTTACCTCGCAAGGGAAGATCTGGGGCTGCAGACTGCCGTCCAACGTGCAGCGTACAGAGACCGCTGCCGGCAAGTACTCCGGCGGCAAGAGCTCACTGACGTTAGCAGGTAGCCGCAACGGCGCCGCCGCAACCGGCCCAGCAATGCCCGATGCCTGCAGCAAGCTCCCAGTGCCTGTCAGCTGCGTGGCTCCCGGCATGGACAAGTTGGACGCAATGCTGGTGGTTGCGCCCAGCTGCGACAGCATGGCACCCGTCCCGCCGCGCTGTTGCTGCGGCGGGGCCAGCGGCGGAGGCGGCTCCAAGCCCAGTCCCTCCGCTGGCGGCAGCACTGCCGCGAAGGCCGTCCCGCCAGGCACCTCGGAGAAGTTCGTGAGCCGCGACGCCTGCCCTCCTGAGCTCCGGGGTACTGGCACGGGTGCGGGCGGGGGGACCTGCGCGTTCAGCCCCTCGCTCGCCGTCCGGCCTAGCGAACCCCGGTACTGCGCCGGCACACCGCCTGGCAGCTGCCCCAACATCTGCGGCAGCGGGTTAGGTTGCGACCTGCTGGTCAGCAGCGGCTGCTGAGCGTCCCGCGCATCTCGCCCTCCCGTGTAACCCCGGCTGGGGCCAGGCGCCAAGTTCTGGGCTTGCGCTCCACGGCGGTTGGCGTTCATGGCACCAGCAGCGCCTCCTGGGCCGTACAGCCCCCGCTGCAACTCGGCCGCGAGAGCCACCATCAGGCGCGGGTCGCTGGGTCCGAGTACTTTCCGCAGCTCGCTATCGCCGCTGAGGCCGCTGATGTCGTCCTCTTCCTCTCCCATCTGCGGCAGCCTGGCCCCGCCCTGTAGTGCCATTGCACGATGGTACTGGCCGCCTTCCACTCCATCGTCAACCTCGGGGCCCGGTGGCTGCTGCTGCTGCATCATAAGCAAGGCCTCCTCATCTGAGTACGGCAGCACAGGCCGCGGCTGCGGGGCACGTGCCAGCCGAGGGGATGGCGGCGACAGCGCTGCCTGCAGCGACGGTTGCTGCTGCATTAACAGCTGCTGCACTTGCTGCTGTTGGTCCTCCTCATCGTCGTCCTCCTTGCCCTGGAAGCCCTCTGCGATGGCGGCCGCAATCTCGTCTTTGGAGGGCGATCGCAGCAGCAGCACGAGGCCGTCGGCTGGTGTGTGGTTCCAGCCCAAGAACCACTTGCCCATTGCTGCGCGCTTCAAGGTCCGGCTCGTAATCCAGTAGTAGTGCGCGCCCTTGTTGTACAGCAGGTCCGCCGGGTGCACCTCAGCGTGCATCCGGTTGTCCAACATCACCTGAGGCGAGGGAGAGGGGAAAGGTTACACGGAAAGTTGGCTATAGCATCTGGTGAGCCTTGTGCTGGGCGGGCAGGCATTGGTGTGTGGAATGCCGTAATTCAAATTTTGAGCGAAAGTAAGTATGATTGGGCTGTTCGTAGCGCTCCTGGTCACATGTGCTTACCTTGACTTGCAGCTCAGTGCGCGCCCCGACCTCGCCAAGCCACTCCCGGACCTGCCCAACTCCGATGTACAAGCGCGTCGTGGTGCGCACAAGCTTTGCACAGCCCTGCGCAGAGATACGACAGGCGTTGAAGTATATGACCTGTGTACGTTCTGTGCAGGCTGCTCATGAAACCACTACATGCCTGCACCAAAGAAGCTACAGCCCAACACTCACCCTGCCGGTTGTGGATGCCCTCGAGCCACCACGCGCCCGCCCGCCTGCACCTCCACGTCTGGACCCAAGCCGGGCCGTCGGCACCATGACCGGTGCGACCAGCCTCTGGGGCGGCTCCACCTGCAATGCGCCGTAGCCAGTCAGCTGGATGGATGTTTGGCGGGAGCATCCCAGGTGCTCTCTGATAGCCTTTAATACCCACTCACCGGGGCCCGCGCAGCATCCCGGCCGTCCTGCCGCCAGTCCATCCCCGTGCTCGGGGCCGCCAGTTCACGGCCTTCCCACTCAGCCAGCGGACGTCCCCCGAGGGCTGGCAACTTGGGCTGCAGGAGGTGGTTCGACGGAATTTGATATATGGGCATAGTTTAAGTTGCACAGATCGTGCGAATGTCATTGACTAGCTATGCCCTCACCTGCCCGTCCGGAGCTTCCGAGGGCGCTTGCCGTTTACGGCCTAAGGCCATGCGCTGTTCGTCAGCCGGGTCAGGTGGCTGCAGCCGGAGCTTTATTGTGTCGTCCCCAACCCGCACCCAATCGGCAACAAGATGACCCGGAAAATGGTCCTGACATATGCTCCACAAACCGGACCTGCATACAAACAAATTAGAAATGGTCCGTGCAAGCGCCAAAAACCAGCGATAAGATGCAGCGTTTGTAGGCCTTTAAATTTGCAGGCGATTTAAACTCACAGCTTAAGCTCTGAGTCCTCAGCAACTGAGACGAAGCCGCGTGCGAACAAATCTTCAACCGGCTGCCCAGCCACCTCGAAGGTGACATTGACTGCTTTAGGAAGAGGACAAGCGCCATACTCGACGTCCCAGAAGCGGCGCGGGACAGTAATGATAGGGGATAGGCTCTGCATCCGGCCACCGCCTCTTTAGACGCACGGAGCCAAGACCGGCGCCCCTTGCAAGCCGCCAGATTTCATGTCTTCATCCCGGTGTGCATGTTACAGCTAATTTTAGCAAAAAGTTGACGTAGAAAACGACCAGAAGGTATTGGAAAAATTTTCAAGTAGTTGAACTGCGGGGTCAAAGCCCCAAGCAAGCAGCGGGTATCATCATGTTGTAAGGCTTTAAAATCGCGTCAAATGCCTGCTCTTGAGCTGCTGGCTCTGTTTAGAGAAGACTTGCACACCAATGGAAGGGCAGACAACCCGTTACGACCAGTATTTCTTCAGATTTGCCTACCTAATCAATTCTACTAGTGAGGTGAGTGTGTAGGTTTGCACTAGCTTGCGGTCTAACCATACCCCTTTCATTGCCGTACACACGCTTGCTCCGACCGATCGTGGTCTATCCATCCCCCTACATGACCAAAGTACACTATGTGAATTATCAACAACAACTTGCGCTAAAACGCTTTAACTCATTTTGGCGGGCAACTCCGTGCCTGTTTACGCCCTACAGCTTATGTTTAAGTTAAGGTGCAAAAGCTAAACGACGAGCTACATACAACGGATACAGGTATCGAGCGATCAGAAAAGGAAACGACGTGCAGCATTAAGCGACAGTATACCGGTACTTCATACGTTTTGACGATTCACACACGAGACATTTTGGGTCGCAGAAGGCCCAAGCTTTCATACCTGGCACCACTCGCCGAATTGACAGTCGACAGCCAATTGTAGTGGACCAGCTGGACCGAACAGCTAGGTTTTGAAAGTACACCATAGTCTTTTCTGAAAGACTCCACACTAAAGAACAATGATCAGTATACAATGACCTTCGAAGCAAAGCTTTCCTGGTGCATGCCAATCGCAATGGAGAAAAGAGCAGCTACAGCTGCACATGTGCCATGCATGCAGTTGTTGCAATACACATGGGCCGGAAAGCGACGATTGCAGCGTGCTCTACCGTGGGAGACCCCGCCATGTGTAGGTGTGCACGGTTGATGGATGGGCACCCGTTGCTGCTGCCTATCGAAAAGCGAAGAGCGTTAATTGCACAGGCACAATGCATGTGGCTATTCTTGACGCACATGGGCCGGAAAGCGACGATTGCAACGTGCTCTACCGTGGGAGACCCCTCCATGTGTAGGTATGCACGGTTGATGGATGGGCACCCGTTGCTGCTGCCTATCGACAAGCGAACAGCGTTGATTGCATATGCACAATGCATGTGGCTATTCTTGACGCACATGGGCGGGAAAGCGGTAATTCGGCCGCTCCCACGTCGTGCAGGTGCGGCAGCTGGCCTGGGCGCGGGGAGCGCGGCAGGAGCCGGTGAGTTTGTGTTATTGTGAGTTTGTGTTGAGCAAAAACACCAGCTCTAGCATCCCGCGGCGGTTGACTCCGTACGCGGTTGGGCTCCCGCAAAGAGCACGGCCGCTGTGTCCCAATGGCGACGACTGTCCTATGAAATTGATCTCAAGCGTGCCGGGGGTTTGTTGTTTGCGCGTAGCACCTTTAAAGCTGCCTTCTCACTGGGATCTGCTCTGCTTTCACCATATCAATAACACCAGCTTAAGCAACCCGCGCCGACTGAGTGTGCGGTTGGGCTATGCGCAAAGAGTGTTTGCAGCCGGTCCCGACACGCCCCGGCTCGGAGGGTGGCCGAGGCGCCGAGGCCACGCACTGGACAGCGGAGGAGCTTTCTGGGGTTGGGGGCGGATGCCAGTTTTCGTTGAGGTGCTGGGCGCGCAGCATGCACGCCCAGTGTGCACCCCCGCCACCAAAAATGCAGCTTGGTTTGGGGACGTACAGTGAGGCACTCACCTGCAGCCCAACACGCTGTGCCGGCAGCTGTGCTACACACTTCTGGGTTGGGCATTCTAAATGGCCATCCATCCTGTGCCCTGCCCCCTTCCATCTACCCTGTGCCCAGGTGGAGGTGCAGGCGGAGCTCCGGCGGCATTGGGTATGTGCGTTTACGTCGTACCCTTGGATCTTATAACCCCACACGACAGATAACGAGTTTGGATATCTATGAAGTTCACCTTGTATGTAAGGATAGCTGAAGGGCTGCTCTTGAAGAGGATGCCTTACGTGTGCCAAGTCGGGTGCTGATAACACATGCTATCCAGCCCCTAGGTACTAAGCATGCACCTGCCGGTGCACCTCGTTGAGGTTAGGATTGTCAGGCCTGGCCTAACCTGCCCAACCATGCATGCTGCAGACCGCATGTAAGCAGCCCATGCCAGGTACCGTCAGCAAAGGTACCGTCGCAGGCCACCAATGGGAAAGCACTGCCAACGGGGCTACGGATATGGCTTCCCTTCATAAGCAGGTACAGAGCAGGCATTGGCATTCGCCTTGAGACGTCAGGGGCAAGGTACCGGTATGTACCCCGGGCCTAAGCCACGTTAGCGCGCATTCTGCTATCCAAGTTCCAACCAAGGAATAAACATCCGGAAGGTGGCCAGAAGAGTGATAAATGTGTCCCGGATACCTGCATACACTAGACTTTTAGCCCCGTCCTAGTCAAGTGAGGCTAGTTCTTGTCCACCCACGGTTCTTGTTCACCTTCCATTGTACCGGCATACCCTCCGTTCAGCCATCACGGCCACGCCGTCGGCAACTTGCCTGCCTCGTCCCATGCAACACCTTCCTACCTGAACCTGCGAGTGTGGGCTCTGCACAGGGGTGTCTGCTGTGGCTCTCACGGACATTGATTGTACGCGCGTGCAGGCCGTAACTGTAACTGCATTGCGACAGCGGCTACGTCACGGCTCTGCATGGCGGGGTCCACGTGCAAATCGCATGTGCCTGCTGCTACCAACACCACTGCAGCGGCTACTACAATGACCACGGCAACAGCGGACCAGGCACGCAGGGAGCAGCTTAAAGGTGAGAACAGGTGCGCACGCTGGAGCTCGTGCCCCACAAGCCTAGGGCTGACCGGCAGCAATGCATGCTTGCGTGGCATGATGTGCTTCGCATGCAACAGGGGGGGCCTAGCTAGGTAACAAGTCCCCAGTGATACATCTTTAGAAGTATGTTGCCCGCTTATTGCGTCGCTGGGATCAGCAGTTCCGTCTCCGCAGCTGTGCTCTCCAGAGCTCGTGGGAGGGTACCGGTATTTGGTTAGACCCGGCCATATACTGCAGCTATCCCGCCATGCCAAGGTGTGGCGCCCCGTTACCGCCACGTGCACTTCACCGGCAGGCTAGGGCGGGGCACTGGGGCTGCTTTTGCGAATGTTCTGGTGACGCCAGCCTAAGGGGGAGGTGGTGTTGGCCCGCACCTGTTGAGCTGGTCTAAGTGAGGTTATGACATGAGTGGCAGGCAAACGGTCCTTGTCCGGTCTGGCGTGTCAACTGTTGAGCTCCTTACTGTCCTTTTAGGTGGGCTGGCGGTCTTCTTTACGCCCTAAGGTTCCAGTACCCTTGGTTTGTCCTGTACCTTCCCATTCCTGGTCCTATTTCTGTGATACTTCACAATATGAAGAAAGGACGCACCGGCTTTCCTAGGGTGTACGTCCAGACTATCGTGTACGATTGCGTTACATGGGAGGGCATACCGTACTCCATTGGAAGCGAGTCGCGTCTTAAGCACGACGATGCTTTCCCTTTTTACAGCTTTATTATCATGGGGTACATAGCCACCATAAGCGAGCCTAAGTAAGCCACGTGTACTCGGGACACGGAAACCCATCCATTCAGTACCATTCCTGCCGATCCTGCCTTTATGTCTCCTCTCACTCAAAAAGAAGACAATGGACCCAAATCACTGTTACGCTCCAACAACCAACTACGCTATTGCCTCTGCCACACGATACACTTGACGACACTTCACATTATATGCCTCTACTCTGCCTCGATGCATGGTAGGTTGCCCTGCCATTCAGGAAGCTGGCTCACCCAAAATGCCTGCTAGCACTAGCGCCAATGCAAACCTGGTGCCAGTATGCCGTGCTAGAGCCAAAGTAAGGCCCCGTATTGCATGACCAGTCAGCAGGCGTGGTTTGTGAAATGTGATGCATCCATACCCCCGCATGCCGCATGCTGCCTCGTCGTACAAGCACGCCCAACCCTCAGCACCAACTCAATCTAACGAATCGTCGTTATGTCAGACGGCGTGTCCCAGTTACCACTCTACCAGGACTACCCCCCAACTATCATGGCCATTATGTCAGCGCACATGGCCCCGGCCCATCCCCTGTTGTATCCTTACCCACCCAAGCAATCACGCCAAGGTGAGCACCCTGCTTTCGCCAGAAGCCCAACGCCCTCGCTGAGGGAGCGAAGACAAATTTAAAACACAATGCCTACACGATGCGGTGAAAGGATGATCGCACCCAGTACAATGTCCCAGTTGCTCGCCTCGCGACCCTCAACCTGCTGCGCTGGCGCAGGCTGCCTTCCCTACCTCCCCACCCTTTGCCCCCGCCCTCCGCTGCTGAAGCCCACCATGCTAACACACATGTTCCCGTTTTCAGCTTACGGGATTGCTCCGCCTTCCCTTGCTGCTGCCAGGCTGCGGCATTGCCTCAACGCTGTCTGTCATCCATCATGCCGCTCTGCTATTAAATAAGCTGTCGCTTAATGTGGGGTGCTTTCTCCGTGTCCTCCTGGATTTCGTTCAAGGCCTCCTCAAACATAAGAGCGGCTTGGGCTTCAAGTCGCTCTTGGTCCCGCTTCGGACCCTGCTTCATTCTCTACACGTAACGCATCGGGGCGAGGGTAAAGGGTTTATTAGCAGCGGAACAGCCGCTACGGTGATGGGAGCCGAGGGGTATGCACATACCAGGCGGGTCTCGCTCTCCGTCATGTGAACATAATAGATAGTAGCAGCCGCCAACAGGCAGGAGCCTCCAAACACCGCAGCACCACGTGACGCCATTTTTAGAACGTATGTGGAAAAGGACAGATGGCCCTGGCATTTGCAAATGCGCAATTAACGGTACGATAATCGTACAGTCCAGGATTCCAACTTTTTTTGCTTATGCCATGCGCTACCTCTCCGCAGCATTAGCCTTCGGGTGGTTGTGAATCCTGTTCCCGCGGCTATTAGCCGCCTTCACTGTCGACTTCGGAACAGGCCTGCCTAGAGCGGCGCTGCAACTGCACATTATTTAGCCTTTCTATCCCTCCTAGACAAAATGGGCTGGACTTGGGCTGGGGAATGGGGCATGCTAGCGGGGTTCTGCTTTGCTAACCTAAAGAACTGGCAAGAGGGCCGGGCATGGTTCAGGCGACCATGGATTCACGCTAGTGGAATGGTTGCTGGTTACTACCTCTTCAAGGCGGCTTCTGACTGGGAGGATGAGGCCCTGCAGCGCATCATCTCTCGTTACGAGCGCAAGGGCTACATTATCCCGGCGGACCGCAAGGAGCTGTTTGGGCCGGCGCCTTACAAGTAAAAAGCTGTACGCACATACGGTAAGGTTGGGGTAATTTGCCCTCCGCCATTGTGTTCCTTACTTACTCCCATGGCTCTGCTGACTGGATCTACATGATATTTGCAATAGGATTTGCATTTGTTGTGGTAGGTAAGATTAGTAGTTTGCTTGGGGGCGCTTCTGCCTGCGAGCGCCGCATGGCACGGCACCCGTTTACATGTGTTTTGCAAGCGGAGGCGAAGCCGCTTAGCATACAATGCTGGTGGTTTGTTCATCATGTTGTAAGAGCTCGCCGACGTCCCCGAAGGCCCCCAACCCTTGCTTACTCCCCGCGTGCCTCGACATCTTGCCCCCTGTTCCCCCACCAGGTCCTGGACCTCGGTGCGGAGGCGGCCGCGTTGTTCTAGCAGTGAAAGTATGTCTTAGCCAGCAGCCTTTGCAAGGCGCCCTTGCAGCACAGTGGAGCGAGACGACGTGTGCCTTCATGTGACCACTCGGATGCGGTTCCTTTAGGGCAAGGAGGGTATTAGAGCCGCACGCTGGTACAGCTTAGTGTGACGGATGTGGGTGGCGGCCCTCTCCCACATGGCTGCCCCTTGGTGTTGACGCCGAGATGCTGGCAGCGCTGGTTTGGAAAGGGGACTGCTTGGAGAGACGACGTATGCTGTGGCCCCTAAGCGGACCAGCCATCTCGGAGCGTTACATGGCGCTAATGTAACAAATAAACCCCAATCACCTATCAGGTCCAACTCCCCATCATGAGTCACTTCTTCTGGCCACCCTGATCACACATGAACAACCCATGCGTATGCCATCGATGCCATGCTCATGCAATCAAGGCGGGGCCCCGGTTAGCGGCCTCCGTCTCCAGTGTTGAGGGCCTCCGCACCCCGGCCGAGCCGGTTCGCATCACCCGGGCGAGCTCCTCAATGCGGAAGGGCTTGACCAGGAAGGCCTCGATGCCCGCCTCCCTGCAGCGGTCATGCAGCGTCTGCACACGGGTACACGGCAGCGGAGAGGGGGTGGGAATGGGTTCAGCGGGCCACTGGGGAGGCCCTGCGGGACCTGGGAATTGGGATGCCCAGCGGGACACGAGCGTAAGAACATGACGCAACCAATTACACCGGACTGTTTTTGCGACGCAGCTTAAACAGGATGCATTGGGGGCTCCGTTGGCTACGCATGCAACCAGCGCCTCCTTACATCTTTAGCCCCACAAACCCCCTAAAGCACCAAATGGGTCATCAATTCTCGCAGGTCCTATCCCTACTTTCTCGCAATTCCGTTTACACGGCATTTAGCCATCGTGCTTCAGCCCACATGGCCCGGTGTCACGACCTCTTTCCCGCATGCGACCCTTCCACGTTCCGCTCCACGCACCGCACCTGGACTGTGTCAGCCGACAGCGCAATGATGCGCGGCCGCTCCTCCGGTTTGAACAGCTCCTGGATGCGCCTGCTGGCCTCCAGGCCGTCCATCTCGGGCATGTGGATGTCCTGCGGGGGGTGTTAGGCCGGGTGCGCCAGCAAGTCAGCAACCTCAGCATGCAAGTTGACGTCCAAGGGCCACAGGCGGGATGCGGAAAGAGACGACATAGGATAGTGGGCGTGTGGCATGGAATTGAGTCCTCCTAAGATACCGTACGTGGCTGCTGGGGCGTGAGAGATACGTAGCCACGAGGAGGAGCCCCGAACGCGCAACCTAAGTAATAATTGAATGTCGCGATGGGTTCGCCCCGCATGCAGCAAGCCCCCTAGCCCGGATGTTGCTACCGGTATCTGTACACAGGGCCCCCGGGGCCGGTCCCCCACCATGAGTATTAGGTCGTACGTCTTCTTCTGCAGCGCCTGCAGCACCTGTACCCCGTTCTCCACCACGTCGGGAGGCTGGGAGCCGGGCAGGATCCGCTGCAGCACCTTGAGCACCACCTGCGGAGGGGAATCAGGTGAGTGGAAGGGGCGCTTGTCTCAGTGCCGGCTCTTGGGAAGTTATGGTGTCGGTATGTCTACTGGTGGCTTGCCGGTATCTCATCCGCCGGTGGCGAATTAATGCCGTATGACATCATTACATCCCCCATAATCGGACGCAAGCGTACCCACAAACATAGAAACGAGGGGCCAACTAACTCAAACGAACGTATGTAGGACGGCCGGGGCCGGCTATGCCGCCAAGCAGCTCCACTCACCTTTTGGTTGATCTTGTTGTCTTCAGCGATCAGAATGCGCAGATGCTGCAGGCTGGCTTGCTGCTGCTGCTGACCCTCAGCACCCGCCGCGCTTACGGCTGGTGTGACGGAAGAAGGGGCCGCAGTCGCCGCAGGAGCAGCAGCCGTGATAGCAGCAGCAGCTGACGTGGATGGCGGCCCCGCTTGCTGCAGTTGCGGTGCCGTACCGGTGCCGGACCAATAGCCGTTGGGAGGCAGGCTGGGGGCCGGCAGCAGCGCCCTAGCCCCCGACAGGTCGTCCGAGACCGCCGGGAGCTCTGGCAGGGCAAACACAATCCGGGCAGACGTAGCGGCTGGTTTAGGATTCGAGCATGGGCACACCGTACTCACAGCAGGGCGCACGGCATTTGCAGGGAAGAGACCAAAATGACTCACCAGTACTACCCCTTGAATCCCCTAGGGGAGCTACAGGTTCAGGCACAGAAAATGCAGACGGGGGGGTCCAATAACCCAGCAAGGAAGCCGCCACCCACCATCCCCGCCCCCGGCAACAGCCGCCCCGCTCACCATCATGCTCGGGAATGGGTGCCTGCTGCACCGCCGAGGTGCACTTCCCCGCCATGCCGCCGCGCGCAAACAGCCCCAGCCCAACTCCTGAAGCACCCACACCCACACCCAGGCCCAGGCCCATGCCCAGGCCGGCGCCTGCACCCACACCCATGCCGACAACCGCAGCAGCAGCAGCAGCAGCAGCAGCCGCCCCCGGCCCCCCGGCTCGTGTCATGGCCGCTCGTTCCAGCGCGGAGTTGTCCAGGGAGGTGCGGCGGTTGATGCCCTCGCTGTCGGAGCCGCGCTTCAGCCGCCAGGACTTGAGCGTCTGCGGACCGGACAGCAGCACAGCACCGGAGGGGAGGGGAGGTCAGCGGGTGGCCCCCGATCGACACACAGCTTAACCGCTAACGCATGAAAAGCCACAGGCCCCACAGGCCTTCCAGACCTCCTCCCTGCCGTACTTACCGATAAAATAGGAGAATTCGACCCAGGGCAGCCCAGGGGGTCCTCAAAGACCTCCTCCTTAATGACCCCAACTAGCACTCCCTCTCAGCCCTCCCTTCTTCCAACTACCGCTACCGGTATACTGCTCCTCTTCCGTCCCGTTCGGTATGGTCTTTTCCCTCCTCCGTTCACCTCCTCCCCTCCTCCTCCCCCTCCTCCCCCTCCGTCCCCCTCCTCCTCCCCCTCCGTCCCCCTCCTCCTCCCCCTCCTCCGCACCTGTATGGACTCGTTGGGTATGGGCGCGTTGCCCAACTTGGGCGCGCTACTGCCGTTCCACCGCAGCAGCGCCGTCGCCTTCACCAGCGCCGTTACCAGCCGGGAGTGCTTCACTGGCAGCACCGTCACCACCACCAGCGGCTGCAGCGCGGGAGGCAGCTGCTCTCGGTCGCCCAGGGCAACCACCGGCCTCCCCTTCCAACCCGCCTTGAGCGCCGAAACCAGGCGGTCCATGGAGACGACGAGTATGTCGTACGATTGAGGCGGCGGTACGGCAGCAGACTGGGAGGGTACGGCAGATGTGATGATGGCGGGGGTGGCTGAGGTGGAGATGGACGTGGGGGTCGTGGCGTCGGTGGTTGCTAAGGTGGAAGAGAAGATTGCAGGAAAAAGCGAGAGCGAGGAGGCAGTCGGTGAGGGTGAGGGTGAGGACGGTCGAGCTGCACTATCGGGATCCACCACCGCCGCCACCGCCGCCGAAGATGAGGACGGCGACGGCGACGGCAATGATGCCGTTGTCGTACTCCCCGTCGCAGCTTGTACGGCAACCAGGCCCATCTGCCTGCAGCTGTTCCACACCTGGGTCGACGTGGCGGCATGTGTCACATCCACTAGCACCGACCGCCCCAGCAGAACGGCCCGCTCGTCCGCCGCCACGCTGGACGTGCGGCCAGTGCTGCTGACGGCCGCATGCGAGGGCGACAAGGGGGACGGCAGGCTGCCGCTGTCGCCGCTGTCAATGGGGGTGCCGTCAGGCAACCAGGGCGAGGTACGGAGCTCCCGGGGTCCCCGGCCGCTGCCGCCGCTCCCGCCGCCGCCGCAGCTGCCGCCGCTGCTACTGCTCAGGCGGCTGCTGCTGCCGCCGCCAGCACCGCCAGAGGAGCGGCCGCTCGGTGCACCGTCCGCCACCGCCGTCGTACACCCACCACCAACACCACCGCCGCCGCCGCCGCCGCCTGCAGCACTACTCCCGCCGCCATACCCACCGCTCCCCGCGTTGCCCTCGTCAGTGGAGGTCCGCGGGGTGCAGTCACTGGACTGGGTGGGAGTGGAACCCGCGCTTCGAGCGGGGGAGTACATCCACGGCGTCGCAGCAGCCGCCCATTCCGCACGCAGAGTGAAATGGAAGGTAGACCCGCGTCCCGGCTGCGATTCCACCCACACGTCACCATGCATCAGCTGCGCAAGCCGCTTACTAATGACCAGCCCCAGCCCGGTTCCGCCGTACCGTCGGGACATGGTTTCGGAGCCTTGTCGGAAGTGCTGGAAGAGCTTTCGAGCGGATTCCTCGCTGATGCCGATACCCGTGTCGGTTACGGAGATGTGTACGACAGTGTTGTCGTTGTTGTCTTCGTTGTTGTTGTTGACGTCATCAGCGTCGCCGCTTTCGCCGTCAGGGTCATCAGCGTCTGCATCCCGCTGGCCTTGGCAGCCGCCATCCCTACTACCCTTGTCCTGATCATGCGGATCAGCGGCAGCCGCAGCCGCCGCCGCCGCAGCAGCGGTGCAGGTGGATGAAGAGGACAAGCTGGCAGCGGCGACAGCGTGGGTCGAGGTCCCGGCGGGTGCGGCAGGCGCGCCGGTGGTACCGGATGATGATGAGGAAGCAGCAGCCCGGGCTGCAGCTTCGTCCTCATGTGGGTTGCGGCAGTGGGCTGCCTTCTCCACACCCACACGCACCACCACCTCCCCTCGCTCCGTGAACTTGACCGCGTTGGACAGCAGGTTGGCTAGCACCTGTGGGAGGGGGGGGAATAAATAAAAAGTAAAGCAACGCAGTCCCCATCCCATATCCCGACTCATGCAGCGAGCGTGGGGGTTGGAGTGGGGGTCGGGGGGGTGCCAGGTGAGGCAGGGTGACGTACGGGGGGTACGAGGCAATCGGGAGATGTACGGGCAGGAATGCCTTTCGGCCGGTCAAACACCACCATTAGTTCACTACCGGGGCGCTCAGCTTTCTGGGTGCAATGCCATAAACACCACAGCCACCTTCCTCTCGCCCTCCTCCCGCCCTCCTCCCCGCCCTCTCCCCCCCCCGCTCTGCAGTGGGCTCACCTGCCGTACCCTCACCGGGTCCCCCAGCAGTGGCCGCTCCAGCGCCTCATCCGCCGCCAGGTAGGCCAGCGCCAGACCCTTCTTGGCGGCCTCGGCAGCCACCAGCTCGATACACGCCTCGGTGGCCTGGCGGGGGGGAGAGGGGGCGGGGCAGGGGGAGATGGTAAAAGAGCATACCGAGCCATAGGAAACCACATGTTGGGGCAAAGAAATGGGTAGGAAGGCAGGCGGTATGGGGACGCCAGGGCAGCACATAGCCGCCCCGCAACACGCATGGTTGTCAAACCCCAACCCTGGCCCCCCCCTACCGCACCCGCCCTCGCACCCCCCCACCTGTCGCAGGCACATGGGTCGCCTCTGCAGTTCCAGCGAGCCGTGGTCAATCTTGGAGAAGTCCAGTATGTCGCCCAGGATGCCCAGCAGCGTGCACCCGCTCTCAAGCAGCGTCTCAGCCAGCTCACGCTGCGTGGGGGTGGTGGGGGTGTTGGTGATGGTGGTGATGGGGGTGACAGGAGCGGGAGCAGGGGGGGCGTGGGGGAACAAGGCATGGAAAAAGAAAAGGAGGTGCCACGCCGCAATAATGCCGGAACTCCCAAACCGCCGCTAGCCCCCCCCTTGTCCCCTTCTTCCCTCACTCCTAACAACGGACAACTGCCGAATCCGGTACCCTGTATGTGTGTTAAAATAACTGGCCGCGAGGCGAAACGAACTGTGATTGCCGAAAGATGGAGTCCTCCCACCGAAAACGCCACAGGTGAAGTGAAGTCCGTTGGTATGTGTGTGTGTGTCGTACCCCACCTGCTCCGGGTTGAGTAGCGAGGCCAGCAGCAGCTGCGTGGTGGCGATCATGCCGTTGAGGGGGGTGCGGATCTCGTGACTCATGTTGGCCAGGAACTGCGACTTGGCCTGCGTGGCACTCTCAGCCGCCTCCTTGGCGTCTCGCAGCCGGGCCTCGGACTGCTTGCGAGCCAGCTGCGGGGAGGGGGGGCGGAAGGGGGTAGTATGTAGTAACCGCTTCTTTGGCCTCCATTAGCCCGCGCGACCTCTTCCTCCCTCCCTCCGCACTCCGAATCTCCCCTCCGCACTCTCCTCACCCTTAACCCCCAACCCCCCTCACCAGCTCCGACACGTCGTTCTGCACCCCGATGTAAGCCACCAGCTGCCCCGTACGGGGGTGCCGTACGGGGGCCAGCCGCAGCTCGTTCCAGAACCTGGATCCGGTCTTCGTGTAGTTGAGCAGCTGCACACTGACCGACTCGCAGCGGCCGAGCGCGTCACGGATGGCCTGCACGGCTGCGGGGTCGGTGTCGGGGCCCTGCAGGAAGCGACAGTTGCGGCCCAACACCTGTGCGACAGGGGGAGCAGGAGGGGAAGGAATACCGGTAGGAGCGCGGTGGTCAGGGCTGTGTTGGAGGCTGTGCCGAGGGCAGATGGAAGATGGGAACAGAGCAGGAGTGGTGAGAGAGGTACCGTATCGACATGTGCCGGTAACCGCTCTCTCCATGCCTCCCGCCCCTACCCGCCCGTCCCCTTCCTACCACAGACCATCACCCTCCCTTGCGCCCCTTCCATAGCCTCTTCCGTCTTCCCTCAGCCCTTCCCCGCACGCCCGTCCCCTGCCTCTGTTGCAAACCATGATGACGCCTTGTCATTCTTTCTTCTTTACCCCCTGTCCGAGTCACAGTGTTTCTGCGGCTCAGTTTACCTAATCCCCCTGTCCGCCCCTCTCTCACCTCCTCCCGACTGTACCCGGTCATGTCCAGGAAGGCCTGGTTGGTGTACACGATTGGGTGGTCGGGCGCGGAGGGGTCGGAGATGGTGATACCCTCCTTCACGGCCCCCAGCGCCAGGTCGTGCAGGCAGCACCGGGGCTCACCACCCAGGCCGCCGCCCACATCGCCTCCGCAGCTGCCGCTGCCCAGTCCGCGCATGGTCGTCAAGGAAGCGCACCCAACTGCACGTTCTCCACCTCCTCCAACCACTACAACTCCTTCATCTAGGCTGCTGCTGCCGCTGTTGCATGTCTCGCTGCTGCTGCTGCTGCTCGCCCCCGCGCTGTCGCAACCCCAGGAGGTGCTGATGTTGGTGGTGGTGGTGCCGGTGGTAGTGGGTGGTGCTGCCGCGGCTGCTGCTGCTGCCAGAGCCTCCAGCAAAGCAGGAGAGGTCCCGGCTAGCAGCCCGCCGGGTTGAGGTGCCGCCACCGCCGCCTCGGAGGCTGTCGGAGCCGCATCGGGTGGCTGGTGCAGCGGGTCTGCTCCGCCTGCTCCCTGGCATTGCCGCACTGTCGAGGACTGCTCCTCTTCTTCTTGTTGCTGCTGTTGCGGCTCTTCCTGCCGTTGTTGTTGCTGCTGATGCTGCTCCCCTCGGCTCAGCTGCTGCTGCTGCTGCTGCTGCCCCCTCAGCCTCTCCTCCGTCACATCTCGGAACACCAGCATGAAGAGGCGCCGCGAGGCAGCCTGCGCACACCTCTCCCCGCCCGCATGCGGTGAGACCCCTGCCAGCTGCTGCTGCTGCTGCTGCGACGGAGGGTGGTGGTGTTTCATATCATCAAGCATAAGGCCCGACTGGGGCCGCCCTGCTTCGTCCCTTTCATCTGCGGATACAGGTAGTCGCACGTCTCTCAACAAGTGCATGTCATCTTCGCAAAACTGCTGTTGCCGACCATCGCATTGTTGTTGTTGCTGCTGCTGCTGCTGCTGTTGTGCGAAGCATTGGTCGCTGTCATTGCTGCTACAGCCCTCTCTTTGCCCGGCGGTACATGCACGCATGCCCTTGTACGGCATGCGGATGCTGCCGGCAGCGACGCCAAAGTTGTTGTTCCCGTTGTTGTTGCTGCTACTGCTATTGTTGTTGCTGCTGCTGCTCGTACAACCGTTGTTATCTGTCACATATGTCCCACTGCTTATGTTGTTATTACTACTGCCGCCGCCGCCGCTGCTGCTGCTACCGCCTAGGCCTCCCACCCCACCTCTCCCACGCTCTCCCAGTGTACACCACTCGGGCGGCCGCCGTGCTGCCGGCCCCGCCCCACCCGCCACGCCACCAGCTGCCGCCTGCTGCTCCTCCTGCTGCCCTCCTGAACCCGCCTCCTCCTGCCGCCTCACACCACCTCCAGCAGTCCAGGACGCCGCCGCCTGCAGCGGACACACCTCCACCCGACACCACAGGGACCGCCGGCCGCCCGCCCCCGCCCCCGCTTCCCCCCCCGGGGGCCAGCAGCGGAGCTCCACACTGGTCGCCCCACCTGCTGACAAGGCAGCCGCCAGCGCCCGAGCACCCGCCTGCTCCTCTTCTTCCCACTCCCGCTCCACTGCTTCGTCCCCGGCCGCACCCCTGGAGCATGAATCCAGGCCTCCTCCTGCCGCGGTACTGCCACTGCTACTGCAGGATGCGGTGCAGGCGGCGGAGGGAGGCAGTGGCTGCCGCCGCCGGCGCAGCAGCAGCAGCCCCAGTCCGGCGCTGCGCAGGAGCTGCGGGTCGCCGCCGGCGAGGTGCAGCATGGCCTCGTTGTGGTACAGCAGCGTGCCGTACGCATCATTTGGATCCCGCAGAAGCTCCGCAGGGGGGCAGCTGGCAGCTGCCGTGGGGGTGTGTCCGTGGGGGTGCTCTCCTGGCGCCTGAGGCGGTGGCAGTAGCTGGCTGGGACGGTGGACCGACTGCTGCTCCTGCTGCTGCTCCGGCTGGTGCCGCTGCTGCTGCTGGTGCGGTTGTTGGAGTGCCTGGTGTTGCAGGGGCTGCTGCAGGGCTACGATGCACAGCGGCTGCGGACAGCAGCCGAAGAGGCCCGCGGCTGAAGCAAGAAGGGTGTTGCTGTCTGTGGTGGGCGGTGTGGTGGGTTGGTGTGGTGGTTGGGCCTCTGGGTGCTGCACAGGTGTGGCTAGGTGCTTGACCCGCGCCTGTGAAAGGAGTTAGGAGGGTTCAGGGGCAGGACTGAGGTTAAGGAAAGCGCGAAGCAGGTGATGATGTCGCATGCAAGCCCGGAATGCCGACCCGTTGGGGCTGCTTGGGACAACCGTAAGTGCGCAAAACATGCAAACATGAAGCTGCATTGTGTACGACTTCATTGGTGGCGATTCATTGCTCGGCCCAGCTTGAAGTCCGAACTAGCTAGGACATCGCCTCGGAGAGGGACGCGTCGGAAAACGCCAGAGCCAAAGACAAACAGGCGGCAGAGAAATGGCTTACCATACAGGAGTCGCCAGGGGCCAGTCGGCTAACGGTTAGCTCTAGCCGAGCGGCTTCGCCATTCGGCAAGCGGTGCATAAGAGCGACGGTATGCCTTCCATTGCTCTCCACAGCTGCCTCGGCGTCTCTCCGGCATTCAGGTTCCTAAAATCCCGGGACCAAGAGCGAACCGGCGCGTTTGGTGGCGCACTCAACTTTTCCTTGCGCTAGCAGGCCGCAAGCGGTTGGAAACATCGTTCGACAACAGCAGCAATGCAAGCGCAGAATGGTATAGAACTTACTAGCCAATCTCCCCAGTGTGCTTGGAGTTGCGGAGTTGGCAGGAGACGCCTGTACGCCGCGTTGGCGTGCAACAAACGTCCGCTTGCCGACTCAAAGACACAGAGCCCATCTTCTAAGGCATCAAAAGCTCCTTCTATCCGCGATGTCATTGTGGAGTTGCGCTTGCTAAGCGGTGAGCGCGTCAATAGCTGCCCCAACTGGCGTATCTGGGCGTATCCGAGACAGTTTCACCGTCTGTGGCATCGAAGCTCCATCTCCAAGCCAATTCACAACATATAGGAAAGACTATACACAACTGGTATAGTTCTATCCCAATCCGTGCTGGGACGGGCACTAGCGGGCCCAGAGCAAAGCCGGCCGATTGATATGGATTCACGATATCAGTATATGCATTATGTTCTTAGTCAATGTCAGTAGTTCTACGTAGACAACGCTGTCTCCTTGCGTCACTCTCCTTTAACGCTTTCTCGCTATCTTTACTAGGCGAGTAGGACATACACTATGGAGAAACTGCTTCACAGTATTACGTGTTGTGTTGGATTGAACTTATTTTTCTGTTTCGGGGATGCTTGTGTCGGCAAAATCTCCGCAACAAGATGCGGTGCAGTAGATTATGTAAACCCTGCACCCTTAACGCTCTGCGCCATTTCGCCTTGGCCTTTACCGTAGCATATTATAAACGACTCGAAACAGGTAGCTAGCTTTTATTAGACGGAATGACCAACGGGTCGCTCGGCCGCTGTCATCGATGGTCGCTCTGCCAATTTAGGAAGGCCGCAGGCATAAGCGGCAACGTGCTATAACCATTCTTCTCCTTTTACACCATCTTAGTGAAAGTGTTTATACACGGCATTCCTTTCCAGACGTCAATCTACCACCCGGATCCACCAACACCAGCCAAGTACGACTGCACGCACGCACGCACCCAGGCAAACACGTACATCGCATGCATTTGCAGCGGACGATTCAGGTTTGTCCTCTTCTGCATGCAGAACACATTCCTAGAGACAGCATGAATACCTGCTTTCCGGCCAGTTCTGTTAACACAGGCGCGCGAGCGCCGAGCGGCTAGGTCAGCAACCGATCCACCGGCCGCCCCCCACCTCCGCCCTGCCAGCAGCCAACACTAGAACGACTCAGCGGGCTCTCGGACCACAAAGCGGCACAGCCGCATCCGCATCCTGATCCGGTCACATACCAAAGGAAGGCCTACAAGGCCGTCCCTACTGGATTCCAAGGCCCTTCTCCAGGACCCTCTTGCTCCTCCTCCACCGCCTGCCTCGTCACCGCCCAAGGGGAATCGCAGCTCCCTGCACCTCCCACCTGCACCTCCCACCTGCACCTCCCACCTGCACCTCCCGCCTGCACCTCCCGCCTGCACCTCCCACCTGCACCTCCCACCTGCACCTCCCGCCTGCACCTCCCGCCTGCACCTCCCACCTGCACCTCCCGCCTGCACCTCTCCACATGCCGTGGGACACAAGCATATGCCACCCGCCGCAGCACCGCTAGCCGCACCCGCCCAACTGCCCACCTGCCACCTGCACCCCACACAACCAGTAAACCACACGGCTGCGCTCCTGCCTAGCTCACGGTCTGCAAGTCACTCCCCCACAGACCACGGTCCCCTCTCCCGCTGCCCCCCCCGGCCGCGCATACCGCCCTTACCACTGCCCGGCTCCCTGTGGCGCCGCTGGGGGCGGCCCTGGCGGGGGCGGAGGCGGGGGTGGCGGGGGCGGGTGCAGCCCTGGCGGCAGTGGTGGCTGCCAGGCCGTCGGCCCTCGCGGACCCCAACCCGCCCGTAATTCCGCCGAAAGGCCTGCAGCCACGCCTGGCCCTCCAACCGGCCCCTGCCGTACTCCATGCCCCAACCCCAACCCCGACTCCAACCCAGGGCCCTGCGTCCTGCTCCCCTCGCCCCATGGCCCCGGCGCCGGCCCCGGCGCCGGCGCCGGCCCCAACCCCCGACCCCGTCCTCGCCAGGCCACCCCCTCATGCGCACCCCCCGGGGGCGGCCCGGCGGCGTAGCGCTGCTGCTGCTGCTGCTGCGGCGGCGGCGGCGCCCCTCCGGCTGCCCCCCGACCTGCACCTAGGACCCCGGCTGCAACCCTGCACCCCCGCCCCGCCCCGCCTGCGACTGCGCCTGCAGTTCCGGCACCCGCCGCCGGGACCGGGACCGCGGGTTGCGCAGTTACCGCCCCCGCCGCTGCCATGGCAGGCCCCGCCGCCGGTGTCCCTAGTGGCCCCACCCCAGCCGCATGCGTGTGCTCCGCGGCTGCGTGTATCGCCACAACGTTATCCCCCTTGATGAATACCTGTCCCAACTGCCGCTGCCGTACCTCCCTCCGCCGTACAACCCGGGTTCGTGTCACCTCCACCATCTCCCTCTCCCCCGCTGCTCCTCCTGCACCTCCTCCCGACTCACCCCCTGATCCACCTCCAACCCCCGCCCCAACCTCCTCCCCAACCTCATCCCCCTCCCCCGCGCGCCGCCTCCCCTCCTGCGCCACCGGCACCAGTCTCGTCCATTCCTTCACCTGCCGTACAACCACCGTGTACTGCTCCGTGACGTCACGCAGTACGACATTCATGTACCTGTCGTACGCGGCCAGCACCCCAGTGGCGCAGCCCCGTACCCCGCTTGCATGGCGTGTGGTGACGCTGACCCGCGCCCCGGCCGCATGCCAGCGGCTGAACGCCTGCATGGGGCCGGGGGAGGCTGCGGCTGCGGCCGCCAGCACGCCTGCCAGGGAGACGGTGGTGGAGGTGTGGATGCGCTCCCGGAGGCGCAGCGCGGCCTCTTTGAAGCGCTCGTGCTTTTTGCGGGACTCCTGCGACACCGGAGGAGGGGGTAATGGGGGATTAGGAGGTAACTTGGTAACGACTCTAGGACGAGGGGTCATGAGCTCACGCCTCTAGGCGCGTTGGGGAAAGGCACGGATGGGGATTACGGCGCCCGGTCCGACGACGACGCGAGTGACGCAGGAGGGTGATGACTATGAGGAGCGCGCCGCATGTCACCGCAACCAGCCTCCCTCCTCGCTTCCCGCCCGCCCCGCCTCACCTCGTTGGCGGGCTGCGGTGCGGGTTGCAGCTGCGCGCCCGGCAGCAGCTTGCGGCACTGCGACACGTTGTCCAGCGGCCTCACGCCGGGTAGCGGGGGCACCAGGCCGGGGGTGTGCAGCGCTCGGAGAGGGTCGAAGCGGGGACTGAGGAAGTCCAGGGAGGGAGAGGGAGGCGCGGTGGTGGTGGTGGTTGGGGGCTGAGGTGGAGGTGGTAAAGAGGATGCAGCTGGTGGTGGTGGAGGGAGCGGTGGTGGTGGAGGTGGTAGGGGTGGGCAGCTGGGGTCCATGGGTGTGTTTAGGTGGGGTGGTGGGTGGGAGGTGGGAGGGTGGGGAGCTGCGAGGGGGCCGGCATGGGAGGCGGGTGGCTGCGGTGGAGGTGGCGGGAGGCAGGTAGGCTGCGGTTCGGGCAGAAGACCGGAGGGATGGAGAGGCGTTTCATCTGTTTCCATATGTGTTTGTGCATTATGGTGCATGGATAGCTTTACTGCGACGCTCCCGCCAAATGCGTTGGAATGCGGTTGTTGGTCAGCGCCTAACCAAAGCAAGCATGATAACTTCTAATTATGGAATTACAAGCCAGCTACGATTAATCAAGCAGATTTCTGTCCGAGCTGCGATGAGCAAGGAACATGGTACCGTTATGCGCAGGTTACCGTACGAACTCGCTATCCGCTTGCGGAACCGACGCTGACGTGTGGCTAATGCTGCCAGTAAAGCGCAATGTCCTTTGTTGGCTACTGCAGGCTGCGACGCTCGGTATCTCCCTCACGGTTCCCGCATTGCAACATACATGAGCCCCAAGGCTGCACTAATCGGCAACTAACCTGGTGCTAGATCACAAACACCTTTCGCCTTAGGTGGCTTTCAACCTGAGAGCCATTGCGCCTTATTGCTTGGGAAACCCTTGCCCTTGGTCTTCTGTGCTCCGAGACGAATGCTGGTTAAGCTCGAAATGTCACAGCAAATGAACATGCTTCGACAGTCAGGTTGCAATGCAAGATATCGTGCCTTTCGACTGCGGGCTCCAGGCCCTCAACGGCACGTAGTAGCCATGTCACTTCCCGATAACGCGGTACCTCTCCCATACCCAGCTGCACCCGAAATTCAGGTGCGTTTGCTGTACGCTGTGCGCGTTACTACCCTTACTATTGAGCGACCGATAGCGGCTTTGTCCATTGTTCCATGTTCCATGATGATGGATGTTCCGATGCCCACGCCACCATCATCACCACCGCTGCCATCGCACCCCCACAGGCTAAGCTGTTTAGCTGCACGCGGTCAACGGTAACAGTTGACAATTCCAGTCATCCGCGCTATACCGTTATAACTGTCAAGGCAGGTCAATCATGCCATGGATGGAAGCAGCGGCTCTCCTCCAAACGGAGGGCGAGGTTTGCCCTAGGGTTGGCGGTCTGGTATTGCTTTGGCATTGTACCCCCCATCTCCTCCTCCCCACTGCACACAAGACCCGCTTTACAGAACCCCTTGCCCTCCCTCCTTGCCCAGTGCTGCTCTCTGCGGTGCTGCTGCTGCTGCTGCTGTCCCCCTGGATCTCCTTCCTTTCCACCTCCCTCACTGCATGGCAGTCGGGATATGGGAATGGGGCTCCAGTTGCATCACTTTGCAATTCTATTTCCTCCCCTCCTCCCTGGCTGCCTCTCACCCTTGCAGGCCCCCGACACGCCGGGCCTGGTACGAGTGCTGTCATGGGTGCTGAACGGTGAGGGGCGAGCAGCTTACGAGGGGGAGGGAGGAGGGGAGGCGCGCAGAGCAGGAGGCATGGCTAGCGGGGTGGCAACCGGGCATGGGTGTGACGCCGGATGATCCCCTCCGGGTTGTGCTCAGCGGAGCACAACAGCAGTACCGCCACTTGCCCGCCACCTCGCCTGTGACTATTACCCCTGCTGCCGCTGCCCCTGCCGTCCCTCCCCCCCCTCAGTCACTCAGTAAGTAAGTTGTTTCCTCTTTGCCCCTCCCCCCTGCCGCTGCCCCTCTCCCCCCCCCTAGGCATGAGTGTCCGTGTGCAGCACGGCACCCTGGCCTCCGAGGGCCCCGAGGGCGGCGCGCGGGACACACTGTGGGTGACGGACTTCCGCGGTCGCAAGCTGCGCGACAGCAGTGCGGCCAGCCTGGGGTCGCGACTGGAGGACTTCCTGGTGGTGTGCGGCGGCGAGGAGGCGGGGGAGGGGGAGGGGAGGCAGGTGCGGGGGGGGGGGAGGGGGAGGGGGGGCAGGTGGGGGTGGCAGGTGGGGGTGGCAGGTGGGGGGGGAGACGGGGGAGGGGAGGCAGGTTGGGGGGGATTTGCGGTGTGCTTGGTTGGCCGTGTGCCTTCCCTGCCTGCATGCCTGTCTGGTCGCAGGGCTGCTGCCGGCCCTCCCTGTCCCCGCGCTTTCCCACCCTCCCTCCCTTTCCCTCCCTCCCCCCCCCCCAGGAGTGGCAGTGCGGCTCCATAGAGGTGTCCAACCGGCTGCACCCCGACATGACGCAGGTGGGGGGTGGGTGGGGGGTGGGGGGGGGACAGAGGTATGTGCCAAACCCACACGTTGGGGCAACGCAATGGGGTGGGGTGGGGCGGGGTGGGGCGGGGGCTGGCTGAGGAGGGCGGACCGGCAGGCGGGAGGGGATTGTGCATCCCGGCATCTCGCACAGTCACAGTCTAGGGTTAGGACAGGCGGGGAACAGCGCTCTTCCCCCCTCCCCCTAGGTGGCATGTGTATACGAACAGCCCTGCGTCCCATCTAACCCCTCCCCCATCCCCCATCCCCCCTCCCCCCTCCCCCCTCCCCCCTCCCCCCTCCCCCCTCCCCCCTCCCCCCCTCCCCCCTCCCCCCTCCCCCCTCCCCCCTCCCCCCTCCCCCCTCCCCCCTCCCCCCTCCCCCCTCCCCCCTCCCCCCTCCCCCCTCCCCCCGCAGGTTATCATCCGCGGCGAGCCCTCCGCGCACAAGCCCGGCTTCCTGCTCGAGCTGGCCTCCGCGCTCACCGGGGTGGGGGCGGTGATCGTGGCGGGGGGCATTCAGGGCGGCCCGGACGCGCCCTGCCCCGAGGCGGCGGTGGCGGAGCCGGGCTACGACTTCAGCGCCGGGCGGTACTTCAAGTTCCTGCTGAAGGGACCCACGGGGGGGCAGATGGTGGGGTGGGGGGGGCAAGGGGTGGGAGAAATAAATAAGTAATGAAGCAGCATGCAGCTGCGGTTTGTGTGAGCAGTCTTGAAGGTGCGCTCCCCACTGCCCTCTTCCCCCAGTGCTCTCCTGTTCAACTCCTGTGACTCCGGAACAGCAGCAGAACACACCTCGCATCCGCGCGCCTCTTGATGCGCCCCTCTGCACCTTCCCTCAACCCTGTCCACACCCCTCCCTCCCTCCCTCCCTCCCCGGTAAACGACGGTCACGGTCAGCGTTTCCGCGGCTCAGTTTATCTGATTCCCCCCTCCGGCCCCCCTCCCACCCCCTCCCACCCCCGCCAGGACGCCGACCGAGTCGCCTCGCTGCTGTTCGTCCTGCGGCTGCTGCAGGGGCGCGGCACCATGCCCACTGTGGCACCCAACATGCAGGCGCTGCTCAAGCTGGACAGCCTGGCGTGAAGGGGGGGAGGGAGAGGGAGGGGGAGGGAGGAGGGCATGGTGGGGGCATACGACGATAGGAGGGAGGGAGGGAGGGAGGGAGGAGGGGTGGTGGTGTCAATAGGAACGTTCACCTTACCAAGAGGGTATGTAACAGATGTGTCAAGTAGCCAGGTAGGGTGGTATCTGTTGTTTGGGCAGCGCTGTCTACCGTACTTGTTGGCCGGTTGCTGGCATGGGTGCTGGTTGCATTGTTGGTTTGCTGGCATGGCTGTTGGTTGCATGTTGCATGGGTGTGGGTTTTCCTGTCGTACCAGTGTGAGGTCTGTGACGCAGCCGTTGGGACGCGGTTCTTGAGCCTGAGAAGAGGCCGAGAAGAATCTGAGAAGAGTCTTGTATGTATTACTAGCGCACGGAAGATAGGATTACCTTCCGGTATATTCCGGTACCGTACAGTACGGTAGCTCGATGTTCTACAATACCGGTAACTGTTTTGTTCCTTTCAAATTCCGCCGCCTGAGCGGCCGGCAGACCACCACGGGGATGCCGGTTGGGCTGGGTGTCTGGGTTACAGCGGCAAGGGGGGGGGCGCAGCAGGCGCTCCCCCCCACCCCTTGGAATCGCAAACGGTCTGAGCTCTCACGCTACGCCTTGTCTTAAAAGAGCGCCGCAACGTGTTGTAACTGTAATGGGTACAACGCGATACAAGGCCCCTCCAGCATCCTTTCCTCGCGCCCGGTCCCCCGCCCCGCCCAACCCTACAAACGCACCATTCCTCCACTCCTGCACCGGCCCTGCCGGCTTGGGGTTCCCAACTGTCGCCTCGCCGCTGATGACACCATGCCAAACCCCCTCTCATGACAGATGCCCCTCTGCTTCATTGCTACAAACCATCACTGCTGCCTCCTTTCCAAACGCCGCCGCTGCAGCCCCCTGCCACCACAACACAGCACATGCGGCACCAGCGGGCAGCCCGACGGGCGCCCCCAACCCAGCGAACCGAAACCATCCGGCCCAAGCCCTTTGTGCCCAAGCCCAGTCCTTCTCAGCTGAGCCCACACCCCATCCACCTAACCCCTGCTCCCCCCCCCTCCCCCCCCTCCCCCCGCCCCCTCAGCTGCTCCACACGTTGTCCTGCCGTACCGCCGCCACCAGCTGCCGTACGCAGGCGGGCTGCAGCTCCCGGACTCCCAGACACAACGTGATGGGCCTGGGGGGAGGGGGGAGGGGGAGGAAAGGGAGGGGAGGTACAGAGGAAACAACTAACTGGCACTGCGATAAGGCGACATCATGGTAAAGGGAGGGAAGGGGAGAAGGAGGGAAGGAGACAGATTCAGAGGGCAGCAGCAGGGGCGGCGGCGGCGGATGTACGACACACCAGCGACGGTATGGATGCGGGTTTGCAAGGCCCGGCTGCTTTTCCTTACCCAGTGCCACACCTACCACCAGCTTCATCCCCCCAACCATCACCACCTAATTCACTACCAGGAACTATCACCAAGCGCTTGTCACATTCCCATCCACATCATGGTTGTGTTTTGTTCTCCGCCCTCCCCCACCCCGCCTGCTGCACCTGCACGCTAACCAACACTTATTTTGTGGCACCCTGCCGCTCCTATCCCCATTGCCTTACCCCAACCTGTGGTTCCTATGTTTCGGTACGGTCTTTGACCCCCCCCTCCCCCCCACCTGCTGCACCCCATCTCCCCTAGCGCCTGCACCAGCTGCCGAGCCGCCAGCTCCACCCCCGGGTCCTCCCGCCGCCCCACCACCACGGAGGTGCTGTAGGTGCTGCGCCCCTCGAAGCTGGCGTCCTGCCTGCGGGGCGGGAGCAGGAGGAGGGGGTAGAGGAGGAGGGGCAGGAGGTGGGTGAGGAGATAAGGAGGAGCGGCTTTGCGAAGGAGGAGGAGGCAGCCGCATGGGGGGCTCGGGGCGGTGGGGTGCAGGGCAGGGAGCACTGCTCAAGGGAAGCGACCAGGCTGCTTGTGTATGAGGTTAAGTTGTGAGCCAGGGAATGCAATCCGATCCATTTAGGCTGGGAATGGGACTGTGGGGGGCCGTTGGGTTGCTTGGCGGGCCTTTGCTAGCGGAGGTGGGTGGTGGGGTTAGGGGGTTCGCGGCAGGACGCGCCTGGCGGCAATGACGGTGCCAACAGTGCCGATCTGGGTGATGACTAGCAGCAGATGGTCCAAGTAGAGGTTCCAAACAAAGTTTGTAACGACTCCGTCGATCAGCCTTGCAAAGATGCGGTTGCGAACGGGAAAGCCTTGTTGTTGTTGGTTTGTTGTCGTCGCACCTAACCCGTCCATTTGCGTTGGAAAAGGGAAACCTGACCTAGCACTAAAATGGGATTCCCTCAAGTATATAACGGTGAACGTATCAAAGCAAGTGGACGATTATCGGACGAGAGAAGGTGCAGCTTGTTCTAGCTCATTAGTCGAGCGGCATACATCTGTTCACACTAGCCATTAAATATCAATTTTTATTGACTTTAAGCGACCACCAGCCTTATGTCATATAACTTCCCGTGCTTCGTCTGCTTCGCTGTACGGCGTTTCTCGCCGGACCACAGCATGCCACAGCATGCCGATCCCAGCCTCCACCTTTCTGGAGCCAATTGAAAGCCACACACCTCATGTACAGTCTACCAGCTTCAAAACCTTGCCCTGGTTCTCTCCCATTTCCTACACCGCATGCGCCTCTACTCCAGCCTCGCTCCGATTGCTCATGCCTGCCCCACCTACGCGCCCATCATACGGTATGCTCCATTGACCGAGGTCGCCCGCGCACAGCAGCACCGATACTACATAAACCTACCAGCCGCTCCGCTCACAGGTACTCGTCTTGCAGCCACTCCAACAGGTCACCACCACTGCCACCGCTGGACCCGGTAGCCCCTGACCCCAGCGTCCCATCACCACCCGCAGCACCAGCTGGGAAATCCGCTTCCCTCTGCTGCCACCCCAGCTGCCCTTGCTGCCCCAGCTGCTCCCACATCCCGGATGGTATGTCGCCCTGCAGTGCCCGGGCCACAGCGCTACGCAGCACTCCCAGCACCTCACCCCCTGACACGACACCAGCACCCGGCTGCTGCTGCTGGGGCTGCCCTTTCGGCTGCCGCTGCTGCGGTTGCGCCAGCCGCCCCAACCCTGCGCCCGCCGCCAAGCCCGGGCCCAGGCCACCCGCCAAGTCCTGCTGCTGCTGCTGCTGCCGGTCTCCCACCCCGCCCAGCGCGCGAAGGAGCTCCAACACCAACGGTTGCGGCGAGGCAGCGCTCCTGCTTTTGCCAGCCGCCGTGGTTGTGGCCCCAGTGCTGCTGGAGGCGCCGGTAGGAGAGCGGTACCCCGTCATGGCGCTAGGCGCTGCAAACCCATCCTCCCCTGTGCCATCGCCCCTTAACAACTGCCAGTTCCGAAGACCTCCAATACCCGGCAGCACCCCGCCTTCCTCTCCTGCTCCTCCCGCGCTGCTGCTGCCGCCTGTAGCACTGCTGCCATCACTAATCCCAGTCGGGTCACCGTTCAACCTGAGGGCGCTCAGCCAGGGCGTATCCAACCACCCGCCCCGCTGTTGCTGCCCCACCTGCTGCCCCTGCCCCTGTTGATGCTCCTGCAGCCTCTGCAGCAGCAGCAGCCCTGGGTCGCCTCCCAACCCACCGTAAGCATCTCCAAATCCGAATCCCGCCGTTGAGGCGGTTGCGGTCGTTGAGCCGCCGCCACTCAGATCCGCCGCGGCATCCATCTGACGACGTAGCAGCTGCTCCATGCTGGAAAGTGTAGCCGCCTTCTCTGCAGACCCACGGGTCACCCGGCGACCCTGCGTGTCTGTCTCCGGTTGGCCTTCCAGCGCCTCCGGGGTGTCACCGCGCATGTTGAATGTGTCCCCCAACGTCCCTTGAGCGTATTGATCGCTGCCGTCCCTGCCGTATCTGGTGCCGGGGCTAGGAACGTCGTTTCCGGTCCCAGCTGCTGCTGACCCACGGGTCGCGTCCCCGTTTGAGTATGTTGCTGCTGACGGTTGCTGTTGCAGTGGCTGACCCAGCAGCTGTGCCGAAAGCAGCTGCAGCAGGGTCTGGTTGCTGCGCCAGGCAGCCAGCTGACGTGCCTGCGCCAGCACCCCTGACAGAGTTGAAACACCGCCGGCATCAGCAGCAGCGGCACCCCCTGCTGAGCCCGCCGGGCCAATAGTTGCTCCCCAAGTGTTACCCGTACCCGTACCACCACCAGTGGCCGCCGTCACGTCTTCCAGCGCAGCTTGGTATCCGCCTTGCGGTGTGGACATGCCGGTCGCTGTGTCAGATAACGATGCTGACACGCTTCCAGGGTGCCGTACCGCCCAGACCTCCACCGGAGCATCCAGCGAGCTGACAGCACGCGTCGTGCCGCCGTTGCTGCTGCTGCTGGTAGTCCCCCTGCTGTTGCTGGCCCCCGTGCTGCTGCTGCTTCTGCTGCTGCTGTGGCCGCCGCTCACCGCATCAGCAGCAGCAGCCTCACGCATACCCACAGCGCCCCCGCCGCCTCCCACCGCTCCTCCAGCCCCCAGCATGGCCTCCTCGGCGCCCGCGAACGCACCGCCGCCGCTGCCACCGCCGCTGACCAGGCCCAGGAGGTCGGCGGCCGCTCCGGGACCTTCGCCGCCCCATTTAGAACCCCCAGCTCCAGCGGGGTCACTGCCGCCTCCGCTGCTTCCCTTGCCTCCGCTTCCGCCGCTGCCTCCGCTTCCGCCTCCACTGCCACCACTTCCACCGCTCCCTCCGCTCCCTCCGCTGCCGCCGCTTCCGCCTCCACTGCCACCGCTTCCACCGCTCCCTCCGCTCCCTCCGCTGCCGCCGCTACCGCTTCCACTCCCTCCGCTGCCGCCGCTACCGCTTCCACTCCCTCCGCTTCCTCCGCTGCCGCCACTACTGCTTCCGCTGGCTCCGCTACCTCCGCTGGCTCCGCTGGCTCCGCTGGCTCCACCTCCACCCGCTGGGCCCCCCGCACCGCCAGCGCCGCTGCCGCTGCTCCCGGTCCCCGCCGTCGTGACGGTGCCCCCGGACACGATCGTCGTCCCCGTCCCGCCGCCCTGAGGAAGTCCCACACCTGCCGGGGAGGCGGTGGCGTTGCCGCCTCCCACCACACCGCTGGAGCCGCCGGTGGGGGCAGCGGCGGGCACGGGTCTGCCTGTCACCAGCGCAACAGCCGCGGGGGAGGGGATGATGAGGCCGTTCGCCACACGTCGCAGCTCGTAGGAGAGGAACTGGACGAGGTAGGCGTACCAGCTGGGGGGTTGGGAGCGGGGCAGGGCAGGGCGAAAGGAGGCGGTGGGGTGAGGGGGTGTTGAAGGGGGCAGGGGCGGTGAGATGTGACAGCACGGCTCCCGGCGGGTAGATACGAAGACCCGAAGTAGTACCCACGAAGCAAGGATGAGTCCCTCTCAGACCAGGAGAGTAGCAGTTAGCGCATGTGCTGCAGCATGCAGCAGCATGCGGTACTACCTGTAGCAGTCGCGTTCATGCAAGAAGGGGTGCTGGCAGTAGGATATTGAAGGCAACACTCACAGCTGTCACGCTCATGCACACCGCCGCGCCCATCCTCTTACCGGATAACGCCGAAGTCCGTCAAGATTCTTCGCAGGTTGAAGTTGAACCCCAGCCACACCCGCGTGATGTTGACTGCCACCCCCGCCTCATATACGCCGGGTGACGGGCCCAAGTAACCTCCCGCCTGCGGCCCCAGCGGTATCTGCTTGCGGAAGGTGATGCCGCTTACCGTACAACCCCGTCTGTACGGCAGGTTGCATGTGAACGGCGTAGCGGTTAGTCGTACGGACGGCGGACTGCATGAAACGCTCTCGTCCACGGGGGACACGGAGCAGTTGCCTCCTAGCACCCCGAAGCTGAAGATGGGCCCTACGCAGCCCGCCGGGACCAGGTCGCCGCCTAGGAGGGCGATGGGCGGTGTGACGAGCAGACCTGCAAGCCTGTGGTGGAGGTGGTGGCAGGAGCCAACCAAGGGAGGGCGGGTCTCGCAAGTTTAGTTAGGACAAGCCCGTGCAGACCAAAGCTGCTCGCTTCACTTAGTAAGGGGGGGAAGGGCTATTTAAAGGCACGGGTGGCATGTCTTTCCTCATCAGCCACAGGCACCTCATCGCCCGCCCGCCCGTCGTCACCTACCTGAACGAGTGACCGTTACATTTGTTTCCAAGGAGCGAACACACGGCTGCTAAACCCAACCCAACCCAACCCTACACTACACTACACTACAGCCCACCTGTCCAGCACATCGTAGCCCACCGGTGTCACCACGGTGCGGTCAACTCGGGACCTCAGCTGCGTGGGCAGCAGCTCTATGGGCCGGGACAGCTGGTTGGGCAGCGCCTGGCTCACGTAGCCGTAGAAGGGGTAGTTGAAGATGCTGGCGTGACCCGCGGGTCGGTTTGGGGCATTGCATCAGACATGGGCACGGTAGGGAGAGGGAGATACGGAGGGTTATTAGCTGATCGCGTGGGTGGGTTGTGCGCATGGGATGCATACATTATGGCTATGGTTAAAGGTGTTAGTAAAGGGTACAGTGCGGTTGTACTACAAGAGCAGTACAACTGCTGGTGTCTTAGCCCCCTGCCAGAAGCTTGCAGCCATCGCAAGGCTGCTGCCGCCCAACCATACTGGCACAAACTAACCTCATCCTGAGGACAACCAACCCCCTTGTCTTCCGGACCCACCGGTTGAAGAATGCGCGGATAAATAGGTCATCCAAGGTGCTTGGAGTGAGGATGGACAGCCCGCCAAAGCCGAAAGGAAGACCCCCGAACGTAAAGCCAGGGACGATCGTGTTTCGGAACAGCGGCTGCTGCGTCCCGCCGCGCTCACTGCTGCTGCTGCCACCGCCACTGCTGCTGATGCCGGCTGCTGTTGTTCCTGCTCCGGCTCTGCTGGCTGTAGCGTCGCCCCCGCGAACGGTTCCACCGGCGGTGGCTTCCTCACCACCAATCCCACTCCCAACACTGCCGCCGCCAGCTACACTGCCCTTGCCTCCGCCGGCTGCGCTGCTGCTGCCCGAACCTCCTCCTCCAGCCTCACTACCGATGTCCTGGAGCAGCTCTCTACCGCCACCCATGAGAAAGCCTTCCAGCCAGCCCAAGTCCTCTTCCACCGCACTGCCACCTTGCAGCTCAGCAGGCAAAGCAGTGCTGCTAGCCCCCCGCCTTAAGGCATTAAAGCGGTTTTTTGGGTCACCGACTACTCGCTGCTGTAATTGCTGGTGTCGAGTAGTCTGCTGCTGCAGCGGCTGCTGCATGGCTAAGGTGCCTGCTGCCATCAGCGCTATGAGGGTAATGGCGATGATGGTGATGACCCCCCGTGCACAGTGACGTGAGTTATAGCGGGTGGACCACCTTCCCTCCATTCCTTATCAAGAAACTTAATAAGACTCTTCACGTGGATGCTTAATGCGTGCATGCTCCATTAACAACAGGAAGCGGGACACGAATGCATGCAGTGCGTGCTACATGTGGCTGCTGCACCACCCTTGGGTTGCATCATGGCTCGCGGCTTCACGTACTTCACTTGGAGTGCCACTGCTGGCCCCAACAAGCCCTCAACTTTGACTGAGCAGAAGAGCAAATTGCCTGGCTTTTGCCGCAAAGACCTCCCAATTGCCAAAGGCAGTTGCCAGGGGCGCCCACGTAAGCACCTGTTGGTGCTTGCCGTAGGACCTGCCAGCTGTTGTCAGCCCGTCCAAGAGTGCGCTGTTACAATGCTGCAACAGGGCCAAGTCAGGCTAGCCAAGACCCCATAGACATCTTCCTGCGGGCGTGCCTGGCCTGGGTTGCTGTAGCCTAGCTAAGCTTGATGGGGTGTATCTGACGGTTGTGAGGAGAACTACTGGCCCCAAGGTACCTGGAAGGTCCTAGATCATGCAGATGCTGTGTGGTGTTTGGAATCTCCGAGACACCCCACGGTATTCGTCTCATCGGGCCGGTTAGCCTGCTCACGCCCGTCGCTAGCTCAACACCTCCTGCAGCCACTGCGCTTCGAGCCGTAGCTAGACAGCGACGGCGGCGATGAGGGACGTAATGAGGGACTTGCAGAACGTTGCGACACAGCTGTAAGTATGGTTGCCCGCCGTATAGAAAGTTATACCTTCCATGCCACTCACCCTCTTAGCCGTTTACCCAGGGATTCACGACTCTTGTTCATGACTCGCATCCTGACTTCCGGAAACGTAGCGATTTTCTCCGCATCTCTCACTCGTGCATAAATCCATACACTGCCCACACGCAGCTTTACTGGAACCGTCAAAATTAGCCGCGACGGGTAGGGCAAACAAAAGGGCGCATGGTTGTGATGTCACTCGGATGGTTCGACGCAAGGACAACCTCCGCTGCTCACTTCAAAATTAAACCGCGCTCACACCATCTCAGCTTGTCCACTCTCGGTCAGCCATTCCACCAGGGAATGACCGCAAGCAGAACCCTTCTTCAGACGACCCTTCAACTCCAACCGACAACGAGATTACGAGCAACAACCCACACTGGGTCATGAGAGGCAACATGCTGTCTGTCGCAAGAGTCCTGGCATGTCCGGTTCCATGCATACTGCTTCTACCGCATGTGCCCTGGGGGCCTGTTACCGGATGCATTGCAGCCAGCCCCAACCCCCGTCGCGCCGCCTGACTGACTGCCCCTGTGTAAGCAGATGCCCCGTACAATTGCACGCCGTCAGCAATCTAACGCGGCAATCTTGTACCGGTACGCAACCCCCGGAAGACCGCTCCGGAAATCACCCGGCACCCCATGTACCATGCTTCTCCCTTCTCTCCACACATGCGCTTCAGCCCGTCCGTAGCAATTCCTGCACTTCCTTCACTCCAATGCAGACAGCAGCCCAGCGCAACGAAGGGCGCTGCCGGCTAAACCTCTCCTCTCCTCTACTCGCTTGCAACCGCCGCCGCTGGCGCCGCCTGCACCACCTCAGCCACCACATCAGGTGCGGACAGGGCCGAAGGTGCGGCCGCCTGCTGCTGCGCCGCCAGCTCCGCCTCAAACTTCGCCGCGTACACGGACAGCGGCTGATAGGCCGAGTAGTCCTCCTCTGCGGAGTGGTAGTGGTTGGGGGGGTGTTGAGGGGGGCAGCAGGCAGCAGCAGGAAGAGGGGCCAGGCGGCAGGCGCTTCAAGTACCGTTGTACCGGTACTCTGAGGTTTGCATGTTCGTTCACGACGTGCGAAAAAGCAAGGAAACAGTTACCATGGCATGGCAACGGGTTGTGAAGGTCCCTGCTAGCATCCCACGCCCCGTCCTGGCCCTCACGCTGCCCAGCCCATATGTCGGGCAGCCGCTCGTGCTACTGCGGCACCCACCTGGCGCCCCACTGGCCCCTGCGTTGACCAGCGCCGTGAGCCCCAGTCCGATGGCCCCCAGCGCCAGCAGCGAGCTGCCCACTGCCAGGCCGGTGTTGAAGGAGTCCTGCTTCACGGTGTCAGCGGAGCTGCCCGCCTCGAAGGGCTTCATCTGGGGAGAGATAGGGGGGCGGTGGAGAGGAGTAGGGAGTAGGGTGCGACTTGTAGAGGAAATGCAAGCAGGTCAAAGCTTGATGTGGAATCTTTTATCACGTTATCGTTTCACAGACCACAATTAATATATGTTGTTTGTATATATGGTTTGGATATCCGTTTTCCAGAGACGCGAGCACCAGGATACGTGTGGATAAAGTTGACATGCAAACAGCAGACGACGCATCGGCACTCACGACGGTCGGATACATGTTGCTTTGCCCCGCGGTGTCCGTCTCCACGTATCCCTCTGCCTATAGGATGGTCAGTACAGATAAGACCAATATGCAAGCCGCGCAGTTTGGCATTCCTTGCTTGGAGAGCTACGCCTTTGCAGCGTACACTCAATGCTCACCGCCTGGCTGTTGTTTTCAAGGGTGAATTTGGGCTCTTGGGCAAACACTACTGTGCGCGGCGCACGGAAAACGCCCGACCGTCTTGGGGTAGGGGCGCTGACGCGCGAAGGCAGTTTGTTAAGCGTAAGGTGGGCCATTGTGGAAAGTACACAAATGCGCTGTTCAAGCACTGGAAAGCGACGGCGATTGTAATAGCTCCTGCACCTTAGGTTGTACGTGCTTGATCGGCTCAATCTTGTTTAGCTCAAACGCTAACAGCTTTGGACCTTGAAATAGCCAGCGCTGTGCTCTTCAGCAACATTGTTCCGCTTAAGTCTAAAGCCTGAATGTCAGCAGTTAGTAACCCGATTACATCCCTGCTGCAAGCCCCTTCGCTTGAAAGCTTAAATCTTGGCGAATATGCCATGCTTGCTTGCGTGGCTGTCCGCCATTTATACTTTTCTTTGTGCACCTATAACAGGGTCCGCATACTTGACCCAAAGGTCATTGCCGGCAACACTACCAATCCATGCCGCTCAAAGTCGCCATCTAACCGACTCTTATTTCAATAGGCCCACACAGCCCGTGAAGTATGTGTTACCAAGCCGACTTTGTCGATTTGTGTTGGCATATCGTCATTCGGTGCTTGGCTCGCAGCAGGCCTGCTTATGTAGTTGCCCGAACGTTGGCAAACTCCTCCACTCGCTCCCAGGCAAGCAAACATGCGGTCTGATAGTACGTACACAACGCACACTCGACGTAAGTGGTCAGAGCTTGCTCTTTAGCGCGCATCTGTGCACCCAGGTAGACGACGAAACAAAACTTGAGTGTTCCGTACTGGAACCTTTACAGTCCCCAAGCGGGTGTCAGCAGCAAGGAGGGGCCTCGAGCTACTGCATGACACTGGGGCTAAGCCTTGAACCATCATGAACTCACCACTCCATTGTTCACAGCATGGAGACACAGAAGGCGAGCAACCAAACCGAACATAGTTCTCTCCGTACATACCGCCGGTAGCACCCTCCGTGCGCTGTGTGCGCTATGGGTAATGCACCTAATGCTGGTTCTGTAGCTTCATACACCTTTCCATGCGGGCATGCGCAATCGTTTATTAGGTTAAACGCACGGTCATGCACACATGCTACCGATATGTGCGTAGAAGTACGATCGTGTAATGCCTGCTATCCCACGCATGTCACTCAACGCACGGTCCATAGCAATGCAACCCACAACCTGCCGCTGCAAAGCCGTAACTAACTCCTCCCAGCCGCACACATATGCTTCCTGCTTCGCCTTGGATCTGGGCGCCTCAGCGTGCTTACTACACGGCAGCATCTCAGCTGCCGTACACGATCTTCATGCTGAACGTGGTGTTTGAGCGCGCAACGGGGCCGTAGGTCGGCCGCGCCGTGACGACCGCCTGCTGGGAGGCAGCGGACTGCTGCCACAGGCCCCCAGCCGCAAGGAAAGTGTTCACCCAGGCCTGCGGGGAACCAACGGCGTGTCAGTGGTGGTGGTAATGAAAGCCACATGCAACGCGCTGCCGTGACTAGCACAAACAGAAACAGCTAAGCCACGCTAAGCACTGCAAGCCGGGGCCAACAAGCTGCTGGCCCAAGGTGTGGAAGAGGAACGAACGGTGGTGCCCTAAACCCGGCTGCACACCTCATCTCGACCCGCCTGTAGCGCTGAGTGCAAGCACCCCTAATAAGGACACGGCCAAAGTAAGGCTTCAATGGTTCTTGCCCGCCCCAGTTGCACCTGAACACGTGAACAGTAATGCCACGCCCCAAGCCATCACATGTCGCAGGTTCGCACGCACCTCATAGTGCTCCAGAATCAGCCCAAAGTCCGCCACGTTGCGAGGGATGTCCAATGGCGGGTCGCTCATCAGCAGAGTGCCGTACCGCGATATGGACTCGTGTGCGGTACGCCTGCCCATCACGTATAGCGCCAGCACCCTCTGACAGCCGGATGTGGGACAAAGGTTAAGTTAGGGGCGGGCGGGGGCAGAGGATGCAGCCGTATGCAATGCCCCACAGTCAATAGGTAGCTAGCTTCCAGCCCCATACCCGGTCCCTGGTGAACGGCAAGCGCATAACCTAACCCCAAACTCCCCCGCCCCCGCCCTGCCCGCCTCCCGGCCCAACCTGGCTGAGGTCCTTGGGCATCTCAGGCACCTGGGACCTCTCCGCCGCCCGCTGCTGCTCGCGCCATGTCCCTCCCAGCTTGTACTCCAGAAGCATATCCAGATGGCTGGCGCCCTTGACGTCCATCACCCAGTTCATGGAGTGCATGTAATGCACGGTGGGCGGCGCCGGGATGCTGCAGGGGGCGGAGCAGGCTCGGGCCATGGCGTGGAATTCGCGGGGGTGGTAGTAGTCAGGCACGTTGGACCAGCTGATGGAGGCGGGGAGCAGCGAGGAGATGGAGGCGGCGGTGGCGGAGTCGCCGGGCTCCACGGCGCGAAGGTGCAGCTGCGGGAAACGACAAGGGAGAGGGGAGCAGCAGGTGGGCAATGGGAAGACCAGGCCAAGACCAGCAGCATGCATACAGCAGCAGCAGGGTGACGCAAGGTCTGCATCTTTCTCCAGGTGCCGTACTCCTGCGGGGGAGGAGCAGCTCCTCACCTGCACCTGCACCCGTCCAGTGGCAAGCAGCGCCGCCAGCCGCCTCACGCGCCGCCGCAGCAGCGCCACACCCGCGGACACAACATCCGGCTGCGCCTGCTGGCCCCCGCTAGCCGCCTTGCAGCCAGTGCTGTCACCACCGCTGCCCAGCCGCGCCGCAAACAACTCGTGGGTAGGGATCGCCTGGAGGGCCGCAGCGGCATAATTGGGGGTGCGTGATGCTACCGGTACCAAACAAGCAGCACGCACTCCCTGGCCATGCATGTTTTGCGCCCCGCGCTGCTGTCTCCCTCCCTCGACCGCTCACCTCGAGGAAGCTCTCGTCCCGCGCCCGCTCCGGCCCGCCCCTGGGCACCACAAACATGACCACACTGCCCACCAGCTCGCCCCCGGCCCTGCCCCCGCCCCCGGCCCCGCTCAGCAGCTGCGACAGCTGCCCCGTCAGCAGGTACTCACACAGGGCCAGGCGGTCGGACTGGGGGGGGGGGAGCGGGAGGCGGGATAAGAATATGGCGGTAGGGGGAGGGAGAGGGTGACAGGGGAGATCAGGGAGGCATCAGGAGATCGCGGTGACAGCCAAGGTTGGCATATGAAGGACGCTATGTACCAAGCAAACCAACCAGCTGAAACGGCTTCATAGGCGTCATCCCACGGACAACGTTGCCCAGTACAACGTTGGGTAGGAAAGGGCATAGTCCTTTGTGACTACAGGGAAGGCTCCCAACTCGGCAGGTAGAACCCCAGGACCGCACCTTTTCCTTGAACCCTCCCACCAGGCCCAACGTGCGCTTGCGGCCATCCAGCCACCGCTGCCGGCTGTCCGCCAGCCCCACATCCCTCAGCTGCCAGTGCCGCAGGTACGGCAACACCTCAGCAGGCACTTGCTGCAGATGCTGCTCTTGTGCGGCACCCCTCGCCCCCACACCCGCCCCCGCCCCCGGGACCCCCTGCTGCTGCTGCTGCTGCTCCCTCATCAGCTCAGTAAGCGCGCGGCGGAAGGCGGCATGCGCCTCGCGGCTCCACACGGAGGAAAACCACACCTGCAGCACATAGTCCGTGGCGGCGGGCCCGCCCGACCGCAACATGCGCTCCAGCACCAGCGTCTTTGCGACTGTGTAGGCGGACGCCTCGTAGCCCACCCAGCGCAGCAGCTGGGGAGCAGCAGGGGAGGAACTACTGCCGCCGCCGCCGCCGCCGGCTGCACCGCTCCTGGCCGCTTCCACCACCTCCCGCACCGCCGCCTCCACCTGCGGGTCCCACTCGGGCAGCCCCACCGCAGCAGCCAAGCTGCCCAGATCGCCGAACCCCACAGCCACGTGGGTGCGAGGGCCGCTGCCGGGGGCTCCAGCGCCGTCAGCAGGAAGGGCTGCTGTCGTGCCGCCGCGGCTGTTACTGCCGCTACTGGTGAGGCCGGCGGCGGCGTTTCCAGAGCCAGCAGGCGCGCCCGGCGGCATGGGTATGGTGGCGCTCTGGGCGTTGTTGAAGCTATGGAATTCCGCGGGGTTAATGCCGGGCGCGCGACACTCTCGGAAGGCCACCGTGCCCTCCGGGGCCCTGATCAGCCAGTTCAGACGCTCTTCCATCATCTCCAAATCGCCAATTCTGCACCCCAGTGGAGGGTTAGTAAACAATCAACCCTCAACGCCTCTCCTCAATAGACGTATCAAGTACATAGCAGCATTCAAAGCGCCCAAGGTATATGCCCTGCTGTTGCACAGACGCACCTCATCATGGCCACCTCCACGGGATCCAGACCCTTGGGTACCGCCATGGCATAGAAATGCATGTTCATGCTCCGGCACAGCTCGTACGCCTCCCACAGCTTTCGGCCGCACCGCTCCATATCGCACAGCGCGGGCCACCTGGAGCACAACACCGGGGTCAGGCCAGGTCGGCTGCAAGAAAGGAGGTGCGGCTCACAAAGGGCTTGACGAGGCATACAGTACATCGGTTCCTCGATTCCACGCTCGTACTCGTTCGATTCGCTCGCACCGGCACATCGGAAGCTGACACTGCTGGCCACGTAGCCAGCAACCAAACCTGCCTCCCGTTTCCCCCGTGCCACAAGGTGCCCTTCCCCTTCCTCTCCCTCTACTCCCCTCCCACTTGGCCTTCTTCTCCCCCCCCCCGTCCCACCTGCCGGCCTTGCTGAACTCCTCATGGAAGGGAGCCACGCGGTCGTCCTTCTGCAGCGCCATCCAAGCAAGCGGATGCTCCTGCTTCAACCGCGGCATGCCCTTCGTAACGCCGGGGAAGCGCTTTGTCAGGTCAGCAAGCGTGTTACTTGTCCACACACTCTCCACGGATGCCTTGCGCATCTCGGGCGGCGTGCTATCATCATGATCTGAGCCGCAGCTCTCCTTCTTGTTGCGGCTGCTCCTGCTGCTGCTGCCAGCACCGCCACCACCACCTTTACCACCATTAGCAGCAGCAGCAGCACTGCTTGCCTGTCCCGCAGCCGCCTTCTTGGCTTTACTCGCCGTCCGAATCCGCTCCTGTAACTCCCGAAGCGCCTCGCAGCCCTGCCCCTGCTCCACCGCCGCCAGCCCTGCCGTACATGCCGCCCTCGCCTCCGCTAGCCAGCCCAGCTGCATCAGCGCCTGCACCCGCGTGTGGTGCGCCTCGGCTGCCGCGGGGTCCAGGCAGGCTGCCGCGGTGGCTGCTGTCAGCGCCTGCTTGGGTCGCGAGCGCTGTAGGTGGCATGTGGCAAGGTGGGTCAGCAGCGGGGCGGCGGGCAGCCAGGTCAGGAGCGCCCCGGCGGCAGCGTGGTAATGGCTGCGGGCCGTGGGGACGTCCCCGGAGAGGAAGGCGGCGTCGCCAGACCGCTCTTGTGCAGCTGCCTCAACTAGGGCTGCTGCGGCTGCGCCAGTATTCGAGCTGGAAGCGGAGGGGCCGGTAGCAGCTGACTGGAGACCAAGGGTTGCGGTCTTGGACAGCAGCCGCAGCAGCTCCATTCGCCCCTCAGACAGCTGCTGCGGGTTGAGTGGCGCCTGCACATCCGCGCGCTCTTGCTGCTGCAGGTGGTGTTGCTCCAGCTCTGTAAGCATGCGCCGCCGCTCCTTGCGCCCGGGTCCCCCAACCGGCATGCACTCGAAGGCTTGGTGCACGGCGCAGCGGGCCGCCAGGGGTGCCCCCAATCTTGCCAGTGCTAGTGCCGCTAGGTGGTGCGCCCTGCTTGTGTCGGGCTGCAGGGCGGCCGCGGCGGAGGCGCACTGTAGCGCCTGGGCCGCTTCACCCAGCTTCAGATGGGTGGCGGACAGGTTGAGCAGCCCCGCCAGCAGCAGCCGGCTGCCTGACCCGTCCGAATCGGGCATGCGCTGCAGCGCGCGGGCGAAGCACTCGGCGGCCTCCTCGTACTGCGCGGCTTGGAGGTGTCGCTCGCCGTCAGCTTGCAACGCGGCGGCGTCGGGGGGCGACAGCGACTGCAGCAGCAGCACCTGTTGTGATGGGTGTGGTGGGCGGGGCGGCCGTTGGTGAACGTGGTAGGGTGCTGCCCTGATGTGCACTGCTGGGTCCATGTTGATGCATGGCGGCTACACGCGCAGGTCAGCGAAGGCAGCAGTCTACGTTGCAGCCTTCACGCGCACCTCCGCGGGGTTGTCTACTCGGACACCCGACATGCCATCCTCCATGATCTTGTAGAAGGGCTCGATGATGGCCACAGTCCGCCCCTCCGGCAGCAGCCGACCGCCCTCATGCAGCCCTGTTAACGGCTCCATGTTGCGGGGGAGCATGTTGTAAACAAACACCTGCGAACAGAAGTAGGGCATTCGAGGTGTGAGGCGGCCATTAACTGGCTTGGGTAAGTTGGAAACCTTGTGTCGTGTTCGCATACTGCACCCACCCCACCCACCCACCCGTACGACTTGGCCTTCCTCGTCCTCAAGGAGCGTTGCCAGGCTCGCCAGCAGGAGGGGTTTCACCAGCAGCTTCCCGCGCAGCACCCGGCCGCGATGCGTGACACCAGGATGCAGGTCAGCGATAGCGATGGGCGCGCAGGCATCGATGGCCGGAGGTGTTGGAAACTCGGAGGCCGGCTTCATGTGCGTGTCGTTGCTCGAGTAGGGCCGACTGGGCTCGCCATGTAAATCTTGGATGAAACGTTGAAGACCAATATTATGATTTGCAACGAGGCGATCTCGCCTTGTGGCCTTCTGGTCCTCACTGTCGGGCAAGTTTGGCAAGTGTCCTGATGGTTGACCCGGCATGTTGCCGCCTCTGGCCATCAGGGCAGCAAACATGGCTTTTAAGACCTCCATACTTAAGCCTTGCGGAAAGCAAGTGACCGTTATAGACTGGAGCAGCGCTTGCTTCTGACCTAGCCGCTACTTTCTAAGGATTAACGGCACACAGCCTTGCAAGTGATGTAGTAATTCTTTATAATGTACAGGCTTCAAAGGCGCAGCATGACCAAGCTAAACCTGGCTAGGTGGCCAAGTCCATGCTTTGCCTAATCGGGCGCTGCCAAGAACCTCCCTTCCTCATAATGCGAAAACGTTATGAGAAAAAATGACTTTAAGATATAAGGTTGATTTCGCCATTATTTTGTCACAGATCACAGGACGTCGTGTCGACTTAGCTCACGGCGTCACAGCTGATGGTTGATTAGGCAAAGACAATCCGGGCGAATCTCGCGGAATGAAGCAATCATGTAAGCTATGACAGTGTGTTGATGCTGCTCGGCGCCGTGTTTGCTGCGTCTACCATGCCTGCTGTACGTAACATATAAGCGACGTAACACACATACACAACCCGCTGAAGCAGCAGACTTTAAAGCCTTAACGTTTCTCACTTATTAAATCTATCTGAAACGAGTGTCGCGGTTGCGGTCCAAAGCGATACAGCTCCAGAAGCCGGCATCTGGCCATTGAGTTCGAGTTTGCATTTCCGATGCACGCCCTTACACCGTGTAGGCCGGTCATTGATACCAGCTGAATACTATAGCCATTAGCGCCATGCGCTCGAATTATGAAGGCCGTGCCATCTCCTTCACCGGCATGGCATCTAACCGCGCCAGCACCTGCTGCATGGACGGTCGGTCACGTGGGTCATCTGCCAAGCACTCCCGCAGCAGCTGCTCCATGCGGGGCTGCAGCCGCCGGGGTGACAGGCCCTCCACGCCGGCTGAACATGTCCTTGTTTTCCTCCTCGGCGGCAAGTATGAGCTCCAACGTCTGCAAGCATAAGACGGTCAGTTCTCATGGGCTGCGTGACGTGAAGCCCAGGTCGCGACCCATCCGAACAGTGCTCAATCACGTACTAGTGCGGTTTTCGCTCATGCGGACTCAGCAAGGCCAAACGGTCAAGTATGGCGGGCACATTCCTATGTGTGGCATGAATGCAGTTTGCCCCGCCCCCACCTGCTGGCGTCCTGCTTCCTTGTCTTCCCATGACGCCAAATTGAACACCACCCGGCCCCAGGACCAAACGTCAACCTGCAGCAATGTGGCAGCGCGCAAAGGCTCACGCGAGAAGGCAAGAAGCCAAGAACGCGAGAAGGTCTTGGGGATAACCCTCGATAGTGGGGCTGGGGGCAGGTATGCCCAGCTGCAGGGACCATCGGAATATGGAACAGTTGCGTGGTACCGGTAGGGCCAGAATGGCTTACACATGGAGCAGCTGTATCGGCGCATACCGTACAGAGAACAAGCAGCACCAGTACAACAGGCCAGGACTATACCTCTGCTAAGTGTAGCAACATTTAAGTTGTTGTACGACGCGCTAATAGCAACAGTATTAACCATTACCTCATGTCAACCCCCCAACTAACCGACCTTGGTGTCGTACGGCGCGTCCTCCGACCAGAGCTCCGGAGCCATGTAGGCTGGGACGCCATGCCTGTTGCTTGACGCCTGCTCCACCGCCTGGCTCAACCCGAAATCGCAGAGCTGCGTGCGGGGCAGGCGGCCTGTGTAAATAAGTTACCGTGCCTAGTAGCTAAGCGTTGGTTGGAGCCAGGCATAGAGCAAATTGTGTAGGGAGTAAACTAGGCGCGCAGGAGAACTGGGGCCCTAGCTGCCGCCTACCTTGACCTCCAACGAGCTTGTGAGCAGCACGTTGTCTGGCTTGAAGTCTGTGAAGCGCATGCGTACACGCGCAGAAGTGTAGGCGGAAGCGGCAGCAGGGAGGCTGACAGACGAAGAATGAGGGAGGTAATGAGTGAGGGCCTTTCCCGGGCACAGCGGCCAGAAACACGCACTTACTCTAGGCTCTACGCAGCCGACAAGCGACACGCTAGGATGGCTGTTCGTTGCAGAAAGCGGATGCACGACCGGTAGCACTGCCAAGCAGGGATACGCAGCCCCTTTCGTCCTGCTGACAGAGCCACTTCCTCTCACGTACCTCTGTGAATGACTTGGTGCTCGTGTAGGAAGTGCAGGCCCTGCGTGACGAGCAGGTGCGGCTTTAGCACACCAGCACCGGTACTTGACGACGGGTCCAGTGTCCCAACCTTGCCAGTGCGGTTTGGCACATTTCGCCGTTGGAGCTTGACAGTGTGACACATCCGTTGGTACCCCAGATCCTGGAAATATTTACATGCATTCTCCCAAGCACCTATCTACCCCGCCTGCCAGGCGCACACAGTGGCTTTGCTGTCCCACCTGCGCCATCTGATGCGCAATCCTGAACCTCTCCTTGCTGTCTAGCCGGGAAAACGCCTCGTGCAGGGTTTGGTCATACCTGTCAAAGGAGGGTCAGGGAGACGCGCGACGTGATGGCACTAAGCGCTCTTGCTTTGTCTACAGCTCCCTCTAGCAGCGTCTGAATGAAGGACCGTTACAACGGTTGTAGCGTTTCCTACAGCGCCTGCTGCACCCCACTGCGGCTACCACCCAAGCGGACACAGCCACGCACGCACCTTTCCATCACCAGGGCCCGCACTCCGTCCCCACGAGTGACCACCCCCAGCACTGCGGCAATGCGCTCGTGGGGCGGCAGGGCCCGCCTGACGGCAAGCTCCCTCTCCATGCTGGTCTGCTCCTCGGGCGGCGTATCCGCCTTCAGGGTTTTGATTGCAACCTGGCGGGTAGACAATCAAGCCAAGGCAGGTGAGTGCATGCATGGGGCCTCGCTCGAGGATAGGTACCGTTATGTGTGTGGGCCTGTCCTACTTCACCCCAGGTGGCAGGCTTGCTTGGACAAGCAATGGGTGATGCATGCCGGTGGTGGTGCACGGAGGGGTGCAGCTGTCTCAAGAGAGAGCCTTGTAGGTCGCAGGCATGTTGCCCACACTGTTATCCTGCACTCCGATGTCTCCGAAAGCTAGCATGCGTTGCACTGCTGTGATGACGTAGCACGCGCTGCTGCGACCCACGAGGCCACACTAAGCATAGACGGTGTCATGTATGACAGCACCACCCAATGCTGCAACACCTGCACCTGCTTGCTCCTATATCGGCCGCCATGCACCACTGCAAAGGCGCCCGCGCCCAGAGCTGCTCCCCACACCAGCTCCGACGAGCAAAGCTCCCAATCGCCGCGATCGCTGCCAGCTGCAACCGCCTCCGCATCCTCCTCCTCAGCAGCAGCAGCCGCCCCGGGTCCCAGCTGATGACCAGCCTGCGCTCCAACTGAACAGAGGGCACCAATACCCGCCGTGCCAGGACTAGGCTGAGCCCGCATAGCAGTTCCCTTCTTAAGCATGTTGACAACCGCATGATCGCCCCTGCCGTACTCCAACGTTGTCTTCCCGGCTGCGTCCACGGCATGAGGGTCGGCGCCTGTGCCGTGTTTGGGTGGACATGACACAATTTACCAGCCGGTAGGGGGCCTGACAGAGGACGACAGTGCTCACACACCCAGTCGGCCCATGTCCCGCATCCCCACCCACCATGCTCAAGCAGCATCCTGACGGCTTGCAAGTTGTGCGCCTCCGCCGCCAGCATCAGCAGCGTGCGGCCGGCCTCGTCAGTCTGGTGCAGGTCCGACCCGTGGGTCTGCAACAGCCCCATGCAGCGCACGCACGCCGAGCGGTTCTGCTCTTCCTTGGACATGGCTGACGGGGTCACGGAGCGAGTCATAGGTGAGCAATGCAGTAAGGTTCGATTGCTGCAGGGTCGTCTGCCAGTTCAGAAAGTTGCTCCGAGGGGCCTGTCAGGAAATAAAGACCTGTGACAGCAAGTAAGCACATCCTCGCCTGCGATCATGCTCGGCGTATAGCCGTTGTAATCTCGGACGTCCGCATGTGCGCCCCGCTGCAGCAGCAGCGCCACGATGTCCGCACGGCCGGCCATGCAGGCCAGGTGCAGCGGCGTCAGGCCGCTCTTGGGGCTGGCAGCCTCTGGATGGCTCCCCGCATCCAGCCTCTCCGCAATATCCTTCAACTTGCCGTCCAAGCAAGCGAGGTGCAGCGTTGAGAAGCCGTACTCCTCCATGAGGATGACCGCTTTGAACTGACCCAGTAGGGACATTTGCTGTTTCGTTGGGTTACCGGTGCCTTGCTGCTTCGGTTGTACATCCTTGGGCGGTTGTGGCTTGTTGCCCTGGGCACGCTGGTCTTTCTTGCGCTTAGCTGCTTTGCCAGCAATGCACGGGCAGGTGCTGAGGCGAGCGATCCGGGGGCGCTGTGGGTTCCGGGGATCCGGCAGAGCCAGCGATTGCCTGATTTGGAAACCGAGCTGCGCAGACATGCCCGGACTTCACTTCCTATGATAACAAGGTCAACAACTATGCATATAAAAAGTCCGTCTACGGTATTGTGTATTTAAGTCTTAGCCTGGGGAAGAGAAATGCTCGTTGCATCCGTGCAAAAATGGATGTGTGTGCTTCCGTGCATTTCACGACCATAGCCGGCAGAACGCCCCACGGGTCTCGTTCAGGTAAAGGTGAACAGACTGCAAAAGCTTACGTAGTGGCTTCATCACAGGGCGTTTCTGATGATAACGGATTGGGCAATGGAAAGTAAAGTCTGCTCTCTGAACGGAAGGTCCTTCGTCCTATTCTTTTCTTCGCACGTAGCCATAACCAGGGCTTGATTGTACCTGGTTACCTATCCTGAGCGGTAAAAGGTGCCTCCATGTTACAGCCTGAGTGCGGGACACCCCAGCAGCAGCACACGGGGGCAAGCGCATCATGATGCACACGCTTGTGTCTACGAACTGTCCCCGAGCCAACATGTGGAGCAATGTACGAGGGAATTGCAATCACTGCAACCATCCGGTAGGTAGTCCCACTACACATTGCAGCGAAGGGCTTATTCACAACAGAAGACTGTCTGGGCACGTCGTCAGTTCAAAGCCAACAGGAACAAGGGTCCAACTGTGAAAGATTGGGGCTACACATAGCTTCGTACAAAGGGCTTGTACGGAGTGCCGCACTGCCACCATGCAACCTCACCGAGTCCGACATTGTTGGAGGCCCCTGGATCACGGCCTACGCCGGAAAAGCCGACAATGAACAGCTTGCCTCATCATCCGGAAGGAGTCAACTCATGGCAGCGTAAAGCGCCTAATCTTCATTGGATGCATGCACAACGCTTCAGGTAAACGAGGTAACCCTATGTTCCATTAGCGGGACGCCTGCACCCTTTACTTGCACAGCGGGTTCGATGACAAGAGCCAATAACTGACATCAACTGTGTAATAGTAGGGTAATAGCTTCGAAATATGCAATTCCCAGAAATGCAAGGCATAGTTACCGTACTGAGCAATCCATCACGCGCATCTGCGGCGCCGCAGTCGCTCGGCTAACCCAGCCAGCGTCCTGCCCTCCCTTCGCTTCGACCCAACGCCATTACTACCGCACATGACGAAGGCAGTGCAAAAACGTCCATGCATAATCCAAAGATCACCCGCACGCACAAGGCACCCCACGTCTCGCACTCATGCCGTAGCCGCCGAAGCACATCACGCCGCCGCCTTCCCGTCCGCCCCTGCCGCTGCCGTCGCCCCCTCAGCCACAGCAGCCGCCGGCTGCACGGCCCCCACCTGCATCTCCAACTCCGCCAGGCTGCCCGCAGGCTGCAGCAGGCGCTCCTTGACCGGCTTGTAGTCCTCCCACAGGTAGGTGAAGGTGATGGCGCCCAGGACCGACAGCACGCCCGACAGCAGCAGAGAAGTGAAGGGCCACGCGCCAATCGCGCCCACATAGCCATCCCAGGAGGCAGGGACGCGGTAGAAGGGGACGGTGAAGAGCAACACAAGGCCCATGAATGCAAAGAGGTAGGGGTTGATGGTTCGATCACGGTGGGTGCCGATCTCCAGGTGGCGAGGCATGAAGCGGCCCAAGTTTGCCATGCACTTGGGCGTGATGGCGGCCATCATGAGGGAAGTAGGAGCGGACTTGGCATCAGGGGCGGCAGCAGCAGAGGGCGGCTCAATTCCCTTGGCTGCAGCCACGGCAGCCTCCACGGTTGGGTCCGCGTTCGCGTCGGGGATCTTGAAGCAGCCGTCCTCCTCCTCGCCCACCTCCTCCACCTCGTCCTCCGGCGGCGGCGGCGGCAGCGCCTGCAGTCCAAACATGCGCGGGTAGTGCTGCATGAGCACGCCCAGGATGAGAACCAGGCCCATGTTGACCACAAAGCCCAGCCAGGCGGAGGAGAGGCCGGTGCTGGTCATGTCGGAGCCGACGGAGAGCTGGATGTTGTGCTTGGAGAAGACCAGGCCGATGGTGACGCCCAAACCGGCCAGGAAGCCCACGAGGACCGCCTCCCCGCGCAGACCGCGCCAGTGCAGGCCCAGCCAGACCTGTGTTGGGGGGAGGGGTGTTAGGCCAGGGGTGCGGGTGCATGTGGATGAGAGAGTGCGGGGTTTAGGAGGGCTAAGTGGCCCGGTATGCAGACTAACAGGCAGAGGGGAGCGCTGGTACGTACACGAGGTACAAAGGCGAACGAAAACAAGCCACTGCGGTTGTGGTTTCGTGTCATGCAGGGGACATGTCGCATGGTGCACCCTGCCCCAGGCCTACCCCAGTCCCGCTGACGATCCCCCGCCCCAGGTTCCACAACTCACCGCGGGGGTGACGTGGATGGGCGTCACGTTCTGCAGCGAGAACAGCCCCGACAGGTCCGGCTTGCCACGCTCGATCGAGTAGTTCCCCAGCGTCACACCGATCACCAGCGCCACCACGGAGAGGATCTTGGCAAACACCAACTGCTCCGTCTGGGACGCACGCGGCCGCAGGTACTTGGTGTAGATGTCGCGGACCCACATTTGGCTGAATGCCAGCAGCGCCGAATCCGCGGTGGACATCATGGCGCAGATGGCGGAGGCGAGCAGCATGGCGGCCGCAAAGGCCTGGCCGCCGCCACGGTCTGCAACCATTTGCAGCAGCTTTCCAAAGGCGCTCTGGCCCTTTGCCAGCGAGGGAATGGCTGCGATTGCGACCCAGCCGGTCACCATGGAGGAGAACTGAACCACGAAAAAGGTAAACACCATCAGCGACATCCCCTTGCGGATGACGCGGGGGTTCTGCGCGGCGAACAGCCGAGCCGTAAGGTGCGGAAACATGGTAGCCGCGACCGTGGTCTTGAACACAAAGTCAAAGTAGGCGACAATGTTGACCTTTGTGGGCACGTGCTGCACGGCCCAGTAGCGGGTCGACTGGTTCAGCTTGGGCACCGACCACACATCATGAGCCGACTCAAGACCGCCCAGCTCGGTGCGCTGAATGATGAGGAAGATGATGGAACCGAAGAACAGCACAATGCCCTGCAGCACATCCGTGAAGGCAACAGCACGCATGCCGCCCAGCAGGTCGCAGATCAGCAGCACCGCTGCAGACACGTTGATGGCGGTGGTGGAGGTGATGGCGTTGCTGGTGAAGGTCTTCACCTCGCGGCCTAGCGACTGGAACTGCGTGATGAGGTAGGTGAAGACGGGGAGCTGCAGGCAGAAGAAGGACAGCAGCGCCAGCGCGTGGGCGACGTACTGGGAGGAGCTGCTGGGGCGGGAGAAGCGGTCAAAGATGACCTGGGAAATTGTAAAGTAGCCGCGGCGCTTGGAGAGGGCGTGCAGGCGGGGCGCCATGACGGCAAAGGCGATGTAGAGGCCGACGCCGCCGGGGATCCAGCGGGTAGCCATCCAGCCCTGGTTGTAGGCCTCGTTCACAATGCTGTGGGGGGGGAGGAGTGAGGAGGAAGGGGAAAGGGGCAGCAGGAGTGGAATCCCTGTTAGCACGCTTGCATGGACGGTACGAGGCACCAGCAACTGGCGGCGGTTGGCGCCCTTAGCGACCTACCCGGAAACTGAGTAGCCCGAAAACAGGGTGGCCATCATGGTCCAAAACCAGACGAAGGTGCCCAAGCCTTTACCGGCGAGGAAGTGCTCGCGCACCTGCGACAATCCCGAAGCAAGATGTGAGCAAATTGTGAGCGGCAAAAGCATCTAATTTTTATGCTAGTATGATGGCCACAGCTGGAAACCGAAGCATTGAATTACTCTACAAAACACGGTGGTGCTAGTCAGCAAGGATGGAGCATAGTGACGACTCGGTGAGCAACCACACCCATGGTTAATTTCTCCATTGCGCTTACCCTCAAGGCACTTCTCGAACAAAACGACATAAGAGATGGACTAGATCACTAACCCATGCCTACCTTGTCGCTATGCGGCGCAGCCTGCCTGCGAAAGTTGACTATCGCCGCAACGATGCCAGCTCCCAGGACCAAAATGAGATACACACCCAGAACCGGGTAGGCAACGTGGGTGTTTGCCATTTTGCCAAACGGCGGATAGCCGTGTCAGTAAGAAGCAAGTAAACAAGCTGTACCCTGGGTATGAGTAAAATTTTGGGCTACCGTCTTCCCTACGCGCGCATTACCGCGTTCAGGTGATGCGGGTTTCTCTCAGCCCCACGAGGTGCGCGAATATTGCGCACAACACGTAGAGCACCCCGAGACGGAGCGTATGTATGTAGCCTTCTAGCTGGCTAACATGAGTGTCCAAGATGTGCGCGAGGCGTTGCCAATTTGTGGGCCGCCGGCGTAGTACGGCGGGTTGGTTTCAGAGCCAGCCAGGTAGAACCTTTCATGTTCTGCACATCTTTGCGCCCACAGCTTTCACAGCTTTTGTCTACAGCTGCATATCAGGCATTAAGCAGTTGTTAGGAGCTTGGACCGCATTATACTTGCTGTCACTTCCTTCCTGGCTTGGATTTAATAGGGCATCTATAGTTGTCAGCTCCATTTCTTGGGCTAATGATAAACTCGGACCCCTTCTAATTGCCAAAAGCCTACTACCGGTATTTCTTGGGTGAGCTCCCATGGGTCTGCCTATCCGCACTGCCTCTCGGAGTTCGTGATACTTAGCGGACGGCTTCCGGTAATACCTGTATGCAAGCCGAATGGACGTTACATACTATGCTGAGAATGCGCTGGACCTGGGGGCACCCTTGCGGCCTGCTGCGCCATGCAGACGCATTTGAAGGCATGCTGTGTACAGGACCCGGGCGCAAGGAGCGGCGGCGCATGCTTGCAGAGCTGGGGCAACATTAACTGCAGCAGGAAGAGTGCGCGGGTGCAGGCGCCGCTCAACCCACAGCATCTGTCGGGGGGGAAAAGAAGAATACCCATTGTGTTGTATCAGGATGGCACAAAAGCCGAGGATTCTGGTGAACGGAAGCCGCAGCAGCCCTGGCTAAGGCAGAGATCTGGCACCGCCTTCCTCTTCGGGGACCTCCCCACGGCAGAAGCAGAAGCAGCTGCAACGGCAATACCGGCAACAGTAGCTACTGCAGCAAAGTCTTGGCAAACCAGTTACCTGCAGTGAGATGTTACAGTATGAAGAGAGCGACAGCGCAACGCGCTGGATGGTATGATGACATACCGGGTAGGTGGTACAGCTGGATGCCTACCGCAGACCTTCATACGCAACGCAAGCTATCAACCAGATGTCCATCTGAACAGGTGGCCCATGGGTCTGGCCGCCATCAGAAATGGACGTGGCCTTAAACAATCGAACAATAAAGGAATCCACTGCCCTCTGCACGAAGCTAAAAACACGTCGACACAGACGTTACACGCACCTACAAAGGGCCCTCTGTTATAGCAAACAAAGTGTAAAGGCGGCACGTGCAGATGCAATTCCCAGCAGCAGCGGATGAAGAGATCATTTCGCCAGCGAACAATAGCAAGACAATAACGCCCGGCACATCCCCGAGCCCCCCGTACTTTGACCCCGCATGAAGCACGCGCCGTACGTAAGAAACCGATTTAGCGACTTAGTCAGCAATACTGATACGGCCGGCGTGTCTGGTATCAGCCCTACTAGCGGCAGCGCAAGGGGCTCATTTCAAACCCTACGTTTACACACTCCACACACTTTTCGCTACCCGAGAGCACCTACACCTTGAAACAAACAGTCCCCCTTGTCCCCATTACGTAAGCCCTGCCTTTAGACTCGGCATTAGCTCAACCTTCTGCGCGTAACCCATCCACAAGTCGAGCATAAGTAACACCCGGATGCGAGATATGATGTACCGAACGGTATGGATGAAGCATGTGCAAAAAGCAAAAAGCAACCTCCTGCCCCTCGCCACGCCAGGGGATCCAGTCGCAGCGCTGGTATCGTGCAGTCAGCCTCTCCCAGCCCCGCACCACCTCCCAGCGCACGCACAATCACTTGCAGTGCCGCAAAACGGGGTTCAAACACCCTACACTCAACTCCTAGCATGCAAGCCTAGACACTGATCACTGCCCATTCCATGCACACCAGACACCTGTACGCAATACCCATTTCCTGCAAACCGCCTGCAATAACTGCCCCCCCAGATCTAGTTATTTACACCAGTCTCGTCAGTTGGCTCTGTGTGTGCTGTGACTACCAAATGCCTTTCCTGCAGGCGCCTTCCTGACACCCTCGCTGCGCTGCGGAGAGATGAACCATCTCCCTCCTGTAATGCACCCCGATTACCAGGTACAGCCCTCGCCAATCGCCAGGAGTCTCAGTAGCGGCGGTGGCAGCGGCGGCAGGGCGCGCGTTCCCGCACCCCTCCCCTTCCGGCCAGGCGGCGAGCCAGCATGACGCACAGGGTCGCTCACTCGCAGAAGTAGCGGTCCTGCAGCCGCACGACAAGAGGGATTTGCAGCAGTTGTTAGGTCCTTAGCAGGAGGCCGTACAATTGGAGCTGCTCTTAGGCCTTAACACCACGGGATTATCCACCTAGCTTACGCTAACGCCCCCCCTTGTGTGTTGCTCACCCCGTAGTTGCCCGCCCCCGGCACCAGGCAGTAGTCCTCCGTGAGGCGGTCGTCGATCTCGCTGGTCAGCAGCCGCACGGAGGGGAAGGTGCTGCACACCTGCGGGGGAAAGAAGGATACCCGGGGAGGGGGCCGGGGGGTGGGAAAGAGGGTGGTGGTGCCTGGGTTGGTGAGGCTCGGGTAGGGGGGTCATGGAGCAGCAACCGGGAGCCATGCAGAGGCAGGCAGGGCGACAACGGCAAAGTAGGCATATGCCACATCCGGCCCGAAGGGGAACAACAAGCTCCTGTAAACAAAGGAAAGGGGGTAAGGGGAGGCTGGGGAGGCACGCACACATCTGTCCGCCCAGCTCGCGGCCGCCCCCCTGCCGAGTCCATGCCGGTCCCAGCTACCTTGACGATGCCCTCGGGTGCCGCGATGATGGTGAGGAAGAGGATGCGCTCCTCCTGCACCCCGCGGTCCTTGAGCACCTGGATTGCCTTTACTGCCGTGTGCCCGGTGCTGAGCAGCGGGTCCAGCAGCAGCACGTGCCGCTCGCTGATGTCGGCCGGCAGCTTCTCGTAGATCACCTCGCTGCTGTCGCTGTGCTGCCTGCACAGGAGGGCAGGGAGGAAATAGATATGGGAAATGAAGCAACGGAGGAGTCGGGGAGGGGCTGATTTGGGAGTAAGGAGAACAGGAGGGCAGGGGCGAGTGACGGGGGCGAGTGTGTAGTTGAGTAGAACAAGAGCAAGCAGTTGGGATAGGTTCGCATGTGAACCGCGAGTACAGGCAAAAACAGAGGGAAAACAGAGGTGAACCAAGGTGAACAAACCTGAAACGTAACTCAAAAACTGATTAAGTTGCTGGGGGGGGGGCGAGTGTGTTAAAATAACTGGCCGCGAGGCGAAACGTGTGCGAGCACGTGAGGGGAGTCAACAGATGCGACGCTGACACCTCTACATTACAGCCCAGCCCAGCCCAGCCCGACCCTCGCCTCGCCCTCTGCCGCCACCCACCTGTGCACCAGGATCTTCCCGATCTTGATTCCCTTGCAGCAGGCCCGCAGCGCCGCCTCCATGGCCTCCCCGCTGCGGATGATGCTGACGCCGCACAGCTTGCGCGCAAAGGCGACTCCGCAGTAGGGGTGTCCCGCGGGGGTGGTGACGCAGGTCTCGGTGAAGGGCAGGTGGCCCAGCCCCGCCTCCACAACCAGCCGGTTCAGGCGGTCGGCGTAGAACACAAAGTCTGAGAGTAGGGGTGAGGGGTGAGGGGAGGGGAAGGGAAGGTGATGCGGGCGAGGAATGCGGAGGTTAAGCATGATGAGACGGGATATCGGCTATGGCGGGATCGCTAGGCACATGGCAGCGCGCAGGGACGCATTGCGGAGGACCGGAGGGAACAGAGGACCGGAGGGAACAGAGGACCGGAGGGAACAGAGGACCGGAGGGATGTGCGAGGTGCGAGGGCCAGCAGCCGTACCCACACGGGCCTTCGGGGGCCTCTACCACCCCACCCCCCGTCCTCCCACCCGGGTGCACTCGGGACACCCGGTCACTACGGCTGCGATCACAGTTTAGCTGTTCCTACTTGCGACCATCCTTCTTAACACAGCACACACACCACACCCGCGCGTGCGCACCTTCTTTGCTGGTCTGTCGGTCTCGTATGATGGTGTGCATTCCCTGGATCTGGAAGTTGCTGGGGATGAGCTGCAGATTGCGGTAGATGCGGCAGAGCTCGGGCTGCTGCAGCTTGGTGCGGATGTGCTCCACGATCAGGTCGATGGCGACAGAGTTGTCGTCCCTGGGTAAAGGTTGGGGGAAGGGTTATAGTGTGTTTGAGGAGCGAAACCATCCCCCGCTGGCCCCCGCCTGCGCCCCCTCCCCTTCTACCCACCCACCCCTTATCACGCGGTCATTAAGTTGGTTTCTCTTCACCCACCACCCGTCCCCCCCTCCGCTAACTCACTTGCCCCAGGGTATGATGACGTCCGCATGCCGCCTGCTGGGCGCTACGAACTGGTCGAACATGGGCTTCACGAACTCCGTGTACTGCTTCAGCACGCCTGGGGGAGGGAAAAGAAGAATACCCAACGTGGGAGGGGGAAGTTAGGTGGGCGGGTAGTGTAGGAGAGTAATCATGCGTTGTATGATGGTGGGAGGGAGGAGGCGAGGGGGGGAGGAGAGGATGCAGGTAGGAGAGACGTGGAAAGGCAGAGGCTGGGACGCGTAACCCTTTGTAGCAATGGAGGCGACCGGTCACATGGGAGGGAAGACGAATCGCCGTTACAAAGATAGCATGTGAAGCGGCATGGGTTGTGCAGCTAAAGGGGGGGTACTGAGAGAACATGTTGCGTTCCAACCCCCTTCGCGCGACAAGCCATGCGCATTTCCCTCCCTTCCGCTGCTGCCCCGAGCCCCGCAAGCCCCCCCCCAGCTCCTCCAAGCTCACCCGCGACGTCTCGCCCCCGCGACTGCACGTCCCGGCCGATGCGGCGAGCCAGGCGCAGGTCGTCGTCTGGGGGCCGGCAGCAGCAGCAGGAGCAGCAGGGGGAATCGCGTTTTGCCACAAACGAGATCCCATGAAGATGTAAGTACCCACGAGCAGGATGGGGAGGAGCAGCAACAGGGCCACGTCAGAGCTAGCAATATCCGGTGAGGTAAGTGTGATCCGCGTTTCCCCAACCCACCCAGCCACCCCCCCCCACACACATGCATTCCTAGGTTTCCTACACTCCCCCTTCCCGCCCCCCACCCACCCCCCCGTCCACCCCCACCCACCCACCTGTGTCCACGAATACCTTCATGTTGCACATCTCGCGCACCTCCGGCATGGCCAGCACCAGGATGCCCTCCAGCACGATCACGTCCGCGGGGCCCGTCAGCCGCGACTCCTCGCAGCGGGAGTGGCGGGAGAAGTCGTAGCAGGGCACCTCCGCGGGGCGGCCCTCCTGCGGAAGCGGCAGCAGGGCAGGCAGGCAGGCGGGTAAGAGAGGGTGGAGACAGACTGGCAAAAACCTGCGTTGGCCAGCAGTTGCCTTGGTCAAGGTCGTTATACTGTGGGATACCGTAACCTCCTGGACCCGCCATGCATTCCTTCGCCGTGAGGTTTTGGCAAGGGTGCGCGCAACCTCTCTGGACAGCACCTGCATCTAGTTGCCGCAGTCTGACTACACTGCCACGCATCACCACGCACCCGCAGCTGCCGTAGTGTCTTCAGCAGCAGATCTTTGTCGAAAGCATCCGGGTGGTCAAAGTTGAACGCTGTGCAAGACGGGAGGGTCGAAATTAGGCATGTAGCTAGAAAATTGACGGAGGCAAGTCCCATATATCAGGCACAGTGCAGTTTGCTTCCGCAAGATATTAAAATGCCTTATCCAGCGGGCCAGTGGCGCGCTGCGCGATTTGCCAAAAGCCAATGCTGATAACTGCAAAACTTATCACCATACGCAGTAAGGACCAATTGTCCAAATTTCACCTAAAACGAAACGCAAGCAAGAAACTGAACAAGAAGGCAGCTTGCTAAGAGTGCTTGCAAGGAGCACGCAATGGAACATTTTCGCAACAGTCCCGACTCACTGTCCACGTTGGCGCGCTCCTCGTCGGTAAGACAGCGGTAAAACGAGTCTTGGGAAAGCATGACAACGCAGCTGTCATGTAACCGCTGCAGAATTCGATGGCAGACCGTGGTCTTGCCCGATGCTGTTCCGCCAGCGACGCCTGCAAGCAGCCCCAAAGGACGCCTTCTATAGCTGCAAATGATCTCGTCATAGTCCTTGCAGAACTCACCTATAATGAAAACCCCAGAGTGAAGACGCCTCTGGCTGCGGACGCTAGTGCCATTAACCAGGGGCTGGGTCTGCTTAGGAAGCTCTCCACTACTATCAAAAACTTCAATATCAACGACGGGCTGTGCCCCTTCCTCGTCCCCAACCGCTGTGCGCGGCTTTAGCGGGGTGCTACCTCGACGATGATAATCAAACATGTCTTTTATCTTTTGTATAAGTGTTGACCCTAATAGATACAAAATTGAGGAGCAAAGCTAATATAATGGTTGCGGCTCACTGGCTCTGAAACCAGGAAAATGGGAGTACATGATTCCCCAGCAACAACAAAAAACTGGAGCAAAGGATTGCTTAGATTGTAGCCGATCCTTACGAGACAGGCAAGGCTAAAGGAAAAACTGTGTCAACGGGTTTCGCGAGCTGTTGCACGCCTGAACCTACGTGACCATGCAAGGGATAGCCAGGCCTGAGTTGTTGGCTTGAAATCTAGCCAATCTTGGCGCTGCAACAGCGGTGCCGTGTCACAGCAATGCATGCGCCGGCGCTTGTCCGTACCCCGGGTCAAGTACGTCCCTGTCGCTCTTTGCAAGCCAAATGGCAACGAGTACGTTAGTGAAAGCAGCCGAAGATGGCAACTGCTCACGGGTTACTGTACATGTGGAAGCTTGTGGAATGAAGACGTGAATGGCTTGCTTGTGGACAGACACACCCAGTAACGCTCCAAGACCGCCTTGCCTACCCTTGACTATAACCTGTCTATGCATGGCTATTCGATTAACAATATCGCGGCATGCGGAGCTTGCTTTCACCTTAGGCGTTACAATGCCCTAACCCATCCTAACCGCTCTTAAGCGGCGGGGGCAACGAGGGGTTCGGCACGGGTAAGCCACATGGCTCCTGACCAGTTACGCTGGAAGCAAGGGCGTTTTCATAGCTGTTTCAGCGGAATGCACTTTGGATTCAGAGGATGTCAGTAGCTGACGAAAGGGAGAGACCCTAAACCTCGAACCGGTACAACATGAACTCCTCAGTGGGATGTAAAGAGCAATAGGGATCTGGAGGTATGTACCCCGAGGCACGCCTCCAGAAGTAACAAGGCACTTCACTGATTCCTTACACTCGTCCCGGCAATTCGGCAAGAATGTGCAGCAAGGCAGCTATGAAAGCCCTCGCGGGCGTACGGGGATGGGTCGATGGGCTGCGTGCGCAAGCTAGGCACGTAGGCAGGTATCGCAGGATCATCTTTCACAATGGGACTTTGTTCCATAATACGTAAATAAATGCGTTGTGGCTTTTATAAAAGCGTGAGCTGAAGTAAGCCTTGGCACTTTGTGCAGTCGTTGCAACCGTCACGCCGAAGAACCTTAGGCCACCGTACGCAATCGCTGTGCCCAGCTAGGTTTAAGTAATGCACTACTTGTTAATGTGAATCAATCTTGTGATACTCTCGCTGTTTTTAACGTTCGGAAGCAATAAACATGTACGCCCACAACGATGTCCCAGATGTTACGCAGACATACCAGAACTCCGTCCTAGTTAAGAACTGGTATGAAGACCGTTTTCAAGGTGAAGTCGCTTCGGCATCTGGTCGGGCGCAGCCGACGAAGGAGCGTGTTGTCCATGAAGCCCTGCCAAAGGGTCACCCTGGGCTGTGGCAAACCACGAAAGCTGAAACGGAGCATAAGATGTTGACGTCACCTCCGCCGGTGGGCTCCGTCATGGTTGTGGAGACTGTTACCAGCCATGTAATCGCATTCAACATCGCGCGCAGGCGAAAATAAACAAACCGAGCATGTACACCGACGGCAACCTCGCAGAACGAATGCTAACGTACGGCCTGGCTGACAGCGTTCACTATACAATAGGTGAGGGTTGCCTCAGTCTTGGGGCAGGCAGGGTTGGGAACAGTGTTGTAAGGGGTTGCAGGGCATGCCTAGAGCCTGCCAGTCCTATGGATAGACATACCCTCCCTTGCCATGCCGCCCCCCTGACTATTTCTGCTTGGAATCCAAAGCCTGCTGTGCTCTGCACCTATGCCCGCAACCCATATCACCTCGTCCTAACCATACACGAAATGCAAGCTCTCCAGCAGCCCTCCAGCAGCGCCGTTGACCTTGGGCACGGGCGCTCTACCAAGCGGCCTTTGGCGGTTGGCTACCCTAGCTTTGCAACACCTGGCTAGCCCCGACCCACATCGATACCGCACCGTTTGGGCTGTGGCAACTATCCAAAGTAAGCCGTTTCCGCTTTACGCTTCCCATCAACCGGCTGCCCTTTCCCCGCCATCTCGGCACTCGCAGGACCCAACCCCGCTGCTGAGGCGGCAAAGCCGGCCCAACGCTACCTTGTCACCACCAACCAGGACCTCTACCAGACGAAGCCGCAGGAGGCCATTGCAGCCAATCCGGAGACCTTCCGTACCGAAAAGTCGCCGTACGGGCTGACAAACGGCATGACGAAGGCGATCCGGGGCGAGCAGTCGGACCAGCTAAACGTTGCTGGCGGAAAGGGCGCACGCGGCGAGATCTCCCGGCGACCGGGCGAGTCGGGCAACGTGTACGGCGTGTCTGTGTTTGTGGACGAGTATGCCAAGTGGGGCACAGCGCTGAAGGGGGTGCCGCTGGAGGAGACGGAGGCGAAGAAGCAGACCAAGTACTTTTAGATGGAGTACGTCTTCCGGCGGGATTGCGCCATGTGCCCTAGTAGGATGGCTGTCCCCGCAAGTGACAGCGGAGCTCAGGTTGGACGGCAGACATGACCCGCACGAGGTTGCTTGTTATTGCCTGACCCCGCAAGTGTATATAGCTGGATGCATAATAAGGCAGAGGGGAGCTGCACGATATACTTTGCTGCGTGAATCGACGTCAAGCAGAGATGTGATTGTAACTTGTAGGTGTTTGCGCTATGTAGGTATAAGGCAGAGGGGCCGGTGGGGTGTTCACGTGAAGTGGTTGGGAGTAGGGTAGATACGAAGTAAGGCAGGCATGGAAGGTTGGTGCTAGGCACAGGGACTAAAAGATATGTCTATTGGATGACATGATGTCTTGGGCGGCTAACCTGGCACTAATGCACCAGCAGCATACGCCCATTGTATAGTGACTGACAAGTCAGCTGCTGCGGTCCAGGTACGTATCTGCTGGGGCGTTGCAGGACGTGAGGCAGCCAATCTGCTGTGGTGACATGGAATGTTGCCCGTGGCGGTGGGCAGCTGACGAACTCAGGCGTTCAGGATTTTCGATTAGTGCCATGGCGCGTGGATTCACGTGTAAGCTGGATGCTGATAATACCAGAGCAGGGCAGAGGGTGGGGACATTCCTAATTGCTGCGACGCGTACTGGACGGTGCACATATACCGAGCCTTTTTACGCTATGCTTAGGGTGACACGTCGGCGCCATGAGGTGGCTCCGGGCAGCGTGCAACACCCATGATGACCCAGACAAGCACTAAGCAGCAACTTCAGCCTGTAAGCGCTTCGTGCCCTTCATTCATGTACAAAGCAAGATAGATGGTCGAGAAACGGTACGCGTGCAACGGGGATGTGCACAATGTTACCGGTATCCAGATAAAGACCTGGCCTGATTGCGCTCTTAAACGGAAGGCACATGCTTGTTATACTAGCTGACGTCTTGGAGTTGCCGAAAATGCTGGGCGTGCATGTGTAGAAAATGCGGTCGCGGAGCGAGGTGTGCGGCAAAGTCAGGACTTTGATGATGATCATAAGTTGATGACTTAAAAACGCCTGCCATGTTAAAACCAATAGATGTAGGTTTAACCTTTAGACGTAGAATAGTAGGACACTTCTCTCTCGGTGGCTACTTGCCGTCGGGACTCACGTTCTTCAACGTGCCTCGCTGAGATCAGTGTATTACGTCAAGCATAGGCAAGCAAGGTGCGAATACTCATGGTTCCTTTAGGTTGCTGTGAAGGGTATGTTTCTTTAGTCCTTGTCTGGTGTAGCCGGGACTGCGATTGACCTATGACGCTACGAGGGTTGCATGTTGGTGTGGATGGGTTGTGCGGTTTCAGAGGGCTGTCCTGTCACAAGCGGGCCAGGGACATTGCGCTTATTGTTCGAGTTGCGACCGAAGCAGCAACGTTCGGGGGGACCTGTCTGCTTTTGTTGAGCCGTTTCCTAATGTGTGGTTATTTAGGATTTCACTTGCCCACGTTGATGCAGAGGGTGTGGTGCGCAAGTCCCTGATATGTCGCAATCTGTAGAGCATCAGGCCAACGGCGATGCTAGCCCAGCACCAGTGGACGGTGGGACGCTTGTGCCACCGTCTATACCACCGGAAACGATTCAAGCGACTTTGCAGAGCCTTAGCAGCGCCGACAGTCGTCATTCAGACACATCGCACGTTCAGCAGCTTATAAATCATGGTGCTGATGTGAACGCACCTGATAACAACGGTTGGACGCCACTGCACACGGCGGCTTATCACGGCCAAGAGGAAATTGTCCGCATTCTGCTCGCCGCCAATGCGGACGTTAACGCGCGCAACAAGACGGAGGAGACACCCCTTCACCTTGCAGCCAAATGGCCCCAGGACAGGGTGATAGAAGCGCTGCTTGCTGGTGGTGCTGACCTAACGGCGCGAAATAAGCGTGGCCGGACCCCTGCACACGTTGCGTGCATCTTTAATCGGCATGCCATCCTGGAACGATTGCTGAGTGCTGGTAAGTGTGGCCTGGGGGAACTGATCAGCAATCGCTTTGAACTGTTTGCGAAGGCACGAGCCACAGGCACCTTGGGGCCGGATCTTTTAGCTACCGCTGGGATATCCCTTGACATGGCTTATGTGCTTCCCGGTGCCACTTGCACGAAAGACAACGTACATGCATTGCCAGCAACTGGATGTCGCATGGGGGGAAGTGCTTGTATAGGATACAAGTTGCAGCGTTGCAAGGGACTGGGCTATGCCACCACCCCAAGATGCCCTGCACGCCATCGCTACGCTCAGCCATTCCTTTAACTGGTCCTCATGACGACCCCTAATGTGGCCCCGTCCCCGCTTCTTAACATGCCGCGCGCTCCACATCAGCCCTATGCCCCGCACCCTCTTCCCAGTTTCAACCTCCCCGCTACCCCCTCCGTCCCATTTGCGCCCCTCTCCCGCTCCAGGTGCTGACGTGAACGCCCTGGACAACGAAAACCAGACGCCGCTGCATCTGGCCGTGCGCAACAACTGCCCGGTGGAGCCCGAGCTGGTCAAGACGCTCATCCGCCACGAGGCGGATGTGACGGCGAAGGACACGAAGGGACACACGCCACTGCACTTCCTGCCCAATGCGCAGGTGGGGGTGGGGCGGCGGTGAGGAGTCATCCGAGCAGCGGGCAGCTTCCATGGGCATGAATCAGGGGCAGAGCTATAGTGTGGTATGCGGGAATTGTGCGTTTGCCGTTGCATGCAGCAGGATTGACGTGCGAGGGGTGGTTGTAATGATGCTGTTTGCGAGCGATGCATGCAAGCCCGGGCCCTGGGCTTACTGGCACGCACCTGCTTTCCGCTGCCGTGCTGCCCCCCCTTCAGGACTGGCTGCACTGGGCTGCCTTTGAGACCAAGGAGGAGCTGATGCGGGAGCTGCTGTCTAAGCCCGGTGTGCGCCCCGACTGCTACTCGGAGGAGGGCCTTACGCCGCTGCACCTGGCGGCACACGCCAACAGCACCAACATGGTGGGGCCGGGAGGGAGGTGGGCTGGGGTGGTGGTGTGACGGGATTGAACCCAGGGGTGCGGGTCGCATCCTTGTGAGCAAGAAGATCTTGGAAGGCTTGGTGGTAGGGAATCTGTTTGGGATGTCTCCCAACACCCGCTTGGCCCCATCCGTCCCCGAACCCTTGACGCTGCACAGGTGACGATGCTGCTATCTGCGGGGGCCAAGGTCAACGCGCCCTCGCAGCCCCCGTTGAAGTCCAGCGGTGCGTAGGGCTGGGGTGGACATGTCTGGCTGAGGGAAGCACCCATGTAGCCTTCTATGAACTAATGCACTCGTCCTATACGCAATCATCACACCTCCACCAGCGACTTACGCCTCCAACTTGCCCCTCGCATGCTGCTTCGTGCCCCTCCCCACCACTCCCACAGGCCGGGAAATGTACGGTATCCACCTGCCGGGCGCGCCCTCAGGTTCCATCACCGCCGGCATCTCCATCTCCACCCAGGTGAAGGCGTACGGCAGCTCCAAGCTGCCCCCTGGTGAGCTGACGGCGCTGCACATTGCCGCGGAGCGCGGCTCTGCGGAGCTGATCCGGGTGCTGGTGGCCGCGGGCGCCAAGGTGAACGTGCAGGGCGAGCGGGGCATGCCGCCGCTGCATGTGGCGGTGTGGGAGGGCAACACGGCGGCGGTGGTGTCGCTGCTGGCGGCCAAGGTGAGCGATGGCGGGTGCGAGGGGCCCCAAAGAGAGGGGGATCGGACATGATGTGAGCTTTTTTGGAGGACGGCACAGCGCAACGGGCCATGGCGGCATCATTGCAAAGTTCTTCTACGACGAGGAGCTTGGCAGGGGCTTCTGTCTCCTCATGCTTACTACCTTTTCTTCCCGCTACCGCCTCCGTAGGCCTCCGTTTCCCTCAAGAGCAAGGCGGGCGGCTTCACCTCAGTGCACTGCGCCTGCCTCTCCTCCCGCGCCACGCCCGAGCTGCTAGCCCTGCTGCTGGACAACGGCGGTGCCGCTGTGATTGAGGAGCGCTGCCAGGAGGGCTGGACGGCGCTGCACCTGGCCTGCCAGGCGGCACCGCCAGCCATGGTGGAGCTGCTGCTGCAGCGCGGCGCCAGGGCCACTGCCAAGGGAAAGAACGGCCGCACGGCAGCGGACTGCGCTGCCAAGCGGCCCGAGATCCTGCAAATCCTGCATGTAGCGACGGGTGGGAAGGTGCCGTTGCCGCTGGGGCTGGGGTTGCCCTCCGCGGCGGCAGCTGCAGCCGCGAATGGGCTGCTGGCGGCGGCAGCGGCGAACGGTCATGGTAATGGCAGCAGTGGCGGGGCTGGCGGGAGCGGCTCACGCAGTAGTGGCGGGGCTGCTGTGGCGGCGGGAGGCAGCGCCGGTAGCGGTAGCCGCAGCGCCCGTGGCGCTGCAGGCAGCAGTGGCGGCGGCAGCGGCAGCAGCCGGACCTCATCTGCCGGGCTGCTGCCCGGCACCGCGGCGGTTCTAGAGCCGCTGGAAAGTGTGGAGGCGACGTTGGCGGCGCTGCTGGCGGACATGGGGGGCGCGCTGTGCTCTCTGCAGGCGGGTGGTGTGTTTGGCGCGGGTGCATGCGCGGTGGACCCGGTGGGTCACTGCATCCGCCCGCTGGACAAGCGGCTGGTGATGGTGTGCACGCTGGGCTGCCAGTTCTCCTTCCACCTGCAGTGTTGGAAGTCGGCGCGGGAGGTGCTGAATGAGCGCTGGGCGGGGTTCACCGGCAAGCTGGCGGCGAGTGGGCGGTACTGCTGCATCGCGCCGCGCTGTCCGGGATACATCCGGGAGCAAGCTATCTGCGACGGAACCCAGATGCAGGCCTCGAACCAGTCGCGGTTGTACTTCATGCCGCAGGATGTGTACGACAGCTTGCCGTCGCAGGCCAAGCCCATAGGTGGAGGTGTGCCGCTGCCGCCAGGCGCTGGCGACGGCTGCCTTACCGGCAGCGCACAGCAGCCCGCGATACCGGTGCAGCCGGCACTGCCTGCGGGCGGTAGTGGCCTGTCTTCACTGGCTGCATTGAACCCCTCCTTGTCGCTAGCGCAGGCAATGGTTCAGGCAGCCACTGCAGTGGGGAACATGGTCAGCGGCTCCGGGCGCATCACAAGCAACCACCTGGCGGCAGCGCTTGCGGCAACCGGCGGGCTGCCGGCGCTGCTAGCCAACCCGCCGCCCGTGCCAACATGCATGTCGGCGAGGGAGGCCGCTGCTATTGCCGCACAGACGCTGGGCGTCAGTTACGGCAGCGGCTCCTCCTGCGTGGTGGAGGAGCTGGGCAGCAGCGATGACTTTGACGATGAGGACTTCGGGGGCCCCTCACCGTCGTCGTCAGCGGCTGCGGCTGCGGGGGGCAGCGGCAGCGCGTCGACTAGTGGTGGTCGTGGCGGCAGCAGTGGTAGCGGCGGTGGAGCAGCCGCTTCAGCTAGGATTGGAGGCAACGCTGGTTCCAGCTCTGGCGGCGCTGCCACCGCCAATGGCGGCTCGTCGCGTAAGCATGGCGGCTCCAGTGGCGGCGGCGCCCTGTCTTCCCGCCGCAGTGGGAAGGGCGGCGGTGGCAAGTCCATGGGCGGGAAGTCCTCGTCCTCGTCGCCCATCAGCAGCGCCGCCGCAGCTGAGATGCTGCAGCAGCTGCAGGGCCTGCAGCAGGCGGTGGCCGCGGTGCAGAGCGCGGTGGGCGGGGCCTCGCATTCCGCAGCTGGGCTAGCCAGCGGCGGAGCAGCGCGCAGCAGCACTAGTGCAGGGGCGGGGGGTGTTGATGATGCCAGCGCTGCTGGCAGCGGCAGTGGCTCGGCGCCGGCGGCAGCTCGCCCTCCGTCTGACGCCACCGTTGTCCTGGAGCCTCCGAAGGACCTCTTGCCCCCGAGGGAGTCGGTAGGTTCCCTGGGAGATGGTGTTGAGGGCAGCTTAGAAGCGCCCGGCGATGGTGACTTGCAGGGCGCTGCGCCCATGCCGCCGCCGCGTCGTCGGAACACCCCCATACCTCCCAACCCGCGGCGGATGCCGCCGCCGTTGAGCGGCGCGGTGCTGGAGAATGGACGCCAGCCCGTTTCCCCTCAACTTGCGACGCCGCCGCCTGCCACGTCGCTGCTGACGCCGGGCGTCCAGCCACTGCTGACGCCCGTCGGAGGCAGCGCGGGCTCCCAGGGGGCACATATGCCGCGGCAGCCTGACGCCTCTTTGGCCCCTATACTGGTCGGCCCGGTTCCGCAGCCTGCGACGGCGGCAGCACAGGCTGGTTCTAGTGCTAGTGCCGCTAGTGCTCCCGAGCAGGCCGCCGGCAGGGCGCAGTCACCGTCCAATGCCGGCATCGCCACAACCCCCCCACCAGAAGGGGCGGCGGCTCCTCCGCTGTGCAGCAGCCCCGCTGCCGTGGAGCCGTGCTGCAAAGGCGGCAATACCAGTCGCAAGGCCGCCAACGGCACAGCTGCACCCCCGCCTGTACTGCCTCCCAGTCCGCCAATCTCCCCTACTCGTTCAGGCAACGGCAGCTCGGCGTCCCACACCGCTGCCGCTGCGTCCCCGAGCTCCAGCCCCGAGGTTCCCCGGACCGCCCTGGCCTCGGGCGCAGCCCCCTGCTCCCCGCGCACTGGCGCCACCGCCGCTGCTCTGAGCCCCACCGGCGCTGCAACCAGCATCCGTGGCAGTGTACCTCCCACAGCTGCAGGCATCGGCGGCGACGCCAGCCTGCTGCAGTCCGAGCCGCATCGCTCGCTTCCTTACCTCATCATCTCCGCCTTGGGTCCGCATTCCCCCAAGATGTCCCCCCAGCAGGCGGCTGCAGCCATGCACGCGGGCTGCTACGAGCCGGGCGGCTATGCGCGAGCTGTGTGTCCGGGTCTGCGGCCCGGAGTGCACCGGGTGACGCACAGCAGCTCTGGCAGCACGCCCAGGGCTGCGAACAGTCCCGGCGGAGACGGCACCAGTGATTCCCCGGTGGAGGGGGAGTCGCTTACTGTGGAGGAGGTGGAGGGTGCAGTTAATCGGGCCGCGGTAGAGAGTAAGGCAGCAGCCCTGGCGGCAGCGGAGAGCATGGAGCAGAGAAGCAGCCGGGTTGATGCGAGTCCTGCTGCTGCGGGTCCTGCGGGGTCCCGTCGGGCTGCTGCTGAGGATGTATCCACAGCCGCGATGCATGCGGGTGCCACCATTGCAGCAGCGGAGGAGCCAAGCGGCGCGTCTGACATTGTTATGGAGGCTCTACGCGGTCTGCGCGCCTCAGCCGTGTCTGAAGCAGAGCAAGGAGATGCGGCAGCGGCAGCCGCTGCAGCCCCCAGTCCCGGTCCCTCCCGGCACCTGCTGCTAGAGAGCGGTGACATCCCGCTGCTGGCAGGCACCCCGGGCATGCTGGAGGCCTGGCTGTCGGCGCATGTAGGCAGCCATGGCAGGCTGGCTGCCTACCGCATCCTGCCGCCACAAGGGGCGGTGGCGGTGTCCCTGGACTCGGACGGCGCGGCGGCGGCGGCGCTGGGCGCCCTGCGAGGCCGGCCCACCCTGCTGGTGCATCCGCTGAGGGTGGCGCCGCTGTGCAGCTTCCCGGATGACGACATGCTGGCGGCGTGCGCGCAGCAGGTGCGACCCATGGGTCGGGCTTGTAGGCGATGTTTGACTACCATCTTTTGTCGACGACGTTGTTGGCCCCAGTTGCGCCCCACTGTTGGCTGCCTTGCATTTCGGGTACCTTGTGCTTGCATAACTCCTTTCATGCTGGCTAGTGCGCATTGCTTTTGCCCGCTGATGGCGCCCACCTTGAACCGCCCGTCCAGCCATCCCATCCTCATCCCCTGTCTGTCCTCGGTCGCGCACTGCAGGTGGCTCGCGCGGGCTGCCCGCCCGGCGACCGCTCTTGGATGCGGCGCATGGTGGAGCTCTGGGAGCGGCTGCAGTCGCTGCCGCCGGTTGTGCGGAACAACTAGGGCAGCGGCCACCCTGACAGCAGAGGAACGAGGACGGCACTGCGACGTAGCGGCGCGCTGGCTCAGACGCTCATGGGTCGCTGGGTGGGGGTCCTTTGTCTTGAGTGCAACTTGGGACGCCGCTTTCTTGGGTTGTAGCTTCGCGAGCTCGGGTTTCACTTCCGAGTTTATTTCCACCACTTCTGTTAGAAGTGGGGATCACGAGTCGGAGAGTGCAACGGATGTGTCGGTGGTGCATGCGTTAGATGGGTGCTGCCACCAAACGTGGTGCAAGTGCAGGTGTTCTAGCGAAGGGTGGATCCCGGTGCGGGGATCCTACATTTTTTGCAGGACTCCTGTAGGTTCCTAAGGCCCAAGTGATTGGTGGGTATGCGGGTGCGTCGTGATGAGGAGCAGTGCAGGGCAGTGAGGCAGGCTGTGTGAGTGGTCGGTGCGGGAGTAGAGGTAGTTTGACGAACGGTTAGGAGTGGCGCACGCTGCCATCGCGGTTGGTGTGGTGGTGAGGTGGAGACGCGAGTGCTTAAGCCACGTACCTCATTCTACTCCCATCGTCCCTGGTGTAGGATGAAGTCAACCCGGTTCTGCAGTGACTGTTGCGACGCGCCACGCCGTGAATGCACAGGAACGGCAATGGAAGCAGTGAACGCCTGAAGCAGCAAGGGTAGGCTACCCATGCAATGCGGATTGCGCGCAGTTGTTGCCATCGGCTTGTGCGGAAGCACTAGGCGCTACAGTTGTACCTGGTATGTCATTGTTTCTCGGTATAAGTTGTAATTACGCGCAGCACGGAGCTATGCTGCCCCCTGCATTGTGTTCATCATGGTTCACAGCAGTTACGAGAAGCGCCACAAGACGGCATGCACTTTGAACCACATGAGGCAATGGATTCCTTCCATCACGTGCGCGCACGCGACCACGTTGCGTTTGTCGGCACCTACACCTGCCTACGTAGTCAATTCAGCCAGCTCACTCACGTTCTACATCGTCCTAACGCCCTCGCACCTTCTCCTCGGCCTTCACGTCTGACGCGATAGCTGCATGACACCTCAAAAAACCTGCTACCCCACCTTCGCAGCCCCTACCTCCGCCCCCCCAGCCCGCCAGGTGGCCCCCCTGCATGCTGCCCCGGTAGCCCCCCGCCCCTCAGACCCCCCTGCTGCTGCTGCTGCTGCTGGTGGCCTAGCTGGTGCCCCTGCGGCCTGCCAGGCCCACCTCCACCCGCTCCCGGACCTGGCCCCCCACCCGCGCCCAGCCCGAACCCTCCTGCACCCGCTCGGAACGGCGGCATCCCCAACGCAGCGCGCGGAGCACTGAACGCCCCTCCCGGCCCTCCTCGCAGGGGACCTCGCAGCCCGCCCTGCTGCTGCCCCGCCTGCTGCTGTTGCTCCTGCCCGGGGTGCGGCAGCGCGTGCTGCAGAGGCGGCGGCGGCTGGTGGCGAGGTTGGAAGCCCCCAGGGGGCCCTCCCTCCTGGGGCCCTCCACCGCCGCCGGCCCCAACAGGACCACCGCCGCCACCGCCGCCGCCTCCCGTCAGGGCCGCTGCTGCTGCTGCCGGTCCGGCTGCTGCTGCTGCTGCTCCAGCTGCCGGCTGCAGTGGCGGCACCATCCCCGCCGCCCGCATGGCCGCATGCGCCGCGTCCCGCTCCCTCCGCATGGACTCCATCTCGGCTCGCATCCGCATCAGCCGGTTCTTCCACGCCGCCTCCCCGCCACCAGCCCCGCCTGCAGCCGCGCCAGCATCCCTAGCGGAGGCCGCGGCAGCGGCGGCAGCTTGCTGCGTTGCACAGGCAGCCCGGAGCACACGTCAGCAGCCGGCAAGTCGCAAGGGCACCCGGCCTGTCCTTCTCAGCCCCCCGCGGCCACCCGATTAGTAAATCTCTTCCCCTTGATCCCCTCGCGCACCTGCATGGCTGCCCGCTCCCTGCCCCATCGCTCCTCCGCCTCCGCCTTGTCGGCCAGCAGCTGGTTCTTGAAGTCCTCCAGAAGCGCTAGGCGGCCGCCGTCTGGAGGTGGGTGGGGAGGGTAGGAGGGGGTGGATACCCGGCACTGGGCTGGTTGGGAGTCGGGTGGACGCGGTGGGACACCTACGCAGCACGCGGGGACTGGAACTGAGTGTTGCGAAGGTCGTCCAACGCCCGTCTGCCGTACACGCCACCACATCAGGGACATCACCACGTCACCACCCCACCACCACCCCGCCGTACAGCTCTCATGCAGTCCCGCCACCTCCGCAGCCGCCGCCGCCTCCCGCGCCGCCAGCTGCTGCCGGAGCCGCTCCTCCTCCGCCGCCCGCCCCGCCCGCTCCGCCTGCAGGGCCGCCTCCAGCTGCGCCGCGGAGTCCCGCGAGGCCGCCAGCTGGGAGCGCAGCGCCTCCACCTCGGCTAGGTGGGCCTGCGGGGGGGAGGGGCAGGGAGCCGGGTAGGGGTGATTGCCGGTGTCCGGATTGCTCGCTGGAAGTAGCCGAACTTCATGAATGCATCGCAACGACATGTGCAAGTGCGTATTGGCAGCATGATGACGACTGGTGGTGACCCATGGGTCGTGTTGCCTTGTTCTTGCAGGGCTCCCTGCCTCTGTTATCCTATATAGCCGTACAGCCTCTCACCTGCTGGCACTCCAGGTGCGTTTGTTGGAGCTCTGTCAGCTCCAGCAACGTCTTCTGGTACGACACAGCAGCGCTGACCTGCAGCGTCGGAGCAAGGGTTAGCCAAGCGTCCGGAGCTCCATTGCAACAAGACAGGTAGCTCCTAAAGCAAGCAGCCCAGGCTTCATTTCCAGCATATAATCTTAGAACACATATAACCTTTTAATAACGCGCAGACTGCTTCCTGTCTGTTCTTTGAACCCTTTGTCATGCAAAATGGCCTTTTAACTCTAGCTCTGCTCCTGCAGCCTCCCGCTTGGAGCACTTGCCTCGGCCTGCTGCGCCTTTCGGCGTTGCACCACCGCCTCCTGCAGCCGAGCGGACTGCTGCACCTCGGCATCCAGCCGCAGCTCTGCATTCCTGCGGCGGTCCTGTTCCGACAGGAAGGCCAGCTGCCACTGGTCTCGCTCCTGCCGGTCGCGCAAACAGGCGTCTTGCAACGCGCGCAAATCATCCATTGTTAAATTTAGGTAAAAAGAGAAGAGGCTGATATCTGGATGGCTTAGGTTAAGGGTAAGGGAGGTTAAGGAGTGGAGAAGGCTAAAGGCGGCATCGCCAATGCAAGGCTGATTTTGTGGGCTATGGTACCGTTATCACGAGGAAGGCCATTTGCGCCCTGGGTATCTAGAGAGCTACGGCACCTGCTGCTATTTAGCTAATGGCGTTCGTTGTGCTTTCCAAATCCGATGGTCCATGACGCGCATGGCGGACCCCTTCCATGCAGGCATACTTGGCCAGCTTCTGCTGCCGCCTTGCTGGCACATCCTCCCCTTCACACGCCACCACGTGCGCTTCTGATCCTGATCCAACTGCTTCGTATGCGTAACAGACCACAACAGCCCGGAGGTTTCAGTCAGGCACAGCTGTTCTTCCCAATCCTATTCGGGCCCGCCTCAAGATGTAGGGTCCACCTCAACTGCGTCTTTTGTCCTCCCTGGTGCCTCCTCGTGACATGCGCGGGGGGGGGGAGGTGCATTGCGGCCACTGGGGCGGCGCTAGCGGGTTTGACCGCCGGCCGGAGGCTGCTGGGACTATCTGCGTCAGGACAGTTAGCAGCGGTTCAGCTCCTCACACAGACCCAGCAGTGCCCGTACGTACGATGCCATCCTGATCAAGGGCTGACGGGCCGCAAGCTGGCCGCATGGCCTGGCGCGTGCGCGGTTCTGCGATAACGGTTGTATCCGTGGATTTAGCGGATTCAAGCTCGCCATGATAGGCATTGCACATGGTCTATGGCTGTTCAACTGCTTTCGCTAGATACATAACGCTAAGCCCTAGCTAACCTAATGATTGCAAGCAGTGAGGAGGTTATGGATAAGATACGCGAACGGTTGGCAGCGGGTGTCCTTTTCATAGCCTGTGTTGAATTTATAAAGGCCTTGCAATAGACGCTTATAGTGTCTTTACGTAGCACGGGATCGACCACTCCTTTTTCGGATAAAGACCGAGCCATGGCAAGCATGCATAACTCAAAGTCAGCCTTGCACGCACGCACTCGCCAGTCCAGCTATGACTTAACCCATAACACATCGCGCTTTAATCGCGCCGCTTGCCGGGCAGCAACCGGGAGGCTCCTGTCCAACCGCGCAGCAGCAGGAGGGCCCTCCTCCGGCGGCAACTCGCCTGCAGATGACGAGCCCCCCAAACTGCCCTCCGGCAACGCGCTGGAAGCCACCATTCGGTGCGGTGCGCCGGTCTAGAAGGCTTCCAGACCCAGGCACCATGCCTTCATCCTGCACTGATGGGGCTGGTGTGCCCTCCAGCATGTCACCTTTCCCAATCCACCGCTCCTAGCCAGCGCCCGGTGTGGCACCCTGCGCCCCCATGCATGCATGCACACCTGCCAGCAGCGCCTCAGCTGCCACCAGCCCCCACCCCCTCCCTGCCTAGCTTCCTGATCTTGCCCCTCGCCCTTTCCGAAACCCAGCACCCCACACCACTCTCCCGCCATCCCGTGCATTCCCCCCGTCGCCCCGTCTACGCTCCCAGTCGCAAGCAGCGGGAGTTAGAGGCGGCGATTCGCGAACTGGGTATGGAGGCGCTGGATGAACGGCTGCGTTCCGCCGCCCAGCTACCCGCCCGCCCGCCCTACCGCCTGGCCTCCCTGATAGCGGAGGAGGTGCCGCAGGTGGCTGCAGGGGGGGGGGGGCTGCGGGGGAGTGGGAGGAAGGAGGTTGGGGAGATGGACACTGGGGCCGAACACTGGGAGGGCCAGCCGGGCAGGGGGAGGTGTCTGGAGCTGGGGAGTGAAGGAATGGGGCTGGGCTGCAATGGGGGCTTGGGGTGGGAAGGGGCCAGTAGTCTAGCTGAGGAGGGAGCAGGAGGGCGTAGGAGGAGGGCAGGGCGTAGGTGCCGTTCCCAAGTGTTCTCCTCTAGTCTGGGCTACGTCTTACAGGAAGTGTTGACGCCCCTCTTCTCCCTCAATCCTCCCATTCCTCGCATGTAGAGCCCACTTCCCCAAAGTGTACTTTTCCTCCTATTCCCACATCCCATGACCTTCGCCCCCACCATCCTCCCCCTCTCCCCCGACCCAAGGGTCGCCCCGTGCTGCTGTTTGAGGTCGCTCGCCCCGACCCCACCACCTCCTCCGCCCAGCTCGCGCAGCTGGCGGCCGCCTACGTGAGCCGCGGCGGCGCGGGGGCGCTGGCTGTGCGCACCGACTCCGCCGCCACCCCCGCCGGCCTGCGGGACCTGTTCAGTGTGACGCAGGCGCTGCCGCGGGTGCCGGTGCTGGCGCGAGACTGGCTGCTGCACCCGCTGCAGGTGGGGGGGGGGGGCTGGGGAGGAGACTGGGGAGGAAGCACCTGCAGATGGGGGGCCCAAATAAGACCAAACCATATGAAGTCACGAGTTAGGGCAAAATAGGTGGGGGCCAGGGGACATACAAGCAAACGGGTACGTGGCTGTATAGGCGGACATGGCTGTATATGCAACTGAAGGATATTGCTCTTGGGTAGCGGCCATGAGTCGGGTAATCCGGAGGGTGAGGGTGGGAGGTTGGTGTTGGGAGCGGCAAGCGGAGAGAGTGAGGGGTGAAAGCTCGGTGGTCGTTTGTCGTCATGGGAGGCCCCCCGGGCTCCTTACTGCCCCTGTTCCTCGCCGCCCTCCACCCCTCAACTCCCTCCCCCCAAGGTGTGTGAGTTCAAGGAGGCCGGGGCGGCGGGCGCCATCGGCATTGTCAACCAGGTGGGGCCGGGACGGGCTGGGCTGGCCTTGGAAGGAACTGAGTTGCCATGAAGGCAGGGAAGGCTTCCGGTAACATGGCTAGAAGGCGTCGTAACTCGTAAGGGTGGTTGAGGCGGGGCGCGCGTTGGGGACGCTGGTACGCAGGTCCCGGGACGCTGGTTCCTTTTCCGCTGTCCGTACGAAAAAGGTCGTGATACAAAAGGGGGTCTATACCACGAGCAGGAGGCGCCTGCCCCTACGCAGCCCTACCCCCGTATCCTCCTCCCGCTCTACACCGTAGAACTTTCGTCCGCCCCCCCCCCCTCTTCCCACACATTGGGTATTCTTCTTTCCCCTCCCCGCCCCCAGGTCAGCGGTCGCGGCACGGGCCTGCTGAGCAGCTTCAGCGCGGCGCTGGGTCTGGATGCGCCGGTGGAGGTGGTCAACACGCGCGAGGTGGAGCAGCTGGCGCAGCAGGTAGGGCCGGGGGGGGAAGAGGAGGGGGAGATGAGGGGTGCTGGAAGGAGGAGGGAGCGCACCCGTGCGGCTGCACTGCATGCATGCGTCCTCGCGCACCGCCTCTCTGTCTGCATGCGGATGTGGATGGCTACCTGGGCGCCTTTCTAGTCTCATCCTCCTGACCTGCCGTGACCACTTCACACACATCTCGTCGCCCCCTCCCCGTCCCCCACCACCCCCCCCCACACACACACCCTTCTTAACACACACCCTCCTGTAACTCCCCCTTCCCATGACATTACTGTCTACTAATTCCTTCTTCCCCCCTTCTCCGTCTCCTCCGCCCTCCCAGGGTGTGGTGTTCTACGCCGCCAACGTGGGGGTGGGCCTCACGCTGGCCGCCCCCGGACTGGCCGCGCAGGTGGCGGAGGGACTGCTGCGGGAGCTGCCGGCGGGGGCGATCAGCATGGTGGGTGAAACTGAGGAAAACGGGGAGGGTAGGGGTGATGGTGGTGGGGAGAGAAGTACAGAGTGAAGCAAATGAGGGGTAGGGGAAACAACCGGCATGGCTGGTGATAAGGGGTGTAGGAGACAGAGATGGAACGGGGTGTAAACGATTAGGTAACGACCAGGCAAGCCAGCATCACGAACCCGCCCTGTCATGGGGCGGCTACGGCTGATGGCATGTCCGTTTTCAACGCCGAACCCTCCCATCGCTCTTACCCTCCATAGTAACTGCCTCCCTTACCCTGCCCCAATGCCTTTGCTATCTTGGCTTCCATGCGAAACCCCCCCTTCATGAGTTGGGATTTGGGATTGGGACTCCGTTGCTGCACTTCTCTTTTATTATCCCCCCTTCCCCCCATGCAACGCAGGTGGGTGTGCGGTCCGTGCAGGGGGCTGCTGCCGCCCGCCGCGCCGGCGCCGACTGCCTGCTGGTGAAGGCGGAGCTGCTGCACTCGTACGGCGAGGACGTGGCGGCGCTGGGGGCGGACCTGCAGTACGCGGTCAGCTTGGACGACTGACCCGCGGGTCGCTTGGCGATTTTGGGGGGGAACAGTACATGAGAAGTGAAGCGACTGGAGTTTGGGTGGGGGCAAAAAAGAAAGAAATATCAAGCTGCAATTGAGGGAGGGGCATGATGGGGTGAATAACAGTGTATCATCGTAATGGGTCGGGGGTCGCCATGCTGACTCCTGCATGAGGTGCTGATGGTGGGTGGGGATGGCGGTTGACGTTATCCGTGGTCGGTTGCGGTTAGGGGGGCGTCCACTGGTGACTTGAGGCGTCTAGTGTCTCACGCCTTGCATTGAGCGACACCCGACATGGTCCACGTTGGGGTGCGTGGCAGCTGGCAGCTGGAGGTGCCAGATGGTACACGACACGTACTAACAGCCCTGTCAGTCTGTTACACACTCTGTTGCCGCCCCGCTCTCCACTCCACTCCGTGCCGCGTCATGGTGCCTCCTGGGGCAGAAACCCCTCAGCACGCTGCGCCTGCCCCTGTCCCTTTCCCTCACCCCCGCCCGCGCCCCCACCCTCCGCTGCCTCCAGCTGCTGCTCCGCCTGCACCTCCATCTCCTCCCACACCGCCTCCACTCGGGCCACCAGGTCTGCAGGCAGGCACAGCAGCAGCAGCAGCAGCAGGGCACGGGTGCGGCATGTGCGGTACACAGCTGGAGGGGCATGTTGACGATGTTGTGTTATACAGTGAGGTTACGTCTTGCAGGTTATCAACCACCGCCGCGCCCCGCCGCAGTAGAGACACGTTTTCCCTCCTGGCCCCCTCCCTCCCTGTTTCCGCGGCTCAGTTTATCTAATCCCTCACCCTGGAAGTCGGGCTCAAGCATGTAGCGCTTCGACCCCACACGCCGGGGGAGGGAGGTGGAGGTGCGTGAGGAGGTGCGTGAGGATCCAGGGGGCGTCGACATGGGGCAGGCAGGGGGCAGAGGACACAGCAGTCGGTCATCTGACACCCGGTCTTTGTGGGTGTCAGCAGCTCAGCCCGTAACAAGCCGCACCACCAGCAACGCCTCCTTAGCCTCATGACAGAGCCGAAGAAGCGAGGAACAAGGAACAAACAACAATCTTCGCTTTCCTGACTACCGGTACCTCATCCGCGCACCTCGATAGCAGCCCGGATGTCGCTGGTTGTCAAGCGCAGGTGGTCAAGCGGCTGGGTTGCGCCCTCGCAGTCCTGCGACCCATGGGACACCAGGCAGCCCTCAGCAGCTCACCACCCACTGTGTGCAACTCCTTGGCACCTCTGCTGCTTCTCAGTGGTCTTGTAGCAGACCGTCTGAACAGCACAACAGAACCCCTGCGGACGGCCCATGCAGGAGCCCCCCCCTCCCCGCATACACGCGAGGAGCGGTGTTCACCCTCATCCGGCATTACAGCTAGGGCTGGAACGTTACGGTTTACGGTATTACGATTTTGCGTAATTACGGTACCGTAATTACGGTAAAGCTAGAAAAAGTCTCATTTTTTACGATATGACGCCGTAATTGTAATTACGGTGTCCTGTGGACTGTTTTTAACGGTTGAACCGTAAAGAACCGTTCAATGTCGCCGCAAAGTCAAAGTAAAGTTCACAGAAGACGCCATTTCCACTCAATAACACCTCTTGGAATCTAAATCAACAATCTACATATAAATTGGATTGCTGAACTTTAGGAAATCACGCGAAGCTTGATGTTTGACCACCCAATGAAGCGCGTAGACCTCTGCTCACTAACATATCCACCCTAGAGAACGAATGACAGCATCCTCTACCTAACTATTACAGCTGTCACGAAAGTACTGGCTGGCATTCACTTCTTGGCCAGCTGGGCAATGGCCATGTCGTCCATGCGAACCCAGTCAGCCCTAGCCCGACCGCCCCTCCCCGATGGAGGCAACGAAGGAAGCCCACTAGCCGTCTTATAACCCAAAATGGGAAGAGTTGTTCCTTTCTTTAGGTTATTGCTGGTCTCCTTGGTGGTTGGCTGAGCAATCGTGCCAGGCGGCACGTTGCCAGGCTTATCGGCCATGTTTGGCAGCAACCAACTACCTAGACCTTTGTAGAAAGATATAAAAAGGGTAAATGATTGAAGATTACAGCTTAGATGTTAGTTTTGGCTCCAAAATCGACCACCGTAATTCGTTACGGTGCCCTTTCGAGCCATCTTCACCGTAATTTACTATGTTTCTTACGGTTTGCGTAATTACGGTCCCGTCATTACGGTACCAAATCCCTATTACGGTGAAAGTTTCCAGCCCTAATTACAGCGCTACCGCATGCACTCCCTCCCCCTCACCGTCGCCCCGGATCGCCGCACAGCCCCAGCAGCCGCTGCCGCCTGCTGCCTCTGTTGCTGCTGCTGCCGCTGCTGCAACCGCTGCTGCTTGCGTTGCTGCCTCATCTGCTGTCGCTCCCGCCATGCCGCCTCCCGCTCCCCAGCCGCCACCCGCCGCCGCTCTCGCTCCGCCCTCCCCTCCTCCGCCCGCCGTACCACCGCCTCCCTCGCCCGCCCCGCTGCCTCTAGAAGCGACTGGAACGCCCGGCCCTCCCCAGGACTGTTGAAGCGGAAGCACAGCGCAGGCGGCGGCGGTGCTGCGGCCGCGGTGGCAGCGGTAGCGGCGCCCCCGGTTGGCGCCGGCGGGCCGGCTTCCGCCTTCTGTTCCTCCTCCTTCGCTGGATGCTGGGCAGCGGAGGGACCGCCGGAGCCCTCAGGCACGCCGCCGCTGCCGCCGCTGGCAGCCGGGTTGTGCGACAGCGGCGGCAACAGCAGAAGCAGCCAAGGGGCCTGCGCCTCCGCTGCTGCATTCGTCGCCGCCGCGGCTGCCTCCGGAGGGCGCTGCTGCGGTGGCGGCGGCGCCAGCAACCTCAAGGTGCCTCCGCCGCTGAATATGTCTTGGCGCCAGAGCGTTACCCCCTCCAGCTGAACCTATGTGTGTTGGGGGTGAGGGCATTGGAGCGGGGGAGGCAGCTTAAGAGTGCGTCCGAGACAGACCTACTACACTGGGGACCTACAACGGCAGCAACGACAACAGATTGCCAGTGCGAGACGCTGTCACGGCCAGCTGTACTTGCTCCGTGCCTGGCCGCTGCGGCCCTCTGATCCCCATTCACCTAGCCACTTTGCAACCCCCTTCCCCCATCCACCCACCCACCCACCCACCCTGATATCGAACTCCCCGCCTCCCTCATCGCTCAGCGCCGCCGTCAGAGTGGCGGCACCGCGGCTGAGCAGCCAGCTGCCGCGCAGGGCCGACTTGGCGGGAGCGGAGGGAAGCACGTGGCGCTGCGGGGCCTGCGGGGCGGCTTGGGGCGGGGGCGGCTGGCTAGCGGGGGCGGGTGGCGGGTCGGAGGGAGCTGGAGCCGCAGGCTGCGGTCCCGGTGGTTGCGCGGGGCCGGGGTAGAGGGCGATGCGCGGGGGCTTGGGCAGGAAGGCGGCGAGGGAGCCGGTCCAGCTCTGGTGGGTGGCGGCGGGCTGGGCGCGGTGATCGGACATGGCAGCGGGAGGCTGAGGGAGCGGGTTGAGGGCCGTAATTGCCAATAAGGCCGCGACTTGTTTGGAGAAGTTCGTGATAGCTGGCGTTGCGAAAAAGGCGTGCTTTGCGGACCTCTGCGACAGGCGTCAACGAGTTCCGATAGCTAACGTTCGGAGTAAAAGAAGGAAAGAATAATTGAGAATAAAAAGTAGTTGGGAAAGAAGCCTGCTGTGCTTGAGAGGTGTAAGGAAGCCACAGCCACACGAGGGTGATCACCTTTTGCGCAATGGAGTCGCCGGGGCTGTACGGCTAACCTAGGAATGCTAGGAAAACCAAGTATACGCGACATGTGTCCATCAAGGATCCAACTGGTTGGAAAAGACAGCTGTTAGCACCATCAACGACCTGTTGTTGCCTTGCTAGCTGACCCGTGGGCCCTGGCCGAATGCCGGCTGCTTCACCAGCGTTGCTCCAGGTATCACAAGGCATTAGCTACGTATGGAACTGAATTTTAAGGATTGAGGTGGCGCGTGCTTGGGACATTGGGACATTGAACCGACGCCTGGGGTCCTGGTGGACGAATATAAGGAATCTGTCAATTGATACATGTATCGTTAACAAACAACAGGTTTTAACAGGTGCAAGGGTTACAGTTCACTGAACCCGCGTTCGTCGGCTCGTCGGTTCATGGATCTTGTCCTGTCGGACGACCGCGATACGACGCAAGCAAGCCCTGATTACGCCCCGATTACAACCTTTTTGCTAATGTCACATTATGAGCATGCCAATATTAAATAGCTTTCAGAATCAAAGCACAACAGCTTATGCAACCGAACGAGCTGACCTTGAACGCAACAGTCTGGTCTCAGGCTCCCAACTTCTCGGAAAACGCCACGGCCCTCACAGGCCCTCCCAGCACTCTTAACCTCCAAGCATGTCCAGCAGCGCCACTGCCGCCCAGAACCATGCGGCCCTCGCCCCAGCCGCAGACGCCCAGGACGCAGCAGGCTCCTCTGAACCAGCCCTGGGCTCCTGCCCCGCAGCGGCAACAACAGCCGAAACTGCCCCCCAGGCAGTAGCAGCACCGGAAGAACCCAATGAACTGGCAGCAGCACGTGCGGCCTGGTCTCGGCTGAGGGAGGTCGAGAGTGTGACTGTTCGGGTGATCGTGGACAACGAGACCGACGGGCTGTCCTCCCCATGCGCCTGCTGCGATCCGCTGCTGGATCCAGCCACCAGCACGCCGTACACGTCCGAGTTCTCGACTGCCGTACAGGTACGGCTGCGGGCTGCAGGGCCGCTGGCGGGTGGTTCTGGGGTAGGAGGCCACCTGAGCGTGGGGTGGGGTCGGTCGCTTGTGAGGAAGGGGGGGGCTGTACGCACCCCCCCTTCCGTGTTCTCCTGCCTTGGCTGGCGTCCGCCTTGTCCATTTCCCTCACCCTGCCAACCCTAGGAACGGCCCAGACACCCCACCCCACCCCACCCCTCCGTTTCTCCTCCTCTACACCCTCCCACCTCCTCGCAGCATGTGGCAGCTGGCGAGTGGCCCTTCATCGACTTCCGCCGCACCCTCACAGCGGCTCACGGCCTGTCCCTGCTGATCACCGTGCGGACAGCGGGCGGCAGCAGCGGCGGTAGTGGCGGAGGCAGCAGCGGCGGAGGCAGGGGTGGTAGCGGTGCCTGCAGCGGCAGTGAAGGCGGCAGCGGCTGCGCGGAGGGTCAGGAGGCTGCTGCTGCCGCCAATGCAACTGCTATTGCTGAGGATGGAGATGCAGAGGGGGAGGAGCTGGGTCTGGTGTTCGACGGGGGCCCGGAGGAGGCGCTGTGGGAGCGCAACGCGGCACGACTGGGGCTGGAGGGGCTGGCGGGGGCGGGGGCGGCGGTGCTGAGCCACTGGTGAGGAAGAGGGAGAGGGGAGAGGAAGAGGGGGGGTGCCGCTCCGTACCTGCTAGGGGAAGGGTCAAGGAGGCATGGAGCCGTGGGCCACGTACCCCACCACTCCACCGCTTGCATTGTCAGCCGCTGAGGCATATCCCCTGCCTGGCCCCCTCTGGAACGCCCTCTCCGCCTGCACGAGATGATAACTGAGTATGACTGCCCCGCTCCGCTCCCCGCGTCCTCCCTCCCCTATCTCTGACCTCCCATCCCTGCAACGGGACTTCCCTCCCCGCCTCATCCCCACGCTCTCCCGCAGGCATGTGGACCACAGTGTGGGGCTGGCGGCGGTGGCGCGGGCGGCATCACGGGCCCGCCGCCCCAGCTCCCACCCGCAGGCTGCTGCCGGCTCGCAGCAGCCCCGCGGGGGCGAGGCGGAACCCTTCCTGTTCGACCTGCCGGCGGAGCGGCCGCTGCGGCGGGGCCTCATGCTGGGGGCCGCGGGGGGCAAGGTGGCGCCGTTTAACGAGGTGAGGGCGCAGGGCTCCCCACCATCCCTTAGTACCGGTACCGTACCCCTCGCAACCTTGCCTTTTCTTACCACTTCCCCAGACATCCCTCTCACCAACCCAACCCCTGCAGGATGTCACTCTGGAGCAGCTCTCGCTGCCCGGCTGCCGAGTGGAGCAGCACGCGCAGCCGCACACACTGCTGCGGGACTGCTTCTTCGTGTCGGGGGCCGTCCCACGGGTCACTGACTTCGAGACGGGGCAGCCCGGACATGCCACGCTGGGGGTAGGTTTGTTCCCCGCCCTAGGCGGGGAAGGGTATTAAATACATGTGGCAAAGAGGAAACAACTACCGGTACCGGTAGCTGACCGTGTAGTAAGGAATGGCATGGGACAGGACAGGGGGCGGGGCGGCACGCACTGCTGGTGGAGTGCGTATGTGTTTGTGTCCTTCGTTTGCATGGCGTCTCGTGCCGTAGCGGGTGGGTGGGTGTGGCGACCGCTTCTTTGAGGCTCCCTCATGCTCCTACGGACCAGGACTCGTGTCTTGCCGCTCCATGGCTTCCCACCTGCGCCACGGCGTGATGCCCCGTTTGGATCGGTCCACCCTCCTAACCCGTTCCAACCTTCCCTGTGCTTCCCCTTTCCCAAAGTCCGATGGCGTGTGGCGGCCTGACCCGCTGCTCATGGAGGAACGATACCTGGCAGTGCGGCTGAGGGGTGCGCGCTGGGGGGCGGTGTGTGGGAGGGTTTGACCTGATGGTTGATGCAGCATGACCATGAAGTGAGGTTGTGAGTTTGCGACACAGGAGGCTTGCATCTCGTGCTGATCCTCAGCACCTTCTTTGCTTCACCTCATTACCAGCACCGACTCACGCAACCCTTCCTCGTCACCCCCCACCCAACCCCCAGGCCAGGGTGTGCTGGTGTTCAGCGGCTGCTCGCACGCGGGTATCGTCAACGTGGTGACACACGTACGACAGCTGGCGCCCCGGGAGCCGCTGTTCGCCGTGATAGGCGGTGAGGGAGGGCAGGGACCTGGGAGGGCGGGTAGGAGAGAGGGCGTAGGCCGTAGGCCTCGTGTCACGAAGCACCTCACCGAGCAATGCCTGGTCTCAAAGGCGCACTCCACAGTGCAGACCTATTGTGATGCCGCCTCCTCACTTCCCACCCCCGCCCCTCCCGCAGGTCTGCACCTGGCCAGCCGCCCCATGGAGCCACGCATACCCGCCACGGTTGCGGCACTGCGGCTGGCCGCCCCCCACCTGCTGCTGGCGGGGCACTGCACCGGCTGGAGGGCAAAGGTGAGAGGCGGGCGGGGCGGGGGCTGAGGGCTTTCGCTACCCCTCCCATTCCGTGAGGAAATTCCGCTACCCCTCGCTGCATGCATGCTGTAGGATACCGGTATATATTTCCCAGTTGATCGTCCCCGTGCTTCCACCTGCTGACCGCAGGCCGCACTGGCCGCCGCCTTCCCGGGTGGCTTCCAGCCGTGTGTGGTGGGTGGCACCTACCGCTTCCTGGCGCCTCCCAGGCAGGGGACAAAGGGGGCGGAGCAGCAGCAGCAGCAGCAGCAGCTGGGGAGCAGCGGTGGAGGGAGGGAGCAGGAGGTTGTGGCCACCGGTTGTGGGGAGGGGCTGGGGCCGCTGTAGCCGTGTTCTCAGGAGGCGAGAATTTACCGGTAATGCCTCATTCATGGGTCCTAGTGAACATGCAAGACAGGCAATGTGGCGGGTGGATGCAAATCCTGCCGAAGGCTTCTCAAGCGTCACATGATGACATGACGGGCAGAAGGCTTCTCTAGCAGTACATAAGGGGCGGAAAGGCGGGTACTACTAGCCCCCGGTTATTATGTGATGCGGTGGTTACCCACTGTTGGCCCAAATGCCGGCCCCACGGTCTATAGGGTACAGGTAGTCGGATTGGACACCACAATCCAACACCACAGCAGTTGTCCTTGCATGCCAGGCGAGCCGAAGGGATAACTTATGGGATGTTACCAACGTTGGACTGCTTGGTACGTTGGACTGCTTGGTACGTTGGACTGCTTGGTACAATTGTTAATGGTAGCAGCTACTGGTACCGTATGTATGCATGCTGCATGTCTGGCATGCGTGTGCAGTAGGGCGACACACACCATGGACCTGCCTGCCCTGTGGCAGCAGCCCACTGGTGCACAGCGGCCAACCTTTGATTCCATGGTAACCATGTAAGAAGTTACAATGGCACAAGCGAAAGCGAAAGTATAAATAAAGCTGCCCCTGAAACGTTTTCAATGCTGGCTTGCTGGGCCATTGTAGGAGTGTACGGCAGGGGCGATTGACGTTCATCACGCTCTGAAAACAGGAGTTAGTGACAGGTTCACCACCGTGTCGCACCTGGACAGATGCCCCCTGCGACAACAATCAGTCACTACCGCACAATTTGAAGGCCTCTAACCAGACCATACAGTACAACAAGGCCGGACCTGCTGCTTCGTCCTTCCTGTACGCCACGCTCCAAAGCAAGCGCCCCCTCCTGTAGCAAACCTCGTGTCATGCTCACACGCCGGTCCACAGAAACCGGCCGATCAACGGCAAACTAGTGCGCTGGCATACGGTAGATACACTTGTCTCCTCCAACCTCGAGCCAAGCAAAGGCACCATCCTTGACCCGGCAAAAAACGTGCAAGCGGTGATCCGTGTGCATGATTGTAGCATGACGGACAACCAAGAACAGGACAGCACTTCAGCGCTGCCGTACCAGCTGCACTCCGCCCCAATCCAACAAGCCTGCTCCCCCGGCCCCGCCGCCAAACGCAGCCCCGAAACGCCCGTCCAAATCGTACCCCCGCCCCCCGCCACCCAGCGCCTGTCTTTTGGCATCCAGCAACCCAGCAGCCGCCTCGGACCAAGACCTCTTGGAGCCCCCACCACCGCCTGCAGCTCCCCCCTGCGGCGGCCCCCCAGCCAAGCCCGCATGGTGGTGGTGGTGGTGGTGCCGTGGTTGAGCGCCGGCGCCAGTGCGCGAAGTGTCGTGGGAAGAAGGGAACGTGGGCATATCCGCCGGCTGCTTCGGATAGGGCTTCTCCTGCAGGGCAGGAGCAGGGTTTAGGACGGACACGCTGTACGCGAGCGTCGCATGCAGGACATGTGGGTTATGTCCTTATGTGTATCACAAGCAAAGCAAGAAGCCATGTGGGTCATGTCGAATTCCAGAGGGCGGCCGCAAGCTTCCCGGCCCGCCGGCCATCTCGCCCCCAGCCCTTCCGCTTGCCTGGAAGAATTCATGCCGCAGCGCCTGCCTGGCTGTGATGCGGCGATCTGGGTCGTAGGTGAGCAAGCAGTTGAGCAGGTGCAGCCCGCGCTCGCTCAGCTGCGGCAGCTGCCGGCGCAGGAAGTTGTAGGGCTGCTCGGGGAACACGAACTTGCTGGCGTTGGGCAGCGAGGACATGCCCTGCGGGCAGGAGTACCAAACGCGAGCAAACGTCAGCATGGCCATGGTAACCCTCAAAACACGACACAGCATGCACAGCGCATACCAAGTTACGAGATCGCGGCACGCGCATACGGCAAACGCCCCGGAGCTAGATGCCGTAAAGATCTCCGCAGCAACAATTACCAGTACTTTCAGCGGCCCTGCCTTTCCACCCACCGGCCAGATCCGCTCGTTGGGCGCCCCCAGCAGCGCCGCCATCATGTTGAGACACTCGCCCTCCGAGGTGGCGGGGAACAGCGGCTCACCCGCCACCAGCTCCGCCAGAACCGCACCGCAACTCCACATGCTGGGAGTGGCGAGAGGAAAGAAAGCAGAACCGGAAGGAGAGGTTGCGTTTGGTTGAAAGGTTGCGTTATCTAACTGCAAGCCGTACGGTAAAGGAGCAACAGAAAAGGAGCAAATGGTCGTGTCATTTTCCCATATGCAGCACATCTGGTCGCACGGGCGCCCTAGGCAGCTGTCCCAAGCGAGTGTATCCGCACTACCCCGCCACCCCTGCCGTACTCGATGCTCTCGTCGTACTCCTCGCTGCCCAGCAGCACCTCAGGCGCCCGGTACCACAGCGTCACCACGTTGGGGGTCATGGGCGTCACGAAGGGCGCAAAGTATCTGCGGCGCCGCACATGGTCGAATGGGGGGAGTAAAGAAATTGACGAGACAAGTAAGGCTTCTCCATGGGGTGCAGACAGGGTAGCCGGTCCATCGCTCCATCCCACCCTGCCCTGTCCTGGTCGAAAGGGGGGAAAGGGAAGGGCCGCATGCATGGTACGGTGATGACGGCGTTGGGGCTGACAAGCCGGAAGCATGAGCAACGCAACACAGGCGGGCGACCCTGCCCCGCCTCGTCCGCCGCAACCCACCTTGCCAGCCCAAAGTCGCATAGCTTGAGGTGGCCGGTGTGCGTGTAGAGCAGGTTGGAGAGCTTGATGTCCCGGTGCACCACCCAGTGGTCGTGCAGGAAGGCAACCGCCTCTAACAGCTGGGGAGGCGGGGGAGCGGGCGGGCACGAGGCGAGCGGGAAGCAAGGAAGCAAGGGTTACCGGACTTCCAGAGGTGTGGCCCGTGACGAGAGTGTAGGCGGTACATTTAGGGCGGCGCATGAGGACATACGGTGTCCTTGGCTATTGGCACGTTCATCCTTGGCCCCCTGGTCTTGCGCCGCTGCCGCGCCTCCCTTCTGCCTTGTCACGCAGCGACCGCTGGCGCCGCTGCCGCCTGCACAGCTGCTCACCTGCCGCCTGCACACTGCTCACCTGCCGCATGAGGCACTTGACCTCCGACATGCTGAAGCCCCTGCGCGCCCCCGCCAGCGTGTCCAGCAGGCGACCCAAATCATGCTCGCAGTACTCGAACACCAGGAACACACTGCGCAGCAGCAGCAGCAGGGGGAGCAGCAAGGGGAAAGGAAGGGTAACCATCGGTACCTTGCTGTTAGCAATGCAGCAGGGGTAAGGGTTATGCGTGGGCAGGGAGGCCTTAGCACGTGCAGGAGAAGAGAAGCGGTGCGGACTTGCAGGTAGGGGAGAAGCCGGGGACGATGTGGAGGTAAGGATAGCCCCATGCAGTAACCCTCTGCTTGCGCGTGTGCATCTCCCAGGTCTCTAGCCAACCAGCAATCGCCCTTGCGGCCCCCCTCCCGCTCCAGCGACAACCCGCTTCGGAAGCAATGCGCCTCTGCGTGCCCTACCTGTCCGCCTGCGACCCGGTGACCACCTTCTTGAGTCCCACAATGTTGGGGTGGCGGCAGGCCTGCAGCACGCGCAGCTCACGAATGGACGTCACAGGCACTCCGTCGCGCGAGCGGTCGAAGCGCACACGCTTCAGTGCCACGACCTCGCCGGTGGTGCGGTCGCGCGCCTTGTCTGGATGTGGCGAGGCGGTGACGGCGAAGAGGACGACAACGAGTGCAGGGTGGCGTTTTGAGTGATATGCGTGGAGCGGCGGGGCCATTCCATGTGACGAGGAGGGATGATTGGTGCATAGTATAGGAGTTGGCAGGTAGGGTCGGAGTAGGATGCGAGTAGAGCGACCATGCCAGACACAGGTATGAAAGAAGCAGCACAAGTGAGGCCCACGTCGTTCAATCAGTTAGCCAGGATGTTGATTGAGACGAACGGGAGGTTAGTGAAGGCCAAGGGCATGGGGAGAAGGGCAGTCGTAGGGCACATTTGCATGAGGCCGGACGCCAACCATACAGTTACATGACGTCAGCCAGCAGCACACGAAGAACAGCAATTGAGCCACACCGTTGCAATGGCAACCGGTTAGAACGAAATATGGGTGTGTGTTGACAGCGACAGTGGAGGCAGTTGCAGCAGGGCGGTGTGGAAGGTCGCCGCCGCCGTCAAGTGGTGGCCCGAAGAGCGCAGTACGGCATTCCGTTGCAGCGAGCGGAGGTTGCCGTTGGATTAGAAAGGGTAGAAGGGGAAATGGGGAGGGGGCACGAGCGCGGCCCAAGGGCAACACTTGTCAGAATTGTAACCAACATATGCGTTGCAAATGCAGGGACGGCGTACTAAGCTGCAAACCCAGGTTTACCCCTCAAGCATTGCACTGGCATGCCATTGAAGCGCGTATCCTGTTCCCACTTACATACTACGCCATAGGTCCCCTCCCCGATACGGTGCAGCTTCTCGTAGTTTGATACAGGGTCATTCACCGGCAACGGACTGGGCTGGCTTGCCCCGCTCATTCCTAGTTTCCCTAAGTCGTCGTTTCATAAAGAGTTCCTAAATTGAGAAGTGCACTGAATGCCGAAACAGCTGCAGCGATTTTTCCTTCTTGTGAAACAGTGGCACGCCTTGATAAGGTCTTTTAGAGAGTACTGGGTTACTGATCAAGAACCAGCAAATGAAGGTATGCTCCTAACCAGCTTCTATGGGAGCAAAATGGCAGGCTTGCAGGGTTGCAACAAGCTGTATGCTGTCAACGCTTTTTTGAAGGGCAGCACTCTAATGAGTACAAATGAAATGACAGTTTAAGCTAATCCATCTTTCTCGCTACCTCAAGCATAGGCGGCCCGGATGGGTTATAACCAATCCAAAGTGGATTTCGGGCCAAGCTGTCGCTCAACAGCTGTCAGCATGTTGCCAATATCGCCAAGACCTCAGCACTTCCAACTAAGGTAAGCCATCTCTTGTAACGAGGTTTGCAATATGCACTTCAACCTGGCTTGGGGCGTGACGGGGTCGAGGACAGCCATGATTGGGTCGACTGTTGCAAGACACGCTGTAAGCCTTTAACATCGCTGTGCCAGATATGCATCTTTCGTTTAACACGATGTTTCTTGCCACAGGGTACAAGAAGTTGCAAGAGCCTTCATCGGGCCCAACTGGAAGAGCAACGGACAGTCAACTGTCTTTCCCGAAAGAGTAAATGGCACGTTTTTATGCTTAAAAACCATATTCCAAACTTATAATTAGAATACCCTTTTTGAGCTTAGGGCGCCGTTTCACCCGCAGCCTAATTGTGACGGCCAACATGGTAAGCATGGTGTTGCCCATATTGCGCCTTCCAGGCCACCCACATGGACATATTTCCAGGCATCTTACGGATCGCCGCTAAGGACGCCATCAAAGTCCGTTAGCGCATGTCACGGTAAGTACCGGTAGTTTGCGGTGGTAGGCAGTCCAGGCAGCAACATGTCCTTTCCGACAAGCACCTAACGGCGTCCAGGGTTAACGCTTGCAGGTGCACGTTGCTCGCCTTTTATCAAGTCGTTTGACCAAAACGGGAAGGTCCTGCGTAGTATTCCTTTTGACGAAGGACATGCACGGCGCGGCTGTTATGCAAGTCCGCTGGGCAAGGTGCGAACAGCCTTTACATGACTGGTTCTTAGGGTCCCACTTTGGTGGGAGTTATGCCTTTGCCACGTCGTGAAGCTGGCAACATGCGTTTGCAATCACATATATGTAATCAGGAACACCTTGACTGCGTTGTCCATACCAAGTACTCCTGCATCGATCGCTTGCTTCGCAATTTTAACCAACTAGTTTGTGCTTTTCTTGGTTGCAAGGCGTATGATGTGCGTCCCGTCCATCAGCGAATGCTTGACGTCCTCTTCCAGCCAAGCCAGGGCTTCAAGGAAGCTCAGATACCCGATTTAACGCACCTCTTCACGGTCGAGGAAGTCCTACAAGTCATTCGAGAAGCGCGCTCTCTGTTTGCGCAGCAGGACACTCTGCTGTACGTCCCGGGTAGGAAAGACTGAGCTGTTGGCCTGTACCCTTGCTGCTTTCTAAGCGAGCTCAAAACCCGTTTTGCTTTGTCTTGCAGCCCCCGCACGTGTGGTTTCCGACCTACACGGCCAATTCATGGACTTGATGCGCATGTGGGGCTGGTGCGGATCACCAGATGGGAGGTAAGGGAATGAGAGCGAGGCGTCTCACAGTTGAAATCACGTCACTAACGGTAACCCAGTGGGTAGGTGCGGGCTTAAACGGGTTATGGCAGTCGCTTTCCGTTGCTACGTTTTCCCTACACCTGGTTGACAGGGCTGGACAAGGGCCGAACGATTCTTGCTAACCGTCCTGCGTCTTTATGCTTGCAGCATTCCATGGGTTTTCCTTGGCGACTACGTGGACCGCACGGCTTACAGCTGCGAGGTGGTCCTCGTGCTGTACGCCCTCAAGATTAAGTGGCCAGAGAAGATTGTCATGCTGCGAGGAAACCACGAGGTGAGGACCCCGACCCCGACCCCGACCCAGCAAGGCAGCAATGCTCGTGGCGACGCACAAACTTTGCATTGGGGCAGTAGCAACTGCTGCTGTCATGCTAAACGGTGAAATGTCCTGCTGCCGCAGATCGCAACTATCAACGAGTACTACGGATTTAAGGTGTGCTTAATGCAAACAAATAGGATGTCTAGTGCCACGAAGCATCATCATGCTGATGCCTTGGGATGCAGGAGGAGCTTATCCGCAAGTGGGGCCGTGGCAACGGGCAGACGCTGTTTGAAGCATTCAACGACAGCTTCGACTACCTCCCTCTCGCAGCTGTGGCCGTGCCGCCCGGTTACGAGTGTAAGTGTCTTTGCATGTGGACTTTTGGACTGCGTTGCCGCTTATCTGTGTACTCGCATGACCGTCTTTTGGCCAGCATACGCACAGTACTGTGCGCCGTGATTAATTGACAATTCTTTGGCTTCTGGCGTTCTTTACCAGGCGACCCAGAGCTGGCCTACGATGACGACACGCAGTCGCAGTTTGATCCGAGCAGCCGCAGCCCCAGCCCCCGACGGCGCTTGCTGAACGACCGCTTCATCCCAAGCCGCTACCTTATGGTGCATGGCGGCATTGGTCGGCTGGAGAGGCTTTCCGAGATCAGCAACGTGCAGCGGCCAGTGCGCAGCGGCGATTGTGATGTGGCTGAGCTCACAATGCTGGAGCTGGTAAGCACTTAGGTTCGCTGGCTACACCCTGTAGCGCATGTCCTGCTCCACCTCAACGCAATGCCGGGTCGGTGCATTTCTGCCTAGGAAGGCCGACGTCATGCCGCGTTCTTGCTTTCAGGTATGGTCCGACCCGGCTCCCAGTGATGAGTGCAACGGCTTGCTACTCAACAAGCGCGACAACTACAGCGGCGGCATCGTGAGCTACGGGGCTGACCGTGTTCTGCAATTCTGTAAGGTAAGGTGTCAAAACTGTAAACGTGTCCGTACGGGGCGGGAAAGGTCTCTCCGTTGAGAGACCCCGGACGTTTCTGTGTACTGAATGCCGTCAAGCCACACACTGGCTTCACCTTGGTGTTAGCATGGTGGCTTACCGGCAGTTGACTCTCTTTTGCCCGCAGCGCAACCGCATCACCGCCATCCTGCGCGGTCACGAGTGCATACAAGAAGGACTTGAGCTCGCCTTCGGCGGGCGCGTTGTGACGTTCTTCTCTGCGGTGAACTACGGCGGACAGGGGTCCAACCACGGCTGCATTCTACATCTGGGCCTTACGGCAGACGATGGTAAGTCCACGTCTTTAGGGCGTGTAGGTTGGCTGCGGTTGCGCCTGCTACGACTTGCAGTGCAGTTCTGGAATGCTATGTTCGTGCCCAGCTCTAGCTCCTGTCCTTGTGCATGTGGGCAATGGTGGGCACCCTTGCGTCTAATATGTGCCCAGCTAACGCCACGTGGTATTGCAATGGACGTCCAATGTAGGTGACATGCCAAGTATCGAGATTGAGCCTATTCGCATAGAGGCCAAGCTCCGTGCGCCGTTGCCCAACACCTATGCTGACGACGATGGCGATGTCACGGACACAGAGCCCGACCAGGTTTCATCTGGTGGCTGCCACCAGGCCGACCGTCCCGGCCAAGACCCAAAGCAGAATCAACAGGGCCAACCAGACGAGAGTGGAAGGGGCGCCGGCCGTGGCGTCGACCAGAGCCAGTCAGGGCATGGTGCGGCGCAAGAGTCGCAGTCAGGATTTGCTGAGCCCACGCGTGCGGCAGGACTGCCGGCCCAAGACCAGGGCCCCCATCCCGTCCACGACTCCATGCCTAACAGCGTCAGTGGCGGAGGGGAAGCAGACCATGTCGACAACACCGTGTCTGCCTCGGAGCTGCCCGCGCCGACGTTAGAGGACGGAGATGGACCTGCAATGGCGGCACCCGTACCGCATCCCCAACACGAGTACGAGAACCCGCCCGCAGATCCCGAGGAAGACGTGGCGGCGGTACCCGAGGCTCCGGCTGCATCCGATGAGCCGACCCCTGACGGAATCGCGTTGCAGAGCTTGCTGCTGCATTACGCTTGGCCCGTGTTGTTGTCAACAGCGCAAAGCCACCTGGAGGCTTTGGGCAACGCAGGAGGCAAACCAGGGACCGAGGATGTGGCGTCAGTGGTGGCGGTCGAGGTGCAGCCTGCTGGGCACAGCGATGATGGTCTGACAGCGTGGAAGCCTTTCGACATGGAATGCCCATTCGGCTCACCTTCGGCCGACATCGACGATGATGGCAACGAGATCAACCCAACAGGGGGCCAGGCCGTGTCTTTCCCGATGAATGCTTCAAGCGCTGGCGATGTACGGGCTTCCAAGACTCCGGAGCTGACTCGGCGCCACTCGGCGGTGGTTCAGCTTGCTGACTACAGCAGCGAAGACGTTGATAGCGAAAGCCCGGGCGACTTGAAGGCTGTTGCAACACCGGCACTGGTTGGGCTGTCGTTGCTTGCAGGCTATGCCAGTGAAGACGAGAGCCAGGTGGCCTTGCAGGCGGCCGCCGTCGGGAGTGCCTTCGGTTCCCCGGTTGGTTTGGACGACGATGACGACATCAGCACGGAGACCGACAGCCTTCTCGACAACGGCAGCGATAGCGTGAGTCCTGGAAAGCGCACGCACAGCAAGGAGGAGGGCCGGGCGCCTTCGACGGCACGCGTTGCTGGTGATGGCGCAGGACTGCAAAGCCCTGTTAAGCGGCAGGTTGTGGAGCTGCAGGACGCTGACGGCCCCTGGCGCCACCCTGCTGAAAACGCAATGGGTGTTTTCCACTGGGCAGCGCTTGCGGCCCGTGATGATAGCAGGTGCCCTACGCCGCCGCGGCCGAGCCGAGGCGCAAGTGTATTCTGAAATAAGGCATGAGGGTGCATGCTACTGCGTAACCCATCGTCGCTCCTTGTGCCTCGAATGTGCCAATGAGTGCAGTGCAAGCGCGTGCAGCTACGGCCCGAAAGGTCCATTCTGATGGGTCCTTTGGTGGGAAGAGGGATTCCATGTATAGCACGGAGTGCTTCGTTGCTGTATGTAGCGATTGTGCAGGAGTATATGTGATTGCTATACATAGATAATCTACAGGTGGCGGGAAGTTATGTCGATGGTGCAGAGAGGGCGTATTGGGAGGCTGCAGCACAGCGCTGGCGCTGATTCAATGTGAGGCAGCTGTGGGCCAGTATATATATTTGCAGCAGTGATTAGATATAACGCAAGGAATAGCAGGTGCATGTGAGTATGCCGGCACGTGATTATTTTGGGTGCATAGTGCTTTCCTGGTGACATGGCCCGAGGTGGCCTTCGTGGTTCCCGGTGAACAGGGCCGGAGGCCAACAGCAGGGCGACGGCACAATACCCAAGCGGGTGAACCCAATGTTCGTATTCGCATTACTTCCTTTGCGGGTATGGATGCTTGTATTTATGCGGTGGACACGGCGGGTTGAAAACATCGAAACATTGACGACAAGCGGTCAAGTCGGTCGTACGCCTCGACATGAGGCCGTCGATGTAATACATAATGCTATCGTCATATACCTTTCAGTAGTAGCTTCAAGTAAGCAACTCAGGAGTAAGGTGTCACCTTGGAATTTCAGAGAAGTGCGTTTTTTGGGTCAGCATACGGCAAGCATGCTCCGAAACCTTTGCTTCGTCTTCCCTATCTAGGCCGACTAAGCTATTGTGCAGGCTCAGACAACGATGGGATAGATCAATATCGCAGTAAGGGTTACAGTGATTGGTTTGCGCAAAATGGCTGCCGACGTTGTGTTGGCAGTGGTTGAGACGGATTTACGGTTACTGGCAGCTGAAGCTAAAAAAGCGGAAGGTCCAATGACGAACCTAATGGGCATGTTGCATCACTCTGACTTGCCGGCCCTTAAGGATGCGACGGAGAAAGCACTTCAAAAGGTCCGACGCGTGGAAGAGCGGCACGACGGTCTTCCAGGCGTACAAAAGGCGCTGGTAAAGTCGTTAAATTTCTTTTCGCAAACACATGTAGCTGTCGGTGACTAGGAGGCTTACCTTCGCAGGAGATCCTCTCTCCGTTTGCGTTAGCGTGCGAGACGAAGTACCCAAAGCTCGCCTGTATCGCTCTCAGCTCTTTTCAAAAGCTGCTAGCCAACGATGCAGTCTCAATTCGGGGTCGCTGTGAGATTATCCGCGCCCTTCAAGCGGTGTGTATGGCGGGTTGGCAGGGGAGTCACGGTCCTTCCCGCAGCCCCCTTGACAGAGCGTGTTTTCCGTAGGCCGAACGCCTCTCCGATGAAAGCGTCAAGCTTCGTATCCTCCAGGCTAGCCTTACCATCATTCAAAACCCCAGTTTTGCAGATGAACAGGTAGGAGTGTAAGATCCGTCCTCCCAACCGCCTGGCTTTCTCATGCACGCTGCTTGCTCCTTCACGCTCACCATGCGGTACTCTGCGTCCCAAACACCCCACAGGAGGCTGTCCAGCAGCTGCTGTCCGTCGTGTTCCGCATCTATCTCAACAACAAATCCAACTTTGCCGTGCACAGCACAGCCGCAGCTACCATACGGCAGGTAAGGACGCGTCCATGTTGGCACGGCTAGGACCTCATGCGGAATGTGCTAACTGTGTTGGACCCCTGGCCAAACCCGTAGCCTTGCGTGTACGCTGCCTGACTCGTGCCCTGCCCTGCAGGCGGTAGCCTTAATCTTCGACCATTCGGTCATGAAGCCCAGGGCGGCCCCAGTCGCCACACCCACGGCCTCAGCCGGCTCATCAGCAGTGACCTCTCCGCAGCCCTCAACCCTCTCCTCCCCCGTTCAAAGCGGCCCCACTGGCGGCAGCCCCAACAGCCCGGGGCCGCCTCCGTCGGGGGCAGCCGCCAGCACGGCTGAGTCAGCCGCGAGCCCGGTTTCTGCCAGCGAAGAGCCTGCCTTGCCACCAGGGCGGGAGGTGGTGCCGGTGCTGGTGCTGGAGGAGATCATGGGCTGGCTGGGCGGGAGAGACGGTGAGGCCGGGGCCGGGGCCGCCGTTGTCGCACGCAACACACCTTCTTGCTGGCGCACATTCTACGTTCCTCCCCACACAGACCGACCGGGGTTAACCCTAGCACCCGCACCCCACGCCTGCTTCGTGCCGCTTCTTGCTGCCATGCAGGCAAGGAGCTGGGCTGGATCCAGCTGCAGCAGCGCGGCGGCGGCCGGGTGGACCGCACCTTCCTACTGGAGATGCTGGAGGCGGTGCTGCTGCAGCGCTGGGCGCCCATACACCGCCTGCCGGGCCTAGCGCAGTGCCTCAAGACAAAGGTACGACCTCGGGACGGGTGCGGGCAAACGCTCCGTCCGCAACTGAGACCCCTGCCCCTGCAAGACAAGTATCCAAGCCTTCACCGCTTTAGCTGGCTTCCGGCCTTCCACACCTTCCACACACGCACTCCTGCTGTATCCCGCGCCGCCTGTTGCCGTGCCCAGGTCGCCCCCGCCGTGTGCGGGCTGCTAGACAGCGCCTGCGACCGGCTGGTGGACCCGGCGGACGCGCCCGACTGCCGCCTGGTGGTCCGCTGCGCCGCCGCGCTGGTGCGCCGCCACGCCGACCTGGCGCCCGAGCGCGCGGCGGCGGTTGTCGTACGGCTGGCGGAGACGGCGGGCAGCGTGGCGGCGGTGCGGCCGCCCACTGCGGCGCACCGCTGGCAGCGCTTCATGGCGTTGCAGGCGCTGCGGCCGCTGCTGGCGGACCCGGTGCTGCTGTACAGGTGGGGGGCGGGTGAGGGGCTGGCGGCATGGATGTCCACGGTTCAGGCCTGAATGGCATGGGGGTTGAGGCGTGGTAAGGGTCGTGTGCTTCTTGCGCGCTTTGTCTGGCTGACTGTACTGCCGGCATGACACCCCGGGTGGCATTGCGTACGACAGGCTGTACCACCTAGCGCCGCCTGCTGACAAGCCATCCGCTGCAGCGGCCCAGGGCGGGGCAGCCAAGGGTGCTGCCGCCGCCGCTAAAGCTGGCGCCACCGCCGAAGCAGCGTCCTCGACGGTTAATGCTGGTGCCAGCAGCTGCTGCGATGGCGGCGGCAGCGCTGGCGGCGTGTTGCTCTCCGTGGTCCGCAGCCTGCACGAGGCGCTGCGCTGGTACGTGCGCACCTGTGTGGAGACCCCGGAGGACGACGTGGTGTCGGCGCTGGGGAACCTCTACCTGCAGCGCGCGCTGGGCGCCCGGGACCCCGTGCAGGTGCGCTGTGCAGGGAGGTGGGGAGAAGGCATTGAGGCGAGCGGGGACGGTGCAAGATCTCATTACGCCTTGGCGCCGCCCAAATCAAGCTGCAAGTCTGCCTCCTGGTTTCCTACGGCCCCCCCGCCTCCGCCTTTGACCCCCAGGAGACGGAGGCGCTGGGCACCAACTTGGCTCAGGGCAGTGAGGTGGTGATTGCGCATCTGGCGCTGGAGTGCGTGGTGGCCATGGTGGCAGCCACAGAGGCGCTCACGGACGTGGTGGCGGTGCCGGCGGAGCCCGGCATGCCCTCGCCCAAGCGTGAGTGGGGCGCGGGGGGCTTGGACACGTACCCGTGCCGTACTGCCCGGTAGAAGCTGACTGAGAGGTTGTTAGCGGGTATGCGAGACGAACCGAGACGGAACACCTTTGTATTTACGGTTAGAGCTGCATGGCTGGTTGTAACCTAACCCAGCCCGACGCACCTGTACCTGGCTCCCCATTCACGTACCCCTGCCGGTTTCCTGTGCCCCTGCGCCCCTGCCGGTCGTCAGTGATCACACGTGACACGCCCGACGTGAGTTGCTCCGCGGTGGCGGGTCTGGTGTCGGTGCTGTGGCGCTGCGTGCTGGCGGTGGGCAATGCGCTGCTGGCGCGGGCGGGACACGAGGTGCTGGTGGCGTTGCTGGTGCGGGCGCTGCAGGTGGGGGGGGGGCAGCGGAGAGGAGGGGGGGGGGCAGCGGAGAGGAGGGGGGGGGGGGCAGCGGAGAGGAGGGGGGGGGCAGCGGAGAGGTGAGGGAGGTGGGCAGCGGAGAGGAGGGGTGGGGTTGCGCATGGGGGTGCTTTGGGGGAGGGGTTGAGAACTAGCAGGGAGGGGTGACTAGGATGTGGGTCAGGATGGATTGTTGGGTCGCAGCGGCGTCGTACAAGGAAGCAAGGATCATGCATTGGCATGTGAGGCATTTGACCGGGTGGCAGTGGGGTTGACCCCCAAGCTGGTTAGGGGGCCACGTCCTGCCTTGCCAAGCATGCCTTGGCCTTCCTGTCGCACACATTTCTGCGCAAGGTATGGCGGTCACCTTGCCGTCCACCCGGCCCCCACTGCCGTCCGTGCCCCCCCCCAACCGCAGGGCATCACCTACAGCGCGGGCGCCCTGGGTGTGCGGGACGCGCGCGACGCACTGCTGGGCGCGCTGTGCTCGCACACGCTGCTGCCGCCCGGGGAGGACGACATGGCGGCGCTGGCCAGCAGCGTGGGAGCAGCGGGCGGCGCGGTCGCGGGAGGGCAGGGAGAGGACCGCAGCGTGGGAGGGTGCGTGCGGCTGGGGGGCACGGAGGGCGGGAGGGCTGTGGAGTAGGATGCCGTGTTTGCTGCTCTCAGACCGCTGCCTGCAGTGTAAGAGTGCAGCTCGCATGCTTTCGTGCGTACTTCCCTCCGAATGACGCCTCTCTCTCTTTCCTCCTCCTCCCGCACCTCCTTCTTCCCCTACAGCCTCTCACGCCGCGCCACAGCCACCACCCCCATCACACCCTCTTCCTCCTCCACCTCCGTGCCCGCCTCCGCACCCGCCTCCTCCTCCTCCGCTCCGCCCGCCCCCGGCTTCCTGACCGCCCTGCTCATGGACCGCGCCACCGTCTCCGTGCGGGTGGTGCTGACGCCGCGCAACATCGCCGCCCTGCGCGCGCTCTTCTACCTGGCGCACCGGCTGGCTGACGGGCTGGGCGGCGCGGGCTGGCTGTACGTGGTGGATGCGGTGAACGCGCTGGACCGCATCCTGGCCTCCCCGCACACCACCACCGCGGCGTACCTGCAGGTGGGGGGGGATCGCCGGGAGGGGGGAGCAAGGAGGGAAAAGGGGGGGAAAGGGAAGGAGAAGGGGAGGAGGAAGGGGCTTGGCAACGCAACCAGGGTACGGTATCCTCACGTTTGCGTTGCTCACCCTATCCTTGGTTGTGACCCATTGACACGATACCTGATCGCAGGAGGCCATCAGCGAGGGTGAGGCGGTCATGTCACTCCAGCCGGCATCCTCCATGCCACCCGGACATGGCACCAGCACGGCGGCTGGGGCCGGCGGCGGCGGCGGCGGTGCTGGCGGCGCCAGCGGTGCCGCAACTAGCGCCTCCGTGGGTGCTGCGCTGACGACGTCCGCAGCCGCCGCGGCGGCGGCGGCCATCGGCGATGCCGGCGTTGGCGACGGCTCCACCTCCGCCCAGCGTGAGCTCCGCATCCTGGCCTCCGCCGCCGACCAGCTGTTCGAGAACACGCACCACATGTCGCCCGAGGCGGTGGTGTCGCTGCTCTCCGCCCTGTCCGACATCTCCCACCGCACGCTGGCAGGCATGGGGGTGCTGGCGGGGGGCAGCACCGCAGCAGCTGCGGCGTCAGCAGCTGCGGCCGCCGCGGCGGCAGGCGGCGTGGGAACCCTGCCGCCGCCTACACCCGGCGCTGGCGCCGCTGGCGGCGGCGGCAGCACAGGCGCCCCAGCTGTTGCCTTGCCGGGCAGCTCCGTGCCGCCCGCGCCGGGCCCCATGCGGCTGTGCGCGCTGAACCGCATGGTGGACACGCTGCTGCACAACCTGTGGCGCATCCAGGACCTGTGGGGCATCTTCCTGGCGCATGTGCTGGAGGCGCTGAGCAGCACCAACATGCAGGTGGGGGGGGGAGGGTGCTGGGCGCCGTGTGTCGTAGATCTCCATCTGCTCCATCTCCGGCGGCTAGCTCACGTCGTTTCCCTTTGCCATCTTTAGCGGATTGTGGCGCTCGATATGCGCGGCGTGTATGCTCTCGGTTATTCTTTTTCTGTTCTCAATGCCACTCACGCCATCGCCTCCGCCGCCTCCGCAGGTCCGCGCCGCAGCACTGGATGCGCTGGACCGCACCATCACCGGCGCGCTGCACCCCGACATGCACATCCCCGACAAGTTCACCGCGCCGCTGCCGCCGCCGGAGGACGGCCTCTCGCCCGAATCCGCGGCAGCAGCAGCCAAACGTGCGCTGCTCTCTGCCTTCCCCTCCTTCGCCATCTCATCTCCGGACGCGTGTCAGCCGCAATCGCAAACCCAGCCATCCGACCAAACCGGCCCCATGGCTGCACCCGATCAGCCCTTCTGCCGCACGTCACACGACCTCACAAGCACCCCCAGCGGGACTCACGGCGGCGCCTCCTCCTCCTCCGTCTCCTTCCAGCCTGCGCCAGCCCGCCCCGCCGGCTCCTCCCGCCCCTCCCTTGACACCCCCGGCAGCCTGCAGTCACCCCCCACACCCAGCTTGTCTCCCTCCTCCATCCCCGCACCCTCCCCATTCGCCCGCACCTCCGGCGCTGCTGCCGCAACCACCCCTCCCGCCCCCGCCTCCGTCTCCGCTGCTGCTGCGGCCACCGCTGTCGCCAACCGCGGCGTGCAGCAGGCGGCTCAGCGGCAGGACGTGCAGCACATGGTGCTAGTGGCCCTGGACTCGCTGTACCGCGAGGGCGGCCGCTCGCCAGACGTGCGGCGGGGGCTGCTGCGCATCGCGCTGCACGTGCTGCAGCACCACGGCGAGGCGCTGACCCGCGGGTGGGTGCCGCTGCTGCGGCTGCTGGAGGCGGTGCCGCGGTGCGGGCAGGACCCGCAGGAGGTGCGGCTGGGCTTCCAGGTGAGTGCGTGGGGGCGGGGGGGGGACATGGGGCGGTGGCGGAGGCGGTGGCGGGGACGGGGCTGTGTTAGCGGTAGGAGACGTACTAAGTGTACATGACAGTCGACTAACAGCGGCTGGAAGGTGCCTGTAGCACTGGTGTATGGCACTACGGGTGTTGTTGCTATTAAGGCACCACAGGCGCCGGTACAACACCGGGCCTGCTCCTCCCTCTCTTAACACCGCCGCCGGCTGCCTCTCCCCCCCTACACCCCCCACAGGTGGTTGAGCTGCTCGCCACCGACTACCTGGCCAGCACGCTCGCCAAGGAGCATGTGGCCAAGGCACTGGACGTCATCGCACGCTTCGCCATGCAGGTGTGTGTGTGTGGGTGGGTGGGGGGCTTGTGGCAGGAAGGAGCAGGTGAGGGAGGTGGCGGGCAGGAAGGAAGTGCGAGAAGGTGGTCCTTGGTACTGGAATGCAAGGCCCTCCTTCTCCTAGCTCGGTGTGCAGTGGGGGCTGAGGTGAGCGCCGCAGGAGGACCCTGGGGGGTGAGGCGGCGGACTATACCTGCGCATGGACTCAAAAGCACCCCCCACACACCTCTGCTGCCCCTCCCCCCCGTCCACCTTCTAACGCCGTGTAGGACGCCGTGCTCAACGTCTCCCTCACCGCCATCACCATGCTGTGGAACGTGACCGACCACCTGGCACGCAGCAGGGGCACCTTCTCCCGGGTGGCGGCAGCAGCGAACCCGCACCATGCGCCACCGGTGAACGCCGCCGCCCCAGCCATCAAGGCACCCAACCCCACATCCGCAGCCGCTGCTGCTGCCGCTGCTGCCTCCTCGGGACCAACCGCCTCGTCCACCACAACACCCACAGCCGCACCGACCGTTGGCGCCAACGGAGCTGCCGGCAACGACAGCAGTCCCTTCACCAACACGCTCTACGCTGACTCGGCCACTGCAGGCGGTGAGCGGCAGATGTCTCCGGCCTTCGCCGCGGCACTGTCGTTCGCACGCGGGGTGCCCTCTCTGCCCTCGGTGTCCTCCCAGCAGAGCTCCCCCTGGGTATCCGCGGGGGGAGCTCAGGGCCAGCAGCAGCTGCAGCAACCGCATGCCGCGCAGGCAGCAGCAGCAGCACCAGCACCTGTAACGGCGACACAACCGCAGCCGTTGCCGCTCGTTGCCACGTCAAGCGGCGGCGGTGGCAGCTATGCCGTACACGACCTGGACGAGGCGGAGTGCATTGCGCTGCTGATGATCGCGTTCCGGTCGTTGAAGGCGCTGGCAGTTGACAAACGGCCCGAGGTGAGGCCGCACGCGTTGGGGAGGCAGGCTGGGACGGGTGTAAATCGACTACCGTAGCAATTGCTTCGACCGCGCCTCGCCCACGCCCTTTTCAGCCCCCAAGGTCTCCTCCTCATAACACCGCTACCCCGGCCCCCCGCCCCACCCCCCCTCCCAGGCTCGCAACGCCGCTGTACGCACGCTGTACCTGGCGGTGTGCAGCCACGGCGGCAAGTTCCCGCCCGCTACCTGGCGCGAGCTGTTCTGGTCGCTGCTGTTCGAGCTGCTGTGCACGCTGCACCGCGTGTCCGCCAACAGCTCGGTGGAGGAGGCGGCGGCGGTGGAGCTGGGCAAGGAGAAGAGTGAGGTGCAGGGCGGGAGGGAGGGGGCGTGTGCATGGGCTCATGGCGTTGTATGGCAACGGGTCTTCGTGTCGGAGGATGCGGTGTTGTTTGCTAGCCGTGGCCATCCGCTATCCCACTTTCCTGTCTTTTTCCAATCGTGACCCACATGCAGATCCTGTCTCCCTGTCCATGTGTTCCTGCAACCCCGCCCCAACCTGTGGCTTCCTATGGTTCGGTATGGTCTTTGACCCCCCCATTACCTCAGGCGGTCGCTCCGTGGTGCTGCTGGTTCACCACAGCCGCAACAGCGAGCAGAAGCAGTGGGACGAGACGCTGGTGCTGGCGCTGGCGGGGGCGGGCAAGGTGCTGCGCAGCTACCTGCCGGTGCTGGCGGGGCTGGAGGGCTGGGCGGCGGCGTGGGAGGAGCTCATGCAGGTGCGGGGCGGGAGCACGCTGGGGGCCCGGGAATAAGGATAGAACAAGGGACATGGATGCCGTATGCGCACGACGAACTATGCGGATTTGTTGTGATGTAGGGATTGAAGAGATGAGGTATGCAGGCTGTATCCTTATAGCGCCTTACATTGTTGCAAAGCCTCCCATCCTTAGCTCCCGAAACCTGCATGCCAACCCGCCTCCCTGCGCCCCCCGCTGCTGCTGCTGCTGCCGCTCCAGATGGTGGGCGACCTGCTGTCGTGCGGCCGCAAGGGCGTGGCGCTGGCCGCCACCAGCCTGCTCACCACGCTGCTGCAGGCGCACGGGGCGGGGCCGCTGATGGGCCGCGACATGTGGCGCCAGGCGCTGGCGGCCATTGATCGGGGTACGTGCAGACAAGGGTATACCCCGGGGTGCCGCTATGGCTGCATACACCCCGGCATTCTGACCTTGGCAGCTTTGCAGAGCCCTGGCTAACCCTACCACCTCCTTCTACCCTGCCGCGCCTCCCCCCTCCTCCCCGCCCCCCCCCCATGCAGGCGTGTGCACCATGGCTGCCCCGCACACCTCCGCCTCGCTGCAGGCGCGCTCCGAGCTGCTGTCATGCATCACCGCCCTCGCCGCCCAGCTGATGCAGCGCACACGACCCGCGCCCGACCAGCCTCACCACCACACCTCCGCCTCCGCAGCTCACCCCCCGCCTCCGCCATCTGGGTCCTCAGCCGCTACCCAAGCTGCCCCCGGCTCGGCCCCCAGTCCCAGCTGCACCTCGCCCTCCGCCGGCCCTGACCCCGAGTCCCTGCTGCTGTTCCTCAGCTGGCTGGACCGCTTCGCTCGCTACCCAGTGGGGTCCGAGGACTCCTCGCAAATCCACTTTGTCACCATGGGCCCCATTCAGAAGGCCGTGCTGGCGGCGCTGGCGGCGCTGCCGCCTGCTGTGAGCGCTGCGGGCGTGTGGCCTGCCGTGCTGCGCGTGCTGTGCAACATGCTGCGCCCCTTCAGCACGCTGGCGCTGCGGCAGCATGCCAACCAGGCGGCCGCACTGCAGCAGGCGGTGATTGCGGTGAGAGCTAGGTGGGGGAAAGAAAAATACCTTATGCGTGAGCTGGGGGGGGAGCCATGAGGGCAGGCAGTCGGGTCATGAGGTGTTGGAGTGAAGATGGACAGTGCAGATGCTGTGAAAACGGGGTTAACAGCGCCCCTGCGATAGTGATTGACTTGCCTGTTGCCTCCCTCCGTGCCCCGTCCCTCCCCCAGCAACAACGCAGGACTGGCTCCGTGTCTCGCGCGGTCCCCAAACCCCCCTCGGTCGACGCCCAGCCGCCCCCAACACCGAGCTCCCCGCCCCCCGCGCCCTCGCCTCTGGACTCCATGGCATCAGCGCCCGCGAGCCTTGGCACGCCCGCCTCCGCGCGCAACGCCGGCGCCCCAGCCGTCCCCGGCCCCGCCCCTGCCTACCCCTCCGCTGAGCTGCTGGAGGCGCGAGCCATGTCCCCCGTGTGGATGGCGCGAGTGGTGGAGCTGCTGGCAACATGGTACCGAGACCATGTCCCCTGGCAGGTGAGGGGTGCATTGGGGGGGAGGCAGCACGGCGCGGCCTTACCATGGCCGCGGGCGATGCTCTGGACGAGTTGTCTCGTTTACCCCTCACACCGCCCGCCTCACACCCTTCCTAACCATTCCCTACCTTGACACACCCTGCCGCATCCTATCCCCTTTACCTTGCCCCCATTTGTGTGCTCTGGTCCCTTCCTCTGACCCCCGCCTTCCTCCCCCCCCGCAGGTCCGCGTGGCCACCTTCCCGCTGCTGGTGGCTGCGCTGTCCGAGTGCCTGGCCTCGCGCCACCTGCTGCACCGCCTCACACCCGACCCAGCGGAGCAGCTGGAGGAGCTGTGGCGCACCGCGGCGCGCGGCCTGGTGACGGTGGTGCAGAGCGGCCTGCCGTCCGTCAACATATGCGGCCAGGTGCGTGAGAGTGGGGGGCTGGCAGTGCTGGAGGCTCCTTCAGTTGTATGTGTATTATCGCCGCCACATGTGTGTTGAGAAAACTGGCATACGGTGCTCAGGAGGTGTGCATGTTGAGCCACGTTCCCGACCCGCCCCCCCACCTGTGCCCTCTTCCCGCACCCCCTGCAGGGCAGCCAGCAGCAGCAGCAGGTGCCCGACTCCACCTGGCCCGCCCTCGCGCGGGCCTTCCAGATGTACTTCCTGGCAGCCAACCTGCCGCCGCTGCTGCAGCCGGCGCAGGAGGAGAACCAGGCGCTCTCCGACCTCATCGCCACGGCCACGGCGGCGGGCGGGGCTGCGGCCACGGCGGCTGCGGCGCTGCTCCGAGGCGGGGGTCTGGCCGTGGATCCCTCCTTCGGCGCCGCGGCGCTGCCGCCGCCCCAGCCGCTGCAGCAGCAGTCGCCTGAGCGGCTGGCCGCGGACCTGGACATCACCACCGCGCTTCTGGACTGCCTGTCTGAAACCGTGCTGTCCTCGTGCCAACTTGCACCCATTGAGGTACGCTCATGGGTCGGGAGCAGCTATAGGTGGGGTGACAAGGGGACTACAGGACTGCCCGTTCCGCCCACTATTAACCTAATAACGTTATCAGCGGTTGAGCTTTCCTACATGTTTATACCTGTTCGACTCGCTTTGCGCTGCCTGTGACGCTGCACGCTCACCCTCACCCTCGCAGTCACGTCCCTGCACACCCCCGCACACCCCCGCCCCGCCCCTCCTCAGGTGCGCCGGGCGCTGGTGGAGGTGTTGGACGCGGGAGCTGCCTCCGCCGCAGCGCCCACCACCGCCGGCGTCAGCGCCATCATCGGTCCGGCCGGCCCCGTGCCGTACGACGAGTCCTCCCTCCCACCCGGCAGCCGCCTGAGCTACGTCTGCCTCACCAAGCTCTTCGTGCTGTGCAGCCGGGGGCAGGAGCAGCCGGAGCACGAGGGACGTGAAACACCCGGCGCCCGGTCGCAGCTGGAGGTGCGTTGGGACTGTGCGCGCACAAGCTCGTTGGATGCACTGAGCCGCATTGCTACCTTGCCTTGCCGTGCCTTGATTTCAACGCCCCTTTCACCTCATGGGTAGTGCCATCGGTCACCTCCTGCCACTTCCCTCTCGCGCTGCAGGTGGCACAGCTGGCGCTGCCCGTGTTCGTGTCACGCTGCGAGGCGGTCCTGCGGGACTACAACCGGTGGGAGCGCCGCACCGGCCGCACCTCGCCGAGCTCATCAACCTCATCCACGACTGCTGCGGCGGCCGCGCCCACGTCTCAGGCTCCTCCGCCGCCTTCACCCCTGTCGCCAGCCCTTGCTACCGCAGCCGCCGCAGGGGACCTCGCCGAGCCCTTTGCCACGGCTGCAGCACTGGCGGCCCTCCACGACAAGGCACGACACGTGCTCGACCTGCTGCTGAGCCTCAGGGTGCTGCCGGCGGTCTCGGACGCGCTGCTTCCGAGCAGGCCGCACCTTCGCTTCTGGCTCGATGTGTCACGGGCGTTGCGGGCACAGGCGGCATTGCCACCGCCGGCGGCGGTACAGGCGGCCGCCGTCAGCGGCGGCAGCGGCAGCGGCTCTGGCGGCGGTGCGGTTGCTGGTTTGGCAGCGCCCAGTCCAACGGCCCCGCCGCCGCCGCCCCCGCAGCGGAGCAGCAGCACGGGCATGGAGCAGACCGCGGGAACAGCTGCTGGTGACGCGTCCAGCGCCGGACTCACCCCAACACGCTCTGCGTCCTCATCGTTCTTCTCTCGCACGTACAGTAACACGGGCGCGCTCCTGTCTTCCGCCATGGCAATAGCTGGAGGCGGCGGCAGTAGCGGCGGCGGCGCGCCGCCTACCCCGCCTCCTGCTGTGCCCAGGAGTGGGTCGGCAGGCGCAGGACTGGGCACCCCAGCCGCCGCCAATCCCGGACCGGGGACGCCGCTGCTGTCCGGAAAGCTGCAGTGGGAGAAGGAGCAGCCGCACCTGGTGGCGTTGTACGGTGTACTGTGCGACTGCATCGGCAGTACGGATCCCGCCGTACGGGCGGTGGTGCAGAACATGTTGAACATGCTGGGTGGCGGCTTGGGACTCTGCGCTCAGTCGACACAACAATCCACGCCGTAGCGCGGTATAGGGTGTGGTTGCCGACATCACAGTCTGCCACATGCTGATGGCCGTGTGTACTGCATAGGAAAACAAAGGAACACGAATACCCGGGGGGCTTCTAGGTGCATCATCTCCGCACGCGATGAGTAACATGGCTGGGGTGTTTCTGCTGGCGGCAGGATGGCTCTTTGGGGCGGTGCGGATGCCTCGTAAACTGTGATAAGGTTGTTAAGGGAATCGGACTGTAAGGCGCTGTGGTGCAATGACTGGCTTGTAACCTGGCTTTGGATGAAACGTGATCATCCTGTACGTCTTGCGGGAGAATGTAAGGCACGGATATCCTGGACGACTAACTTAAATACATCACCCGCAACCACTATGCATGCTGCCGAAGCCAAGAAACCTGCTGCCCTCCAAGCCTTGGGCAGACCACCTATACCAGCTGCGAGCATCTGCACTAGGGCGTGACCAGGCAAACAGCCAAACCCCCCATTTGTCATAACCTCATTAGTCAAGTCGCGCTGGTTCCCCAGCATGCACAGTGCACGTCGTCGTGAGCTAGCCCCCTACCCCAAAGCACCCAACAGCACCAGTCTAATCTCTACCAGTTATCCGGGTCATCGCTCCCCAACAAATTGCTCTTGGAACCGCCCGTGGAGGTGGCCCCCAGCTTCGTGGCTCCTAGCTTCATGGCACCCAGCTTCGGCTTGGCAGCAGCCCCGTCGCCCCCTGCTCTCGCCGCAGCACCCGCCGCCCGCCGAGCTGCAGCTGCCCCTGAGGCCGACGCCCGAGCAGCAGCGGGCGCCGCTGCGGCTGCCGGCTTGGGCTTGGGGCCCTTATCCATGTCCTCCCACATCTCCGGATCATCAGCATCGTCGCCCCATCCGCCGCCAGCCGCATTAAGGGCCTCTGCAGGCTCATCCGCGGCGAAGCGACTGCTGCTGCCGAGGGCGCCGCTGGCAGTACGGCTAGCGGACAGCGCCGGCGCGGCGGTGGTGGTGGAGGTGGAGGGGACTCGGGCCGCAGGTGCGGTTGTGGGTGCGGGTGCGGGTCGGCTGGTAGTGGCTGCGGGCTTGGCGGAGAAGCGCGCCCGGGCTGCCAGCTCCGCCTCGTCCACCTGGTGGGTCGAGGTCGGGAACACGGGGGAGGGGGAGAAATTCCAATGTGTGGTGTGATAGACGGGGGGGGGAAGTAGCAAACGAGCACTGTTGGGGTAGATCCTGGAACTGCATGAGAGTGGCGAGCGTAAAGATCGAGAAAGAAGCGGGAGCTATGGGACCCGTTCGTTGAGAGTACCGGTATCTCATCAGCAGCGTCCCGTACGTAACGCCTAGCCAGTCCCCGCCCTCCACACGCTCCGCACCTCGAATGCTTCATCATCATCATCCTCCCAGCCGTCACCGCTCGTCTTACTCGCCCCCGCAGCAGCAGCAGGCGGGACAGGCGCTGTCACCGCCGCCGGCCGGCTGCTAGCGGCGACAGCGGCAGTGCCGCCGGTACTGCCCAGCCCCGCCACCCTGCCGGGCGGACTGGCCACCTTAGGCGAACCCGCTGCCGCGGCACTCGGCGCTCCAGCCGCCGGCGCCGCTCCCCCCACCGTGTTCATCAGCCCAGACACCGCCCACGTCAGCATGCTGCTCGTGGCGCCTAGCACGCTGGGAGCCTGACCCACAAAGTACGACGAGCTACCTCCGCCTCCTGCTGCGCCAGCGCCGGCAGGTCCCGCTGCCTCCGCCGCCGCCACCTCCTTGCTCCGCCGTACCTCCTCCTCATCCTTGAGCACCTTCACAAAGGTGTCCAGCACCAGCAGCGCACCCTGCCGCACCTCGGGGATGGCGTCCATGGCCAGCGGACAGGCCACTGGCAGCAGCCGCATCGCCACGTCCTCTGCAAGGAGCCGAGGTCAGGTGTGAGCACTCTGGTGGGAATAACCACAACAGGCAATACCAAATCTCGGAAGATCACCGGTAGCTGGTCGCAAGCTTCGTCTGCCCGGATTCCTTCCAGTGCATCATCCCCTCTGTTCATCCGTTCATCGCTCCGGGAACCCACACCCGTCCCCTGCAACCCACCCGATGAGTAGTACTGCTTGGTCGCCGCGAGCGCCCGCAGCCCCGCAATGCGCGCCGGCGGGAAGCCGTCCTTGAGCGCCCTGCTGAATGCGTTGAGCAGCACCCGGCGGCAGGTGGCGTCCCCCAGGTAGGAAGCCAGGTTGCCCAGCAGCACGGTGGTGTTGGCGCGGATGCTGGGCTCCTCGTCAACCTGGGGGCAGGCGGGAGGCAGGGGGGCAGCAGGGGGTAAGGTGGGGGGGGGGAGCAGCAGGGGATGAGGCAGCCAGCGGGCAAGCCGTTGGATGCAGCGCGGAAGGGGTATAAAACATGCTACGGCTCTACCTGCAGCTTCGAAAGGTGTTTGAGCACCGACGTGACGAGCGTCTTGTTGGTCATCTTGGGCGCCAGCGACAGCATGGACTTGAGCGTGAGCTCGCGGATGTATGCGTGCGTGTCCGTGAAGCCGGTCTGCAGCTGCGGGTAGATCTGCTCCTCGATGATGGGGGTGGTCAGGTGCTGGCTGTACTGCTCCACGGACTCCAGCAGCGACCGCCGCAGAGCCCGGTCTGGGGGGGGAAGGAAGCAGGGAGGGGAGGCGGGGTAGGGATTGGGCGTCATCGGGGTGCGGGTGATGACTTTTAAGTGGCCTAGAAAGGCCTAATAACGGTTGAAGGCCTGGTTATGCCATCAGGTTGCTAGCAGTACTGACTGGTGGTAGGTGGTAGGCACACGAAAGACCCCTCCGTCCCTCTGCCCCCTCCCGGGGTGCTGACGTCTCACCCGTGGACGCGAAGAGCTTGGACAGGCAGGGCACCACCCGCCGGTTGAACTCCTCCGCATCCAGGTGCGCACCGATCACCAGCAGCGCCGACACCGCCAGCGGGGGCGCGCCGCCAAACTCCAGCGCGCTGGACAGCAGTGGCAGCAGCTTGCGCACCGCCACGGGCGCGGGGATGGAGGGCAGGATGCCGGGCAGGCGCCGGAAAAAGGACTCCTGCGAGAGACGTTCGGCGCAACGGGAGGCACCGGTGTTGGTACCGTAGTTGAGATGCGGCAGAGGGGAAGCGCGGGACACACGAGCGCGCGCAGGCACACATACCAGGACGTGCAGTTGGAGAGTGAAAGTTGCGTGACAGAGGGTGACACGGCTATAGCAGCAGCCCACCAGCCACCGCCACCCACCTTTTCCACGGTGTCCTTGACTGCGATGTTCTCCATGAAGGCCACCACCTCCACCAGCCGGTTGTTCAGGAAGCGGCACTGCGCCACCTTGGAGGGGTTCAGGCGGCGCGCGGGGGCGGAGCTCAGCAGCCGCTGGTAGTCCTGCAGCAGCGCGGGCGGGATGACGTCCGTGCGCCTGCGGGCGGGGTGGGGGTGAGGGGGGGTGGGGGGCAAGGAAGTGAGATACAGACGGCTCCCGGCGGCGGAAGGAAGCATGGCCACGCATGGTGCGGGTGCCTGCTTCATGTACTCCGAATCCCTCACCACGTTGCATGCAGCAGCCTCCTGGTGGCCCCGCCCCTGAGTCCCCCACCTGAGGTCCTCCACGCTCGCCATCTCGGTGCAGCTGAACACCTCCTGCGTCAGGCAGCCCAGCCCCCACGCGTCCACCGCCCAGGGCGGCCCCTGCTGGATCACCGACCACTCGGAGCGGGCCAGCTCGGCGGCCTTGTACTGGTCGCCCACCTGGCGGCAGCAGCAGCAGCAGCAGCGGCAGCAGGAGGAGGAGAGAACATGGGAGAGGAGGAAGAGGGTTGGAGGGAAGAGGGGAACGGGAACGGGAAGGTCAACAGACAGGGACGCCGCGGACAGGAAAGCTACCGGTACGTCCGAAGCTCTTCACGTGGGTGCCCACGAAACTACCGCGTGCCCCAGTATGCACTCCTCCTGCTCCTGCCCCGTGTAACCCACCAAGTCATTTCTTCTGCCCTTTTCCCTCCTTCCCCAGCCCCTCTACATCCCTCCCTCCCGCCCTTCCTCCCGCCCCGCCCACCATCCAGGCGCTGTGCTGCAGGTGGTGGTCCGGCGGCAGCGCGTGCTCGCTGAGCAGGTCGAAGCCGCTGAGCCGCCAGTCCAGGGAGGCGGTCACCAGCACCGCAGCCATGCACAGGTTGCCGTGGATCTGCGGGGGTGGGTGAGCGGGGTGGGGCAACGGGGCAGGGAGGCAGGAGAAGCGTGGGAGGGACACAGGACGCAGCATGGGCGCGGAGCACTAGGCCCCCAGGGACCTGCTGCTTCGGCGGTGCTGATGTGAGGCGTTGTTCTGTTTGGATCCTTGGCAGCACAACAACGCCCCAGCAAGATGCCCCAGGACCCTGAACATGAAGACATGACGTTTTCCGACCCCCCTCGCCTCGGCTACACCGGTATGCATGGAGGGTACAGGAGGCCGCATTCGCTGTGCCCTGCAGCCCCTCCCCTCCCCTCCCTCACCAGCTTGCAGTCGTTGTTCAGGAAGCTGACGGCGTTGGTCATGTGCAGCATACCCATCGCAAAGTACTCGTCCCTGCGGCGGTGGGTGGTGGGGCCGCACAGCCGGCGTGAGGAGGCGCCAGGGCGGAGCGCTGCAGCGCTGCTGATGTACGGCGACCCAACCCGCGGAGCGTGGGGTTTGAACACCTTTCTCCCTTCACCCTCGGGCTAGCCCCGCCCTCCCAAGCCCCACGAGTTTGCTAATGAGCTCACTGCACGAGTCGGGACATGGAACTGTGCTTCACTTCTCCTTTCGTTTTCCCAAGCCCCAAGACGAGCCCTCTGCCCCCGCTGTTTCACCTATGCTGGCCTTGCAGGTCCAACTCCTTAAGCACCTCCTTCAGGGGCTTGACCGGTTCCGTCACCAACAGGATTACTGTGGCGCCCTTTTCGGTAGTCTCCGTGCTGTCCTTGTACGCAAGGATATTGGGGTGCCGTAGCTGCGCAACGGAGCAGACCGAGAGCGGGAAAGAGCGACAGCCCGTGACCGATGGTCAGAGGGTAAAGTTGATGCCATAGGTATATCGGTTTAGGGGCAGCAGCAGCAGCCCTAGCGCGTTGCCAAAGGGCCAGAAACAGGGCGACGACTGTGCAACTGCCTCCGCACCATTTTTAGACGTTTAACGCCGTTGCGAGCGCAAACTAATCTTCGGTCATTTGGATCCGTTGCACTGATCCGGAAGATGGAAACAGGGGCGTTGTCGTCCTTTGCCTTGCCGCGATGATGGGTCCACTGTCCCCAAGCGCTGTCGTAAGCATCTTCTACTACATAGGGAAACGAGTAGCCACCGCCCACAAGGGCGGTAAGCTTCGCAAACATCACAGCGACAGCGCAAGGTTAAGTTGGAATAAAAAGACCAGGGCCTAAAGTTGGCTAGGTGCAAAGCACTAGTGCTAACCAATCGTTCATAGCCTCAATAGTTTATAGCAGCTGTAAAAACTGGGCTTATTTTTCCGTTTTCCACACCCTTTGGATGCCGTACGAACTGTAAGCCAGGTACGCAATTGCGCATATGTAGTATGTCAGACTAAAAGGGCAAGGTATATACAAACTAAGTTACCTACAAGATCGACCCATGCCGGCAGAGATTACCCCGCATGCCGCATTCGTTGCCTGCGTTCTTGAGTTTCTAGAGGTCGCTGTACATACAGTGCTCTTTACCCGTGGTCTGTACCTCAAAGAAGCGTTTGAACGCTGCCGGGCCTTCAACACATTCACTCGCCGGTCGCGACACCCCGAGCTTAACAGCTACATCAGCTCCACAGTTAGTCGTCTCAGGGTCAGTCTCGGTAACAGGCTATGGCTTTAGCGCCCTTTCTGTATCGCTTTGTAGCACCGCACGCATAGCACGCTTTTCCATCTCAGCTCATCCAACCACCACACTGGTTTCCCGCGAACATGTACAGCCTCTACTGGAGTCTGGACACCTGCGCGAGGTAGCCCTAGTATTCCTGGACTCCAAGAGCCGGCCTGTGGAACGGGTGACCTTCAACACACAGGCGAGTACCATGTCACCAAACCCTCCTTAACACACGGGCAGCAGCATCACCTAGACAGGACGTGGACACACGATGCAACAAATACCGTGGCTGGTCCTGAGGAACTCGACCCTCGTGAGCCCTACTTTGTGCTGTAAAAAAGCCCTCCCTGTACACCCCACGCTTCCTTCCCGCCTTGGCATCGTACAGCTGCTCCTCCAGACCGGCGCCGGACCAGGACTTGACGGCGCGGGCCCCTCGCACCCCCAGCAGCAGCAGCCGCTTCCCTGCATCGACGTGGCCTCCCTGGAGGCGGGTCTGGGCTCGGCGCTGCTGAAGCTGCAGTTTATCGACAGCCTGCTCAAGCCGCTGCCGCAGGGTGGGTACTGGGAAGGCTACCGGTAGGGTTGAACCCCGCGCTGTTGCTGTCGGGATGGCCCTCCATGGAGAGAGAGAGAGGGAGACTAGCTTCAGGGTCACCTGGGTGATGCAGAACGACAACATGACCAGACACCTCCACCAAAGCACACCCTCAGTGTTTCCGCGGCTCAAGTTTACCTAATACCCCATCCCTGCAGGCTGCACGTTTGAGCTGGTTGCGTACAGCACCTCGCGCGCCGGGGTGGACCGGCAATACTTTGCGGAGGAGAGCGGCGGCGGACTGGAGCTGCGGCAGCCGGTGGCGGGGCAGCCGCTCAAGACGGTGTGCGTGCCGGGCTGCATCAACATGCAGGTGGATGGGTGGGCTGGAGGGGATGAGTGGTGGAGGAGGGAAAGGGTGGTGGGAGGAGCCCGGGAGAGGAGCTTTGGGTGCTCCGGGGCTGGGCAGCCGGGGACTGGGTTGTTGGGAGCGGGGCAGAGCGTAGGGTAACTGGGACGGGATTGGTTAGGGGGGCTGGATGCAGGCGGGTTTGCATGCCTGCGATACGAGTTGAAAAGGCATGCTTGGTCACATAGGGCAGTGCTGACTGACCTCCTTGACCCGTGGGTCACCCTCGGCCCCGCGAAACAGATCCTCGTGGAGGAGGGCGCGCGGGTGTGAGACGCGGTGAGACAGGGCAGCACCACAAGACAAGCAGGTCTCATTATCAGCAGTAGCAGCTCTTCCACCAGTACGGCAGCATCAGGCCATGGCGCAGCGGGCTGCCCAGGCGGCCCAGCGCCGCGTCGGCGACCCCAGCGAGGCGCTGCTGGCTCAGCTGCTGACGCAGCGCGCGCTGTCGCTGCAGGACCGCTCGCAGGCGGAGGGCGTGACGGCCTTCCTGCGCCGACCCGTGGTTCGCGGCCGCCTCAACGAGCGCTTCCTACAGGTGTGCGGGTGGCTGCGGCTGACGCGGGGGAGTGGAATCTGCGAGCGAACTGTGTTGTGTTGGTTGGAGGTATTGTGAAGCTGCTGCGCTTACCCGTCTCCTTTCAGCCAAGACATGCCCGTTAACTCTGCCCTCTAGTGCCGCCTGCAAAGGCGCCTTGCAACTTCGCGGCCTTTATCATGCCTGCCACCACGCATCGGTCATGGACCTCATGGTGATGCCCACCCCTTCCCCGCAGAACACGCTGCGCGACGTGCGCACCGCCAACCGGCGCGCGGAGGAGGCTGAGTTGTGGGAGCTACGGGAGGCGCAGCTGGAGCGGGAGGCCAGGGAGGCGGCGGAGGCGGCGGGCAGGGGGAGCAGGGGAAGGGAGCGCAGCGGGGATGGCAGGGCACACGAGGATAGGTCCAGACGGCGATCGTCCTCTCGCTCGCGGTCACGGTCAAGGCCACGCTCCAGGTCTCGTTCACGGTCTAGAAGCGAGTACAGGTCCGGGTCCAGGCGTGGGTCCCGATCCAGATCTAGATCGAGGTCTCCGGGCTGGCAAAAGGAGGTGGGTTGGGGGCGGGGACTGCTAAGGGCCAATGCGTTAAGGAAAAGTGGAATTTGAGGCTTGCCCTACATGGGTACTGTACTTGCGCCTGCCATTTCGCCGTGGTGCCAAGTCCTAGCCATGATGTCCTCACGCTGCTGCAAACGCCCTGCCCTATATCACATGCTGCAGAGACCTCGGCACTGCCATCGTCCAGACGACGAAGATGGAGGGAGCGGCCGCGTGAGCGACCTTGCAGGAGGTCGCCACACGGAAGCCCGGGCCGGCAGCAGAGGGGCAGCGAGACGCGGGTCCAGATCCGCCTCCGCCTCCCCTTCCAGATCACCCCACAGGAGCAGCGCCCGCGAACGGGCTGCCCTCAAGGGCACTGGTCGAGAGGGGCCGCGTGAGCTCGGCGCCATCTCTGGAGGTGAGGGCAATCCAGACCGCGATTCCTCTTCCAGTGGCGGCGGTAGCGGCAGCACCAGCAGCCGCACAAGCAGCTACAGTGACGGCAGCGAGGGCACAAGTGGCAACGGCCGCGAGGCCAGCCGTGACCGCGAGGACAGGGCGGTTAGCGAGGACCGCAGGGGCGGTGTGGCTGCTGCTGACGACGACGACAGGGCGGGTGATGATGACGGCGACGGCGGTGCTGCTGGTGGCGAGGGTCCGTACATGATGACGGACGACGAGATCGCCGCCATGCTGTCCAGGTACCGGGTGCGCGGCCGGGGCGGAGTGGGCTCGCAGGCGGACGTGGTGGGTCCGCAGCCCGAGCAGCAGGAGGACGAGGCGGGCGGCGAGGAGGGGGACGAGGGGTCCAAACGGTAAGTGGGGGATTGTGCGATCGGGTTGGCGCTGGTGAGAGCATGGAGTGGGTGCATTAATAATGGGGTGTCGACGTTGCCATAGTTGGTGTGTCCCTTCTTTGCTGGTGACGCTTACCCGCGATTCCTTCTCCTGTTCTGCCTTGCATGCAGGGCAAAGCGGGGTCCAGCGGCCCCCGCATGGCTTCGAGCAGCCACAGCCACACAACAGGTGCGGTGTGAGATGCATGAGATACAGCGCAGTGGCAACACCTGCTGCCTGCTAGTCATGCCGAAGCTCACCACTCCTCTGCCTTGCTGCCGCGTCTGTAGGTCCTCTCGCAGCTAGGCCTGCCGGTGCCCGCCGGAGCTGGCAACCTGGCCCTAGCCGCCCTCAGGCAGGGACTACTGCCGCCTCCGCAGCTGCTGGCACCGCTGGGCGCAAAGCAGCGTAGGGCTGAGGAGGCGCTGTTGGATGAACTGGAGAGTGAGCGGCGCCGGCGGAGCAAGTCAAGCAAGCGCAGCAAAGAGCGCAAGAGCAGCAAGTCGAAGAATAAGGAGAAGGAGAAGAAGCGGCGCAAGGAGAAGGAGAAAGGCAGGCGCAAGAAGCGGGATGGCAAGGAGCGCAAGAGCAAGAGCAAGCGACGGCATGACGACAGCGATTAGCATGCTGCGCACTGCGCATGACTGGGTTGCGAGGGGGCGTCGGGGAACGGGCGGTGCAAATCGTTTGCCTCGCCTCAAAAGTGCGAGTACTGTGGATACCGATGGTTCAGAGCAGTTGAGGATTGATGTGCACATCGCAAGTTACCTGAGGCATGCCTAGTGGACACGTCCATGTGTGTGGCTTGCATGCCGGTCACATGCATCGAAGGCATGAAGCGTCCTTTCGAGTTGCAACGCGACCAACGAAACAGTTTTAAGCTCAGGTCACATGCTGGGGGACTTTTAAATGCCCCTGTGACATCAAGCGTAACATGGAGCCATCGCGCCAGTGGTCGCCAAGCACCTGACGAACGTCCACGAGCCAGCCTGCATGCAATAAACGGTTTCATACTACACCACCCTCCGCCAGTGCATGACCCCACGAGTCCCAATAACGTAAGTATAAAGACACGCTCGGCACCCATAACTTGCAGTGGATGAGGCGCTCACACTCACGGACCACATGCATGCGAGTGAAAATCCGACGCACGTCCACACCCGTGTTCTACAGCTTGGCCACAAGTCACCCCGTGCCAGGGCCCACGCGCGTGTTAACAGTGCGCTTTCACAGCCGTTGCACCCAGCTGGATCCCTGGACTGCCAAGCGCCATTGCAGCACACCTTGTTGTGGGACCTCGCCCGGGAGCTCCAGCCCCTCACCAGCCCTTTATCGCCCCCTACTGTCGGACCCCTTCAGCTGCACTTCCACCCACCACCACGAGGTTAACCACAAAAGTCATTACGCACCACGGCACCAGGACGACCGCAAAACAAACCTAGCCGTTTGCCCTTTCCTCTCACCCGCACCCGCACTCCCCATCGCGCCTCTGCAGCTGCTTGCCACCTCCCTTTTACCCTCCTACTCACTGCATGAGTAGGGATACGGGATTAGGACTCCAGTTGCTGCACTCATCATTTAGTTTTCCCTCTTTACCTTCTTAATTCCCACACCCGCCCCTCGTCCTACTCCTGCGCCAGCAAGCCCACCAGGCACTTCTCCAGCAGCGCGTCCGCATTCACCCAGGGGTGGTACTTTTGGAACAGCGCGGTGCCGTCCTTGCCCGCCGCCTTCATGAGCACCGCGGCGCCCCCCGGATGGAAGCGCAGGTAGGGTCCGATATTGTACACCTTGCCGCGCAACACCATCCACGCATCCTCCGCGCTGGCGTGCTGCCGCACCTCCGCCAGCGAGATATCGCGCCGCAGCGGCTGGCCGTCACGACCGGTCAGGTCGGCTCCCGACTTGGCGAGGCGCAGCCAGTCAACTTGCGTGTAGCCCTTTTCTAAGGGAACCTGCGAGGTGTGAGGAGGAGGGTAGAGAGGGAGGGCTGATCATGAGGGTTGTGGGTAGATTGGGCAGGGCATGGGCGGCAAAGGGCTGGGTTTTCATGTTTTTTGTCAGGGTTTGGGAGAGGTGTAGCGGGATGAAAGGATGCGCGAGGTTGTTAGGGGGCATACGAGGGGAGCTGGGTCAGGTACTGGTAGCGTGCCGTAGAAGGGTTTGGTCGTGTGCACTGTCATCCGATTTGGGCATGTGGGGTTTCCACGTCGGTGCAGCAGGCGACCCGAGGGACAGGACGGCTGGATGCATGGAGAAAGGTGCTTGTTGGGTTGGGTTCTAGGTTTGATGAACCCGTTGGAAGATGCTATCCCGTTAAAGCGCTCTCGCCTGACACGAGCTTTAGCAGTCCTACACGGCAAACCTCTGGACGACGGTTGCTGGGTTAAGCCCATGCAGAATAGTGCACAGCAGCCGAACGCTGACAAATTGCTGGCGGTTCGGAAGGGTCACCTACCTTTGAGCGAGCTGGCTTCTCATACAGCGGCACCTACGATGTGTGGAACACGGTGGTTCAGGATGGGCCAGTTACAGTCGCCAGGCATCTTCGAACCCGTGGCCTTACCGGCGCTGCTGGCGTCGACGATTGCGGCCCCGAGCGGTCAGTAACGGTAGAGAAGGCTGTCAAAGGCATCTGCGTGTAAACCACAGTGTTCACAGTGCTCGCTCCAGAACCTCGGGCGGTGAAAGAGCGCCACGCCATGCTGCAATAGTTTGCACCTTTTTAGGGGGTTCTGAAGGTGGATGTAACACAGGGAAAGAAAAGCCACCTCCGTCTTCAGCCATTTCCGCGCGTGACCTATGTCATACTAAGTGGGAGCGAAGGAAGCAAGTAAATACTAAAGTTAGGGCATCGTCGTAATTTGGTGAGAATTGCCAAACCGCGAGGGGGAGTGGTCGGTGCTCAAGGCTTGTACAAGGGAGGGTGATCGCAATTGCGACAATTAGAGGGGCCGTTTATTAATAGCGCAGGTAGAGTATTTAACATATAGTCTTCTATACTACTTAGCAATCATTTTTCCTCTGTAATCCAGTCGTTCGTGCACATATGTACAGTTGAGCCTGGATGCGCGATGCCAAATACCTACCCCAGCGATGCACTTAACGTTTTGCAGAGAAGAATGGCAGACGTTCTGTAACCTGGATCTGTAGATAGCCTGAACTATACAGACGTGCGAGCGATGTATGCTCCCCAGGCGGGGCCATCAGCCCAGCGATCATACGTCTCACAAGCAGAGAGAGAGCAGTGTCGCCAACATGGGTGAGGCTAATGTGTCGTCCGCCTTCGCGTTATGACTGCTCGGCGCTCCCAACTTCCGTCATGGTCGTCGCAGACTCACGTTCCTGCAAAATCATTTCAGCAAGACCAGGTTTTCTAATAAGCTACAACAGGTCGTTGAAAAGGCTGAGGATGATGTATACAAGAAATTCGGTGCTGACCCGGTGAGGCCACGCTGGCCCTAACCTGTCCCGGCTTCATCCCTAGAACCTTGTGTTGAACCGCGATGCATCCCCAAACCTCGCAGGCGGCATACAGAAACTACTTTACCAAGAAGCTGGAGCAAAGCCGGGATAGCATCTTGAGGTGGCTTCAGACGCAGCAGCAACAGCAGCAGCAACAACAACAGCAACAACAACCCATGCAAGCGCAAGTGCAGCAGCAACCCGGATACCCCCATGCCGGGATGCAACCTGCCATGATGTCCATGCAGCAACAACAGGTCAGTGTCATCACCTCGTAGTGCTCCCCAGCGTCCCATAGCGCACCACCTGCTTCCATCTTTCGATGCCACCATAGCATAGACGTTCTCCTTGCTTACGTGGCCAAGGCATGCTGTTACGAGCCCATGCATGCATGCCTGCAACCCGGCTTCCCAGGGACCCGCCCCTCGGTTCGAACCTGAAAGGGCGCCCATTGACCAGGGCGAGGACTTCAACGACTTCCTTGGAGTCTTCACGGGAGCCGCGGGGGGCCCCCCACAGCAGCAGCAACAGCCCCAGCAGCCTCCCCAGCAGCAGCTGGGGCAGGCGATGTACTCTCAGGTGCAGCCGCAAGGGATGGCCTACGGAGCGCAGCAGCAGCAGGCGGGAGCTGCGGCGGCGCGGCACCCGGCTGCGGCGCAGCAAATGCACATGGCAGGCAAGATGCCGGTCATGCCGCCCGGGGGACATGCAGCGCAGGTACACGAAGGGAGCGGCAAGGGCGGGCTGGTGCTTGACGGGGTACGGTATTGATGGTGGGCTGGTAGCGGCGGGACGGGACTCCCTATGAGCTGGTAGGCCTTAGGGCGGGTTGTGTCACGATTGTTTGGACTAGGGGCCAGCACACGTGCGATCCAAAGCTGTAACAACTCAGCGCAGGCACTCTCGAACGCTCCTTACCCTGCTGACTCCCTTACTGCTGGCCGGCCTGCTGCAGGGCTATGCGCAACCCATGGGCGCTCCGACTATGGGAGTGTCTGTGGCCGGTCGGGCTGGCCCGGGGGCTCCCGGCTTCCCACAACAGCCGGCGGGCGGTGTGGTGGGCCCACACGGCGTGCCTGGGGCCGCGGGCGTCATGACGGCGCCGGGTGGCATGGGCGTGGAGCAGTCCCTCGCGGGCATGTACGGCTCGCAGATGGGCGTGCAGCCCGCCAGCGCCGCGCAGCCTGGGGCGGCGGGCATGATGGCCATGCAGGGGCAGCAGGTGCCGGGCATGGTGGGGCAGCAAGGGCATGGAGGTGTGGGAATGGGCATGCAGGGCGGGGGCGGCGCCGCTGGGGGCGGCATGGACCTCATGTCTCAGCAGCAACAGCCACCGCAACAGCAGCAGCAACAGCAGCAGCAGGGGCAGCAGCACCCGCACGCTGGGATGGCGGCGCCAGTACAGATGCAGTACGGTATGATGCAAGCGCAGTCACAGGACGCGAACCATGCACAGTACGTTCAGGCTATGCAGCAGCAGCACATGCAGCAGCAACAACAACAACAGCAGCACCAGCAGCACCGGCAGCAGGTGGTACAGCAGCAGCAAGCGGCGGCGGCAGCGGCACAGCAGATGGCACGGATGGTATCCGGCTCAGCAGCAGCTCAGCAAACCGCCACCAACGCCGCTGCGGCAGCTGCTGCAGCCGCCGCGGCAGCCGCAGCCCGGAAGGCCGGGGTGATGCCTCTGGTCTCCATGCCAGCAGCGCAGCTGGCCCGCCCCGGGGCGATCCCGGGCATGCAAGGACCGGGGGCTCCTGTACTGATGGGGCAGCAAGGGCAACCGCACCAGCCGCAGCAACCCGTCGGCGGCCCTGCAGCAGGGGCAATGCCGGGCGCCCAGTACGGCGCAGCGCATGTAGTCCCGGGGGCGGTTCCCCAGCAGGCAGGCATGCCAGCAGGGGCTGCGCCTCAACTCCAACAACCAGGCGCCAACAACGTGCCCCAGGTGATGGCTGCACCGGGGCAATGGCAAGCAGCGCAGCCTGCAGCCGCAGCCGCTGCAGCCCCCGGCGCGCACAACCCGTTGGCCGGCCCCGCTGTCGCGCCCCCCAACCCAGCGAACGCTGGTCCTGCTGCCGCCAACGGTGCAGCCGCCGGCCAGTCCTCTTCTGCCCTGGTGGAAGAGTACTGGCGCGTGGTTGCGGCGGTGAAGGCGCGTCTGCATGTGCTGGAGGGCCACCTGGAGCGCTACCGGCGGGCTGCGGGGCAGCAGGGACCCGACAGCAAGGCGCACCGCTCCAAACGCATCCTGGAGGAGGCCTACCGGCGCTGCCAGCTGGACCGCAACTCACCCGAAATGGCAAAGTACGGCATCAACGACCAGTCGCTGAAGCTCATGACCTGCGTGCTCGGCACGTTGGACAGCAATGCAGCGGCTGCTGCTGCCGTAGCCGCCAACCGCCGCCAGCAGCAACAGCCGCCAGTCCCAGGGCCAGCGGCAGGGCAAGGAGTAGTACCGGATGCTAGCGCTGCCGCCGCAGGGGGTGCGGTGGGAGTCCCACCGCAGATGGTCCAGCCGCCGCAGCCGCATCATGTAGGTGGCAGTGCCGCTGGAACCGGCGCCGCGGTTGTTAAGCCGGAACCCGTTCCTGGAGCGAGCAACCTGGGGACGATGCCGGCCGGCACGTCGCCGCCAACGGTGGTCCCGGGCGGTGTGGTGGGTCCGGTGATGGGTGCGGCGGGGCTGATGCCCGCGGGCCCGGGCAGGCCGGCGATGAATGCAACGGCCATGGCCGCCGCCGTGGCAGCCGCTAATGCCAAGATGCGGAGCGGCATGAGGGCGCCCGGAGCAGTGCCGGGGAAGGTGGAGGCGGAGGCGGACTTGGGCTTGAAGGGGCCGTTGATGCGAGCAGACGGAAAGATAGATCGTCAGATGGATGTGAGACGCACGGGGCTTTGGGATGGAGTTGGGCTGTGGTGGCCGGTGTTGGGAGCATGGGTGTTGCCCGCTGCAGGCTATCTGGGTAGATCTAGCGGCGGCCCCCCTTCGACGAGCCTGGGTAGCCGTCGCATGCTGTGTTCCTTTCCTCCTCACCCGCCTATCCCGGTTGCCATCTTCCGCCCCGCCCGCCCTTGCCCCTACCTCCATTCCCTTACATGCCGCTCTCCTCCCGCCCGCTCCTCCCATCCCCGCCGCAGCCCATACCTCCCGCGGTGGACCAGGTAACCCGGCTGCTCGGCATCCTGGCGCAGCCGCTGCCGCACGCCGCCGTGCGGCCACATGCGGGCCGGGCAGCAGCGGACGCCCTGTACTTTGGAGGCGACTCGCTCATGCCCTCGCTGCCGCTGTCTGTGTACGAGGAACTGACCGAGGCGGCGCAGGCGGTGGCGGCGCGGCGTGCGGCTGCCGGTCCCCCGCGAGCGCGCATCGTATCGGTGTGTCGCGTGGCGGGTATGACGTACGCGGACGAGGAAGAGGGGGCGAATGGGGCGTCACAGCGTGGGGCATTAGGAGCAAGGAGGGTGCCAATGCTGAGGGACGGACGCGGCCGGATGGCGGGGACGAAACGCCCGGTAAGTGCGTGGTTGTGCAATGGTATCTGCGAGTAGGGGAAAACGGTCAAAGACAAAGGCGGTGGTAAGCGTGCCTAATTGTCGGCTGTGTTGTTACCTTGATTGCAGTTTAACTCAGCCCATCTACGTACTCTCGCGGCTAGGTGGGCCCGCTGCTGCACCATTGCCGTCCCCAGCCTGCATTCTCTCGACCCGACGTAACCCTGGCACTACCGTATAACGGCAACTATGCAATCGCCCTGCAGGCTCCCGGCGGCCCCAGCACGGAGGGTCTACCCGTCTCCTCCGCCTTCTCGCCCCCCGAGCTGCAGCAGCGGCTGGCGGCGGTGACCGCTGCCTGCCGGGAGGTGGAGGCGGCGCTGGAGGGCGCGGTGGCGCTGCGAGTGGTGGAGGGAGAGACGGCCTCGGTGTCCGGACTGGAGGACGATGCATGGGTGCTGGAGTGCGCAGCCACCGTGAGCTTCCCCGGGGAAGGTGAGCGGTCGTTACATTTGTTCAAGGCATCTACCTGGGTGGTGGGTTCGTAGGTTCATCGGATTCTGACGGCTCTGGGTGACCGCTCGCTCGCTAAAGCGCGTTTCACGGCGCCCAGCCACGCCAATGTTGTGATTACCGGAGATACCGGTACTGATTGCGATGGGTAGCCATGTCGTTTGGTGGCTTACGCATCCTACCTCCTGCATCCTGCCTCTTCGCGCTGTCTAACGGTGTGTGTCCCTCGCTGATGTCCCTCACCGGGCGCAGTTAACGACGGCTCGGGGGCTGCTTGGAAGCGCCTGCGCGTCAGCGTGCCTTGGGACCCCGCGGCGCCGCCCATGCCCACCTTCTCATCCACGGACCCAGCCTACAGCCACTCGTACGGCAAGGCGGCGAGGCTAAACTTCCAGGTAGGGCTGGGTAGGGTCCCCGCCTGCACCAAGCTTTTAGGGGGTTGTAGCGTGATGATACGGGGCCCCCCATAGGTTCTTGCATGGCAGTAGCTTGCATCGCAAGGTTCCTTTCCTGACTGTGGAATCCCAGTACCCAGGGGATTTCATGCAAGTACGTGAGTAGAAACCACCGGCTTCAGAAGTACCGAATTTTGCATCTTGTGCGTTCATCCCCAAACCTATCCGCAGACGGCTCTGCAGGGCAGCCACGCGCCCGCGCACCTCTCCATCCACTCGCTGGCCAAGATCTGGTGTGAAGCCGTGGCCAAGGTCTGTGCCGCGGTGCGACCCTCGGACTACGGAGCAGCAACGCCGGCTGCCGTGGCTGTCCATTGAAGGGAGCTGCTGTCGGCTGTTATTGTCCAAGCGTGGCAGGGATGTTGGTTCCGGTTGTGTCGGCTGTTGTAATACAGATTGTGCGTCAAGTGTGAAGTAAGATGCTGATGCGTTTGCATCGTGCGAGAGGTTGGGGTGAGTGTCAGGTTCAGGAGGAGTGCGCACACACGCCGGAGGGCGGGTGTTGGTTTGCTTCCGGGCAGGAGGTATGGGCACCGTGCTGGAGGTTAGGGTTAAGGAGGTCTCTAGTAGGGATAGGAACGGCTATATAGGAGGATTCATTGGGCCAGAGATGCATACGAGGTGCGCAAGGGGGCTGCTGCGTGATGCCGCTGCTACCGCAGTGAAGAGGCCCGCCGCCACGATACCGGTACCTGGCGGGTTACCGTTTCGCATGAGCAACAGTCGGGGTCATGCGCGCTTTAGCTGACTGTAGGGGTCACATGCGTAGCACGCCTTGTAGGGTACGATCTACATAACACGGACGGGCAGCCACCTGACCAGCCAGGCACAGCACATGCCTCCCCCGATTCCGTGGGTTTCCACTGGTTAGTGGGTGGTAAGTGGGTCAGCCCCTACTTCCGCAGCCATAGTAACGGACTTAGGAACCTGTCTACGTGTCCTAACTCTCCCTTTCATCAGCTCATGCCGCTAGTACTCCTTCCAACCCTTGTCTAGCGCTGTACAACATCGGAGCGGTGTACCGCCCCTGCTGTGAACATAAGTACAATCCCATGCCGCAGCCCCATAGACCGTGAACGCGTTTGAGAATTCAGGTTGCATTGAACCCATCCCCGTTCATCAAGCCATCGGCAGGTGTAGTGAGTACTGTCGGCACGTACGCCCCTTGTCAAGAACATAGGACCGGTACCGCGCACCACACTACCACGCAAGCCTGGAAGGCGAGTTGTCAGCGCTCAACTACATCCTAAAGCCGTCTACAGCTCCCTGCCTGCTCCCCTGCTGCCGCCTAGTTAATAGCTCCTTACCTAAGAGTCCTGTTGGCAAACACGCGCCCAAGCAAGCACCAACCAACCATGCATCATGCAGCACAATTACTACCGGTTCCATAACGAGTCCCAACCAGGACCAGCCGCCCCACCCATTACCCCGCCACCCATGGGCATTCCACCGAACCCAAAACCCTGCGAACCAGCTGCTGCCATCGGGGCCGCCCCCCCAAAGGCAGCCGCCCCTGCCGCTCCGAACGCCGCATCAGGCACAGCTGCGCCCGCGCCCGGCGCGCCTGGCGGCAGACCATGCGCACCTGGCCGGTGCGGTACAATTGCCCCAGCAGACGCAGCGGCCGCAGTTGAGGCAGCCTTCTTTGCAGCCAGGTTGGACGCCCGTTTGCGGAAGAGCAGCCTGAGCACGAAGCGCGCAACCTCCGCGTACAGCGACCCGGCCCTGTCCAGCAACTGCAGTAGCGCTGAGATGAAGAAGTGCACCGCGTGCGTGTTCTCGTCAACAAGGAAGGACAGGCGGCCGAAGAAGTGCATCACGCCGTTGATGACGTGCATGAAGGACTGCCAGGCGTTGGGCGGCTGAGGCGGCGGGTGGTTCGGGTCCATAGGGCCAGGTGGCATGCCTGGAGGCCCATACATACCCCCACCTGCGCCATACATGCCACCGCCACCGTACATCCCACCACTGCCGTACGTGCTGCCTCCATACATGCCGCCTCCAGCCCCATAAGAAGACCCATATCCACCGCCGTACATGCTGCCCGAGGCACCGTACATGCTGCTGCCATACCCCCCGCCATACATGCTAGAGCCATAGCCAGGCCGATAGCCTGTGCCGTACATGCTTGACCCATACATGCTGGAGCTTGCCCCATAGCCTGTTCCATAGCTGCTGCCGTACATGCCAGGCCGCGCTGAGTACAAAGAGGAAGAATAGCTTGGAGCAGCGGAACCGATCGCGCTAGTCCCGTAGCTGGTACTTGCCAATGCGTTGCTAGTATCGCCTTCTCGCTCCCAGGGACGTGCCGGCTGAGTCCGAGGAACAATTGCGGTGGAGTCCTGAGAAGCACCGGCTGCTTGAGGAACCTCCCAAGGCTTGGGACCGGCGCCCGGAGTAGTTGTTGCCGCAGCCTTTTCCCAGGGCTTGGGAGGTGGGGCCGCACCTGCATACAGAAATTTACTTAATACAGAAAGCCAGAGAAGCAATTCCTGCAACGCAGGCAATAGTACCAACAGAACGAGTCCGAAATCCGTGTCAGCAGAACTTACCCGACGCGCTCATCTAAAGCCCTGCCCCGAGGTGTTTGCGCTGTTAACGAAAGTGAGTTATGGCTAACGAGCTCAAACCAACCAATATGTATAGGAGGTGGGTCTTCTCAATTGCGAGCGCCACAAGGCAAGCGTAGCAATCGAAGGTCCTAGACAACAACGACCGGCAAGAGCAGCAGCTAAAGGTTGTAGATGGTGCTATATTGAGTTAGCGTGAGGTCTTGAGCGCTTGATACCATCCAAAGTACGGCAGAAAAAGCCATACAGCCCTACCTGAACGTTTCGCGGTGGAGTAGATTCCCCATCACTTTACATATGATGCGTTGTACTTAGCAACTGGCGGTGCTGCTATTAGGTCCTGAACTTGCAACACATCGTCTTAACCTAAGCGGTTGTTACACACGAACGTGCAAGTACACCTGACGGGGCACGTTTTTTCTTCGCAGTCCGTAGGAAAGCTTCGGGAACAAGAGGACTCCTCTACCATTATCAGCCCCACGTCCCACGGGGCGCAAGGGCAAACCGCCCCCTCCCCCACGTGTTTGTCCTTGCCCTTCCGTGCTTACTGTTTTGAATACCAACAGCTAGTGCCTCAGCAATGCCTAACGTCTGCTGTGTATGGACTGCCCCCTGCGATTGTGACTTGCCACGTTCAGAACACACCATAACTTGTCTAACATGGGGTAAAGGTTAGCCCGGTGTACCCCCTAAAGCACTAAAAAGAAAGCAGCACGCGCACGGCAGCCTGATTTCGAAGCAGCTCCTAGCCTCGCAGCAGGAGCCCCGGGGCGAACAGAAACACGATGAACGATACCAACAAACCGAACATCGCTCAAACAGGTATGGCACCAGCCGTGTTGGGGTATAACTGTTGAAGGTACAATTACACACACAGTACCCGCAAACCGTAACACACACAATGAAGCAAATCAGGGCCCTGACCAAAATCAACATCAGCAACGCCAAACAGCATGACGGCAACCTGCAGCAAAGAAGTGCAACAGACATGCAGGAGCTCATCTAGTGGTGCTTCCTACTTTCAGCAGAAATGGGGTAGCCCGTCCTGTCCTGCCCATACTGAACCCGTGCCCTACTACTGGCAAGTAGTTAACGCAAATCTTTTAGAGCCATGTCCGAAACATCTCCAGAACTAGGACGAGAGGGCAGCAGCGGCTGCCACCAAACAAGGACGGGCATCACGTACAGTCTCAAAGCTTCAGCCTATCACCTACACGCGCCTCCTCCAACCACGAAGCACCCAAGGAACAGGCAAGCCTCAGCGCTGTCGGTACTTCGCCCGCCTCTCCCGCTGCTCCAGCCACCAACCCACGAGCTCCTCTCCCTCGCTCTCCAAGCTCGCCACCACCGAGCCGTCCCCGCCCTTCCTCTTCTTCGACTGCTGCAGCTGCTCCTGCTGCAGCATCAGCCGCCGCACCCGGTACTGCGCCTCCAGCAGCGTGTCCGTGTGCAGCCGCACCACGTCCTGACCCCCCCCGGAGCCGCCCCCCGCAGCACCGCCCGACTGGTGCGAGATCCAGAAAAACGGGTGCCCCTTCAGTAGCTGCTCTAGACTGCGCAAGCCGCCCTGGCCCCCGTACGGCTTAGCCATGTCCTTAGGCAGCACCTCCCGCACCGCTTGCAGCTTGTCGCTGAACAGCCCCTCCTCGTTGCCCTTGCACCGCACCAGGTGCATTGCGATGTGGTGCAGTGCCTTGCGCTGCTCCCGGCTCTCAGGCTCCAGATCAGGCACATCGAGAAGCCCCTCGGGCATGGCTTCGCCGCCGGCGCTGGCGCCGCTACCGGCAGCAGTGCTTCCGCTCTGCTTGGAGCGCTGGGCAGCTGAAGGAGAGGCCGGCTTCTTCTTCTCCTCCCCCAGGAACACGTCGATGGCAACGCCCAGCGCCTTGCGGATCTCATCGTACGACGGCAGGCACTCGGTACGGAGCCGTACCAGCCACTGCTTGTTCTTATTCTCAGCGACCAGGTCAACCACCTCAAAGGCATCGTGCTTGCGCAGGATCAGACCCGTGGACATCAGACCGGCGGACCGCGCCGCAGCGGAGGCACTCAGGACGGTTGGCTTGTTGCAGAGGTTTGCCCCCAGCAGCTGGTGCCGCTCCAACTGCATGTCTTGCCCGGCCACAATCGTGCGCTCGCAGCCCACCGCCAGCAGCAGCACCTCGGCGCACGACCGTAGCAGCTGGTGCTCCACTGTGTTAAGAGGCCATAGGGTGCGAACCGACCTCTCCAACAGGTAGGCCATGTGGAAATGTGACGTCCGCCCGAGCTCCTCGCCGTCACCGCCACCCTGGTCGGCCGCCTGCGGCGCCGGCTCGGCAGCAGCCGCTGTAGCAGCCGCCGCCGCAGCAGCGGAAGCCTTTGCATCCTCCACTGACCGCTTCGCCTTGTCATCCAACTTGGCCTGCTTTATGGCGCGTGCAAGCTCCGAGATGCGCGTCTTGCAGGTTGCCAGCAGCTGCGGTAGCATGGTTGCCATTAGCTCTGGGTCCTCCTTTGTGTTCGCCACGGTCCTCTCCAGCGCCTCACACAGGCGCACAGCTTCCGCTAGCGGCAGCGGCGGCTTCTCAGGGGCTTTGGTGCCCGCGGCGCCGGATGCCGCAGTAGCAGCTGGCTTAGTGGCTGGTTTCGCCTGCTTAGGCGACGCCCTGCCGCCGCCAGCTGCTGGGGCGTCCGCTGTCGCACGCTGCTCGGGGGGCCTGGCGGCTGCCGCTTTGGGGCCTTCTCCGCTGGGCTTGTCAATGACCATGGGAGCCGCGCCACCACCGCTACCACCACCGCCACTGCTGCCAGCCGCTGCACCGGCGTGATTGCGGCCTTCATCCGCACATGCAGCTCGCATAGGGGCCGCGCCAACGCCCCCGTAGTTCCCCGGCGCCGGTTCCTGGGAGTACTGGGCAAGCTGAGCAGGATGGTACTGACGCTCCTCGGCAACAGGGGCGTAGCGCGCGCTGCTCTCGAAGCGACCGCTGCCGGGAGGGGCGATGTCCACACCCCAGGCCGGCGCAGCCGCCGGTTGCGACTTGCCGTACATCTGCTGCTCTGACGGCCCCGGTTTCGGCATGCCGTACATCTGCTGCTCTGATGGCCCCGGTTTCCGCATGCCGTACATCTGCTGCTCTGACGGCCCCGGTTTCGGCATGCCGTACATCTGCTGCTCTGACGGCCCCGGTTTCGGCATGCCGTACATCTGCTGCTCCGACGGCCCATGCTGCGGCATGCCGTACATCTGCTGCTCCAACGGCCCAGGCTGCGGCATGCCGTACATCTGCTGCTCCGACGGCTGTGGTGCAAAGGCCGCTTCATGCTGGTGTCGTAGCGGAGCCCCCATTGAAGGCGCTGGGCCGGTTGGGACTGGCGGCCCTCCCTGGCTTGATGGCGCCTCGCCCATGACACCCAAGCCAGTCTCACCTAGCCCGACAAACCGCAGGCCGCCCCGCGAGTCCAGCTGGATACCGCCCGGTTGCTCCACCAGCTGGACAAAACCTGCAGCGGGTGCCGGCGCTGTGGCCATGGCGGGCTTCAGCTGCGGCAACACTGAAGGAGGAGGAGGGTAGCGTGAGGTTTCAGGGCGCTCGGCCGCCATGGCCCTGCTGCTTGATTCTGGAAGCGGGTGCACCGTGGCCAATGGCTGTAAGCTTGGTCCTTGCTGCGAAGTCGCCGGCTCAACCTTAACCTGGCTTAGCGACACCTGCCGCTGCTGCTGCAGCTGTTGCTGCTCTTGGGGTTGCTGCACCTGCTGCTGCTGCTGCTGTGGAGGGTAGCGGTGCTGCATGTGCTGGTGTTGCTGAGCCAGTTGCTGCTGGTGAAGCTGCTGCTGCGGCTGCGACAGTTGCTGCGGCAGCAGCTTTGGCTGCTGTGGCTGCGACTGCGGCTGGAGCTGGTTCGGAGGGTGCGAATGCACCTGGCCGGGTTCATATCCCGTCATAGACTGCTGCTGCTGCTGCAAATGCTGTTGGTGTGAGGCTTGTTGCTGCTGCGGCGGCGCCGTCAGCTGCCCCACATGGACTTGCTGCTGCTGCTGCAGTTGCATAGGCTGCGACTGCATCATGCCGTACCAAGCAGATGGCGGCTGGTTGGCGGCAGCCGTACCAACCGGCTGAGCAGATGCGTGAGGCGGCGCTACTTGGGACGCAGCAGGCGCTGCGCCGCTCGCCATGGAGGAGCCCGACGTGCCGGGTGCGGCGGCTGTCCTAGCACCGCTATCGCTGGTGTACGGCACGTGCGCGGCATAGGCAGGTGCGCCGGTTGCGGCATGCTGCGGGGCGCCTTGCACAGAGGGAGTGCCGCTGGGCCCCGGCGGCAGGGGTGCTGTCTGCGCGGATGGCCCCGGGGCAGGCGGCACCATGCCTGTGTGCGGATAACTGGTCATCGACTTGATACGCTGCTGCTCCTGTGATTCCTGCTGGAGCTGCTCAGGGGGTACAGACCTCTGTGTTGCCTGACTTGGCGCCCCTTGTTGTGACGGAGGGCGCGGCCGAAGGTGCTCGGGCAGCGAGCTTGCTCTTGAGCTCGTGCTGCTGGTCACCCGGTCCATCGTGACGGGCTGTAGGTGGGGCGGCCGCATAGAAGAGGAGGAAGTCACGGGGACGTACGGCTGTCCCTGTTGATGCTCTTGGTATTGCTGATGTTGCTGCACTGAAACCTGTTGCTGGCGCTGGTACTGGGCTCCTTGTTGTTGGGGGGCCTGCTGCAGCTGCTGCGGTACCACGCTTTCAGGAGGCTGGTATCCATGTTGCTGTACGTAGCCCTGCAGTCCCTGGTGCTGCCGGTGGGGGTGCGGGCCAGCGTTTGCCGCCTGCTGCACGGTGCCTTGATGCAGGTTCGGAACCACGGGACCAAACCTATCGTGTGGTTGGGGAGATGAGGGAACAACTGGTGGGGTGGGCAGCTGGCGTTCCATTGCTGACCCGAGCTAGTGCTCCGGCAAATAGATGAGACGAAAGCACGACCACGGCAAGGAGGCGCAATTGTTTTAGGGCCAATCCTGGGCCGGAGCAGCTGTCCCACGCGGCAGCGCAAAAGAAAGCAACACTGAAATGTCCTTAGTTCGCCAATAGGTAGGGCTGAGACTCAATACTGCGAAAGCTGCCGACTGCAAGAGCCGCGATGTCACACGAGTCCGCAGCAACGCCTAGCACAGTGGCAACATGCCACAATCGTGTAGATTATCAGTATGTATTGTAGCAAACGGACACTGGCGGCTGCTATTACTGGCGGCCGCTCTGAAGACAGGAAAAAACTTGGAAAGCTCTTTTTCGGTCTAAGAGAGCACTTCAGTTTTCATTGTTGCCTGATCTGCTGGCAGTGTTTGGTCTAAACCTGTGGCGAAGGGAGCGGGGCCCGTGTAGCTCTAGCTAGGGCATGAAAGCAAACAATTTCTAGCTTTGTCGGTAGAGCTGCACTACCTTATAGCAAGGATGTAAGCCACCAACTCGTTCTATTATGCTCCTTAGATAGATCCCACGTCCCCATCGTTTCGCCCCGCCAATACCGGTACGGCAAGCGCGCTCATCAGCAACGAACCCCATCCATCCTACCAGTATGCGCCCAAATAGAAACAAGGGAATTGGGGAAAGCTGGCTGCGCAGAAAAGTTCGCTAGATTCCAAACCCACTTCAGGTTGTGTCACACGTTATGGGTAGTGCTGAGCGGAAGCTCCTACGCTACCCGAGCGGCTGCAGGCAGTGATGGATAGGCCCCCTCCCACGAGGAGGTATCGTACGGATAAGCGCATTCCATTAGTGCGTCATTGCACTGCCCCGCTCTAGTCCTGGACAAAGCACTGGCAGCCGCGCGGTGCATGCAGAGGGAACACCACGACGAGGGGGGCTGCAGCTGCCAGCCCAGCTTTGTCCGTGCCGCTGAAGCACCTGAAGAGCCCGAAGGGGCGTGTATTGGCGGAATATTGGTAAGGAGGGGACGCTTACCTTCGGAATTGCCTCAGCATGTCCCAAACGCAACCACTGACGCATGCAACCACAGTCAGCAAAGTGCGCGTATGTTGCCATATGTGTCCTGGACTACCACTGGGAGTGCATCTCGGCATGTGCTCCCCTTAGGTTAAGGGACGAACCTCACGCTCCTAACTGCTCCCAGGCACTGGGTAAGGGTCTGGCGGCCATGGTGGGGGCTCCCCTTATGCCGCCAGGGTGCAGCTTACTGACAGGGGCCAGAGTACTGGCACAGCATGACGCGCCGTTGCCGTTGCCGTTGCCATGTTGCCGCAAGCTCCCCAGGCAGCGCGCTGGAGTTATTCAAGGAACGATTGTGAGTTTGCTCACTGACCCAGATCCAATATCAGTTCAGGCCCATGTGAGTTTGCTCACTGACCCAGATCCAATACCAGTTCAGGCCCATGTGAGTTTGCTCACTGATCCAGATCCAATACCAGTTCAGGTCCATGTGAGTTTGCTCACTGACCCAGATCCAATACCAGTTCAGGCCCATGTCCTTCGTCAGCAGTTGACTGCTGTGGCAAGAATAGTTGCCATCATAGCACTGAGTTTGGAGTCCGACCCCGGGGACGAAAAGAGAACAAATATTAAAACTGAGAAGTTTCTGTCCATTATAGTTGCAATGTGCAATATCCGTATTCCGACCATAATTGTTGGGATTGAGGAGCATGGAAACCAACTGCCGTGCACAGCGGGGCCGACCAGTCAAAGTAAAACGAGCGTTGCGTATATCACAGTATATGTTTTGCAAATTTGCCTATGCGCTTCTTACAACACTGTTCATCGCGTTAGTAGGAGCGCAGCCTGAGCGTCGGCTATTTCAGCATTGTACGGTTTACACTTTGTTAATTAGAACACATGACACCTATCACAGCTTGGGCTTTGTTTCATAGTTAGGCATGGGCCGCCCTCGCTTCAGCTCATTTCTTTGCCAGCGGTTCAAGTAGGTTGAAGGACAGACGGTCGCGACGGCACGATGAGCTCGATTGACGACATTATTGGGATCCAAAATATAGTGTCAGACAACAGTATCCTTACAGGGTAAGCGCTGGGGTAGGTTTCGCATTAGAAGTTGTCCCTTGTCCCCGTGAGCATCGGATAGGCTCATAGAGCTCCCAAGACCGGCACACCTTTCGCATGCTTACGTCCAAGCACTGTTTGGCTACAAGATGCAGCTGAAGTCGTAGTCGCTACGCAACCACCCCCGGGCTCCACCGGCTTGCACTGCCCAGCACCGGCTTGCACTTTCTTCGCTGGCGCCTCCGCTGTACATACCCGAGGGCATGCTTGCAATCCCGCTCACCCACCTGTGCGTTCAGGCTATGGATCTCAACTGTCATTGGTGGAGCTGTACTTGTCCTGTTTTGCGTCCTCCAACGGACCAGCGACCTGTACCGATACCGACTGGTGCGTGTTCACCATGTCTGGGGAGGAGGAAATGCCCACGCAGCTGTCATAAGCAACGCTTGTGTGTGCAGGTGGATTCCCGTGTCAGGCACAGACCTCCGGAGCTGGCGAGGACTGGATTGGCGTCCCTATTGTGAGTCCAAACCAACCCACATCCGTACCATAGCATCCACGATAGCAGTGCAAAGTCCCTTGGCTGACACCGTTTGCCGCGTCCGTTTTAACAGTGACTGGGCCCTAAAGGCCCTGACCGTCCCAGACTGGGAACTCATTGAGACAGCCGGTCTGGATGCTCTGGTGGGTTGCGGGACTGGGTGGGGGAATCGCGGTTCTTTGGCACGCTGACAGGCTGGGGCGTTTCGGCATCCGGGCATGATGACCCAAATGGCTTATTCCGTACCCGTATCCTGCGTACCCGATCTGCGTTCGATAGGTGCCTTGGCCTCACAAGTGGACGCATGCCCTTTGCGGCAGCAGCCCGTGCAGCTCGTTGTGCTTGCCCCTTGAGCCGCAGCCTCAGCGCCCCCTTTCCGTTGCCTGGCCCGCAGATAATGGTCAAGATGTGCGCTCTGGGAGTGCAGCTCTTCGTACTGCCGTGCGTTCTGGGTCTCTGCGTCCGTAAGTGCGACCTAGGTAGCGAAACATAGGTCGCCATACCAGTCGCTGATCCTGCGCAACTATGACATGTAAATCCTTTTATTCAGCTTTGTCAGTCTTTCTTCTGCCTCATAGCATGTGCACCAGGAACGCGGCCATCGGCACAGTCTTGGGGCCTGCCAACACTTTCTTCCCTTTCCGCCCTCCCTCCCAGTGGTCCCGCTGCACTGGACGGGCGGCATCACAAGCGCCGTCGGCAGCAGCTTCAAGCGCCTGACCATATCCAACGTCCAGGGAGGTTCGCTCCGACTCTGGTAAGGCGGCTCTCCTTGTGTTCGCCGTATGTACCACTGCACAAGTTATCAACCTATCATTCCTGCCCTCAATTACACGCCGCACGGAGCCTAAACCGGCTTCTCCGACCCTCGATCGGCTCCCGCAGGGTTCACTTCGTCTTCGTGTACATCTACCTTGGGTGGGCCATGTTCCTCCTGCGCTGGCACTACCAGCAGTATCTCCAAGTCCGCCACACCTACCTGAAAAAAGGTACGACACCCATGATATGGCCAGCAATTAGTTTGGTGGATTGACTGCTGCTGGAGCTGCTTTTGAAAATGAAGTGCACGGACTGGGCGGCACGCACGAGGCTATGCTGCTGCGAGCCCGGGGGCTGCGCGCCTCCCATGACCTGCCTTCCCCCTACCGCCGTGCCACCACCTTTTGTGTTCTTGTGTACATGACCGCAGCTTACCGCTCGGACGTGTGGAGGAAGCTGTACTTGGAGGAGTCCCCGCAGGAGGATCGGGGCGCCCGGGAAGTGGGCGCGAACCCAGTCAGGGACTTCTTGCGCATCGTGCCACTGCTGAAGGCGCTGATGCCTGACGCTGTGCCTGACACCGCACAGGTAACCCATAGGCAACCTAGCTCACGCTTCCGCAGCATATCAGTGCAGCTGGGCAGTCCGGCTACAGCTATTCGCGCGTTTGCATGTTTTACCGAGCCATGGGTGTACATTCCGGTACACTTTCGGGGCGCCCTGCCGCTGTCGTCCTTTTCTAAGCAGTTTGCTAGCCGCGTCCAATGTACGCAGCACTGGCGGCTGCGCTTCTTAGCTGCTGCATTTGTCATGTGCGCACTAATATACAAACTGTTTCTTGCATGCTTTGTGGGGACAGAATGGTGGGCAGCCGATGCCGGACGGCGACAATAAAGACGATGCGGAGGAGGCAGCTGACGCGATTGAGCTCCAGCGGCGGATTGATTTAGCCGTCGGTGCCAGGCCAGGCACCCCGAAGGGGTTGCCGGGGGTCACGGCTCCACATCTGCTGCGTGCGAGGTCCCAGCGACTCACAGCGGCCGTCAATAAGTGAGAACACGGCGGGTCCTAGCGGTCTGGCGCCATAGGCAGTCTAAATGTTGGAAGAGTAACGTTTAGTAACGCGTACCCACGTTGCATACCTTATATCCGTACGGGCAAGTAGTTTCACGGGAGCACGGTGAAGCGTTGATGTGCTTCGCGTTATACAACTACCATGCCGAGACCTGCCGCCGGCCGCCTTTTATTGGTGCATGCACAACCGCCCTTGTACTCGCTGCAGGGGCGTCTTCCATGGGGGCGGCGTGCCACAAGCATACACGGCGGGGTTAGTAACGGCCAGCCACAATCGACCCCTGGAGAAGAGGTCGTTTGTACCAGAACCGAGGCTCAAGCGGCAGTTCCAGAGCATGGGTCCTCGCCACGCAGCTGCACTTGACTTCCCCCCACCACACGGCAAGCAGGAGACCAAGGGGCCGGAGGAGGACAGTGCTGCTAGGCGCGAGGGCCTGCGCATGAACCCCTCGATTGGGCTGTCCACGGTCATGTCTAGCGAGGGACAGGTGCGCTGGCGCAATCGTTTTGCTTACGCTATGTGACTGGTTGTAGGAAGAAGCGACGTTTGCTTAGGGTACCGTTTGTGGGCAGTAAGCGTATTAGCGGGTCCCAAGAAGCATAAGGGGCATCAGCTGCCCTACAGCCTTTTGCTTCAAAGTCTCCGACCTGTCAGCCAGCTGTCCTACAACCACACGCCTTTTGTGTCCTGTCCCCTGGCCGTGCAGGGTGTGGACGCCAAAGAATTGACGTCAGCAGATGCTGCTGAACCGCTGGCCGGGCTGCCCCTGTCTCCAGGCCGCACTCCACGCCACGGCGCCAAGACTGGAGGGCCTATCGCAGAAGCGACGAACGAGGGCCCAGATGCAGATAGCCGCACCCCCGATCCCGCTGCTGCTGCTGCTGTTGCAGGTGCTGTTGCAACTCCTATAGCTGCAAGGCGACTTCTGGCTGAGCAGCTAGCCAGCAGCCCCGATGACCCCACGGCGCAGCCCTACCAGTTGCCGTTGCCGCCCCTTCCACCCCTTCCGCCCCTGCCCCCGCCGCCACCGCGCGGCAGCTGCCTTACCCATGACGTGTCCCGCCAGCCATCTTTATGCGAATCGGAGGTGCAGTTGCAGGAGCCTCTTGCTCGCATCTCTAGTGCAGGTCCGGCTGACGTGCATGCGAGCGCAGCTGCCAACCAGGGCGACGGTCAGCAGGACCCTGACTTGGAGGCTGGCAAGCGGTCCCCCGGGCTGCATGGGGGCGCAGCAGCGTACCGCAGTCTTACGGTGGTTCCGCCCCCGGTAAGCGTCTCCATGAGCCGCAGCGATTCTCTTGACGCTGAAGCGCGCAAGCTGCAATGGTGGCGGGATCCCGTCAAGGAGAAGCGGCAGCGCGACAAGGAGGATAAGCAGCCTAGCGCGGAGTCAAGTCCTGCGAAGGGCAGTCGCATGGAGGGATCAGCCGGCGGAAGCCAGGGTGGGGTTATGGAGGAGGGACAGGAGGAGGAGGGAGAGGAGGAGGATGCGGGGAGGCTGGTGTGCAGTTCGCGGCTGAGTGTGAGCGAGCGCAAGTGTGTCATTGCGTACAAACAGGAGATGCCGGTGGCAGTGCTGGCGCAGCACTACGTGGTGCTGGTAACGGATGTGGTGGAGCATGGGGCCTCAAAAACGTAAGTGTATGAGGGACATGGAGGGGTCTGCAGCTCTGCATGTCGTGCCTCATGCGCTACTGGGTAGGTTGTGGCGGAGCGTCTTGCAAGTCCGCTCGACTCGACCGGCTGGGCCCCTTGCCTTTTTCTTGTGCTGCTGTAGGGATGCCGCCAAGGTGGGGGCGGTATGGACGGCTGCAGTGGGCCAGCTCAAAAAGGTGGCAGGCCTCATGCCGCACCAGCTGCGCAGGTGCGTCCTAGAGACAACGCGGTCTAGCAACTGTCGTTCAGCGTTTCGTCCCGACGCTCCTTGGTACACCGGTAGTGCATCCCTTGGTAATCCGGTGACCTTTCCCGACAGCCTTCCTTTGCGCTTAAAGCTGTGCTATTGTGGTCATGTTTGCCTCCGTTTTGCTGTCCGTCCTCCCTGCAGCTGGTGCAGCCTGGGTTACGGAAATAAAGGCAAGCCGTCGTCAACGAGAGCTTCCTCTGAAGCATCGATGGCCGGCGGTGACTACCCGCCCATGGCCCGCGGGTCGCAACCGCCTTCCCGCAACTCCTACTCGATCTACGCCCAGTCTATTGGCAGGGCCCAGTCCCTAGGAGGCTTGTCCCATGCCCAGTCTATAGTCAGGGATGGGTCAATGGACACGTCCAAAATGGCACATGGAGGACCCCGCACCGGCCATCGACGCGTGAACAGCGGCGGTGTCGGCACTGGCGTTGGCGCGTTTGGGGCGGACCCCGGTTCTCGGGCGCAAGACTTGCCTAGGTTTCCCTCATCCGCCGACCGGTTTCCTGACGGCGAGGGTAGCGCCCACGGCAGCAGCGCATGCGGCTACGGATCTGATGGCTGCGGTGGCGGCGGCAGCCAGCACGGTCGCGGCGCGCCGCGCATGTGGGCCAGCGCAACCCCATTCATGACGCCTGCAGGGCCCGCCAATCAGGCTGGTACGGGTCCGCAAGCCGTTGCGCTGCCAGCTATTGAGGAGCGCTCATCACTGCAGTGCAAAGTCCCCTCGGTCAAGCACAGTGTCCTCAGCAACGACGACTGCAGCTCCCACCGAAGCGGGAGGCATAGCGTGGGCCCTACACTGCCGCCCTCAGCATCCACTCCGTGCCTCATGGCGGTTCCAGCTGCCGCCGCCGCCGCAGCAGCTCGACCCAGTTACCACCACTCTCCCTCAGGCAGCCCAGCTTTCTCCTCCCGCCGCCACCATTCTGGCAGCGTGGGCGGCGGCGGCAGCGGCGGTGGCGATAGGCTGCTTATGGGTGCTGTTAAGCAGATCGTCGAGTTTGCGGGGCTTGCCAAACAAGCGAACATGTTCCCGACTGAGGTCCGTCAAAGCACTGAAACAGCGGCCCCCGCTCAGTATGGGCGATCAGCCAGCGCCGCGCCAGGTGCGGTAGCCGCCCGCGGGATTGCGCCTCCAATGACGGCCCCCTTGCCGGCACACCAGCATCAGGCGCATCGTAAGAGGGGCGTGGGGCGCTTGGATAGCAACGCCGGCAACAACGCCAGTCCTTTCGTGACGGCCGGCAGCCGCGAGGGAGAGGTGCCACGTCCCAGCACCAGCCGGCTCGGCCCGGCTACCAGCGACCCAGCCACACCTCCTGCAGCTCCCACAAGCGGCGCCAGTGTTTCCAGCAAGCCCGGTCCTGTTTGCGAGCACCGCAGCACCAGCGGCACTAGCCCCGACAGCGACCCGGCACGGGACTCGCATGGCACCCAAAACAGCACAGGGGCCTCCTCACTCCGCCGCCGCCGCGCCGCCAATGGGACCAGCAACGATGACAACGCCGGCCCGGCACCGCCTTCCGGGATCCCCGCAACCGGCAACCTTGCCCAAGGCCTTGAAGCGGACGGAGGCAGCGAAGCCGGCGGCGGTAAATACGGCGCTGCGGGACCTGCTGCCACCAGCAAGTGGGAGATTGTGCGCCGGGCGGTATTTGATGGCCGCATTCGGGAGTTGCCGAACAGGCCGGAATACTCCATTGTGTCGGCTACCTTCTCGCGGCTCTTCCCCGGCGAGTTCGACCGTGCGGTGCCGGTGATCAATCACAAGGAGGTGGACCTGCTGCTCATGCGGGTGGACCGGCACCTGGCGCAGTACGAATATGTGAGTGCCGCACAGCTCGCGTTTAGGTAGTTGGGAGTGGGAAGGGGCCGAGAAGTCAGTCGGTACCCTACTGCGCTGGGCTGGCGGCTTGTTTGCTGCTTGTACCGTGTTCAACCCTTTCCATTGACCGCTTCTCCAACTACTTTCCATCGTCAACACCTTGGTAACAACCGCACGCGCTGTTCCTGGCCCCGTAATGCGTGTACGCAGGCCAAAAAGTATGAGGAGAAGACGGGCAAGGAGCTGCTTGGTCGCACCGGTTTCTGCGGGCTGCTCGGTCAGCGGCGGCGGCTGCGGGAGTACCACCGGCAGCGGGCACATGAGCTGATGGAGGAGGTGCGGGCAGCCCGCCGGCGCGCCTTTGACGAGGCGCACACGCGCTCCTGGTTCGTGTTCTTCCGCACGCAACGCGCCGCCGCGGTGGCGTCGCAGTGCGTCATCCATGCGGAGGATAACCGGCAGTTCAAGGTGGGGTTTGGGTTCTGTGTGGGCGGAATGGGGTTGGCTGTGCGGTCTGGGCCAAACCCAACACTCGGTATTGGGCTGCCCGGTAACACGCCTTCGAGCTTTCCAGCATACCGTACACTTTCGCTCTGCCTCGGAAACCCAATCCACCCGTCAGCCCCTCGCGACAAGGCATCCCCACCCAACCCATGCTGCCATGCATGGTCTAACCCACCCACCGATGCAAGCTGCTCCCCCCTGCCGCTAAACCCCTCCTCCTGGCCCCCTCTCTCCAACCTGCGCACCCAGGTGCACCCCGCGCCGGGTCCCGAGGAGGTCAACTGGCCCGCGCTGTGGTCCGACTTCCGCGGCCGCGACCTGCGCCACAACCTGGTGCGGCCGCTGGTGGCGCTGGTGGTGGCCTTCCCCATCGGCATCTTCACGGGCGGCCTCATGCAGCTGGACTACCTGCTGTGCCCCAACCACAAGTGCCGTGAGTGGGGGTTAAAAATAAGGAGGGAGTGGGGGGAAAGGCAGCGGGGAAGGAGAGGCCGGTTGGAGCGCTGGTGGGGGTTGCTGCGGGGCTTTGCTGGGCTGGTACTGCCGGCGGGGTGTGGGTTGAGACGCATGGCGATAAGCGCCACTGGGGCTGGCTTTGCGGTTCAGGCTGTCGTGGATTTGAATGCGTTGGGGTTCTGAAGGGCTGGCTGCCCGCAGTTAGTGTCTGTCCTGGCTGTCTAACGGCGGCTGCCTCTGCACTGCGCAGTGGGCCTGGACCCCGCGTCCGCGGAGTGGATTAGCAACGACTGCACGCAGAGCCTGGTGGACAAGGAAAGGTAAGCCGGGGCTCGCAATTTCAGCCTCTCAACGTATCGTTTGGCTCCGCGACTTTATCCTACCATTTACCACGTGTTGCCACGGCCAAGCTATTGCCCACGGGGTTGTGTACTATCTACCCCTCCCTCCGCTCCCCACTCTTCACTCTCGCCCCTCGCCCCTCACCCCTTGCCTCCCGCAGCGAGCAGCTGTATTGGAAGTGGTACTGCAACCAGGACGACGCGGTGGCCCGGGTGCTGCGGCGCCTGGTGGTGGGCTGGCTGCCCTCGCTGCTGATCAACCTGTGGCAGGGCATGGTGCTGCCTGTGCTGTTCACGCTGCTGGTCATGGTGAGAGGGCGAGAGTGCCAGGGCGGGCAAGTTGCCGAGAGAGGGCTCAGGGCGGTGTTGGCGTTTGGAGGCGAGTAGCTTGCTCGCTGTGCTGGCCACCGTGTAAGCTTCGTACCATCTGTGGGTTTGGCTGGGAAAGCCGCATCCTCCTGCCCATCCTCCTCCGCCCCCGTCCCCACAGGCCAGCCGGCATGCCCGGTCGCTGTCCCAGGCTGACAGCGGCATCGCCCGCTACATGTTCTATTTCGGCGCCTTCAACGTGTTCCTGGGGGGCGTGGTGGGAGGCACCATCATCCAAGTAAGGGGGGGGCGTGGTGGGCGGACCCACCGTCCAGGTGGCGTGCATGGGGCGTAACGCAGTGGAGAAAGCTGGCTTGCTGGGCTGCTTTTGTTGTGGTGGCGCCTGGTGCTAAGTTGGGTTCATGGCCGCTTGCAGGGTATCAACGCCGTCATTACGAACGGCCCTAACGAGATATTCAAGCTGGTTGGCACGTATGGTGCGTGACAGCAGCGGGTGCCTTTGGAACGGGCGGGATTGCACTACAATACCATGAGTAACGGAGTAGTGCTGGGAGAAGAGAACCTCTTACACCTGTAAACCTTGCAAGAAGTGAACCCGTGTTTGCCATAACACCTCGCCTTGTTATGCTTTGTTACACGTGTTCCGAGTAAACCTATACACATTAAATCCCCACGTCCTGCAATCTCCGCAGTACCGACCTCCTCCAACTACTTCATCAACTATACCATGTTCAGGTGTGTACGGCATAAGGCCTCTCTGACAACCGCTGCAGTAGTTTGCATAATCCTGGCTTTTCCTGGTTTCCAATTGTTGTTTTGATTAATATGCGTCTTAACAGCCTCGCCTGCATGTATACAGCAGCCACGTCTTGAGTCGTGGGTTACCGTAGTGGTTGAATGCGACCCGCCCTTCTCCACATCCCTGAACAACGTGGACCCCCGCAGGGCGCTGGTTGCGCTGCCTCTGCGCATGCTGTGGCCCCACATTGGTATCCGCATGTACCTCCTCCGCCGCTACCTGCGCTTCGCATGCGTCATTACAGAGCGGGAGAAGGCCTTCCTGGCAGCGCCAGGTGGGCACCGGGAGGCGGTTGGGGCGGCGCGTTTCACCTAGTTTCCCTCCTCATCGCCAGGCATACCTTGAGTACGCAATTAGGCGCTAGTCAGCCTCTAATTCCACCATCGGCCCGCGGTGCCACGTCGTAATGCGTAACGTCCTTCAGCTACCGTGCGTGCAGTCCCTAACGCACTTTTGGGCACGACACGACCCGCTCCTCATGCCTCATCTCGCCCCATGTGCCTCATCCGCCTGCAGTGTCGCCTCGCTACGGGTTCGACGTGGGCATGATTATGCTCATCTTCGTGATCGCCTTTGCCTTCAGCGTGGTATCGCCCATCATCCTGCCCTTCGCGCTGCTGTTCTTCGGAATGGCCTGGCTCTTCTGGCGCTGGGCGCTGCTGTACGTGTACGTGCGCAAGTAAGATATGCAGACATCGCCAGAGGGGGGTTGCGGGACACGTGTAGCGCCGGTGGTCGTTATATATGGGTGTGGGATTGTGAACAGGGGTGCGGACATGCTTTGGATGGGTTGATGTGGACAGCTGTTGCCGTGCTTGACTGAGCCTGGAAACCATGGAAGCTACTATTGCTGGTGGTAGGGCTCCGAACGGCAAACCGGGTTTGGGAGTAAATGGTTGGCTTTGTTGTGTCTCCCGTGTTTGCCCACCTCCCCCAGGTACGAGGGCGGCGGCACCATGTGGCCCTTCATCTTCAACCGCGTGCTGGTGTGCATGGGCATCTTTCCCTTCTTCACCGCGTGCGTCTTTGTCACCATGCAAGCCTACGCACAGGTGCGGTGAAGCGGGGGCTGGCAAGCGGGGAGGAGTGGGACTCCCCATCATGTTGCATGGTGGGGTGCCGCGCCCTTCACTTGCGCAGGCGCATTGGTACAGTCGCAGTTGAGCGTTAGTATTGAAGTATCACAGTTGTACGATATTCCGTAACCTCGCCGGTTCACTTGCTGCCACAGGCCATCTTGCTGTTGTTTACGGTGCCTGTCATCCTCGTCCGGTTCAGCAGCTACTGCTACTACAGGTGAAACGGGACTCCGCCTAACCGGCAACGCTTTGAGTAGCTAAAAGCTAATCCAGGTGGCCCCTCTCCTAAAGATGCAGCTGCCCTAATTGATGCCGACTTGACCCATGCGCACTCTCACACGCCCGCCTGCCCCGCTCATCATGCTTGCAGGTACGAAGTTGGCACCAAGGCGCTGCCTCTGGAGACCGCCATTCGTGGGCCCCTTGCCGACATTGACCCACGGGTCTATCAACCGCCGCCGCTGCTGGAGGAACTCGAGGGCTGGAACCCGGATTGGTCCAAATGCTGGCAGGGCTGGAATATGCCGGTGGTCTACTTCTGAGCGATTTGCGGAATCCAGTCCTAGTCTCCCGAGCGGCTTGGTCGGCTCTAGGCTCTAGGAACAGTAGCTCGGAGCTGCCGCCTCTGCATGTGATGGGAGGGACCCGTGCAAGTGTGCGGTTGTGCATGCTGCAGGGGCATGGGCAAGTGCATTCCCTGCAGCTCGGTGTATTTAATTCGGGCAGGCTTGCGGTTCGTTACAATTCTCAGCTGAGTGCCATTCGTGGAAATCTGCACTTGGTTTAGTGTTACGCCTGTTCGAGCTTTGGGGTCAGAGAGAAACCAGACATTACCGAATCCGTGTTATTCAGCGCCCAGCTGGATGGATTGAGCTGTGATACAGCTGTATGGCAGCTGATCGACATTCCTAATAATGAACGTCACAAGGCTCAAGAGTGACATGCTGTGGTATCTTGACATGGGATTTGAAACGAACAGTGACCCTTGGATCCATTCTTGTGTGATTTTGACCGGACGCTTGTTCGTTAGCAATACATCCTTTCCAATTACGAAAGGCAAGAACGTGATTGACGGCAGAGTGTTAGTGCAAGGGACGCGAGCATCGCAAGCGCAGCATGTTCGGCTGATGCAAGTACCCGGTAATCGATTGGTTGCGTCGTGGGTGAGACGCTGCTGCGAAGAGGCATTGACGATCATGACGTGTGGATGCATGCGGCCTGAGGGAGGCCGTGCAAATTCCACAAGGTTTGCTGTGCGGGTCGATGGTCTCGCGTGTATAGTGTACTGTTCCATACACGGCAGGAGTTTTGCCATTAGCCCGAATGAACAATGGAGTGTCTCGAGTAATGCATTTTGGAACATGACGCGTGAGATATATGCTGTCGGGTAGGGCATGCTGCTGTCACGGCGCACCACCCTAGCCACATCCTCTCTTCGTGCGCAAACATGTCGTTTCCCCGGAAGCTTGCAAAGACCCAAACAAAGCCTGCCTCCGGCCCCATATCTCCATTCTGCCCTGTCGAGACAGCCAGTTCACACCCACCATTGCCCATTGCTCTATGGCAACTCTTATCGGCCTTTCACTGCGTCCCAGGCACCTCTTTGCGCATCCAGCCGCAAAGATGTCAGTAAGGGGCTGCCACCCGGTTGCTGTCCCCATCTTGACTTGAAATTTAACTGAAGGCTTTGCCAAACCCTCCTTTACGGGGATCCGATGAACCTCACAACATGGTTCCATTCGTGGCACTCGTGTAATGCACCCAGTGGCGTGCTAGGCTGCTTTGCCTACGCGCAGGGCCGCCGGCGTGTTTTCTTGAGTTCAAGTAAGTCTCAAGTGGCAGTACACGCCTGCCAACGTGGAGCTCTGTGCGCAGGGAGGCACGCAAGATAGGAAGGTGGACGAACGCAAACACAACTTGGTGATGCCCAGGTGACACATGTTGTGCTGCTGAAAGCACGCAAGATCTCCCGCCTAGCAATTTGTACGGCATTCGGTATGGTTGGACGATGACTTATTGTTCACCTGGACAGATGAAGTAGCTGTGTTTTTGATAGGATGGCAGGGCTTATTCGTTAGATCTCTTATGCTGATTATCCTCGACAGCTGCAAGCTTCGTCGTCGCCCCTATTTTCCGACGCAAAGACTTTTGCTAATAATGGCATTTGCACATAGAGGAATATTACAACAAATACATAATCAGACACAGCGACCTATCACCCTCGACCGGCGCCTTGTTCGGTGCCTTGCAAAGGGTGGGTTTGCAAAGGACAGGCAATTGCTTACTCAGTCGCAGAGAACGAATTGGTTAATCGATGCGGTAACTTTTAATTGCTTCTACATGAAACACATAGCAGAATTTGCTGACGCTTGCATGTTAGCGACCCATTTGGACAGGCAAACAAACAGGCAAGAAGAAACTCACCTTGACCGAGAAGCTCAGGTCTAACAATGCAGCACCGCACCTGGATATGTTTGAGGCGCCGAAGCCTCAAAGCGATGACAGTGGCGAGCCATCCACGTCGGGGTCGGGACTTCCTGATCGCGGATTGGTAGCAGCTGTTGGTAGCGCAAGGAATTCGAACATCGTGAAGGTGACATGGCGACGACTACTGAAGGAGCTGTCATCACTGCCGCGAGCGATTGCCATTATGGCCTTGATTGCGGGGCTGTCTGGCTTAGGCACCATCATCCCGCAAAACAAGGTAAACGAAAACTTCATGGGCGCCCCTGGAAGTATGAGCGAACGTGCAAGGTGAACCCATACACCCCGAGGGCACCGTGGACTCGTGGGGGTCCACCAGTTGGCTTCAAGCGTCCCACCCCATCCCTCCCACCCAAGTCCCACCTCCCCCTCCTTCATTCCCCCAACCCACTTCCAAACCCACATGCTCGCAGCCGTTGGAGTACTACATCGCCAACTACCCGGCGGAAGGCCCCCACAAGGTGCTCGGCTTCCTGTCGTACGACGTCATCACGGCGCTGCAGCTGGACCACATCTACTCCGCCGACTACTTCTACCTCTCCATGGCGCTGCTGGCCGCCTCGCTGACCGCCTGCACCTACACGCGCCAGTGGCCCGCGGTCAAGGTCAGGGGGCTGCGCAGGCCGGGCGACAGCGCGCAGGGGCGACGGGAGGGGCTACGCAGCAGCTGCTGCTTTTTCCTGGCGGTTGGATGGTTGGCAATGGCTGTTTTAAGTAGCGCGTGGTTACTTACTCAGCCTCCTTCCCTCCCTCCTCACCTCCCTTACCCCACAGGTTGCCCAGCGCTGGCGCTTCCTCACCCAGCCCTCCTCCCTCACCAGGCAGGGGCGCACCGAGGTGCTGCCCAACGCGCGCATCTGCGACCTGGGTGCGCTGCTGCTGCGTCGCGGCTACCAGGTGTTCCTGCGGGGGGACAGCCTGTACGCGTTCAAGGGGCTGGCGGGCAAGCTGGGGCCCATCGGGGTGCATGCGGCGCTGCTGCTGTGCCTGCTGGGCACCTCCTGGAGCGGGTTCGGCAGCCTCAAGGGAGCCGTCATGTGCCCAGAGGTGAGCAGCGACGGAAGGCCTGGGGCAAAAAATATATATGATGAGACACTGACGAAGTAACTGACGAGCTGTATGACAAGGCCTGGGGCGGGGGGTGTGGGGCTGGACGTCGGCGTTGGATGGCAACCGTTGGCAAGACGGAGAGGCGATGCGAAGGGGCGGCTCGTGTGCGGCTGGTGTGCGCCGGTGTGCGCAGCGCACAATGCATGTTGCCTTCGAGTAAAGGCTAAGAGCATACCGGTAGCATGAGCCTTGCCTGCGACCTGCGCGACTGCGTGTACTGAACAAGGTGTGCTTTCCTTTTTATCCCTTATCCCTGCAGGGTCAGGACTTCCAGGTGTCGAGCTTCCTGCACCCCGGCTCGCCGCTTGCGACCATGCCAGAGGCAGCTTCCAACGTGATGCACGTCAACCGCTTCCTCATAGACTACCGGCCAGACGGCTCCGTTGCGCAGTTCTACAGCGACCTGTCCCTGACTGACCCACGGGACGGCAGCGAGCTCCTGCGCAAGACCATTAGCGTGAACGACCCCTTCCGCTACAAGGTAACATAGCAGTTGTGAAACGAAGTTCGCGATATACGGTAGATGTCACCTCCTTGAAACCTGCAGCGAGAACGCCCACTCCATGCTTCTCAGCTCACGCCATTCCACTGGTGTTCCTTCTCAATCATTATGTCCCCCAAAAGGGCGTCACTATGTACCAGACGGACTGGTCCCTCTCCGCCGTCACCTTGAGAGTGCTGGGCCAAGACGCGCCCCTAGCCCGGGCAGCGGAGGCCGCAGCGGCAGCCGCGAGCACCGGCGAGGACACCCCGGCTGCTGCCGCTGCGGCTGCGGAGCGCACCGCCTTCAACCTGCCCATGGCCTCGCTGGAGGGTCGGCCGGGGGTGGCGGGCCGCCTGTGGGCCACCTTCCTGCCGCTCGGGAAGGCTGCGCCGGACGGCTCGGCTCCCCGGGGCATATCCAGTAAGCAGCAGCAGCAGCAGCTTCCAGGGGGCTGGATAGGGTAGCTTGTTTGCATTGCAACTGGCTTGACATGGGTGGAGTGGCTGCGGCACATTACTAACTACAACTCGTTTTGTACACTCTTGTTTTGTCGTTTACCTATTATTGGTACCTTCACATGCTGTGCCGCCCCGCCCCTGCATGCTGCTCCTGCAGTCCTGGCTCGAGACCCGCAGTCTGTGGTGTTCTACGACGCATCCGGGCAGTTTGTGGGTGTACGACGGCCCGGCAGCGGCAAGCCCATCACGGTGGAGGGGCTGCAGCTGGTGGTGGAGGATGTGGTGGGGGCGACCGGGCTGGAGATCAAGAGCGACCCGGGGGTGCCTGTCGTGTACGCAGGTGAGGGAGTTGTGGGAACTGGCGGGGATGGCTGCCTAAGGCAGGGTGCTAAGCGGCTGGCTAGTGACCGAGCTGCGGTTACCGTAGTGTCGTGGCCATCCGCTAGGAAAACATCGGCCTCTTCTAGCCCTTCCAATCCTCTGCTGCCCGTAACCTCTTCCCCATGTTATGCTACCCCTGATGCTCACCTCTGCCCTTGTGCTCCTCCTACCTGCTCCTTTCACTCGAACAGGCTTCGGCGGCCTCATGGTGACTACGCTGGTCAGCTACCTGAGCCACAGCCAGGTGTGGGCGCTGCAGCAGGGTTCCAACCTCTTCGTCAGCGGCCGCACCAATCGAGCCAAGCTGGAGTTTGAAACGGAGCTTGACGCCATCCTGGACCAGGTACCTGAGCTGCGGCCCGCAGCCAGCGAGGCGGTGGAAGGGGCTGAGGCGGAGACGGGAGGCGGGATGAGCAGAGTTGCGGGCACGAATGCGAGCAGCAATAGCGCGGCGGGCGAGGTGACAGCTGCGGCGAGTATGGAGTAGCGGCTTGAGGTTTGATGTTGGCAGGTCGTGCGGTGTTGGTGCAGAGAGATTGAGGAGGCAGTGGAGAAGCTGAAGCTTCGCCGGGTGGGGTGGGGTCAGTTCTGAGGGCAGGAAGCCACGTAACTGGCTTGAAGAGTGTGGGCTGTGGACATGTAACACCTGAGCTGCCAAGCCAATGCCCACGTAAACAGATGAATCCTAAGAGCAGAGAGTTGTCAAGAATGAAGCTTCTTTGTAACAAAAGGAGAAGAAATTACAACCGTGGCACACTCGAGGTGCGCATGTGCAATCTTGGGCACATCCACGGACAAAACAACGTTCTGCGCACAAATCTGCTTGTGCAGCAGCATTTAAACAGGTGTTAATAGTCCATATAATAAACCGGCGCTCATGCAAGAAGGGCGACGTCCTAAGCATGCAAGCTGCAAACTAAAAGCGAACAGTTACGAACATAAGGATGTTAGGCTAGATCATAAGGCCCCCAAAGAACCATGGGTCGCGGCACAGGCGCGTACCCGTACAGTCTGGGTGCACGCATGCTACCCGCATCGCCAATGCCAACCAAGCTTATTAACTACTTAGGGACACTTAAACAAGCAGCTATAATAGCATTGTCCCCCAATACCACTCCTGCAGCTAATAACGCCGTGGTCAAGCGATTGGTTGGTTGAGGGGTGCGTTGATGAAAGTATGTACAAAACGTCGCTGCGTGGGGTCAGCGCGGTTCGCTGCCGCTGCCACCACGCCATGCACGGGCGGCATGATAATGAACAGTTCACACTAGCATGGGGGAGTCATTATGTACAACCGCCCCTCCTCCCACTGCATGTACCAAAGCCGACACCCCAAGGCACGATACCAACACAACAACGTATGGCAACGAATTACGAGAGCTCGTTGTACCCTTCAAGGTGTGCGCCATCAGGGCGCCCATAGCTCAGCATGCACACATACACCCCTCACACCGCACGGTATGCTATTGCAATTGCGGAACACCGTGATTACAAGCAAACTATGTACCATGCCCATCTAGTCCGCAGTGCTAACACCAACGATCGCGTCTGCTCTCAATCCTACAGAGAGTCGCAATAGCGTTACGGGGTGCTCCCCAACAATTGTTCCCGACCAATAGCACGTTCCCTTCCTCCTGACCAACATAAACCACGCATAAGCCAATTTCGCATCCCGCTGCATAACTACACTACCACCCCTTACAAAGGTTAAAGAGGGGTCACTTACGGAATGTTCGGTGGTATCCAGATCACACGCACTTATAAAGCATGTGAGATCACGCCAGTGCATGAGGCCCCATACCTCACATACAACCCACCAAAATCTTGCGATCACTAGTAAGCATGCTAATCACTATAAATAACAGGGCCCTGCCTAGCACGACAGCTTTGCTGCGAAACGTCGCAACACGGGTCCCACTGACTTCTGCATCATGCAGGGTGTACTGCGTCCGCCGCTGGGTGACAGCGGCCAGCTGCCTGCGTGAAGCAAGGGTGTTTACGGCCTTCTGCAACCGCCGTTCTCGTTGCCAGCAGCCATTCCTCATGCCTTCTTGTTATCCGATGGCACCTGCAAGGACATAACCGGTTTGCACCGATTCAGTACCCCTAGAAAGGGAGCTGATTGAGTCTTTTGGCGCCTTGGAGCAGGCCTATCCTATGCAAATGTACCAGTAACCCTTGTTGGAGACCCAGCCACGCTTCCCCAACAACAAACACCTTTTGACCGCACTTACCGGTGCCCCAGGCTTGGCGGCATCAGCGTCGCCCTTGGCGGCATCTCCCTTAGCCCCGTCGCCCTTGGGGGCATCCGCCTTAGCAGCTGCATCGGCCTTCTTGGCAGCATCGCCGGCAGCCTTCGGCTTGGCACCGCTGCGGATGTCAAAGCCAACCTTGTTGTCCTTCATTGCGCGCGCAATCCGCGCGTGCGCGGCGACCTGCGCGAAGGCATCGTTGAAGAGCACCTTCATCTGCAGCGCTCCCACGACTCCGATAAAGGACATGAAGCCGATGCAGGTGAAGAGGATGTAGCCGATGATCTGGTCCAGGGTGTAGTGGAACGAGTCCACAAAGGCGCGCATCGTGTTGTTCTGGCTGTAGGCCACCGTCACGAACTGAGTTGGGGTGCCAGAGGAGGGGCAGGGGACGAGTGGGGTTTGGGATACGGGCCTTACCGGTAGTATAATACACAAATGGATTCCGTCTGGGGAAAGCCGAGCACTGGGGCTAGGTCAGCTGCCATCATGTGAATCATCGCCAAGGATGGCATGACGCAAAACCGCACTTCGCACCCGGTAGGCACACCGTGAGGATTCTCCTCAGCCTCCCGCACTTCCTCCTTCCCGCAACCGCCCAACGCACTCACCTTGTGGAACGCGATGAGCAGCTGGAAGTTGGCGTACAGGATGACCACCAGCGTGGTGAAGCCGTTGCCGTCGTACCAGCGCGACACCACCGCCAGCCACACGATCAGGAACACCACCATCAACAGCGTCATGATGTAGCGGTAGATGCGGTAGGGCTTGTGGTCGGCCAGCTCCGTGAAGTAGATCTTGATCTGCAAGCGCACAAGGGGGTGGGGGGCAAAGCGCGGGAACAGGGCGCGTGAAGCAACGGTAAAGTGATGCGTTCATATCCCCTTGTCAAGCTCGCAACCATGCCAGCACAGGGCGACCTCGCAAACCCCGGTTAATACTGCTGCAAATTTAGTGCCGCAATTTGTGTCGTGCTACAGGCCCATGCGCGTCAGGAAAAGGAGCACGCTACCCCTCTGACCGCACCATTCCGTGAACCACCAACACAAGTCCACGAGGACACGCACCTGGATGGTCACGTACACGAAGACCCAGATGGACAGGGTTGCCATGAGGAATACCGTGACCTGGCTCTTGAAGATCGGGCTGGCGCGTACGGCAGCCGGCATGATGATGTCCAGCCGCGAGCCGGCGCACACCGCCAGCAGGACGTACGGCAGGCACGAGACGAAGGTGTTGACGACGTTGATCGTTTGGTCGGTGTTGTTGCCCTTGTCGTTGCGGAGGTTCTCCAGGTTGCCGCTGCAGAAGCAAGAAGACACAGTCAGTGGGTCGGGAGCGGAATGGAAGCCTAGGACAGAGGGAGCTGATAAACGTTGGGCTGCTCCACTCAGACGTCTCAGAGGCTTCACAAGCTTCAACTCTACCCCCTCACCTCTCAACAACACACACCCCTCATCATGCGCCCCTAACACACAGCTCCCTTGCACAGCCTGGCTCACCTGTTGAAGGTGTACCAGTTGTTGCCGGTGTTCGGGTCCACGTCACCGTGCATCCACCGCTGCCAGGCCAGGTAGTTGGCCTGCACCTTGGCGATGTCGAAGGAGAACGGGTTGAACCACAGCGGCGAGAAGATGAGGGAAAACGCCAGCAGCCAGCCCGACCACGTGAGCGAACCGTAGTCGCACACCTTGCAGCCCTTTAAGAAGTAGATGGAGGTCAGCATAAAGAGCAACTCGAAGGCGTAGTACAAGTGGGAGCGGCCGTACAGGTTGTAGATCTGCAGCATTAAGGTAAGGCAAGGAGGGAGGACGAGAACCATGATCAGGGGTTGCGAGTAGAGGCGGCTGCCTAGCTTCATGGTGGTTGTGGGTTTACTGGTTGGCGCTCGATGAGTGGCATCAGGGTTGCTGTTCTGCATGCGCGAGAACACCAACCCCAGCTAGCGATGACACCAATCCCATGCTTTGCACTTCCAAAAACTGCTGACAAGCAGGGGGCGTCGCCCGGTTCGGTGTGCTTACCTTGACGAAGCCCAGCGAGGTGAGGTTGAAGCCACGACCCGTACCGACGTACTTGGCGTTGCCGTACATCATGTCGTTGAAGAAGCCCGTCGCCACAGTTTGCTGCTGGAACATGTAGAAGAGCAGCGAGCCGGTGGAGATCTGCTGGAAAATCAGGATGAACGTCTTCACCACGCCAGTCTCCAGGATCAGCTGGCCGATGTACGGAATCATGGCCAGCGTACCCAGCTGCAGGACCTGTGGTGGGGCGGAACAGAGGAACACAATGGCACGCAGGGCGCGCATGCAGGCGGCCACGTTAGCCTATGTCAGAGAGCAGGATGAAACGCTTGGCAAGAATCTTGGCACCATCCCAGCATACATTAGCATGCTAGAGGCCAAGCAGTGGCATTCTATGACATTCCGGTGGGTCCGATAGACCCATGGGTCTGCCCACCTGCTGCACGTTGTAGATGCTCTCCAGCAGGTCGCTGCTGTGCTCGGACTTGGCCATGTTGAACACCAGCAGCGCATAGATGTTCCAGAAGGCAGACTGGAGGAAAGGGGTGGCAGATGCGGACGCTTGAGGAGGTGCAGACACAAATGTTTTGCTCAATTTGGCTCAATTGACAGAGATGGCAGGGGTGGCAAACAGAACAAAATAGTGTGCTTCATGCAGTGAAAGCGCTGCAATACAATCACCAGCATCTCATGCACCCTCCCCCCAACCTGCGACGTGAGGTAGGAGTTGAGGTAAAAGCCGATGGCGGAGTGGTAGAACATGAGCAGGCGGAAGAAGTCCAAGCGGGTACCCATGCGAGCCGACTCGCGGCTGATAGCCCACTCGCCGCCACCACCAGCAATCTTGAAGTTGAAGCCGTTGATGGAGTCGAAACCCATATCACGACCCTGGGACGGGCAGAAGCAAAGATAACATCTTTAGCAACAGCAGTATGGCACCAAAGCCCCGGAGAGGCACGTCCTCAACAAGGTAAAGCCCACATGGCACCAAGCATCCACATCGGAAAAAAAGCAGGACGTCTGAAAAGCATAGCACGCTGAAACGGCCCTACCTTTCCGCAGCTGATGTACTCCTTGTAGCGAATGCGGCCGCCACGCAGCGTGTGATTGCAGCCACTGAACGCATCCTCGGCGATGTGCAGCTGGCGAGTGGCCTTGCTCATGCCGCCCTGCATGGAACACAGGCGAACATCAACGGGGCGTGAGTGCGGAAAACAAACCCATTATATAAACGTTGCTGCCACCCTCGCTTCAAACATGGCGATCCCACATGTATATCTCCCATACCAAGCAGGTTGACAGGGAAAGGAAGCAAGTCGCAAGCAGCGCCCTCCTTACCCGGGTGAGCGCCCACATCTTGTTGAAGATATCGGGGTGCCCGTAATGCAGGCGGATGCGCCCGGGGTGCGTCAGCGTGCGCTGCGTGATGGTGCCGAACGCGTACTCGGTGGCGGCGGCGAAGCGACCCAGCGCACCCGCCTTCTCGCTGAAAATCCACTCACGGAAGCCCACAAGGGCCGTGAATGTGCAGTTGACCTGGAGCACCGGGGGGGGGGGGCAGCAGCCAGTAGGTGGCGGCGTTAGGGTAACTCCACATGACCAAGAGCTAGGGACAGATACGACATGCATCTCGCATACACCAGCTATTGTCCTCTCCAGAACAAGCGACCGCAGCCACCCAATTGCGCATGGCCCCTCGCAACAGCGGCACCGCCACCACCACCGCTCCCTGCGGCTCTAGCGTGCTCTACCCAACCGTTGCCCACGCCCGAGACGCGCACCTGGCGCGCGCGCATCACGAAGAGCAGCTCAGACGCAATGGTGCTGCGGGTGATCTGGACCTCCTCGTCGTCGTCCGCAAACAGGTGGAAGCTGCCCTTGGTGGAGGGCAGCAGCTCCGTCAGCAGGTTGCGGTTCTTCAGGCACTCGGCGAACACGTGGTCCTGGTTCATGTCGATGGCCTGGTGCAAGTGGCGGCAGCGTGGTGTGCGAGCGGGTTGTTTAGAAGTGTGGGTGTGGTGGAGAGGTTTTACAAGTTGATGTGTTAGGAAGTACCGGAGTTTAATGCAAGCGCTGGTGGGACGCAGGAAAGCGGTACCTTGGAGCTACGGGAATAGACAGGAAAGCGAGCTGGAAAGTGTCAAGGGCGTTTGCCTACCTGCAGACCTTCCCCAAAGGCGAAGATGACGGCGTGGTTCTGGTTCTCAGGCTTGCCCTCACCGACCACCACTCCACGTCCGCTGTACTTGTTTTGCGGCAGGCGCACGCGGTAGTACTGGGGGTCAGGCAGCAGGCGCACAAGTTAGGAGGGTGAGGACTTAGGAGGAAAACCCCCAGACAGTCCCTTACACAGCTCTGGTGGGCGCCCTGCCTCACCTCCACAATCCCATTCTCATCCTCCTTGATGCCCATGGATGCGTGCCAGGCGGGCTGCTGGGGGTCGCTGGGGTCCAGCGCGCGAGCCATCACGGAGAACTGCGTGGGCCCCTTGTCCGTCTCCGCAGAGTCGATGAACGCGACCTGGCAATGAGCGGGAAGGGGTGCCATGGAGGGGGTTGGAGGCAACAACACAGGAATAAAGTCAATGCATGCAGGAAATACAACGCCAGCGAACAAGACAAGCGGGTGGCACGAGGTGATATGAGAAGAAGTACATGTCCACCTCCTGGCTGAGGATCACCACCGTTACCGGTATCTGCCGCTGGGGGACACAAAACATACCTTGAGCCGCGGGTACTTCTTCATGAGGATGTCCAGCGACGACGCCAGCCAGCGCAGACGCAGGTCCTTAGACGTGCGGTTTCTGCCGTACGTCTGCGACGTCACCACGTACTCGAACTTGGGAGTGACGAGCTGCTCAATGTAGCGCCTGCGGAGCGGAGGTGGTGAGGGAAACGGTCGACGTAAGCACAGGAAGACAGGGCAACCATAACACACCCGCCTCGTTCTGCCCCGCAACCATGCAGCAGCACTCACGTGTAGTCCAGCTCGGGCATGTTGGGCGGCATGGGGTGCTCCAGCCTGGCCAGCACCCGCAGCGCCGACTCGTTGAGCATCATGCCGTGCACCGTGCGCGCCAGCAGCTGGCCACGCAGGGAGGCCCACAGCTGCAGCTCCAGCCGGTGCTCGTACAGCTCGCCACCGGGCGCAAAGTCGTGCTCCGTGAGGTCCTTGATATCGGGGCTGAGCGTCTGCGAGACGGACCAGGTCGGTTTGACAGTTGGAAGAGTATTAGGTAGGGTGTCGAAAAGGACGGACAGCAGCAACCATGTGCTGCCTGGCTTGGAACCTCTCCTCGTGCTGATACCCTACGTCCCTACCTTGACGCGCTCCTTGAAATTGGACCACTCGGAGGGGAACATGGCCTTCAAGTAGTTCATGAGGCTGATGGAGTCGTCCGACTCGGACAGCAGGTCCAGCACCTTCTTCAGCTTGCAGTTCAGGTCCTTGGCTGCAAGGAGGTGTGTCAGTCGTGCCAGCAACCAACCAGTTGGAACACATGAGCCAAGTGACGGCCTTTGCTAGCACCCCTGCCAAAGCACTTGCGGGTGGGGTAACACTGGCACCATGAAGCAACCTGTTCTCACCCTCTCCACACAAACCCTCAATGTACTGGTACCCGTTTCCATCGCACGTCCCCGTCACCCCGCTTACACAGCTGCTTGTGATCCAGCACGTACAGCACATCCTCCTCGTACAGCGGCGTGATGATGGACCAGCTGAGCATCTTGTCGATGGAGGGCGGCTTGTCCAGCGAGGGGTGGCCCAAGCTGTTGATGAAGAAGCTCAGGATGCGCTGCGCCTCCTCCGACTGCGGCGTGGCCTCGGCCTCCGTGGTGACCAGCATGCGCTTGATGACGCGGATGACGCGCAGGAGCTCCTTGTAGTCGGCAGTGGCGCTGGAGGCAGGTGGGGAAGGAAGGGGAGCAGGGAACAAAGGCGGGTTTGAGGGGTGCCCCGACACCCAGCAATCACGAGTGCGGTTGTGAGGACTGCAGTCCAAGCAGTGCAAGTAGGTTGGCGAACCTCAAACGCACAGGCATCGGATGGTATTGCCATTGCATGCACACATCGCATGGGGAAGAGGGGCAGTGCGGGGGGAAACGAGGCTTGTCTTACTTGTTGAGCAGCGCGACCTTCATGATGCCCTTGAGGCCCTCCGGGTCGGAGGAGATGACATGCTTCATGTCCGTCACCACCTCGAACAGCATGGAGGCCAGCTCAACATCCTCTGGTGTCGCACGATTCGCCTCCGCGGCCTTGTGGATAGCGAAGCACTCGCCTGCGAGCCAGGACCCCAGGAGTTCGGTAGGCAGCTTTATGGGGATAACACCCCGACCATACACAGCACGCTTCACTGGATCTCCATTCCTAGTCTAGTAACTTTAGACACCGCTTCGTAGATAAACGTTAAGCCCTTTGGCCAGCTGTCCGGCCAGCCACGTACCCTCCAGGGCCACCCAAAGCTGATACAGGTTATCCGCAATGTCCTTCATGTCGAATGGAATCTCCTTGCGCTCGGCGATCTGCTCCAGCTGGTCCACCAACTTGAGCCCGTGGGTGAGCATCTTCTTGCGCAGCAGCGCGTGCTTGACGTTGATGTTGCCGCGGTGGAAGGGCGCCAACGTGATGACGTGCGCGTGCTTGCCCGACAGCAGCCCCACCTGCATTCATACCATCATCCACGAGTTACGGCAAGGGAGGGATCGCAGCTGGCGTTAGCATGGCCAAAGCAGAGTGGTGAAGGTGCAAGGACAAATGCGCAACACAACAGCTGGGAACGAGATGCGCTGGGTTGCTAATTGCATGGCCGAATTACTATTCGAAAAGCCCTGGTGCCGTACCTGACAGCCCAGCCACACCACCAGCACCCGCAGCTCGTTCAGAACCATGACCTGCGCGGTAGAGACCTGGCCGGTGTCCACCACCTTGCGCACTTGGCCGGCGTAGAAGAACGTGGGAAGCAGGATGGGGCGCAGGCCGTGGCCGCGACTGCCCATGTCCAGACGCACGAACTTGAGGAAGGAGACCTCCTTGTCGCTCACCAAGTCCGTAGCGCGCAAGTCGTCAATGATCTCGTCCCAAGCAAACGCAAAGGCGTTCCACATCATCATCTAAAGGGGGCACGGAAGGGCGCAGCAGCACGACAAGTTTAAGCGGTATGTGGGTCATGCAGCGCGGATGCGGTGATGTATGTCCCATAGGGACCCACGTGTGAACGAATGCAGCTGATGGGCAATCTAATCCAACAGCTGGCAGGAGTTGGGCATGATCCGCAACCCACCTGTGCGTGCACCTCGTCCACGTCCTCGTCCTCCTCAGGGTCGGCACCATCCAGGATGATGAACGAGTTGGCGCGGCCGAGCGCACCTGCTGCGCGCTCAATAGCCTGCATGGACCATGCAAATGGGTCAGAAACACCCCAATACCCCACCTACAGAGCTGCAACCGCCTACTATATGTCAGACTCTTGGCCGATCTCACCGCACGGTCAAGCGTCCTACCCGACACTGCATCACGTCCCCCTAGCAACCCTGCTTCTCCCCAACCGACGCACCTCCTCGCGCTCCTTCTTCTCCCTGCGCTTCGCCTCCTTGGCGGGGTCGTGACCCAACAGCGCAGTCATGGGCCGCCCTGTGGTGGGCCGCAGCGCTGTGGTAGGGCGCAACGCCGTCTTGGGACGAGGTGCACCGTTGGAGGGAGCTGCCATAGAGTATGTTGCCTGCGTGCGCGTTTGCACACTGCGGGGCAACGCGGTAATGGGCCGCCCCTGCGCTGCCGTGAGAGGCCGCGCCGTCGGCTCGGCCGCGGCGCCGTCGACGTTGGCGCCCTTATCGCCGCGTAGCGACGCCACTCCATTGCGTAGCGATGAAATGCCAGCGAGCAGAGAGCTCTTTGGCCGAGCACTACGGCCACGGTTCGCTGCAGCCTGGTTGTCAGGCTGCGCCCCCGCGGCATTCCCGCCCTGAGCAGCGTTGCCGCCGTACAGCTGCCTCGCTATGAAATCCTCCACCCCTTCGGCATCACCGGCCTCCTCGTCCTTAACGTTGGCTGCTGCCACCTTGTTAGAGCCCATGTTCCAGCCAGTCAGCCCCGCCAGCCAGCGCGACATGATGCCGGCGTCGTCCGCGGCCTGCACGACCGGCGCTGCTAGGGCTGGAATATTGATATTGACAGCAGGGAAGGCTCCGCCAGCATTGAGGTCTCCGCCAGCAGGGACGTCGCCGTTAGCATTAATCACCTGTTCGACCAGTTCCATTGTATCCTCACGGTGGAACGTTTCCTCACGATTAAACGCCACAGATCGTCGGTGGTGCTTCTTGGCTGCCATGTCCTCCTGGCTGTCGCCTTCAGCGGCCGCAGCTGCTGCGGCAGCCGCCTGCGCCCTGCGGGCAGCAAAGTTGCCGCCCACAGCCACAGTGACTTGCCTGGACGTGCTAGGAGGCGATCCTCCCGCCTCGTCATCCGTGTCGTGTTTGGCGTCCCTGAAGTAGTTGCTGTGCAGGGAGGTGCCGCTGACGGAGCGCACCACGGTGGTCGTCGCACCATCCGGGGCGCCCTCTCCTCCCCTCTTGTTGGACAGACCGCGCAGCAGCGCTGGGTCAATTCCCGCCGCATGAGCACGCCGCACAACCGAGGGGTCCGAGGGATCCATTTGGGCGGCTGCGGCCTCGTCCCCCGTGGCTTCTGCTACCGGACCAGCACGGCGTGCCGCCGCCACGCTGGCCAGTTGCGCGGCGTCGGCAACATCGCCGCTAGCGGTCTCGGCACCAAGGGTGGCACCAGCACGTGGCTTCAGAACCATAGCGCCGATACGTTCACCCGCGGCTACGGTCGTAGCGTTGTTAACACCCTCGATGCGCCACTCGTACACCACAGACAACGGGTCGCCGTCAGCCCGGAAGGCTGTCAACGACGAGTCAGCGACCGCCCTGCCGGACTCCAGCTTCTCCAGACGACGCGTCCACCAGCTTGCAGCCTCGTCCGCGCTGTCCTCCCGCCGCCACGCCCACAGCCCAGAGCCTGCACCAGCGCTCGCCGGCCCAACGGTAGTCTGCGCCAGCGCCGCCCAGTTCCCCGCTGCCGCCTCCAGGCCACCGCTGATGCGCTCCACGACGCCCTCCGCTACAGGGCCCGCAGTGCCGCGGCCAGGCCGCGAGCCGCCGCTGCCTGGCTTCGGGGGCTGGGAGTGAGTGGAGGAGATGCGGGCGCCTGCAGGTGGGTGCGTCTCGCTGAGAAGGCGTTCAATCTCGTTGTTGACATCCGCCGGCGTCAGAGACTCCATGCGCATGACCCCAGCGCCTTCGCCACCCCTTGGCTGAGCACCGGCGGCAGCGCCGGAGGTATTGCTTCCAACGTTACGGCCCAGCGTGTCCGCCGCACCCCCCGCGGCCGCATCGCCAAACATGCGGTTGTAGCCCTTATAACCCCCAGCCAGGTCGTCCGCATCGTCATCCTGGTTTCCGGCCAGGATGGCCCGGGCTTCGGGGCCTAAGTAGTCCAAGCCCAAGTCATCCATGCCGGCCTTGTTGGCGCCCTCATTGGCTGGAGGGGAGCCGAACCGTGACATCCTCGGTGGGGTGGAGCCAAAGGCGCCAGCATTGGCTGCACCCTCGAGCGGAGCACCCGTCCATGTGTGCCGCTGTGGCGTGTCCGGCTCTCCCAATGCGCCGGGCAGCGACGACTCTGCCTGCCCTAGCCCGCCATTAGCGCTCATGCGGGCATTGGCCTGGCGCTGTGCTGCAGACCCGGCAGACAACACGCTCGGCCAAGCAGGCTGCGGGACCCCAGCACCGCTCGTGTCCGAACCGGCACGGGGGTTTAAGCCATCTGCAAGCTCCAGAGCTGGCTGTGGCATGAGCATGGGGTCAGCCGCCATTCGCGCCTTACGCGCCTCCCAGTCTGAGCGGAATTGGTCGCCGCCCTTCGCGCCCGCTGCGGTGAAAGAGCCGGGACCCAGGGCACCTGCCGCGTTCAGTGTCGGCGTGGCAGCACGCGATGACAGCAAACCCGCACGCTGCAGGGTAGACGCGGTGGCCGCACTGCCGTCAGAGGCTGGCTTGTCGCCATCCCCATCCATCTCCTCAACCGGCATGGGTAGTGACGCGCCGGCCTTGACGCTTTCGATTTCACCAGCGCCGGGGTCACCGTGCTTGGGCCGCAGCGCCTTACGGCTGTCCGCGTTCGTGCCGGCGCTGAAAGGCCGCAGCGCCTCCTCTTCATCGGGCTTGGCCGGCTGCACCTCCGCTGCTGGCTGGTCATCCCCCGTCAGCGTGTTACGGCGGGCGTCAGGATTCTTCTGCTCTCCGTCTGAGGTGAGGCGTGCCTTGACGGCTCCCATAGCGCGGTTCCACCGGTTTTGTGCCGGGGTCGGAGCCGCGTTGACTAGCAGTGCCGCACCCGCGCCGTCGCCCTCGGCGTGGTTGTCGACTTGCGGCAGTCCAGCAGCAGCTGGCCCTTCGTCCGCGCCACCGCCGTTGCGCCGCTTTTGCGAGTTCCTCAGCCGAGCAAGGATCTCCCTGCGCTTCTCGTCGGGCGCCTTGTCCTTAAGCGCCGCTGCAGCGGCGGCGGCGTGCTTGTTACCAAGCAGCTTCTCCGCTACGGACGCCAGCTTCGGCTTGCCGTCGTCTCCGGCCTCCTTGGGGCGCTCTGTGGCAGCCAGCATGCGCTCCGTGATGGTGGTCATGGGCAGCTTGGGCGCCACGCGCTGCAGCTGGTTGAGCTGCTTCTGCATGGCCTTGACGTTGTTTGACGTGGGCAAGATGGGGCCGCCCTTGTTTGGAGCAACCTGCAGAGCGCGGCAGGGGGCAGTGAGTAGTGGTCATACAAATGATGTGGAGGATTCTTGAAGGCGCATGGACTGAACGCACATGGATTGAACGTCACATGGACCAGGTTCTGGTCGTTGGGTGACCGCCCAGAACGCACCTTCTGCTGCGCCTGGTCGCCGCGCAGACCAAAGTTCTGAAGCGCCGCCTTCCACCCAGTGCTGACCGGCTTGCCCTGCTCGGCGCCCTTGCCGGCTCCATTGCCACTGACCCGTGGGCCGTGGTAGGGTTGGCCAACCGGCGTCTCGTCATCCTCGTCGTCCAGGAGAGTCTGTAAGGCGGAAGGGAGGATAGGGGTTGCAAAGTCAGGCCGGAAGTCGCTTGTGTAGCCAAGCACGAAGATCGGGTACCCCAAATAAAGAAACGCGGGTGTTAAGGCCGCTCGGCAGATCATGCCAAAACGTTTTGTCCAAGAATCCGGGCTCACCGCCACGTCAACAGTGCGCCTCTTAGTGCCCATGATCTGCTCTGGTGTCAGCACCGCCTTCTTGAACATCTTGCCATCCGTCACGATAGCACCCGTCTCAGGGTCGGCGGCATTGTCAAAGAGCATCATCTTGAGCAGCGACAGCTGGTTGCGGTTGCCCGGCTCCGACATGCATTTGAACCACCAGCGGTACGGCGCCTTGTAGAACTCCTTCACCACCTCCTCCCATGACGTCAGCACGCCCAGGTCCAGCTTGAAGAGACCGCGAATGAGGCCAAAGATTGCAGTGGCCACCTGGAAGGATCAATTAGGAGCAAAATACCCAAGGAAGCTTAGGAACGTCTGCCCATGTGCGCAAAAGGTCTGACGGGTAAGGTGCAGCGACGCTGAGACGAGGGCTGGATACAGCTGAGGGGGGCAGCTACAATAAGGCAGCGCACACGACTTACCGAGTAGAAGAGGGAGGTATCCAGCAGGATGATAATGACGAAAGGGGCTACACGCACAACTGCGAGCACCCAGTCACCGCCGATACAGGGCAGGGCGTGGAAGTAATAGGGGTCTTTCTTGGCGCACTCGAGCCAGTTCACCTTGAACGTTTGCTTCAGCTGCGAACGTTGGAGGCAACACAGGGAGGGCGACGAAAGGCTGAGGCAAAGGCTGTGTTAATGTTAACTGGCACATAGTGCGTGGCCTGGTATGCAAGCTGTGTGAAAACTAGCCCAGAGGCTGTTTAGCAGACAACCCTGCTGCCTTCGTCCCCAGTTTTCCCCAAACGCACCGGCTTGACCGACGGCGCGCAGATGAGGTAGTAGTCGAAAGGAATCTTCATGGCAAAGGCCGTGATCCAGAAGGCCGCGTCCAGGAAGAAGAGCTTGTACTTCATGCTCAGGGTGCCGCACAGCCAGTTGACCTGTTGAGAGGTGCGTCCAAGGGAGCAGGTCGTCAGTACGAGGAGGGGACAAGCCAGCAGTACGGTGGGGAATTGAGCTGCAGCGGTCGCGGGAGTGAAGCAGCCACTAGACGTGATGTCCTATTGCGTTGTGAAAGATGAAACCCTGACAAAAGACGCATGAGTCAAATCCAAGACTGCTGCTACTCACCGGGTCCGGCCGCGACGAGCTGGCCTTGAAGATGGGGCCCAAGTTGAGGGAGTGCGTGAGCGAAATCACGTAGCCGTCGCGCGTGGTGAGCAGGAAGTGCAGGAAGAAGGCACCCGAGTACGCGCCACTGAACAGCGGCCAGTAGTCATAGCAGAACTTCCGGAAGGGACCGTCGTACCACTGCAGGATGTACCTGGATAAGGATAAGGGATAGCGAGAGGACGGCGGGTTAGGTTTTGTCAGGGTAATTGTAGTTGCATGCAAGCTGTCAGGAGTAGTAGAAGCCTAGAAGAAGGTGTTGATTACGGACGGTTACCGGTACATGTACGTCAAGTTCTACGCGTGCGCAAACTTACCAGCCACAGACGAAGAAGGCCACGATGATCCACTCCACAAAGCCCAGGATGCCCAGGTAGGGGGCTCCCTCCAGCTCAATGACACGCACGGGCTGCATGCGCGTCTTCGCGTTGCCGATCGCCTTGGTCTCGCCAAAGCCCGCTGCACACGCCGCAGACACGTCCTGGATGTTGGCGCGCCGGGTGATCTTGAAGCGGCCCCTGCAAAGGGCAATCAATGCATGGCAAGTAGTTATTATAGTACATAACCCGCCCATGCAAGGTACCTATAATACGAACAAGCGGGTGGTAGGCACCTTTCAATTCAAAAGGCCGCCGAAGGTGCCCTATAGCATCACAGTAAAGCGTTAACACGAGGGCTCTGGAGTGCATGCTTTGCCACGACCATGTATTGCTTATACGAGTGCGACAGCAAAGCCAAGCACGCCAACCTACTTCCTGTCGAAGGTCTTCGCCATGTTTGTCTGGTGCGGCTCCGGCGGGTTACGCGTCATGTACCAGTTGGCGAAGCGCTCGAGGGCGTGGCAGAAGGCGTGCGTGATCACGCAGCTGCTGATGTAGCGCCAATCCCACCTGCGTTGGAGCACACCGGAGCACTTTAGATACAGCCCCAACAACCAGCCCTTTCACATACACTGGGCCCAGATGCCTTACACCATGGCAACAACACCCTATCACAACTTGGCATGCACGCGCGGCCGGAGGCTTGCATGTAACTCACCCGACGAACGCCTGCGCCTGCATGGCGTGGTACAGCACGAAGTGCGTGGTGTACACGCGGAAGAAGGCGCGGAAGCAGGCCAGCCAGGTACGGCGCTCGCGGTACGTCTTGACGAACACGTTGTTGCGCCACCAGTCCGCTGCGAGCTGCGGGTCGTAATTCACCTCCGCGCGGCCGCGCGCAAAGCCCAGCTGCGTCATGTTGGTGTACGCGTCGTTGACCTCGCCCTTCACAATCTGCTCCGTCCGGACGCGCAGGTCGCGCAGGCACAGCCGCACGATGCCCGTGTGCGCCATGCTCTCGTTGATGTCGTCGTACCTGCGTGAACAGAGACAGGGAGGAGTTCAGTACCGAACACTCGGCAGGCAACTGCGAAGCGCAATGAACGCCATTTGCCGTCGGATGTACCTACAGTAGCACCATTAACATAACGGTAACGCTGGTAGCAAACGTATAGGTAAGGTGGGCCTGACAAGGCGGACCCACCAGCATCTCGCCAAACCCTCCCCAAACCCCAACATACCCAAGGCGGTGCGCCACGTCCACGCCCATGTTCGACAGGTGGTCCACCTCGTAGCTGATGACGTAGAAGAGGGGCGTCACAATGCGCTCGTAGTAGAAGTTGCCATCGCCAAAGGCAATCAGGTCCGCCACCAGGATCCGCTGGTCCTCGGGCACGTCCGTGGTCTTCAGCCGCGACATGATGGGGCCCAGCCGGCCACAGTCCTCCGGCCGGTAGCGGTCCGGGAAGATGCCCAGCGCGTACTGCGTGTCCTTGATCAGCTCCTGGAACTTGTTGCGCAGCCCGATGCGCACCTCCCGGATGCTGGGGTAGTTCTCGGGCGGCGGGCGGTGCCACAGGTCGTGCATCACGTAGCTGCAGCCGACAAGGCGGAGAAAGAGGGCGAGAAAGAAACATAGAACGCGTTAGGTTAGGAAAAGCCGGAGGGGCCCAATGATGCCGGGGGCAGCAAGGCGGGTAAGTTAACACCAGAAAAGTCCGGAAAAGCGCCAGATGAAAGGACGTATCCGCAATCCGAGCCCGTTCCCTGCGACTTGACAGGAATTGTACAACCCTGAGAGGGTGCTTGGGACCGGCTTGCAGCATAGGCCACCAACCGTACCTGTGGTTCAAACACCAGTAGATGAACCACATGAGCTCCGGCGTGTGGCGCATGGACGAGGCCTCCGTGTAGATTAGGTAGAAGAGGGCCAGCTCCGTCAGCATGCCGCACACAACGGCTTCGTCGCAGAAGCCGGTGTTGTTGAGGATTTCCTGAAAGGCGCAACGAGGGGCGCAAACTTGGCATCAGTACTGATACCGCCTCGCATAGACATCCACCACAGCCGCAGCCACTGTACAATTGTGGACATATGGGATCATTCTGCCATGAAGCCGGTGACGACATGCGCCGTGGCTTTAAGCCATAATACACATTCACATTCCTTAGCACAGTCCCCAGCGGGTTTTCCGACGCCCTTCCTGCTGCAGAACCCAGAACCGCGGGCCACTTCCGCTCCCTTCCGGCCACTGCGAGGCATGCGCCGCACGAAAGCCCCCAACAAGGCCCCGCACGCATGCGGTGCCACTGGACATACAGCGTCGGACGTCGTTGGCCCTGGTTATCTCTCAGTTAGCAGCTCCAACCCAGATTGGCGCAGTAAGTGGTTTCCCTAGTCAGTTGCCGGTAACACCCACTTGAGCAGCAAACCCACCTGCATGGCCATGGGCCGGATGGACAGGCCGTGCATGTGCGTCCAGTACTCCTCGTAGGCGTAGAAGATCATGGTGTGCAGCTCAAACACCGCCTTCGCGAACCGCTCCTCCTGCCGCTCGTCGTCGCCCTTGTCACGTCGCATGAAGTAGTTCTTAATCAGCACCTGGACCAGGTGGTCGCTGGCTACAAAGATGGTAGCGGGCGTCCATTCCGCCTTGGGCCCCTGCATTCCGCCGTACAAGCGTCAGGCTATATGGCAGGTACGGAAGGGGACAGAGATGGGTATTGGCGGAGGCAACTAGACGCACCCGGTTCTTGGTTCGCGGGTTGATGTTGAACGCCTGGAATCCAAAGTTCCGCCCAACCCGCCACACAATGTTGTGCACCAGGTTTTCAAAGGAAAAGGTGTTAAGATTGGGCATGATGAAGGGGTTCTTGCGGTCTCGCTCCTTCTTCTTCTTAGCCGCCTTCTTTTTGACGACACCCGTTTCGAGGGTCCCGTCATCCCCTTCTTCCCCTGGAGTGGCAGGAGCCGCGTCCGCCTTGCCCGGCTTCGCTGACACCGGCTTCGCAGCAGGCGCTGCACCAGGGCGCCTCCATGCAGACTTGGCGCGTGGTTTGGGGGCCGCTGACAAGCCGCGAATAGCCGTCCTTGGCCGCGCCGCTGGCTTGGGTGCTTCGGGTGCGGGAGCGCTCCCCTCATGCGCTTGCAAAGGGGCTTGAGCAGGAGCTCCCCCGGCAAGCTCCGCCAAAGCGCTGTTCACACCAAGCGTAACGCGCCCGCTGGGGCCGTCAACAGCTGCAGGCACCTCCCCCTCATCCGCTAGCCACCCTGGAACACCACGGAGCAAACGGAGCATGGTTACGAACTGGGGTCGGGCAACGAGAGCGATGCAGAAACAACGGAAAGCTGCACTCGCTTACCTGCAACAAACGTCTTCCAGTCCGTAGCTGCGGGAGCTTGCGCTGCGTCCTCTGGTGCAGGCCCAAGTCGTAAAATCTCATCTCCCTTCGGCTTGGCACTTAAGAAGCTGATCGGCTTTTTCGGTGTTACAGGTCGAGGTTGACCGCTATCCTGTTGCTGCGGATTTAGGGTCGGCTGTTCTGCGAACGAAGGCTGCCCAAGAATGCTTCTCAAGTTGCCCCAGACTGAACCCTGAGCCTCCCCATCTCCAGATGGAGAAGGCCCAGTAGCGAAATGAACTGGCATAACCTAAATTGGTGGGTCTCCAGTTCGATAGCCACCTATCTGAAAGCACATGGCTAGAGCGGCACCTCACTAACGCAGTCAGAAGCCCGCAGACTAAGCTTTGCGGTGATCCGTAAGTCCTCAAATGCTTGCTGCTAGCTTAGCCTCCGCTTTCTTTCGTGTAGTACACGCGACGTTGAGGTCCAAGCTCCACGCCCAGTTACCAACGTGCGCACAGGTCTACCCAAAGCGATACGTCCCGATATGTTAAGCTGTAGGCAGGAACCAGGTGTTCCTCCTAGCGCCGGTTGCGAGCAGGATTCATGCCCACTCCACCCCAACTTCTAGAGAACCACCTCCGAAGTGTAAGAAACATTAAACTAGTAAATGTTGTTTCTGTGGTAGATGGAGAAGGTTTGTTGGTCTTGCAAGGGTAAGGAACTGTGCGCGCAGCTGGACTCTCAGCTTGTCTTAGGACCCTAAACTGTGTGGCTGATAAAAGCAGTGTAGTATGGACTAAGTGAGTAAACGAAAAATACCTACTGGAGCAGTGAAGACACGTAGTTGTTCTGTTCCGGGAAAACTCGCTGAAACCCGTCCGACGTACGGACTACCTACTAAGATATAACCCTTGATGCCATCGAACGTGTTGGTATGTGTAGACGAGCTCTATATGAATTACAAATCGTGATGACCATGTCCATTAGTAGATCTGCATAGATTGGGATAGGCAGGCCATCATGCAAGCAACTGTCCTGTCGTTCAGGACAGTGTTTGCCATGGAGACCATGAAACGCAACACGAAGGATGAAAAACAAACTGCCTTCCTAATTCCCGTGTCCATCCTTAAAAACCAGGTTATACCCAGCGGTTGGCTTACTGTGACGTACGAGGCTTCTCGGTCCAACTCCATTTTACCTTTCCCAAGGGTAAACGATGAAGTTTGCCACCATCTAATTGCATCCAGTCAAAACAGGACAGGTTTTGCTTTTAGTGTGATAAACCATAGTCCGGTTGCCAACCAACAACTCCCAGATAACGCTGACAGCCCCCTGTAGAGGGGTACACAGCGCCCTGACATTGCGGCTGCGGCCTGCATCCTCACCGATAACTAGCGTGGAGTGTCGCAGTCGTCTGTGGAGCTCTTGTCTCCTTTGGCACCTTACGCATTTTGGTGGGGGAAGTTGCCAAACCCAAAGTTTGTGCACGAAGCTTCGCAGCTCCACTATTACAATGTTGAACGCACCAGACATACAGGCACCGCCGCGATCAGGAGTCCTGAGGCTCCTTGAGTATATACTTGCCATAAGGGAAGGGCACCTGCCTGTCCAACGAAACGATCCCTTGAGGAACAAATCACCGGTAGCAAGGGCCAGCGACGGGCCAGAACTCAACATGCAATGATGCACCATATGCCACTGCCCCTTGCATGTGCCTCATGGCAGTGGTGCGACTGCCGCTAAGACAAGGCCACACCATGCCGCTCGCAAAAGCCACCACCGCCGGTGTGCTGCTGCCAGGCCATATCGCCCGCCCTCAGCAGCGGCCCCACGGCAGTATTGTCGATAGCTTGCAGAGGTTAGGTCCAGTCCGTTGCCTTGGACCAGTCCGTAGTAGGTGCATCCGCGAGAAGTATCGCTGCCACCGCTGCTATGCAGGCCGTGTACGCCACAGTCAAGGCCAGCACTGCATGTCCGGGCGCTGCTAGCCGCTGACTTTATTGGCCCATAGCAGCAACCCGCTAGGCGTGTCGTTAGGTGGTGACCCAACTCTTGCAAGTCCAAATCCCATGTGGCTTCTGCCAAAGGGTCGCATGCCCAGTCCTCAGCTGTGTCTCCGACGGCGGCCTCTGCCTGGTCCTCAACTTTTCGGCCTCTTGCCTGACACTGCTCCCAGCCCTCTTTGTCCCCAACACTGCAAGCCCCGCTGCTGCCATGAGCAAGCTTTGCGCTGATATCCGACCCGGGGTGTGCGATAGCAGATGAGTAAGATGGCACAGGCCCTCGTATCGAGGCCACGCAAGCAGACCCATTTGGCATATGGGCGCCTGCTTCCGCGGCGGCAGCCTCTGCCTCCTGAGAAACCGCCACGAACCTGCATGGGATGGGCTACAATTAGAACCTACAATCCGAGGCGAAATGTCGTAGTTGCTAGTCGGGTTTCCTATGCCCAGTCTTTGCCTGCGTACCTGGCGTATCGACGGCGCATGTTCGCGCGCTTGCGCGACACTCGCTGCCACGCCGTTAGAAGGCGTCGCCGCATCCCATATGCTAAGCTACTTGCAGCTGCAGCCACCCTTGCGTCCTCCGCAGCAGCCCTGGCATGCACGGATTTGAGTAAGCAATGAAGCACCTCCCTGTACGTACGCACCCAAGGGAGACGGGTCACAACGACAAGCTTGCTGGTCATACCTCGCGTCTAAGAAGTGACGGACGGCGTCGCAAATGACGGCGGCAGCATCCGCTCGTCGTGCGCGCCAGGCCCTCATGGCCGCATATGCATCAGAGGCCGCCGTTGCTTGTACAGCACCATCGCCGCTGCTGGCATTCCTAAACTTCGGCATCTTCCCGCCACTTGCGTGCCTCATATTGGCATTCACAGCACCACCGCCAGAGGGCTCCTCGGTCCAGGTTTTCCTACTACATGTCCCAAGAGTGTCCGCGACCGGGCCTACATCCCGGCCGTCTAGGGCTTTACTTGGAGCATGCGCCGTGGCGCGCCCACAGCACATCCCATTGATTGCTGCTGTCCCGGGTCCAGATGCTTTGGCTGCGGCACCGCCTAGACCTCCTGGGGCCTCTGCGATAGCGAACACCTCTCCACAGGGTGTGCCGGTGGGCTGGACTACCGATGACGTGGCTACAGGAACGTGAGTGGCCACACGCATGTCAGCTAGCCTTGCGGATTCCGCCAGAGTGTCGGGTACAGCGTTGTGGCCGCGGCTCCGAAGCAGCGCTGCCAATCGCTCCCGTCGCTGCATCACCCTGTCCACCGCTGGAAAGGTGGCCACGCCAAGCCCGCTGCCATCATGTTCTCCCGGCAGACAGGCCTTGTTCCCATGGCCGTCGTGAGAGCAGCTACGGTCAGAGGTAGATAGGCCCGAGCCCTGCGCAGACGCGGGCACGCCATGTGGACTGTCCCACTGTACAGCGGCGCATTGCTCACGGCCGCCCTTGTTGCCGGGCAGTGAGTCTGGGAGGCAAGGTGGCTGCACAGCTTCACCGCTTCGTGGGTTGGGAAGCGCGGCATGCATGCCCTCGGCAACCGTCTCCGCCCCAGTTGAGGCCACTGCAGCTGGTGCCGTTTCTACGCCGCGTCCTGCCGCCTGCAATTCGTTCACCTGACAGGGAACAGCTGCCGGCTCCGCTTGCGCAAGGGCGGTGGAACAGCCCTTACGCAAGGCTGCAACCCCTGACGACGCTGCAGAGGGCTCAGCGGTGGCAGATGCACGTAGATTACAAGCAGAACCCGTGGCAGCCGTTCCTCGCCCAGCACGTCCTCGATCACTTCTCCGACTGTTGGCGACCGCTGGGCCTCCAGCTGCCTGGCGCGGCTCCGGCCGCGTCAGTATGGACATGGCCGCCGCTGCTGCTAGCTCGCCCAACGCTCGTGCAACCGCTCCAGCCACCGCACTTTCATCAGCACCACCACCACCACCGCTGTCGCAGGGCGCAGCGTTCTCAGCATCCATGCATGCGCCTCCCCGACCCGTTCGCTGCCGTTGCTGCGGCTGGGGCAGCTGCCTCTCCACACGCCCATCTTCCACTCTGCGATGACTGGCCACGGAAGGAGAATGGCGTGCGCTAGATGCGGGCGGCTCCCGGCTGAAAGGCCCACGCCAAGGAGGGCGGACAATAGCGCCGTCTGCTGATGCGGGGTTCTTGGAGCTTGCCACGACCCGCTCCTGCCTAGAGTTAGACGGTACCTGGACCGGCGACGCGCGAACTCCGCTGGTCCCGACTATGCACGATACGGGTGCAGTACCTGGTCTGCTGCTGATCTGTTGTTGAGGGTATGCTTTAGGCTGGTGGGCCCTTGTCAAGGAGGCATCCCTACCTCCGCTGTCGCATCCACCGGGCCCTGCGGAGAAAAGGGTTTGTGTAAGGATGGGTTTGCGCCGCGGGCGTTCAATAGCAACCGCTTGCACCTTCATGTTAAAGGAGGGCGCTAAGCATCGTTTTCGGTATCCATTCCCTGGCATGTTTGCACTGAAGTTTGCTTACCCCATAGCGGTAGTTCGGGTGGCTTGCCCTGTTGTTGACTACGTTGGTCACCTTGCTGTCGGTTGCCCCTGCTGGGCCCCGAAAGTGGCTGCCCAGCTACTTGAGCCTGCGAGACTGCACTTGCATGGCGAAGCTTTGCAGACTCCAGGAGCGCCAGAAGCCGGCGGTGGGCCTGGTATTTGTGCAGGCACCGATAGCGTATTAAGTATTCCGTGATGACTGCATGATACAAGGGAAGCGAACGGAACACCAACTACCGGTACACACCAGCAGTTCCTGTCGTAGCTGCGCAAGGCCCTCTGTAGGCAGAACATCTTGCAGCTGCTCGTCCTGTAGGACAAGGCGACTCGTCATTCCGTCAGCCACAGAGTGTTTGACAGTGCGCGTCCCGCATCAGAGCCTCAATTCCTTTTGCCACCAATCAGCTCAGATTTAGGCTAGTCATGCACCGCTTGCATTCTTATGCAAATTAATGGCATAGATGGCCTGCCTCAATGCAGCGTATGCGTGCTGGGGCTATGGAGCTGTCGTTCTGTAATTCAAGTCCCGTCAGCCAAATACTTATGAAATTACCAAACTTGAGGTTGACAAACATACTTCTATGTAAATATTACGTTGGTATAGCACTACACGTATGGAAAGTAAGGCAACGCCGGTTAGTACGCACCAACCGTAATCTACATTGATCCAGCTGGAGTGGATTTCCCAGGCCCTTCTCTGACCTTCATAGTCGCCAAGGCATAGGTATATTACGTTCTTGCCTATTAGGCGGGCTGTCCTACTCCCAAGCCTCTAAATGTGGCAACCCATTAGCCATCGATCTTACCACAGAGGCATGCTGTCACCTTAACATGAAGCCATAACCATGTTGGATGTACTATTTTCCTCTTGACGTCCTGGGAAGTGGCGCACGATTCTCCTGCGTGAGGCCTTTTTGCTGTCCGAGGCGCCATGCCTCCAAGGCAGCGTACAACCGCAACTGAGCCAGTGCCACAAGTTGTGGCTAGTAAACTGGCAGAGCTTCAGGCTCGTGGCATCGTCGCCCCGCTTTCAACGGCAGCTTCTGACCGAAACTCGACGACCATTTTACGCCCGGCTGCAAAAGCCATTGGAGTGGTTATCCCGGCTTACCTTAGCATTGAGGAGCTATGTGTAAAGTCAGGTAGGTGATTCAGTTCATGAGGACAAAGCATGCGACACGAGGCGTGACTATTTTGACACAAGTCGCACGTGGGCCCGCACGTGACCGCTCGGCAAACGTCCCCTGTGCCCATTCCCGTGAGCAGGCGGGCCCTTAGCCTACGTTCCCAAACGGCATTGCCATGCCAAGGCCTAAGCAAATCTCCCCCCTCCGTACAGGCATCAATGCCCTTCGGGAGGTGGCCTTGCCTCTGGTCCCCATTCCACTGCCTTCCAAGATGCAAGTGGCTATGGTGGCCGCACAACACGAACTAACCGCTGACACCAACATCGGCGGAGCTACCAGCAACGGGGATGCCGCCGTCGCCCCACCTGCCGACAGCGCGCTTCCGGCTAAGCTCCAACCCCGACACGAGGCTTCGAAGCATGGAGGCGACCGGGTCACCGCACCTCCGACCGCTGATCCCGCCACTGTGGCAGCGGCGGCGGAGGCCGCGGTGGCGGCGATAATGGGGTTAAAACGTGATGTACCCCGCATGCAAGGCGCGGATCCGCAGTCCGCAGGCGGCACTGCTGCCCCGCAAATGCCACCGCGAGCGCCGCCGCCTGGCTTCAGCACGGCTCCTTCACCAAGTGGCGCAGCAGGCTTGCCCCAGCAAGCCAAAGCAGGTCCGCCTACGTCGGTCAGAAGCGCTGGCGGCGCGATAACGGCTTTCGCTCCGGAGGGGCGGCCGGGAGCTCCGGCGGATCCTCAGGCGCCCCGCCCCAGTAGTGTCCCGATGCGTCCGCCTCCGACCTTGGGCGCCGTAGCTGTCCCGAGCAGCAGCAATGGCGGCGGTGCGCAGCTACCACCCCCGACACCGCCTAACCCGCCGCCGCAGGTGCCCGCTGGCGCGTCAAACACCCCTCCACCCGCGCCCGCTTCCAGCACTGTTGCAGCGTCGCAGGCGCGGTACTCGGTGCCTCCACTGGTCGACGTGTCGCAGCAAAAGGCCGCGTCTCAAACCCGGCACGCGCACTCGCTACCAGGTGCCACGGCTCCGCAATCTTTCCCACCTGCCAGGGCTGCTCAGCCGACAGAACACCAATCCCTTGGCGGCATCATGCCACCACCGTTTTACATGACAACACAGCAAGAGCTGCCATCCTATCCGTCCGGACCGTACGCTTGGCAGTATAACCAGTACAACCCGTACGCCATGCAGGCCTCCCAGCTGTATCAGGCGCAAATTCACCAGAGCGCTTGGTTCCCCCAGCCCCAGTATCCATCCTACGATTTACAGCAAGGGGAAGTGGGTCACCTGCGGCAATCGGCTCAGGTGCAACAGGGCCCGCAGGCGCCGCCGCCGCAGCAGCCAGCCGGGCCTCCTCGACCAGCACTGCTGCCGCCGTCATTGGCGCCCGTCAGCCTCATGTTCGGGCCCCCAAGGGGCCATGCAATCTTGGTAGGTGCGCGCTTCGGCTCCTGTTAAAGCAGCAGCAGGGGCTCATCACTGTAGCCATGCGTGTTCTAGCGGATTTGGCCGTGCTTGTGATGTAAGGTGTCTTGACACTTCACAACTTATTGTAGCCCACCGCAACGCCGCCTCTGCTGCCCCTGCCACCCTGCTGCCGCCACCAGGCTGCGCTTCGCCGCGCGCTGATCGCTGCCTTCACCCGCCAACCGGAGCTGTTCCGCTCAATCTTCGGTTTTGACCTCCAGTGGTGGAGCCGCACACGCGGAAAGCCGCTCGGCGAGGGTAAGAACAGTCAATGATGTAGGAGCTCTTATTGGCCATCCTGGGATTACGAGGTTGTAAGGGACTGTTGCAGGCGGTTGCCCTTCATGAGCACCCGTCGTTTAAGGTGCAGCGAGGAGGCTTTCAGCCCATGCACGGGTCCATGACGTAGACTCAGATATAGGCCATGCACGCCCTCCTCAACCAGCCCCCCTTCTTTCCATCCTTCCTCCACCTCCAGACGACCTGCTGACAGTCATTCCCTGGAGCGACTACGCCACCGTGTTGGTCCGGGGCGACCCGGGTGCCGCGCCCGCCCTGTCCGGGCCCTCACGTCCCGGCCGCCGGCGCCGGCGCCTGCTGCTGAACCAGGTGCTCAGCGGGCTGCTGGGGCGCCGGGTGTACGGCAACGCGCTGCTGTTGCGGCTGCGGCTGGTGAGTCGATCGCGTCCTGAGGGTACCGTACGGTTCTGGAAGGCTTGCGGGGGAACACATACCGGCACGGGTAGCGTGATATTGCATGGCTCCTGTGTAAGTGCTCACTGGTTTGTACCCACTTGTCGTCCAGGAATTCGGGGCTGGCGACTCCGCTGTGGGGCCTGTGGTCGGCAGCATCAGCGGCGGCAGCACCGCAGATGTCCCCGGCAGCGGCGAGTGCGACCACCTGCTGTGTGCGCCGCTGAACGCCGTGGGGCTGCGGGAGTTGATGCTCAGGGCAGAGACGTTGGCATGGCACGTCGGGCATTGCAGGTGAGCTGCAAAGGAAACGATAGCGAAAGGAAACCATTACTGGCTAGGGTGTGTGTACCGGTAGTAGGGGATATGCTGGTATCGGAGACATTCTAGGTCGCTAGCCTCTTCAATCTTCGGCTGTCCTGTCCTGCTCTCTTGTGCCCGATCGCGCAGTGCCGCCCTCAAGGGTATGAACCTGACGCCGGAGGCCCAGGTGGGTTGGCTGGCTAGGCTGCCGCGCACTCCGTTGGATGAGCGCGGCGACCCTGACGTGGCGGCGGCGCTGCAGCTGGCGGCAGATGCGGCGGGGCTGCCGCCGCTGCCGCCCGCGCGGGCGGCGGCGCTGGTCGCGGCTGCTGGCGCCGCGGCAAATGAAGACGATGACAATGATACCACGGATTCTGAAAGCGAGGAGGACAGCATTGGGGAAGAAACGAGCGACCGAGGCGGACGGACACAGGCGAAGCGACCGGGCCGGGGCGGTGGCAAGGAAGGGGAAGCGAATGCTCCTGCAGGTGCAGCGGGGTCACTGGCGGGGGTGGATGGCGGCGGCGCAGGCGCTGTGCCGGCGGCCCTGGCGCCGCTACTGCGCTGTGTGCGGTGCAGCAGCCCCTGGTGCAACCCCGCGGCGGCCAGCGGTAGGCGAGCCGGCGGCGGACGCAGGAGCTGCCCGTTCGGGCACGTCTGGAGGTGCGCGGTTAATCGTGCATACATGGTCTGCGCTTTTTATGTTGGTCTGTGGTACCGGTATGTGGTCAAACGGATGAAGCGCCTGCTAGGAAGCCTCCGTGTGCATGTTTAGTATCGCTGTATCGGTAGTCGTTGACGACTCCTTGCCATCCTACCTGCCTGACTCCGCAGGAGTTTGGACCTGGACACATCCGGCACGGCCCCGACTCCCATCCTCAACGCAGCCCGCCCTGCCGTGCTTGGGCCCGCTTCCCTCACATCCAGCCTCTCCACGACGACCCATGGGTCGGGAGGCCTTGGATCGGGTGCAGCAGCTGGCAGGGCACTGCAGCCCTCCGCCTGCGCCTCCCTCGTGGCCTACCTGGGCGACCCCTCGCTGTGGAGCCCGGGGCTCATGGAGCTGGTGGCGGCGGCGGTGGAGGGCAGCGTGGACGAAGCGGCGGCAGCCCTGGCGGCGGAGGCAGCCACGGAGGCACTCACGGTGGGTACGGTCGCTCCCGTACGGCTCACCTGGTTAGTAAAACTCTGACTGCGTAAGAGCGCCCCCCCTGCACCGTGGTATACCGTATGATGTTGGGCTGAAAAGCCAGCTGCTCGGCTGCTGTACAGGGTCTGGCGGTAGGTCAAGCCAACGCGGAGGACAGCCGCCAGTCGCCACAGACAGCGGCGGTTGCTTCCAGCGAGGAAGGCGGAGAGTGTGAGGACGGAGGCAGAGAGGGCTCACGGTTAGCCGACACGGAGGCGAAGGTGGCGGTGGGGGTAACGGAGCAAAGTAGCTCTGAGCGCCGGGAGCTGGATGAGGCGGATGCTGCCCGAGAGGCTATGTACGCTGCTGCTGCGGCCGCTGTACAACCGAATAGGTGGCCTTACTACCTGAGCTACTGCCAGATGGTGGGTGCGCTGGGTGCGTACTGTTGGCTAGTGAGAGGGCATTTCAACCATCATACTGCTGTGCCTTGGCAGAGAGCAGCAACTCGCCGTACCGCGTCACAGCTTTATGTCTTGTCCCGCCGCTCCTGCCTTGCCACAACTGCTACCTCGCAGGGAGCCCAGTGTCCTAACTGCCACAGCTGCCATGAGCTGCAGCTAGCGGCGGTGGCGCAGCGGCTGCGAAACAGGTGCGAGAGGGGGGTCCGATTAGGAAGGCGGACGGGCTCGTCACATGCGGAAGGGAGGAGTTGCGGGAGGAGTTGCTTGCGCCCCGGAGGCCAAGGAGCACAGCGCTGCCTAGGACCGTCTTGTGAGTTTCCCCCTTAACAGCTGCAGCCTAAACGGCGTGCAGTACACCATTTACCATCTATCCATCTTTCCCGTGCCCTCCTCCTGCGGTATGTTCCTACGCATGCTCGTTGCAGGACACGTCCAAGTAGTGCCCGGACGTCTCTAGCACCAGGCAGCGCAGCAGCAGCTGCGGCTGAGGACGGCAGCCGCCCGGGTTTTAGGGCGCTGGCGGAGCTGGATGGGGACCCGTACGACATTGAGTTGCAGATTGCGGAGCTGCAGGCCAAGGCGCTCCGGCGTAAGCAGCAGGCGAGCAGGAAGGCGGCTGCCCGCCTGCCGAATGGAGCCGCTGCTGCCGGTGGAGCAGAGCCGGCGGAGGGAGCAGCAGCGGTACACACTGCCAGAGTCAACGCTGCGCCTCAACCCGAAGTCGGTGCTGTAGTGGCTATTGTTGCTGGGGCTGCGCCAGCTGGGGGGCATGTCGCGGCGGTTGAAGCTGCCGCAGCGTCCACCGCACCTGTTGCTGCTGCTGCAGAGAAGCTCAATTGGGCTGATGACGCGGAGGATGCGGAGAAAGAACAGGCGGCAGCCGCCGCGGCCGCTGCTGCAGCTGCGGTTGCAGCCGTTGCCGCCGCTGCGCTTCGACCCGCGGCATCGCGCGTCCCGCCAGCTGCTGCTGCGGCATTGGCGCTACAGCACACAACTCTCATCAAGCCCGCTTCGCAGCAGCGCATGCAGCGACCCCCGCCACCTCCTTACCCGCCGCCGCCGCCGCAACACCCGCCACCGCCGCCGCAGCACCCTCAGCCGGAGTGCGCAGCGCGGAGCAGGCCCCGTGCACCGCTCTTCTGCATGGCAGCACCTGCACCCGCCGCTCACAGCACCCCCACGGCCCACGGCGGGGCTCCTGTGTCCTCCGCGCATGGCAGCCATCCAGCCCAGCGCGGTGGCGAGGGTGCGCGATGCGACGCCCGGCCCCTACCAGAGCTGCCGGACCATTTGGATGACGAGTTCATGTTGATTACCGGTACGGCCGCTCCTGCTCCGAATGGGAGCGCGGAGGCGCCTGCGAGCGCTGCAGACACAGATGCTGGTAGCGATGCCGCCGTTGCTGTCGCTACTACGGTTGGGGCATGCATACCCGATCGCGCAGCGGTGGCGGCATCCTTGGTGGCCAAATCGCGCAACGGAGTGTACGTGCCGCCACATCTGAGGTCGGCAGCTGAGTCGGCAGAGGCGCAGGCAGAAGCGAAGGCGGAGGCAGCAGGCGGCGCGGCAGCAGCCAGCAATGCAGCGGCGGAGACCGCTGAAGTGGTGGCTACAGCACCGGCAGCAGGCGATGGCTTGCTGGCGGAGGGCCTTCAGTTGGGGGGTTCGCAGGCGGATGTCCAGGCCAACACGGTGGGGCAGGATGGGACGCGCGAGCAGGCTAAAGGCGGAGACAGCAGGGCGCCCGAAGCCGCGTCGCAGGCGGCATCGCAAACGGCACCTCCGCATTACCCCTTGCAAGGAGCGGCTGTGCCAATCCCCGTTCCGGTCCCGGTCCCCTTGGCGCCGTCGCCGCCAGCTGCTGCGGTGGTCCAGCAGCAACAGGATGGAGCGCAGCAGTCACTTGCGCAGTCCCAGGGCCCGCAGCAGCAGCTCCCGAGCTTCCTGCAGCCGGTTCCGTCCCAAACGCCATACAGCGGCTTGGGCATGCACAATCAGCAAACCGGACCCCGCATGCCGGCGCCGCAACAGCAAGGCACCCCCGTGCAAGGCCTTGCTGTCACCGCTGGCAGTGGTGCTAGGGGCCAGGACAACGCCGATGACGAAGATGTTGGTGATTTGCTGTCTTTGTTGGTGCCGTCAGCAGCGGCGACAGCGGCAGGGCAACTCGCGAGCCACTTGGAAACATTGGCGGGCCCATCCACGACGGTACAACATCCGCCAAGCGGCATGTACGGCAGCATGACGCCGATGTCGTCAGCGCCTGTCGCACCAGCGTCTGCAATGGCTGCTGCTGCTGCTGTTCCGGCGTCGGGAATCTGGTCCTTACCGCTATTACCAACAAACCAGGGGTCGCACTTGCAGGTGCCAGTACCGCATCCGGCCCTGCCATACCAGCAAAACGAGGTGACGTGGCCGGGCTTGCCGTACCCGCAGCCATTGTCTGGCCAGTTCCCGCTGCATAGCTTTGGTGTTCCACAGCCGCCGCCGCCGCCTCAGCAGCAACAAGCGCATGGGTTTCCGTTCGGGCCCTGGGGGATGGGGTATGGCGAGGGTACGGCTCCCTCTAACTCGTTTGGCGCAGCAGCCCTTCCGGGATTGCAACAACCGCAGCTGCTGCAGCCGTACAGCTACACAGCGGGACCACTCAATTACAGCATGGGTTTGCACGGGTTGTAGCTTGTAGGATGTTCAGTTGTTGCGCTTTGGGTGCTGAGCCTCTTCAGCATAGTTGCAAGGTGCCTGGCTTACTACTAAAAGTTCTATGCAGTGCAGCGCGGATGTGCTCCTGTCTTTAATGAAATTTCTGGTTGAGTGCGTGTGGTGCAGGATGGTCAGGCGGGTGTGCTAATGAAGCATTACTGCAGGATGGTCCGGCTTTAGGACTGCCGGGATAACCAGCATTGTCGGAAGTGCCGGTGTTACGGCTTGGTGGCGCAGCTCAGCAAGCATAGACCTGACCCAGTGTTGTTGCAGGATTCAGACGTCATTGTGATGGTTTGCGTTACTGCCCAGGAGCTGACAGCTTTGTGGAAGGGCCAAACGGGCCTATGCTGAGGTATACACCTCATGGCGGTACGGCACGTCTGCTACGGCGACTATGTGTGATAAGTGCACGGAATGGACCTTGAGGTGCCGCCTTGTGATGTTGGTTGCAGTCTGGTCTGGCAGGCTGAGGACAGGGCGGGATCCCTACGCATGTAGATGTGGGGGCGTTGCATGCATGTAGCACCCTGTGCAGCGGGGACTGGTCGGCAATGCTGCGGCCATATCTCTTTTTTACGACGACCCGCCGTTGGGGCAAGCAAGCTGGTTGCTGCCCGGATACTAAGATCATGCTGGCTACGATTCCGTGTATGCATCCGGCCAACCAGGGCTGCAGCACACGAGTCGGCGCTGCGGGGCCCACGCTGCATGCATGCAGTAGGTCCAGCGTCCAGGCCTAGGCAACGTGCAGTAATAGCAATTGCCGGAAAGGACGGCAGAGAGCAAAAGCAGGATGGGGCATACCGTGTTGCACCCAGGAGCCCTAGAGCGAGCGCCGAGGAACGGTAACCATTTTAGTTTCACATCGCATGCTCCATGGGACATAAAATTTGTTAACCGCGCCTTTCCAACAAGATAACAAAGCAACGTTGCTGCGACTGCCACAACTACTTCTAATCCCATGGATACTTAAAAGAGGCCTTGGGCACCTTGCAGACGTTGTACGGGCCCCAATTGCCGATGCGGGGAAAGTGTTGATCAGTAAACCAGAATGTGGTTACCGTCTGGCCTGCCTGTCCTAATTGAGTATAGATAGCAAAGAGTGCCCTATATAAGGCACCCGATGGGGTCCGTCCGCGAGTATGGGGCAGCTATATTCAGTCCTGGATTAGCAGATGTACTTCTCGTAAAACAAAATGAGGATACCGGCTGGTCGTTTCCTTTTACAAGCACGACTGAGAGCAATGTGCATGTTGTAGCTGCAGCGTCTGCCGTGAGGCAGCTGCTTGGGATCGACATCGGGGACAGAATTGACAGGTCTTACTGGATAGAGGTAAGCATGCGGTTATGCCGATCATGAGGGTTTGCCGAAGATTGCATTTTCCTGGGCACAGGGTACCGTGTCATTTGCCCTGTCAGGTATAGCTTAACAAAAGTTTCAATATATGTCCAAGTAGAGTTTGTTTATCCTATTACTGAACGGGTCTGGAGAGTACACAGCGGCCATGCCGACTAGACTTCCTTTCAGAACACCCTCACCCCCACTCCCTAAGCAATCCACTGCCTACCCTGTTCTCCCTCTCCATCCAGCACGCCATTGCCCGTCTCATGCCTCACTAACCCTCCCCATGCCCCATCGCCTGCCACCTGCACAGGTGGAGTACCCCCAAAGCGGCGCGCTGGTTCGCCTGTACGTCGCTCTGGGCGTTCGCCCCGATTCCGTGACCCCACGTTGCGCGCCCGGATCCGTTGCCCAGTGGCACCCGCTGCGCAGCATCCTGCCGCCCGTGAATGCCATCCTGCGGGCGGACAGCGCCGCGGCTGCCGCTGCGGATGAGGACGCGGGCGGGGAGCTGCTGCTAGAGCCGGGAGTGGCGCCCTTCCTGGCAAAGCTGAAGGCGCTACTGGACAAGTAGGGGGAACTGGGAAGGGTTGGAGAAGGGTTGCTGGTGCCGGTTATAGACCCTTTGCCATACAGTCTCTCCTTGTCCCGGTGCCTACGCCTTCCTGGTTTTCCGGCTTACATCCTCGCTCCCCACCTTTCTACCTCTGCCGTTCCAGGCACCCCGAGTGGCGCATCTCCCAGCTGGACCCGCACCTCACCCGCCTCATACTGGAGGCCATCACACTCCCACCGCAGCAGCAGCAGCAGCAACAACAACAACAACTCCGGCAGCAGGAGCAACCCCAGCAGCAGCTGCAGGTCGAACCTGCACAACCACAGCAGCATCAGCAGCAGCAACAGCAGCAGCAACAGCCACCCGCCGAGCAGGCCGCAGACCAGAAGCAATCCCAGCCGCAGCAATCCGCGGAGGTTGCCGCAGACGTGCGAGCAGGCGATGCATCGCAGCAGCAACCTCAGCAGCAGGAAGAACAACCACAACACCTGCAGGAACCGCAGCAGCAGCAGCAGGAAGAGGAGGTGCCAGAAGGGGTTCGCCAGGAGGGCGCGGACGGGGCCGCACCCTCGCTGCATGATGAGGACCCGCCACCGCTAGCTGCCCCCGAGCAGCAGCAGCAGCAGATTGAGCCCCAGCAGCAGCAGGCCGAGGACGGCTCGGGCCCTGCTGCGGGCGCCCCCCAGGCGGGCAACCCGGGGCTGCTGCCGGCGGGAGTGGTGGTTAAGGAGGAGCAGACAGATGAGGGCGAGGGGGCGCTGCAGCCCGGGCCGCTGGGGCCGCTGCCGCAGGCTATGGATACGGCTCAGGAGGGGCAGCAGCAGCAGGAGGAGCAAACGGAGGCGAAGCAGGAGCAGGCGGAGCAGCAGGGGCAAGCGGGGTGGCAGGAGCAAGCGGAGCAGCAGGGGCAGGAAGGGTGGCAGGAGCAGCAGGATCAGGAAGAGCGGCAGGAACAGGCAGAGCAGCAGGAGCAGGCGGAGCAGCAGGAGCAAATGGAGCAGGAACAACAGGAGCAGGAGCCGCAACCAGGTATGGATCAGCTGCAAGGGGAAGAAGGAGAGGGGCCAGGGGTGCCTCAGGTTGACGAGGAAGGGTTGGCGGGCGGGGAAGCCAGCCCAGGCGGAGAAGAAGCACCCGCACCAGCAGAATCCCCAGCAGCAGCAGCAGCGGGGGCGGAGGGAGAGGTCGGTGAGGACGGGGTAGCCACTGGGGACGGTGCTGAGCAGGGCGGGGGCGGTGGATTGCTGGTGGATTGCAACATCAGCGGCGGCGCTGACGGCAACGGAGGTGACCTTGGTGCCGCCGCTGAGGGCGGCGAGGGCGGCAGCGGGTGGCGGGGTCCCCGGCCGCAGGAGCACCTGCTGGAGTGGTGCCGCATCAACCAGGTGGGGGGAGAGGGGTCAGAACGGGGAGGAAGCAGGGTGCAGCAGGCAGGTGGCAACTGGTGATAAGGCTGTGTGTTGGTGTACCGGTTGCTGCTGCGGTCCCGCTGCCCACACGCACCTGCATGCCTCACCTGCAACCCCGGCTCTCCGCACGCCACCAGCTCTCCAACCCTGCTCCCCCCTCCCCTCCCCTCTCCCCGCTCCCCCTCCAGTTCCCCGATCCTTGCTACAGCCTGGTGGTCAAGAAGTTCGCTCGGCGGCCGCTGGTGACTGCCTCCTGCATCCTGCCGCACCTGGGGGTGCAGATCACACCCGACCTGCACGTGCCGGGCGGCATGGCGGCGGCCTGCCAGGTGGGGAGGAACCCGCGTAAGGAGGCAGTTCACTAGCCATGTGACAAGGCTGACTGAGGGAGGTCGGCGGATAATGGTTAAACGCCACGCTAACTGCTGGCGGTGGATGCCAGTCCTGACCTGCCTGGGACCATGCAGTCCATGCTGCCAGCGACAGGGCCGCTCAGCAGGCCCTGGTACAGCGTCCATGCCCCCGAAGCCCCAGCACCATCTCCCCGCTCTTCCCACTTCCAACCTCACCATCTACCCAGTATGCTCCACATCACACCCGCTTTCCATTCTCTAGCCCCTTCCGCCCCCTGCCCGCCCACCCTGTGGTTTGGTTCTTCCCCAACACCCAACCCCATGCGCCCCTCCCCCCTCCCCCCGCCCCTCAGGCTGCCGCGCTGGCTGCCATTCTGTGGCTGGAGGGCGGGCTGCCCGCGGACGGCGGCGAGGTGGTGCGGGTGGTGCCGGTGGGCTGGCCGCCGCTGCTGTCGGAGGCGCGTGGGGAGAGCTGGGAGGCGGCGCAGCGGGCACGCAGGGCGGGTGCGCGGAGGGAGCTGGACTCGGCGCAGAGGGTGGGTGGCGGGGAGCGAGGGCGGGGGTTGCGGGGTGTTGGGGGAGGGAGCGAGGTGGGCTAGGGATGTTATGAGGAACCAACCACCTGCCATGCCTACTTGCCTTGCTACCTGCTACTGCCTTTCCCTACAGTATTTTGCGTCTTCCCACCTGCACCCCATCCCTCCTTCCTCCCTCCTGCTCCTCCTCCTCCTCCTCCTGCTGCTGCTGCTGCTGCTCCAGGAGGCACTGCTGCGCGAGATGGACAAGAAGCGGCAGCGGCTGGTGGCGGAGGCTGCGGAGCTGGAGCGACTCATGGCGGCGCTGCGGGGCGGCCAGATGAGCGTGGCGGAGACCGACCTAAGCCGCCTCACCGCCTCGCTGGGGCTGGGGCCGCCCGGGGCGGAGGAGGAGGAGGCGGCGGCGCGGACGAGTGCCGCAGCCGACGGGGATCTTCATGCAGAGGGAGGGGAGGGTACAGCGGCGGCAGCGGCAGCGGCTGCGGCAGCAGTCGGAGAGGGGTTGGCGGGTCCGGTGACCGTAGGGCTGCGGGCGCTGCAGTTCCGGAGCAGCTCTGGGTCGGGGGCGGGAGCGGGGCCGGGGGGTGGTGGCGGCGGAGGCGGCCGGGGCGGCGGTGGTTGGGCGCCCGGTGAGTGGTCGCGGGGCGCTTCTATCTAGGGAAATGAGGAGTGCTCCCCGCAAAGTGATTAGCCACTCACCGCTAGCTCAGGTGTCTCTCTAGAGATGTTCTCTTTGATGATGAGGAGGAGGGGCGCGGCGAACCCTGCCATCACGGCTTCTCCTCATCAATGCACTCTTATCCTGACTTGTCCGAAGTACGCTCCCGTCCCGCCCACCTACTGTCCCACCTTGCAGGCACCAAGCGGCCTCGTGAGGACGTGCACGCGCCCTGGGGGACCTCCCCCGGGGGCCAGACGAGCTCAGACACGTCTAAGAACATGGTCATGGTGCGTGCTGACCCGCTGCACTGCTGTGCCTGCAGGGAGGGCAGGAGGCTAGGGATTGGCCCCTTCTACAACTCCCCGCCGCGGCCTTACCGTAATGGATACGCCAACCCAATACCAATTACATCTATAATGCGATGGTTTCTCTTCCCCCCTCCCCTCCCCAGGAGCTGAAGGAGCTGTGTGACCGGCGGCACTGGCCGCAGCCGTACTACTGCTACTCGGCGCTGGGGGGCGGCGGGCAAGGGGCGGGCACCGCAGCCACACTCAGCATGCCGCCGTCCACCGGGCTGGGGGAGGTCAGCAGCGGGCCGCAGGTGGGGCGGGGGGAAAGTAAATGCTAAGTGCAGCAGGTGGGGCGGGGGCGGGGATCGAAGGATGATCACGGAGCTGGTGGGGCGGTTTGGCTTAGATCGGTGTGTCTTGGGGAATGACCCGCATGAGGATCAGGGACATGCACTCGACGCCCGGAACCGTCATGTTGACTTGGATTGGGCCCGGGCTAACCCTCCCGCAGACGAACCGCAAGAGGGCCAAGGAGGCGGCAGCGGCTGCAGCCCTCGCAAAGCTGAGCGCCCTGGGGATTAAGTGAGATCCCAAGCAGAAAGGCGCTTTCTGCTTGGAATACCCCTTTACGAGTGTATGGGCAGCAGCTGTTGGTTAGTACTGTTGTATTAAACTAGTGAGCTGGAATCACAGGGCAGCACTTGTGCGGGGCTGGAGGTGGCCGACATTGGCAAATAGCGCGACGCATAGGACGCTGAAGCTGCGTCGTGTGCAGGTGTGTGAAACATTGTGCTGGCCTGTAATGTCTGCTTGTGGAACACCTCCAGGCGCTCACAGAACTACATCGCGAATTTGTAGGCACCGGGGCTGATGTTTGAGCAAGGGAAGCATGAGCTAGTTGCGAGGGTCGCAGGGTTGTCGGCATGTCACGTATACCGGTACCTATCCAAAAGCCGACACCCTGCGAAACTTCGTATTCTACAATGCCAATTATGCCAGGATGTGTTACCTAGCATCAAAGCAACGCAATACCGGTGCACTATGTTCGGGGGAAGCAAATTTGTGGCAAAACAAGATGGACTTCTTGCGTCTTAGAAGCTTGGACAGCATAAGTGGCATACTGCATTTACAGAAAAATGGGTGCAGCATTGCTGCACGAGTCAGCTTGAGATTTGCCGGGGGCCCCAACAAACATTGTCAAACAAACGTCCCAGACTAGACGATAGGTCAAGCATTAGCACTATAGGCAAAATATAGGCGGGAATGCCTAACCTGATACATGTGCGTTTGCATAAAGACTGGCAGGTAAGGAAGTAGGGGTGTCGGCGACGTCGTACACCCATCGCCGACTTGAGGGATGTTGCTCTGTAATGTTCGCATGAAACACTTGGCACACATTACAGTGTATTCTAGCTAATAAAAGCAACTGACAATTACTTCCCTTAAGACAACTAAGACTTGGGCTTGCAGCTGACGTGTTGGTGGCCGGTCCGCTTGGGCCGTGAACTTTCACAACGGAGTTACTTTGTGAGACATGGCGTCCGCTGAGGGCGTCACCTTCCGTTGGGAGGTTTTCAACAGATGGTGCGACGAATACGCGGACCGGCACCAGGGTATGAAGCCCAAGGTGGAGGACGTAAGAAGGTGAGCCTGAGAATAAATCAGAGGCCTGGCCTGCATTTCTCACAACGGGTCAGCGGGCCCTTTCGGGGGAGGCATGGCGCCGTCGCCGTGCAACATATGCCGCTAAAGGCTTCGCCTTGCCCTGCATTTCTGCTGAAGACTGAACCAACAACAGTGTGCACGAGTTTCTGGGGGCCTGCCTGGGGTGGAAGTGTAGCATTGCGCCGGCGCGCGCAACATATGGTAGTTTCAGTGCCGAAGCGCTAAGCGCCGAAGTCATGCTCAGATGTGTTCTAGAGAGGTTACGTGGCTGGTGCTGTGTTAGGTTGTTCGCATATCAGGTCATTTCTTAGGTGCATGGTCCATAACAGCTTGCACGTTGACTGCTTGACTGGCGCCCTCGAATTTTCCAATATTCTCAAAAGGAAAAGCTCTTTAATTGTAGCTGACAATGTGGATTGCTGCTGCTTGTCTGCAGGTGGCATAGGGAGAACGCGGAGAAGGTCTGGCCTGACAGTAACGAGCGCCCTTCGGTCTTTCTTGCAGTTAGCCATAATAAGGGCCGAAGGTGAGATGAGAAACCCAAACTTTCCTATGCTGTGCACTTTAAACTTGCTAACATGCCGTGTCCTTTGCAATTGTTGGCAGAGTCCGCGGTCACAAGACTTGCGAGTACTACAAGCGTTATCGTGCTGGCAAGGCCGCAGAGCAACAGGTGCGCAGCGATGAGGGGTATGCAACACCTGACCAGTTGCTTGCTTGTCAAGAAGCGAGGCACAGGGCTAAAAAAGGCTGTCCGCTTAGGATAAACCTTTATTAACGAAGTGTAACACCGAGGCGTTAGCGTCATGTTTAGCTGTGCTATGTGTCTTACGTGGCCTTTTTTCTTGCCCGGGGGCCCCTTCCTTATGCAGCGTCTACAACCCGCAGCGCTGTCGGGCCGCCGGATTCTAGCCGTCACGGCGGCTGCTCGAAAGCAGAACAGCGATGGTGGACGTGGAGGACCCAAAAGGCCCGCTGCGGAGGATGGTTTATCAACCGAGCTAGGCCTAGAGCAAGCGGAAAAGCGCCGCCGGACGCACTCCTCCGCACGCTCACGGCACGGCTCTGCAGGGCACTCGGGACGGGGGCGAGCCAGGCGGTCTTCATCAGAAGACGTTTCCGACGACCCTTCGTGGGCGTCGGGTGGCGACACCAGCGATGAGGACAGCGGCTCTGGAGGAATCCACGGCCGCGGGGGTTCTTCTCGACGGTCAGCGGAAGCACTCGGAGCGCACCTGCAACACCACGCAGGCGTGCACATCACAGTCGTACGACGCGACCCGGAAGGCCGTGCCATCCACGTGCAAGCGCAGCCGCAGCCCCTGCAGCCCCTCGCAGAGGTCCTGCCCGCATACGGGTTCGGCCAAGACGCTGATGCTACCGTTCTGGGGCGGCAGCAGTACCGGCGCAACAACGGCGGTGCCGGCCGGGGACGCGGCGCTTCCAGCTACTCATATGACTTCGACTACGACGAGGGGGCGGGCTCCGATGGCGACGCTGAAGACCTGAACAAGGCGCCGCCAAGGCGCCGGCAGAGGGGCCCGGCGTACGGCTACCAGGCGCCGCTTGACGCGGAGGCAGAGGAGGAGGAGGACCAGCAGCGTGGCAGTGGGCGGGCATACGGCGCTTTCCTGGAGGTCAACGCAGCTTGGGATAGCGATCCCAAGTGGCACCCGGGCGTTGCGCCGCCGGAGTGTCGGGCGCCGCGGAGCACGATAACCAGCGAACAGCGGCTTGCGCAGCAAGGAAAGGCGCATGGCGTTTACGCCGGCGCAAGCAACGGCGTTGCAGTGGGGTCGGCGGCGCGGCGCATCCGGGATGGGCGGTGGCTGACAAGCGCACTGGCGGAGGTCACGGCAGCTCCCACGCCAGCAGCGCTGAAGGACCCTCTGGACCTGCTCGCGCAGGCAGCTTGCGAGGCGCTGGCGAGTCCGAGGCCAACGCAGCAAGGGGAGGCAGAGGCAGCTGAGACGCAGCCGGCGGTCGCTGTCAAGAAGGAGGAGGGTGCGCAGGCCGACGGGTGCCGGTCGAGTGCGAGCCATGGGGGATCAGCGCACAGTGGCGGCGGGGCTTGTGGTGAGGAACGCGGGCAGCAGCAGAGTGGGGGCGGGCAACGGAACGCGCCAAGCCATCGGGAACATAGCGGCATGCAGGCGGAGTCTGTGGAGGAGCAGGTGGGTGTAAAGCATGAGCAGCCGTCGCTGGCAGCTGCGGAGGAGCTCACTAAGAGCCCAGCGGCGCACGCCACGCGGAACACCACCACGCCAGGGTGCGCGAGCGCGTCAACACAGAACAGCAGTGGCAGCGGCTGCGGTGCAGTGGCAGTGGACGCCAATGGCCATGGGGCACAGGAGTCAGCGCAGCAGCCGGAGCAGCAGCAGGGAGCTTCCTCGGGGGCTGCTGCCTGCGACTTGAACCCCGCGCCGCCTTCCCCTCATTCCTCGGCACTGCTTGCAACGGACGCCGTAGAATGGGGTGCGAAGACTGAAGGCGATGCGGAAACTGATGACGGCACCGCAAAGCCCGATGCCGTGCACAAACCGCCAGTCGCCGCGACCACCTCTTCCGTCGCGACTGCGCCGTCCACCATGCTGACGACCGTGCTTCCAGCTCCGACGGCGGGGGCAGCCATAGCAGCAGGGGTCCACTCCAACAGCACGGGGGCCACCAGCGATGGATCTGGGTGTGGGCCCTCGCGGGTCCTCGGTGTCGACATGGAGAAGGACCTGGCCAGCATCGCAGCTGCGAACGCCGCTGCGGCCAACATGGCCGGTGCAGCGATGGCAGCTGCGTTGATGCAGCAATCAAGACTGGGCTTGAGCGCACCGGCGAGCGGACTGATGGCCCCGCTTGGGCCCGCCGGCGCAGCGGCAGCAGCACCTCTGGCGCTTCCCCCTATGGCGGCGGCTGCGGTTGGGTTACCAGGGCCCCTGCATGCACCTCCGGCGATGTTGTGGCCTGCCCTTGCAGGCGGCGTGGGCACATTGACCGCGCCACCACCGGCCTTGGCCGCTGCTGCCGCAGCGCCTCTATACCCGGACCCCATGCTGCCCATGTTGCGGCTGCTTCACATGCAGATGGCAGTGCGACAGGACCCAATAACGGGCGCGCTTAGCAGCGACGCCAGCGGCTTAGCCCCCTCACATCCAGCATGCCCGCTACCACCAACGGTATAACTGACGATACCGGGCGCGCTTGTTTGTTGGAGTGTCACCGCTGCTGCCGTTGGCTTTGACGTAACCACCGTCAGCAAGCCCACATGACATTGGACTGCGATACCTGGTAAGCGGATTTTTGGTAGGACCGAGGACCTAGGAGGCGTTGTTGCATGCGTATGTCGGTGCATGAAGCGTACGATGGTTATGGTTGAAGGGGGCCGAAGGGAATGGATTGCCTAGGGTGGTTTGGGCCGCGAATGTAACCGGGGGCCCGGGGGGCTTTCCGTCCTGCATACCGGTATTGGACACAGAGACGGGTCGGAGGGAACGCTCACAGTTGCGCTTCCTTACCATGGATTGCTTGTTAAGGGTTGAGGACTGAAGACGGGCTCTTGGACGAACACGGGCGTGCGGCGGCCCTTGACAGTTGAAACGATTGTGCGATAACCGGCGCCACCATCCTGCCCGCTCTTTTCCCATGTTGCGCACGCGCGCGAGCGCATTGCCCGCTTTGTTAGGCGCATGATGCTGTTCTGAGGAGGATGACACTTGATTGACGGGGTGCCGGTACTTGGCGTTTGGGATGTGGAGGACTCAACACCCACAACGACCTCTTGGACTCTCGGGGCGAGTTGGCTGAAGTTTTTGGGGAAGTGGGTCCTCACTTTTACGCCAGACGCCTGTCGTTTCTGTTGTCGACCGGTTCGTGCCCTCGGGCGGATCCGCACGCTCTTGCGATTTTTCCCAACCCGGCGCCACGCACATACGGCTCCTCTTGAGCCTGGCTTGCTCGGCTGACAGTATGCGCCGGCGCCTGGAGTTGTGCGAGCCTGCCTGCTATGTTTGAAGTGCTTTGTGCTTGGCATGGTACGTAGCGTGATAGCCTTGTTACTGCCTGTATTAGCTCGGCACCACTGTGCGTTGGGTTGTGTGGTGATGACAGCATCGCACGATTCGAATGGAGGATTACATTACCGTGCGACTCCCAAGGGAGCAGGGCTAGGGGTGGTGGCGTGGCAAAGGGTTGTCACGGCATCCTGCGGTTGTGGGGTGGGTGGGCCGGAGGTGGGCCGCGATAGCCGTTGGTTAGGATACGCTTGCCTAGCCCACAGGCATTACACGATCGATTGATTGATTGCGCGCGGGGCGATTAGACGACCCGTCGACCCTTCAGCAAAAGAACGTTACGCATGCACGACCTTGTGGGTCCCTGCCGTGGATCTGTATTGACTGCCTTCCAGGAGCGTGAACTTACGTATGGGCCGTGAACCTGATGGGCTTGCTGACTTTAACGATGGGTGCACGGTGGCTTGTCGATTGCAACTTGGAAAGACGGGAATGTCTGGATGGGGCAAGACTTGGCTTCACTTGGCGTGGCGTGGCGGGTCACCTACCGCTTGGCATGTGGGTAGCAGCTAGGGTGCGCACAACATGTGGGCTGCCAATAAGCGCGCGGCGTAACGAGTATCAGACTGGGACAGACGTGAACAGGGGCTTTGTCGAAGTTCACGTCCTTTTATCTTCTTGGTGGTTTCTCTATCTGGGTGGGCGTGGGGCTTTGTGAGCTCCCCAAAATTTTGGAACTCCCCTGACTCCCCTAGACATTGACGCTATCGTGTTCCGCTGTGCAGCCCATGGCAAGCCAGTGCTGTGCTACAAACTTGCAGGCGATTGGCGCGCGGGATGGCTCAGAGGAGGGAACTCACAGCGTCGACAGCATGTGGGGCGTTGCGGACTGCTGTGTGGGTTGGTGGCTGGAGGGCTGTTGGGCCCCTACACCCTTGCCACAGCATTGTACTAATAGCTATTTGCAGTATTACACATTATAATTGCTGACGAGCGTGCGTCGTTGTGTGTGCCTGTGGCTGTTGAGTTGGGGCTTTTAGCTCCGTATACATGATATGCTGCGTGCGACCCTTGCGCGGAATCGGACCTAGATTGCGCCCTCGGCTTGAATAGTGGGTTTGGAGAAGAGGAATGCGGCCATGTAGGGGTGGGAGGGCAGTGCCGTGGACACTGTTAGCTGGCGCACTGTCTGTATGTCCCTCGCATGCATCTCAACTTTTGCCCTCGTGCGTAGCCCTCCCCATATCCGGATAACGACTGCGCTAGTGTAACATGGATGAAGTGGTTTGATGGAATGGCTGCGGCTAAACATACAAATGTCAACCCCCTAGCGCCCACCGTACGTAACTGCCGGTACCACCCACCAGCCCACTACATTAATCACTCGCTCCACAGCACTGGCCTCGAACTGCTGCCATGAATTTCATGCTGACCCTGCTCGATCGTCGCCCGTGAATTCCCCCCGTCAACCATAGTTGCCGCACGCCGCTTGCTCGCTAACCAGACATGCCAACAAGCACAAACGCTGGCATGGCCCAGTACGCTTCACCCCTGAATCCGCTATAACCGCCCAATCTTAGCCCGACTTGGCTTCGTAATCCTGGCCGTATGGTTGCTGTAGTACCCATCCAGCAGTCCCCGCATGAGCTCCCCCTTCTCCCGTGTCAGTCCCGAGCAGGGGAAGTGCCTCAGAAGCCAGCTGCCCCAGTGCTGCGGCCCGCACAGGCCCCCGGGCAGCAGGCGGTGGCCCCGGCTGAACGCGCCCAGCCGCGCCGGCGTCACCTCCTCGTCCCTGAAGCTGCAGCCGCACCCGGGAAAGCAGCCGGACTGAAAGACCCGTGGGTCCAGCAAGTGCCAGCGCAGCCCCTGGATTGCCGTACAGCGGCCCATGACCTTGCCGTAGATGTCCTGCAGCCAGCAGCGGGGGGAGAGTGTGTTAGCAACACTGGCCGCGGGTTGGAGCATACTGGGATGTGTGTAAAGTAAGCCGGCCAAGTTTGGTATACGCAGTGCAAGGCCAGCTGTCATACCCGAGCCGTGAGGCCTGCACCGCACCCAACCCGCATTGCCCTCACCCCTCGTCACGCCCCCAATCCGTCCGCATTCCTCAGCCTCCTAGCCCCGCCCCACCTGGTCCCACACCCGCGGTCGCTGCTGCACCTCCGACTGCATCTCCCGCGCCCAGTTATACACACAGCGTGTCACTCCCGCAGTCGCCTTAAAGTACAGCACGCCGATGTTGAGCGGCGGCGCCTTGCGCCCCCCCGCCACGTACTCCCGCGCGTGCAGGTGCAGGCTAGCGTTCACCACCATGCACTTCTCCATGGCGCCGTACATGTCGCCGCCCTGCCCCAGCAAGTACGGCAGCGGGTCGCGCAGCAGCAGCAGGTCGGTGTCCAGGAACACCACGTCGTGGCCGGCGGAGAGGCCGTTCAGGATGTACTTGATCTTGGCGAAGCTGGGGGCGGCAGGGAAAGGGAGGTGGGTGTGCCACTCACGGCGGGTGTGCCACATTCCCCTCGCATACCGGTATTATGTAAAACACATCTTGCCTCCTTGCAACCACACCGCCGTCACCCTTTCTCTCCCAATCCCCATCCACACGCTGTCGAACCCTAACCCCGCCGGGCCCCTGCCAGCCCCACTCCACCCTGCTCACCCCAGCGAGTTGAACCCCGAGTCATGGAAGCCAAACGACCCCCCCAGCGCCGCCGCTGCCGCATGCTCCGCGTCCCGCACGCACTGGTGCCGGAACTCCGCCTGCAGCGCCCGGCAGGCTGCCACCGCCCCCGCGGACCAGCCCACCAGCACCAATGCGCCGTCCAACCCGACCCCACTCCCCTCCTCCTCCTCCGTCTGCTGGCGCCCGACCCCGGCCTCAGCAGCAGCAGCCACAGCAGCACCAGGGCGTTGCTGCTGCGGGTACGGGTACGACAGCCGTACACGGCGCATGCTGAGCAGGAAGGGAGGCACGGTGTGTGTCATGGCCTCCTCATTGGCCATGGCTAGGAGCACCAGGCTGCGGCTGCTGCTGCGGCTGTTGCTGCTTCCAGTGCTGCTGCTGCTGCTGCTGCTGCTGTGAGAGCGGGCACCAGGGCAGCTCAGGGCGGTGGTGTCCAGGGCGGCGGCGCGGAGGGCTGCCGTGAACTGGCGGGAGGGCAGCCGCATGCCGTACGGCGCGAAGTGCGAGCGCGCGAGCTGGGCGACTGCATTCTGAGCGGATGCGGGCTGCAGCGAAAGGCTGAGGCTGAGGAGGAGGGCGGGGAGCAGGAGCAGAAGGCGGAAGGGGACGCGGGCGAGGAGGGTGCTACTGCGGATGGGTGTGAGAGGGGAGAGGTGTGTGGGCCGCCGCAAGCTTCCTCGTGCGTTGCGGCGCTGCATGCGGCGCCTACTGCTTCCGGGTTAGGGAAGCATGCTAGGCTGCTGAGCGTTCGGAGCGGCTAGGTGGTCGAGGTAGCTAGGAACTGGACAGGCAGTGGGATGGGGCGGGGATGGAGGAGACGGTGTTGTCTTTTTCCGGGTCTTGGCGGATGAAAAGTAACCTGGGGCTGTGCTTGCAGCAGAGGGAAAAAGGTGTGGCAGGGTTGGGGAACCGTGATACTTTCGTAGAGGTCGCAGACTGGGGATTGCTTAAGGCTAAAGCAACAGCTCCGGTTGGACCCCTTACTTCGTTTGACAAGACCTCTGTAGAGACAAGTATCAAGTTACTCTCGCCACTTAACACAAGGCTGTCGCTACCGTTAGTCCTAATAGGACTGGATGTTGGGATGCTTCGTATAGGATCGCTTAGGGCAGCGGCTACGGCGAACTTTCGGCAACTACATTTGTTAGACACATAATAAGTTAAAAGTAAAAGAAGTAAACCCGAAGTTGGCGATATGTCAGTTGGCGACTTTTTGGCGACCTTTTCAAAGCATCGCAATGTATAACAGGAAGGCACAAGGCTCAGGGTTGTTGAACACATACCGTGGAAAACATCGACTGCGATCGTGACAGCAACAAGTCGCAGCAAGCTTTCGACGCCCCGTGCCATGCGGTGCTGTCGTACCGGTATATGGTCATGCAATGGTTGATCCATGAGGACCATGACCGCCCATCATGGCGCGCGTACCAGTAGGACGCTGCTTGGATATTCGCCATCCGTCCGTTTCGCATGCCCGGTGTATATGATACTTGAGAGGGGGGCCGACGTCCATATGCAATCACAGCACGTAAGACGTTACCCGACACATGGCCGTGCAAATCGACAACTGACTTTGCTTGAAGAATAAGCACACAAGAACATAGAAGGCAAAGTTGGTGTAGCCGCAAATACCGATACCCAACAAAAGTGGAATGCTGAACTGGCAAGGGCGTGCGTGCCTCGATCGACAGAAGCTTACCCCAGCCCCTGCCCCTGTCATTTCGTTAGCTGTATCCCACGGGGAGCAGCGGAAAGGAGACTGGCCAGTAGCGGCCTCGCGTAAGCCTCGCCTATGTGCCGGTAATCCCGGTATGCAGCTCCGGTGCCTGTCGTACACTGGTCAATTCCATTCCAGTTAGATACTCATGATTGATACCTTGCGGGCTAAGCTGTGAGGCGTCACACATCTGATGCCTTTTTGGTTGCAACTCGCAAAGCTGTTAGGTCTATAACGTGCCTGGCGTATAAAGCGATTCCGTTCGACAGATGAAAATTATGAAATAGCTGCACACCTGGCTTATACCTGCACAGAATGGCTACATATGATCATACATATCTCTAGGTGCCTCTTTGTAGAGCAGCATGAGGCAGCTTGGTCACAGTCATATGGTTCCGGGGCTAGCCAGCTTACTGGTGCTGCTGTGTGCTGTGAGTTGGCAGCCGGCACATCTTGTAGAAGCTAAGAATAAGGAGACATTTCCAGTCCACCGGCCCTTGGTCGATCTGCGCGAGGTCGCCATCCAAACGGTCGGCCGCGATGGACCTCGCTACCCGGACGAAGGCTTCCAGACCCATGTGCGCACCTGCAGCGCACCTTATGAATCCGACGACTCCACGCAGCCTCTCTCCGAGGACTGCAACCGCGGTTACACCATCCTGACCCTGGCGAACAATCCCACCATGCAATATCTCATACCACTCCTACTTCGCAGCCTGCAACGCATAGAACGCCCTCCTCGCAAACTTGGTGGCAAGCCGGGCGACCTCACCCGCCACACCACCGTGGTCGGCGTCACGGCAGAGGCAGTCAAGTCCTGCGAGCGCCTGCAGGCGACCTTTGACCACACCTGCGCCAGCGACGGCGCCAGCGGCCTTCTCAACGGCGACCAGCGCTTCCCCAGCTTCAAGGCCCTGGCCTTCGGCTTCGCCAAGCTGCGCTACATCTTGAACGCGCTCACCACCAACACCGACATCCTGTACGTGGATGCTGACGTGGTGTTCTTGCGGGACCCCTTCCCCGCGCTGCTCGCCTCGGGGGCGGACATAGCGGTGGCGTCCGCGCCCGCCGCCTGCGGATCCCAGCCGGCGGCCTGGCAGCAGCAGCCGGAGGAGGATGAGAAGGGGCAGGAGGGGGGCTCTGTCCGCGAGGAGGAGGGGAGCGGTGATTACAGTGGGGAGCGGGAGGAGGGAGAGGGAGAGGGAGCGGAGGAGGGTGCACAGGGAGAGGAGAGGAGGTCAAAGCGGCGCCGGCGGCATCTCCCAGAGGAAACGGGCGAGGGTGAGGGTGCCGCTGGCGGTGGGGGTTTGTCGTACAGCACTGGCATCACCTTTTACCGTAGCGGGCCGGGGGTGCTGCGCTGCGTGTACTCGCTGCTGCTGGACATGGCACACCTGGCACATCAGCAGCAGGGGAGGGAGGGAGAGGAGGGGCAGGGGGAGGAGGGGGCGGCGGGCGAGGAGCAGCAGCAGCAGCAGCCGCGCCGGCGGCGACACCGCAGACGGCAGCTGGTAGCGGAGCAAGGAGGAGAGGCGGCCGCAACACCCCCGGCCTCAGCAGCAGCAGCGGACGGCTCAGCAGGGGGCCCGGTGGTTCGCGAGCAGGGGCGCTTCGCCGCCTTCATGCCCATGTGCGCCGGATCGCTGGGGCTGACGCTGCGGGTGCTGCCGGCGGAGGAGTTCGTGACGGCTTGTGGGAGCGGTGGTGACGGCGGGGTCAACCTGAGCGCGACGGAGGTGGAGTCGCTGCGGTCGGGTGCGGTGGCGGTGCATGTGGGGGCGGGCGGGTGGGGGCAGCGGGAGCGGGCGCCGCTGATGCGGGCGCTGCTGGGGCTGCAGGGGGAGGGGGAGGGGGAGGAGCGGTGAGGGGGCGGGAGGGTAGGGAAGAAGGAGGCCCTTCCGTTGAATGGCAGGGGGGGAAGTAAGTGAAAAGTGAAGCAACGGAGTCCCAATCGCAATGATGGGGGGCGCGGAGCGTGCGCCTGTCTATGCGTGCTTCTCGGCGAGGCATGGGTGTGGGTTGTGGTGGCGGGCGGGTGGAGTCGTAATTGGCTGTCGCTTGACGTGCTGCTGTAAAGAGCATCCATTCTCCTTACCCCTCGGTGTAGGTGACTGGGAGTGCAAGGCTGATGTGTTGTTAAGGTGGGTGCACCAGCACCCTGGAAGGGGAGGATCAGTGCGTCGATATGCCGTCCTGGTTAGTTAGCAGGACGGAGGAAGAGGAACATTGTTGCAAAAGTAGTGTGGGAACGTTATCGCAGTTAGCCACCCCAGCCATGCTAGCCATCCCAAGCATCGGGGCTGACGCCGGAACGCAACCGCCCTTTGCCACCAATCGTTGTATTCTTAGTCGTTGGATGCGGGAGGATACCACGTAAGGGTGTATTTATGCGACCCAGCCTACAGCTTACCTTTACACCAAGTGCTCCGGAACCATGCAAACCTCGTCCAACGCATTGCGATGCATGCTGCACGATGACTTGTGCCAACAGTTCTATCGTACCCGTTTGTGAAAAGCGGCTATACTGAAGTTACTAGCTCACATAATGCACTTCGCTGTTTCCCGGACCGCACGTCTGCTTTCCAAGCGTTGCGCGCGCATCCAAGTCAGCAGTCGGACCCTATCCACTCTTCAATCACGTCGCGCGTCCTTTACTTCCCAATCGTCCAGCGACAGCGTTCAACAACCTCTGTCATCCCTGTCGCGGCGCATCACTTACTCCCCGTTTGCGACTGTTCCTCCCGTTGCCTTTGGTGCCAAGCGCTATTTCTCTTAGTGAGTGTACAGCATTACACAAAGGCTGTTGATCTGGAGAGCATCCGTAGGAGGATCTTAGGTGTGGCATGTGTGGCAACCTGCGTCCATTAGCGCTAGAATGGCCGCTTGTGGTTTCTGTAGGGTGAAAATGGAGTAACGAACAGTTGTTTGGCATGTTAATAATGCAACTCCATTTCTCCTAATGACGATAGCTTTGCAACGTTACATATGGGCTTCCACTTGGATACATATCATTAGCCCGGCATTGCTGAGGATGACAAACCAGGAGCGCTGGCCTGGGGCGCCATTGAGCGCGGTGATGCCCAGTTTGCTTGACATCCGACCTGCACACCCACATCCAAAGCCCCCCACACCTTCGCTTCTCTTACCTTCCCATACGCCTTTCCCACTGCCGCCCCATACAAAACATCCTTTCCGTTCACCTTTTCTCAACGGTTCCCTCCCCCTCCGCAGCAGCCGCATCACCATGAGCACCGCCGCAGCCCCCGGCACTCCCCCAGCTGAGACAGCCCAGGCGGAGCAGCAGCAGCAGGCGGAGGCGCCCGCCGGGGACAACCCGCTTCTGGCGGTGAGATTGGCGAGGGAGTGGGGAGGGGGCATATGGAGAGGAGCGGAGGAGCTTAGGAGGTGGTGGTGGTGGTGGGGGGTGTTCATACTGGTACCGTACCGTTGGGCGAATCGAAGTTGTGGGTAGGGGACCACCGGTAGCCCTAGCCACGGTAGGTTGGGAAAGCGGTTTGGGTTGGGCGCAAGCGGTTGAGATGGATCACAGGAGGAAGTGGGAGCACCTTCCACTCCGTTGTCGCACATCCGGCGTCTCCAGGCTCGGTCAATGGAACGAAGCCCTCCTTTCTCATTCCCTCCCTCTCCCCCTGCTGCACTTCTCATTCCCTTCCCCCCCTTCCTCCCCCCCCCAGGACGTGTCCTTCCCCCTGTTCGACCGCATCACCCCCGCCCATGTGGTCCCCGGTGTACGGCAGCTGCTGGCGGAGCTGCATGCTGAGGTGGACAGCCTGGAGGGGCGCGTGGAGGGCAGCTGGGGGGGGCTGGTGGAGCCCCTGGAGCGGCTGGGGGACCGGCACCAGCGGGTGTGGGGCATCGTGAGCCACCTCAAGGTGGGAAAGGAAGAATAGCCTATGGGGGGAAGTGAAGGGGGGAGAATACCCAATGTGTTGTGTGGGGGGAAGGAGGGTGAGGAAGGGTGAGTCTGAGAGGAGCTGGAGGGGCGATGGGGTGGGGTGGCCTCCCGAGGTCCCTGCCTGGCGTCTTACCCTGCTGTCGCTCTCCTCCCCCCCCTCCCCTCCGCCAACTCCCAGGGTGTCAAGGACAGCCCCGAGCTGCGTGCCGCGGTGGAGGAGGTGCAGCCGGAGAACGTGAAGCTGTCACTCAGGCTGAGCCAGAGCAGGTGGGGGGGGGAGGGCGGGAGGGAGGGGGGAGGGGGTAGCACGCGCACACGCTTCAACCGCAACCGTTCGCTGCCGATTCGGCCCCCCGCCTAATCCCCCACCTCCTTGACACCTTCCCATCCCCTGCCGCCTCCCCCCTGGCACCCCCCTGCCCCCCAGGCCCCTGTACCAGGCGTTCAAGGCGCTGCGCGAGGGCCCCGAGTGGACCAGTCTGACCCCCGCGCAGCAGCGCATCGTGGACAACGAGCTAAGGGACTTCGTGCTGGGGGGCGTGGCGCTGGAGGTGGGGGGGAGGAGCATGGGGTGTTTTACACGTGTCGTGTAACGAGCCATGTGCCGTACAGTTGTTGTCTACAAGCACAAAAGGGTAAACCACACCCTAACATAAAGCGCGAGTCTCCCCGTGAGCCGAGCTGTGAAAACAAACCTGCTCTGTTCTGCTTCCCTGTCGTACGGCAAGTCCTGTCGTACGGCAAGTCCTGTCGTACGGCAAGTCCTGTCGTACGGCAAGTGACCCCCTGTGCTGCCCCCTCCTCCCCCTCGCCTCCCCCAGGGTGAGGCCAAGGAGCGCTTCAACGCCATCCAGCAGGAGCTCACGCAGCTGGCCACCAAGTTCAGCAACAACGTGCTGGACGCAACGAAGGTAGGTGGCGGGTGGGGGCAGGGGAGGGGCAAGGGAGGGGCCACCCAACCCGCTGACAGCCCGCTCAAGCACCCGCAGCGCTTCGCTCGACATCCGCAGCAGCGGCTATACCTCCGCCCGGGCTCCACCACCACCTCGCCTACTCCTGCCTCACCCACCCTCCTCTCCCTCCCCCCTCCTTTGGACAGCTCATGACTAGCCCTCCATGCACCTGCACCACCTCCTCCAGCCGGCTTCAAGTAACCTCTAGACACGTCCTCCCCTAAAAAAATGAAGCCTTGTCACACAGCTCGTTAGTTGCCTCGTCAGTTTTCCTTGTTTTCACCCGCCACCCCCCCAGGCCTTCAAGAAGCTTCTGACGGACCCCGCTGACGTGGCCGGCCTGCCCGCCACCTCGCTGGGGCTGGCGGCGCAGCAGGCGGCACGCGAGGGGCACGCGGGCGCCACTGCGGAGGCGGGCCCCTGGCTCATCACGCTGGACTTCCCCTCCTACTTCCCAGTCATGACGCACGCCAAGAACCGCGCGCTGAGGGAGGAGGTGTACAGGTGGGGGAGGGGGTGAAATTTGTAAAAATGGTGGAGGGGTGCGGGGAGGTGGGAGGAGGAGGGGAAGTGTACAGGTGGGGTGTGTGTATGCTGCGGCCTGCTGCCAACCCCCATACATCCATCCATCCGTGCGCGCGTCCAACCCCACACGCCCCTAACTTCACGCCCGCCCCCGCATTCCCGCTTTCCACTGTCACACAACACATAGGGTATTCTTCATTTCCCCCCTCTACCTTCCCCCTCCCCCCAGGGCCTACATCACGCGCGCCAGCTCGGGTGAGTCAGACAACGCGCCGCTCATGGAGCGCATCCTGGCGCTGCGGGCGGAGAAGGCGCAGCTGCTGGGCTTCCCCTCCTTCGCGCACCTCTCGCTGGCTTCCAAGGTAGCGGGGGACGGTCTAGCTAGCTAGGGGTGCTAGCTGCAGGCAGGCAGGGAGTGGGGAGGGAAAGGGTGGTGCAGCTACAATGGGGGAGCCCAGTCCAATGCCGCAGGTGGCTAGGGCGGGGTTGTAGGGAAGCACTGACTACAGGCGTTTTGCTGGCAGTACACAACCCTGGCAGTACAGAACCCTGAGCCGCTCCTGTGCTGCGAGTGTTCTGCGGTGTAGCAAGCTGCAACCCATTGGCACTGAAATGCCACTGAAATGCCACTGCTGATGTCGCCCCCTTCCCCCCCAGATGGGATTAGGGAATGGGATTCCGTTGCTTCACTTTTCATTTTTTCCCCCCGCCCAGATGGCCACCCTGGACAAGGCCGAGGCGCTGCTAGAGGAGCTGCGGGCGGCCGCCCAGCCCGCGGCGCTGCAGGACAAGGCGGAGGTGCAGGAGTACGCGAACAGCCAGGGCTTCGAGGGACAGCTGGAATGGTGGGTGAACGCTGCTGAACAATAGTAGTAGTGACGCTACTTACTGGTACTTGTATGATGCATGCATAAATCTTGCACATCACTGGTTCAGCAGCACCACAACCTTCACTCATCATTTCGTTATTCGGCACCACCAAGCAGATAGCCGCATGCTTGCTCGGGATGTGAACTGCGCCGGGATCCGGATCACCACTTTTCACGCGTCACCGCACGCCGCTACCTCGCACGTCACCGCCCCCAGGTGGGACATGTCCTTCTGGGCGGAGCGCCTGCGTGAGGCCAAGTACAACATCAGCGATGAGGAGCTGCGGCCCTACTTCGCACTGCCCAATGTGCTGCAGGGGCTGTTCCAGGTGGGGGGGGGTGAGGGCGGGTGGGGGGTGCCGTGTGGCGTGCGTGCTATGCTGCCTCGTGCCCTGCCATGTGCTGTGCCCTTGTGGCTTGCATGTATGCGATGCGTGCTGCCTCGCAGCATCCCAAGCATGCCTTGTGGCATGTGCTGCCTCACAGCATGCCTTGTGATCCGGGCTACCGCAAAGCATGCCATGTGTCATGTGCTGCCGCATTGCATGCTTGCAACCGTGCTGTGCTGCCTCATAGCATGCCATGCCATCCATGCTGTGCTGTGCTACCTCACGTCATGCGATGCAGCCGTGACAGCTGGCCCACGGCATGCCATGCAGTCCGTGCTGTGCTTCTTCACAGCATGCTACACAGTCCGTGCTGTGCTTCTTCACAGCATGCTATGCAGTCCGTGCTGTGCTGTGCTCTGCCCGTGTGTCATGGCATGCTGTGCGGACCATGCTATGCTGTCTTGCGTCATGCCACACATGGTTCTCGCGCTTTGTGATCCGTGCTCCCGTGCTTTGTGTCTTGGTACGCCATTAACAATTGTATGGTTAGCTGCTGCTGGTCACACGTCAGAACATACGTGAAGGACCATTTATTAAGTAAGATCCTGTCATCCGACTTTGTGTAAACTTTTTTTCCTGCGCGTTTCGTCCCCTTCCTTGTCGGCCCTCACATCAGCTCGCTCAGCGGTTGTTCGGAGTGGAGGTGCAGGCGGCGGACGGCGAGGCGCCCGTGTGGCACCCGGACGTGCGCTTCTTCAAGGTGCGCATGTGGCGCGCGGCTGACGTGATGATGAGCGTGGGAGTACGGGTGCATGACAGCAGCTAGAAAAGGGGTACTATTGAATGCCTGTGAAGCCTTGTCCAACCTCTTGTAATAGCAACAGGCACAGCTACAAAACCAGCAACAGCAAACTTTTGCTCCCTTCCCCCCTCCCCTCCCTTCCCTCTCCCCCCTCCCTCTCCCTCCCCCCAGGTACTCCGCGACGGCCAGCCCAAGGCCTACTTCTACCTGGACCCCTACTCGCGACCCGCTGAGAAGCGCGGAGGCGCCTGGATGGCGGAGGTGGTGGGGCAGAGCCGCCTGCTGGCGCCCCCGGGAGCCGCCGTACGGCTGCCCGTAGCGCACATGGTGTGCAACCAGATGGAGCCCGTGGGTGGGTGATGGGTGTGGGTGTGGGTGTGTGTGTGGGGGGGGAATTGCTGCCGTACTGCCATTTCCTTTGCTGTGACCTGTGTGTTTACGGGGCCTCGCGGCCAGTTATCTTAACACACAACCCCCCTTCCCCGCTGGCCCTGCCTCCCCCCCCTCCCTCAGGCTCCAAGCCCAGCCTGATGACGTTCTCCGAGGTGGAGACGCTGTTCCACGAGTTCGGCCACGCGCTGCAGCACATGCTGACGGAGGTGGGGTACGGCATGGCGTCCGGCATTCGCAACATCGAGTGGGACGCCGTGGAGCTGCCCTCGCAGTTCATGGAGAACTGGGCGTACGACAGGGCCACGCTGTACAGCTTCGCAAAGCACTACGAGACGGGTGCGGGTAACGGGTAGCGGGTATAAGCAGGCAGCAGTGTGCGTGGCAGGGGATGGGGATGAGGGTGATGTTGATGAGGATGAGGCACCCCCCACCACCACAACTTGCGCCGCCTGAAAGTGCTCCTGTACCTTTGTTGAGCCCCTTCACCCTCAACCTCCTCCTCCCCTCTCCCCTCCCCTCCCCCCTCCCCCCCCGCAGGCGCGCCGCTGCCTGAGGAGCTCTACCAGCGTCTCAAGGCCGCCAAGAACTACCGCAGCGGCACCCAGATGCTCCGGCAGCTGCACTTCAGCTGCGTCGACCTGGAGCTGCATGCGCGCTTCAAGCCGGGTAGGCGGGGGGAAAAGAAATTCCAAAGTGTGGTGTGATAATGATACAAGTGGCGGGGGGGGAGGGGATGGGCGAGGAGAGGATGGTGGTGTGCGGGTTGCTGTAGGATACTGGAGGAAGTGTCTTTGGGGCAAGTGGGCTGTGCTCCGCTCCTGTCTGCTACACCCCTGAGTCCAATCAAAGCGTGGTCCGCCACCCTCCGCCCGCACTGTGTTGCATTACCGGTATCTGCCGCTTCCGGGCGCATGCGGCTGTTGCTGCTGCTGCTGTGGTGGTGGCCCACCTCCCTTTCGGCTGCTGCTGCTGCTGCTTCCTCAAAACCCCTCACCTCGCACTTAGCACTTTATCTTTCCCCCTACAGGCCAGGGCCGCAGCCCCTTCGATGTGGACCGCGAGGTGGCCGCGAGGACGCTGGTGATGCAGCCGCTGCCGGAGGTGCGGGGGCAGGGGGCGGGGGGAGGGGGAAGGAGGGGTGATGGCGGTGGGGTTGTTCCCAGTGGTGGGATATGCAGGCACCATGCAGGCACACGGGCCGCACCCGGGCCTTACGCGATTTCCCTGCTCAGCTCTCTCTTCCCCTCCCTCCCTCCCTCCCTCCCTCCCTCCCTCGCGCCCCCCCTAGGATCGCTTCCTGTGCAGCTTCATGCACATCTTCTCAGGCGGCTACTCGGCCGGCTACTACAGGTGGGGTCAGGGGCCATACCGAAGGGCAGGGGAGTGCAGGGAGGTGGGGCCGGCAGGGGGCAGGGCTGAGGTAGGAGCGGGGGTCGCACTGCCGTACGGTGGGGGCACCCTCGGGCTGCCCCACCGCTGTGCGGCGGCCTAGGTAGGGAGCGCCCTCAGCCTGTCACATGACTACCCGCTCATAAGATGCCTCCGGTGCTCCTGCATGCGGCTCCACGTGCTGCCCCCCACCCCTAAACCTGGTCGTGCCTGCCACCCCTCCTTGGCCAACGCCTCCTCTCCCTCCCTCCCTCCCCCCCCCCCGCAGCTACAAGTGGGCGGAGGTGCTGTCCGCGGACGCATTCAACGCCTTCGAGGAGGTGGGGACAGGACAGGGGAGGACAGGACAGGGGAGGAGGAGGGGGAGGGATTCGTGGTTGCCTGGCTGGCAGGAGGTGTCGCTGGTCAGGAATATAATCCTCGGAATTGCCGTGGACGCAACACCCGCAACCCTCCCGGCGCCCTCCCCCCATCTCCCACGGTTACCGTCCTCCTCTTCACTCTCCCGTCCCCCCCCCCTCCCGCTCCCCCTGCAGGCGGGTCTGGAGGACGAGGAGGCGGTGCGCGCTACGGGCGCCCGCTTCCGCGACACGGTGCTGGCGCTGGGCGGCAGTGTGGCGCCCGCGGAGGTGTTCCGCGCCTTCCGCGGCCGCGAGCCCTCCACCCGGCCGCTGCTGCTGCACAACGGGCTGCTGGCGGGAGCGGCGGCGTGAGGGGAGGAGGTTGGGAGGGAGGCGTGGAAGCAGGGGGCAAGGAAGGAAGAGCCGGATGTGTCTTGTGGTTGGAGAGGTGTTGCAGCAGCATGGAGGAGTTGAGAGGGAGGAGGTGCGGATGGGGCACGCATGGCATGGAGGCAGAAGGGGGGGGGGGGTTGGAGGCGCGCGGGAGATGGTATGTTGGGCCGTATAGGCAGGGCGTGAGGTCTGGGATTTCCAGCGAGCTGTTGCCTGTCGGAATGTAGGCTGTGTGAAGGTATCGAGGCGCGCTGGTAGGGGGATTGTGTGTTGGGGGTGGCGTTTAAGGTTAACGCATGTACAGTACGGAGGTGCGGATGCCTGAACAGTGCTTAAGGAGTCATGGTGAAGGAGGGTGAAACGGTTAAACGTGCGTGGTAGGATTCCTACCACACTCCCTATTCCAAAACATGCAAGGTGATTCATGCGGCTAGACGCAAGGTATCCTATGGCACACCGTAAAGTTACACAGCTCTTCTGCACTAGGACACGCTACGCAGAGCACGACAGAGCGACAAGAACAAGCCCAGGCCGCTGCAGCAACACATCGTGCTGTCGGCCGTGCACCTTCACTTCCATGCAATGCAGTCAGTCGGGATTGTCAGCAGCAAGCAAGGCAAACTGACACTCGTCTTGCACGCAACAAGACCATGCTGCCCCATGCGGCCAATGCTGCATACATGATATGCGCGCATATGCCATGCACATACACCGGATGCCGCCTGCAGCCGACAGTAAGCGGCCACTTGTGCACGAGACCACATGGCCCACCGTCATGCACCGCAAAAGAAGGAACAACCTCACCATCTTTCCGCCACACCTCAGAACTTCACCAGCATTGCAGAACCGTGCACTTGAACCCAATGCAACCCAAAGCATAAGAAAATGCGTGCTAACCGAGGGGATGGCAAGGAGCATGCCCTAGCTGTAGGGCAGCACCGAGCACAAGCGTCCAAGCGTTACCACGTCTTCACCTGGTGTGACCGCACGCTAAACTGTACCAAGACAGATTGCGCAGCCTGTATTGAGCCAAAAGAGCGGCTTAACGCACGCAACCCATATTCAAAAGCCCCCCCCGGTATCGTGTGTGTACCATATACTCAACACATGCGAGGTGGAGTTGGTCCACGCTACTGACCCATGGGTCACGAGGATGTACCTACACCCCCCACCTCTGGGACAAAAAGTTAAATCCAAAACAACGCACGCTTGCCACAAACCAGCATGACTTCTTCATGTGGCCTACAGATCTTCGTGTTGCATACCAGTTGAACAACACAGCGCAAAACGCCTTCTTGACAAACCATGCGAATGACACACCAAACCAGACCGGACCAGGAACACCTGTGCACATCTGCAAACACATGTCTCACATGGCGACATCAACCAAAGCAGCCAAACCATCAACGAAAGCAGCCGGGACCCGCCAAGCATCGCGCTTGCTCAGCAGCAATAGCGCCGCGCCCTCACGTGTCTTCAATTGATACCGCGCCGCCTCTGCGCGGCCTTCCTTCTCAGCCTTGCTTCATTCAGCCGTGGGGAAACAGACTCCTAAACGAAACGGGGCCCAATTGGACGCATCCCTCGTTTCCGAATCGCCCGCGTGCGACGTATTATAGCACGCTCTCTCAACCCCTTTGCTCGGCTTCGACGTCATCTCTTGCAACACACACAAGACAACTCTCTCTCCAGGCGATTGCAACCTCGCGCGCAATCTGAATCTGTTCAGGCTCTCTCAAGCGGGGGGAATACCAAACGTCCTGCAGCGCTTTCTCCTCCGGCTTGCATCAGCCGGATGCACGCTTCGGCAAAACCTACTTCGCACCCTGTACGAAAATGTAATGATACGTGTACAACAACACAAATGACCATGAAACGAGAACGCAAGCAGCTAACTGACGTAATTCTTATGAGGCTAAGACTCCTGCAAAGTTTCCTGACAGGAAGGCCAGCACCGACGCCGCTGCACACGCGCAGTGTACATACAGTAACAAACGCCTGTGCTAAAACACCTAAGCTAGGCAGCAAACTTCAGTACGGATACGCCCCTATGCACTGAACAACACCTGCTATGTCCTATGTGTGAAGGGAGAAAAGGGTGACAACCACTGAGCCACTTCCACCACACAACACTGCATGCCACAAACGCTTTCCTGCGCGCTGCTGTAAGCGCTGCGCGCACCCATTCAGTTCATATTCTGTGCATATCAGTGAAATAAGCAAAACCAAGTGTCATGAACTACCAAGGCAACATGTCTACCTCCGCCTGCTCTTCCCGAAGAAGCATGCCAGGTCGAGAACCTATCTCTGAAAGCTATTACCTTCATCCGTGAAAGCTAATATCTGTTAACCTCTAACATCCACATTGACCAAAGCCTACAAGGCTAGCCTAACGACACCAGGATTGGCAAGAAGATTCATGCAAACGACAACAACCTAGAATGACGCAATTAAGTACTACGCGGCCTACTGCCGCTTCTGCTAACACATGGAACGGGGGACATGCAATCCCACTGGGAGCATGCCTAAAGAGCCCTGACAAGTGGCGGGGCATAACCTCAGTTCTTCATGCTGTGTTCGTGTTGAAGAATCCCCATGAAAACCGCCCACGCCATACACCACCCGTCAGCTATCGCATCTTCATTCTTCCTCAAAGCATCCAGCCCGAGCTAACCTGATACAGAAAACACACCTGCTAATGCATGGTGGGGAATGGTGGCAAACATGCGGAGTTTGCAGCAACACGCGCATGCCGCACCGCGACCCACGGGTCACTCCAGCCCATGACAAGCCCGTCTCCAACCTCTGCGCGCTCGGCGCCTCTTGCTCCATCATCTTCACAGGGGTGTGAAGCCGAAGTGGGCGGATGTGGTGCGCTGTTGGGGCCCCGGTGCGCCGGCTAGGGCGCCAGGCGGGGCGGGGCCCAGGCGGCAGTGGCCCGGCAGCAGCAGCCCGGTGCCGCCGCTCGGCGAGGGCGCAGCCAGTGGGGTGTACGGGCTCACGGGATCCGGATCTGCGGAGGACAGAACGTCGGACGGGTGCATGAGGAGCGCGTTCCGCTGCACAACCCGCGTCTAACCCAGCACTGCTTGACCCGCCTCACATACCGTACCTCGGGTAGTACACGACCCCTCCGCCCCCTTCCACTCACCGATGCCGTACGGCCAGCCCATCATGCCGCCCATCTGTCCGCTCTCCGGCAGCGCGCCCGAGCCGAAGCAGCTGAAGCCCAGCGGGTCGGGGTCGTCGTTGGCGATGAGGTTCAGCAGCGGCGCCAGCTGCGGCAGCTCCTCTTCCACCATCTGCTCCAGGGTTAGCATCTGAGGTGGCGGGGTCGAGGCAGGGCCAGGCAGCTGCTGCTGCGAGTGCTGCTGCTGCTGCTGCGTGAGCTGCTGGTGAGAGGGCGGGTGGTAGTGCAGCTGGTGCTGGTAGTGCTGTGCCTGAGAAGGCATCAACGGGTGCTGTTGGTGGTGCTGCGGCATGTAATGCTGGTGATGAGGGTTGGGGTGCAGCTGCTGGTGGTGGTAGGGGTGATGCGGAGAAGGGAAGGGCGCCTGGTGCAGGTACTGCTGTTGCTGCATGCGCTGCTGGGTCTGCTGGTGCAGCATCTGGTGGTGGTGGTGGTGTTGCAGCTGCTGCTGTTGCTGCTGCATGTTGAGCGAATGCTGCCGGTAAACATCATGCTGCTGCTGCTGCGGTTGCTGCTGCTGACCGGCCGCTACCGGCGTGTCAAAGTCAAACGGTGAGGAGGATGCGCCATAGAAGCAATTGCCGCTGCTTCCGCTGCCGCACGAATGCTCCTCATTGCACACAAGTCCGTCGTACGACAACTGCAGCTGTAGCGACTGTTGCGGCTGCAGCTGCGGACTTAACGTCTGCATGCCCAGATACTGCGAGTAATCGGATACATCCGGTGCCAGGCCCAGCGAAGGCGGCGACCGCAGCAACAGGTTCTGCTGCTGCTGCTGTTGTTGTTGCTGCTGTGGTGGCGGTGCCTGCAGCTGCTGTGGCAACGCGGTCAGGGGCTGCCAGCCAGGGCTTACGCAGGGGGCTTGCGGCGGACTGCAGAAGAAGTTTAGCAGGGAGTTGCCGCCCTCGCGGCCCTGGTCGGTTAAGGACTGCAGCTGATGTGGTGGCTGCTGTGGCTGCATCGCTGCAACTGCGGAGTCGGGTGCCGCAGTTGCTGCCGACAGAAGCGGCGACGGTGGTGGGGCCCCTTGTGCCTGCGGCGGCTGCTGCTCTTGCCGATGCTGCTTTTGACTGCTACCGGCGTCCTTGACGCCTGTACCTTGCATGGCATGATCCGGCTTTACACAGCCCTCACCATCACCCAATGGCTGCTGCTGCTGCTGGGGGAGCGGCGCCCGCTGTTGCAGTGGCTCCGAGCAGTCGCCGACCAGCTGCGGCGGGTTCTGGCGTTGCTGCAGCAGGGGCAGCTGCTGCTGGCGGAGAGGTTCCAGGTTGGCCAAGTCGCCTTGGCGCCTGGAGGACCGCCGGCACGGCACCGCAGCCACCGTTGTGGGCATCATCGGCCCGTAGTAGTCCGGTACCGGCTCCTGCTTAATCTCGACCGGCTCGACCTTGACTTGCTGCGGTTGCTGCTTCTTCTGCTCTTGCTGGGCTGTTGCAGGTGCCGGCGCATGCTGCTGGAGCGGCACCCCTCCACCGCAGCTGCGGTCGCTGTGCTGGCGGTTGGCGAGGCTCTGCTCTTGCTGCTGCTGCTGTTGTTGTTGCTGCTCCTGCCGCGGCTTCGGTGGGTGTTGTTGTTGCTGTTGCTGTTGCTGCTGCCGTTGTTTAGCCTGGTCGCGCTCTTGTTGTGCCCGGTGAGATTGCAGTTGGAGGACCACGGTGGAGTCGTCGTGCAGCTGAAGTGGCGACCTGCGGTGCGCGAGGAGGGCCCGTTCAGGATCGAAATGGGCGGAAAAGAAGATGGTACGAGGGTGGCAGCCCTCGTCCCGTAAGCGCGCATGCCTCTTAGCAGAGCGGCCTGCATTGCCCTTCAGTACCCCCAACCCAGAACTCCGGCCCGGCTCTGCTCACTCTGCCATCTCGAACTCCACGCAGGTCTTGTCCTCCGAGGTGCAAATGCGCACATCAGCACCCGCGCGGGCCTGCAGGGGCACATGGTGTGTCGGAATCGCCAGCCAGCACGGGACAGGGTCACACGGAGAAAGGTGGTGAAGCAGCAAGCCGTTGCACCAGCGCCCGCCGACATGTTCCGCAGACGTGATGAGGACAGTTCCCACAAGCCGGTGTGTTCCCCCAACCTCAGCTAGCAAGCATGCGCGCAGCAACACACGTACCTGTACGATCATAAAGGGCAGGGTAATGCGCAGCCGTCCGCTCTCTCCACTGCCGCTGCAGGCACTGGAGGTAGTCCCGCAGCCGATGCCGATGTCGCTGCCCTCACGTTCTTGCCCTTGCTCCCGGGCGGCACCTCGCCCCAGGAGCGCCTCCAGGGCCTTATGTTTCCGCTCCACCTCCTGAGGTATGACAAGGCAGGCGGAAGGGGAGACACTCATTAACGTTATATTTGTTCACAGACGGATTGCAGGTGTGAAATTGATGACGTTGAAGCAAGGTTTGCAGCTGTCACCTGCGCATGGCGAGGAGGTCCGGTAGCTGGGTTACGGTGGTATCTATTTGCAATTTACGAATTCCCATCGGTACTAGGTTTTTAAAGGCATATTTAACGGCATTTGCTGAAGCCCTTTGCGCAAACTTGTGTAATGGCAGAAGAAACCAGCATACATACGTATGTGCTGTTGCAGTCATGCTATGCTCATCAACATAGTGTGGCTGACCATAAGCTTGAAATGAGCTGATCCCCACCTGCAGCAGAAGCCGTTTGCGCTCAACTTCAACCCGTCTGTTTTCGACCTCTGCGCGAAGTCGCTCGACCTCCACGTTACTGTGACCACGCCAAACGATCTGTTTTTTGTCATCACGCTTGATAAGTCCACAAGCCAGCAGCACGTTGATGGCGTCATAGCAGCGCCGGCGTATGCTTTTCCCGTCTTTTGCGCTTGCACCGGAGGAGTTTAGGTCATCGACCAGCTCGTTCGCCACGGCGTTGTAAGTTGTCCGGGACCGCAACCGGATCTTCTCAACAACTTTAAAGCTAAAATGGCGGAGGCCGCCGGCTGAACGTGAAGTATCTCGGGCAGCATGGCGTCCTCGGCCTCGGCTTCTCTTCTCGGTATCAGGCGCACGAGCCTGAGTACATAGCAGTACCTCCATTTACCTCTATAACCAATATGCAGGGTGGGAGATGTCATGCAACATAGCGCTTACCTTTCGCTGGCTGCCCATCACGAAAAGCTACCAAAAATTGTTAGTTGCTACCCTATTACAACAAATGGACGAAGCGTTAGCCCGCTGTTGCGATTTGGTTGAGTTCCGGACACGCACATGGTTCCCGCGTTTTTTGTACAACAATGAAAAATAGCAAAAGTACCATGCCACGGAAAGGCTGCCGAGTTTTCCTTTCCTCGCAACTTTAAATAGTTTAAACTTGCTCGCTATTCTCCAAGGGCTTGCTAACGCTATTATGGATCGGTGCTGAAAGCTCCGGTACAAATAGAGTGCTCTTCTTTACCGGTACTTTACGTGTAGTTTGCAGATATACATCATAATGGTTGCAAAAAGCTGAAGTTCACCTGGAATGGCCATATTTGCGGAAATGCAGCTGGACTCTGGGAGGCCAAAGCAATCAGACAGCTGCTTAATGACCGAGAGCACTGTTTAACAGCCGAGAGTCGTGGTCCATTAGAATTGAATTGGCATTTCCAGTTTTCAATGCTTCGCTCGTCCACCCCTCACCTCGACAGCCCTCGTCAGGTTACTGAGACCAGCTTGCGATCCCGACAGCCTGCTCTTGACAAATTTTGTGATACCGGCGACTTGGGAGCCTGTGACCAAGCCTATACAGCTTTCAACGCCGCGCGCACAACCCCCAACGACTCTTCCAAGATCCGTACAACACCCTCAACATAGATCCGCGCAAAGTACCGCAGCTCCCCGCCATCCGCCTCCTCCTCCCCTGCTTCCCCTCCCTTGACCTCATCCGCCAACGCTGCACCCTCCCCCCTTAACCGCTTCGCACACTCCGCTGCGGGTCCCAGCAACGCCTGCATCGCCGCCTCCAGCAACCGCGCTGCTCCCGCCTCCATCTCCCCCTCCCCCTCCCTCCCACCAAGCGGCACCCCCAGGGCTACCCGCACCTCCGCTGGCGCCAAGCCCCGCAGCCGCTTCAGCTGCTGTGGCGACGCGGCCAGCAGCCGGGCTGTCGCCAGCAGCGGCGGCGCCAAGTGACCCCCGGGTCGCAGGCGGTGCTCCAGGGACAGCCCCGCGGAGGCAAGAAGGGCGCGGCGGTCCGCAGCGGCGGGACCGGGAGGCACCTGGGAGGAGGAGGGAGGGAGGGGTGTAGTGTGTATATAGGGTTACACGAAAACGGATTAGGGACAGCAAGGAAGGGTTAGGGGAGTGGGAGGAAGTCCCGAGCGATTATCACTGTAATGCGGTCCCTGTTAACCCCCCTCCCCTTAACCCCCCTTACCTGCAGCCCCAGCTCCAGTTCATCCGCCGGGTTGTCCGCGAGCGCGAATCCGTAGAAGAGCAGCAGCTTGGCGTTGGGGTAGGGGCCGTACGACAGGAACAGCTGCCGACCCGCGGCGCAGGGGCGGAAGGCGCGCACCCTGCGTGTGCGTGTGTGTGTTAAGAAGGTGCTTAATGGAGGGCCAGGGGCGAGGGAGAGAGAGAGGACGGTGTGCGCCCCGTTGACCCGTTGCATGGCATGTCGGGTTTGCATAGGACATGCCGGGTTTGCATAGGACAAATAGGGAAAGGGGTATAAAGAGACGGGGACAGGACAGCGGGCGATCGGGAAGGAGAGCCCCTTGCGAGTAGGACGACAAGAAAGGGGGGACGAGCGGACGCCCCACCTGATTCCGCCGCTCTTGCCGTCCACCTTGCTGAAGTGCACCACGTGCGGCAGCGGGCTGTGGTTCATGAGGCCCAGCAGCGGGGCCAGGCAGGTGCGCAACACGCCGTCGGAAAACTGGACCTGGGGGGGGGAAAGGGAGGGAACATGGGAGGGGAGGAAGAAAGCAACTAACCGTATGACAAGGCGGGAGGGAGAGGAAACCGGGAATGGCGTGCGCACGCTGTGCGGGGTGATGGCACGGTGTATGTCCAGGAACCCTGGATTGTTAGCCACGGCAATTCCTACGCCGGGGCGGCCTGCGACCCCCCCTTCTTCTTTTCCCCCCACCTGTATGCCGTACGAGTACCAGAGCTCCGCGGCCCACAGGAACGCCTCCCAGCTGAACCACTCGGGCCGAAAGTAGTCGGGGTAGGCGGCCAGCAGCGAGGTGAAGGCGGGCGCGCAGGAGGTCCAGGAGTCGCGCAGGTGCTGGGAGGGGGAGGAGGGGAAAGATGAATGAGAGGGGAAGGAACTGGAGTCCTAGTCCATGGGTCGGGAGGGGTACATGAGGAAGGGGGGAGACCCTGCAGAAGACGGTCTCCCCCATGCAGCGGTGGTAGTGCCGGTAGTGCCACTACCGGGTAGGGTAGTGGGTAGGGGTACCGGGTAGGGTAGGTTTTACCCCCCTTCACTCCCCTTCCCCTGTGATCATCTCACGGCCAGTGTTCCAAGGAGGCTCAGCCTAGCCCCTCCTTCTCCTCCCCCACCTCCCCCACCCTTACGCCCATTCCTGTCCCCATGCGCCCCATGCCTTGTCGTATTTCGCATCCCGCACCACTACTAATTTTGACCCTCCCCACTTGTTCTTCCTTCCCATTGCCGCGCCGCCGTGTCCATAGGAACCCCTACCACGCCATATTCGCATGTATTTCGTTTCCTGTCTCGCCTCCTGACTGTTACTTAACACCTCATTAACGCACCCTGCCTCTCTTTCTTCCCTATTTCTTCCGCATATTGACAACCTCTTCCTACGGGACACTGGACACGACCCTGGTGCGGCTCCGTTGGTCTGCGCCTCCAATCCATCGGACCCTGGCAATTGGCTTTCCCTTTCCAGGTAAGTTTCCCGTAACGCGTCTCGATAACATGTATGCTCGTATACCCCATATGCGTGTTGCTTTGCTTTTCGTGACCGGCGGCGCGGCGCATGTCTCCATAGTGTCACCACGCAAGGCGGCTTCTTCCTCAAGTCGTCTCGGTTTACGGTAAGCAACGATTCGGTAAGTAATTTGAGATGCGTGTTATTAGTGCCTCCGAATGCGCTCACTGCATGAGTCGGGCTATGGGATTGGGATTCGTTGTTTCACTTTTATATAATTTTTCCCCTCCCCCCCCACCTGTCGCGCCTGCAGCGCCTCCCGGTGCAGCGGGGAGCCCTCCAGCAGCGCCAGCTGGGGCTCGGGGGCGCTCAGGACTGAGGGGGGGTGGCGGGGAGGGAGGGGGGGAAAGGGGAAACAAGACGTCATGGGTATCCTGCAGGCTGGGGCGGGGCACACACATCGAGGAAGGACAGCAGAGTACATGCAGTAGCGGAGTACATGCAGCAACACCGCTGGCAGCAGCACAATGCGCCACTACCCTCCCTCCTCTGCTCCCCCCACTCCCCCCCACCCGTTGCAAAGCGGTCCGGCAGTGCCGCCCAAAAGGGCGCTGCCTCCGCCTCCGGCTCCCGGCGCTCCACACAGCTCCAGATGAGCGCGATGGAGTCGTCGGAGAGGCCCAGCGGCAGCGCACACAGCACCTTGCCCTGTGTGTGGGGGGGAGGAGAAATGAATGAAAAGTGAAGCAACGGAGGGGGAGGAGGAGGGAACAAGGTGTTCATGCAGCATGATGATGCGGTACATGTGACCTTGGCCCCACTCCGGAGTCCGGAGGTTCACTTTCCCGCCCCCGACGCGTGATGATGGCGCGGGAAGCGGCTGGCTGCAGGTGTGCACATGCGCGACCACCACCCCATCTCAGCTACGGTCAAGAGTACTACAACACGCGGCAGATACCAGTTGCCTTGCACACAAAGACACACACCCAAACACACACACAGTTATTTTAACACACACACACATCCCGCGCCGCACCAGGTCCGACTGCTTGGCCGTGTCGTACGATATGAGCAGGTCCTGGGGAACATGCAGCACCACGTCACCCGGGGACACGGGGGTGTCGGCACGGAGGCCCCGCAGCGGGGGCGGGCCCGAGGAATAGGGGGCGGAGGGGGGAGGCGCGCCGCTGCCGCATGCAGTGCCGCTGCTGTCGCCGTGCGCCCCTGCGCCGAACAGCGCGGGTGACGCGGCGCCCGTGAGCCCCCGCTGCACGCACCACCTGAGCAGCGCCGCCTCCCGAGAGGCCTCCTCGAAGCTCCGACCCGAGCTGCTGGGGCTGGGGGCGGCGGCGGCGGAGGAAGGGGCCTCGCCCGCTGCTGCATGTACCTCCCCTCCGTCCACCTGCTGCTCCTCCGGCGGCAGCGCGGCCCCCAGTCGGGTGCAGTAGGAGGCGCACAGCGAGTGCAGCTCTGCCACGTCAGCCGGACCGCCGCGGCACACGACTGGGAAGGGGGGGAGAGGTTGTGGGGATGGGCAGGGGTTGGGGCTTGGAGGCGCACATGCAAGCAGCAGGTTACAGGCAGGGATGTATGGGCCACGGTTTGATGGCTTAGCCATCCCCTCCCCCGCCTCCACTATCCATTCCCTCCCCCTCCACTTGTCACCAAGTGTTGCCGCTATCATTTCAACGCATGGCTCTTCTTCTTTCCCCCTCCCCGCCTACCCGGCTGGTGGTCCAGCAGCCAGGACAGCGCCGCTGCCTCATTGCGGGGACTGATGGGGCGCGAAAAGTCGGGTTTGGGGTTCCAATAGGCCTCGTCCTTGGGGTGGGGAGGGAGCACAGGTGGGGGGAACTGGCTGGATGGAGGAGGGGTGCGGTCTAACTGGCTGAAGGGGCGCTCCTTAACAGCCAAAGGCCTGACCAGGTCGTTGGTTGCCCGCAACGCTGGCCTTACCAGACACGACGCCATGGTGACCCATCCGATAGCAGTGTACCAGTGTTCCCCGGACACAACCCTGAGCGACCCCACCGTACCTCAGATAGGCATTTTTGTCGAGCTGCGATGAGGGCTTTGACGACAGCGCTGGCCATGATCTCCGAGTACTAGTCAAAATTCGCAAACACGGCTTGGAATAGTTGCCAGTATAGAATTGGCGACACGCTCCGGTTTGGCTCTAACGCAGCATTAGCAAATGGCGAGCTCCCTAACGGCGGCGCGAGCAAGTGAAGAATCACGTGAAGTGCCTTATATACGTCAGTTAATGACCATGATGAATGTAAAGCTCTTCAGCCTTAACATGCCGATGCCGTGCAGCGGGGTGTTGTCGTGTTCCGTCAGCAATCCTAGGCTTCATCTATCCTCAATAACGCAATTACGCCTGTGTAACTGCTATTTTAAAGAGCCTAAAACATTTACCTACACTTCCGTTTGTCTAGGCTTTTCTATTTTAGTTGTCTCGTCAACTTCCAAGTCACCCCTCTTGCAGACGCTGTCAGATAGTTTTTTGTCTTGCTGTGCTTAGGCTAAAAACCTTAACCTTACTAGGCTTTAGGCGGCCCCCACGGGGGTGCGCCACAAACTACTAGAAAATGACGGCCCTCGCTAATGCCATTAAGCGGAAGACGCATAAGGAGCGCTCACAACCGTGAGTGCATGTTTTATAATGATATGCTGTTGCCACTGGAGTTGGCTTCCCAGGCCACGTTAAGGGCTTTAGCCGCCGGGGCTGGTTAGCTTTGTTGCCTGTGCTATAGCGGTCAGGAGATGGGGTGTACATAGTTGCTAACAGGAAGTGAAGGGCGCGTTGTCAAGCGTGCACGCGCTACTATGGTCTGACCCGCCGGTTCCATGGCCGTGGCGATGGCCTCCGTTTGCCCCCGGGTGGAACAGGGCGGCGCGCCAGAAGTTTGGCTTGCTCGAAAAGCACAAGGACTATGTGGAGCGTGCGAAGAACTTCCACAAGAAGGAGAAGGTCCTCAAGGTAGGCCCCAGCGCAACACGGTATGCTGCGGTGCAGGGTTGGCACGCCCTGGCAGCTTTAACCCATCTTAGCAGCCTTACTTCAGCAGCACCGCTGCAGCCGCCACCGCCAGCTACCCTGCTGTCTCGCCACCCCACTCCCACCACCCTCACCACCGCCCACCTGCCTCGCCACCTTCCTCCCTCCCGCTGCCTCCTTTTCTCTCTCCCCTCAGACCCTGAAGCGCAAGGCGGAGGAGCGCAACCCAGATGAGTTCTACTTTGCCATGGAGAAGGCGCGGACCAAGGAGGGGGTGCACGATGGCAGGTGCGCTGCTCCCCACTGCTGGCCGCTGCTACCCGTATGCTGCTGCTCACACGCGGCAGCAGCTGAGGAATACCTTCGCTCAGGGCACCGCCCCGCTCTGCTGCCACGGCAGCAAGCACAGCTGTAAATAGCACCGCACGGTTACTGTGTACCGCTAGCCCTTCTCCTGCAGAGAGGCACCGCTCCGTTGCCGTATACTCCGCTAGGATACCCTGCTGCTAAAGCCCAAGCCCGAGCAAGCCCCTGTGTTCCCACACACCATGCCATACCCCCCCAGCCCTAACCCCTTATAATAATCCCTTTGTGCCCTCCACTACCGGCACCCCCCGCGGCGCCCTTCCCTCCCTCCCCCGCCACCCAGGCTCACCCAGGCCAACAAGTACACCCAGCAGGAGCTCCGACTCATGAAGACGCAGGACGTCAAGTACCTGTCCATGAAGGCGACACAGGACGCCAACAAGGCGGCTCGGCTGCGGGAGTCCCTGCACTTCATTGGAGCGACAACAGCAGCACCGGCAGCAGCCGCGCCAACAGCCGGCAGCCGCAAGAAGGGGGGTGCAGCACCTGCCGCAGCAGCAGCACCTGCTGCGCCGCGTCACACGGTGTTTGTGGACAGCGCTGTTGAGGCTGCTTCCTTCGACCCGACAGAGTACTTTGACACGCCGGCGGAGCTGCTGGACCGGACCTTCAACCGGCCGCGGTCGGCGCAGCTGGCAGACCGGAAGGCGGTGCTGGGAGCGGCGGCTGGCAAGGGAGTGGAGAAGTGAGTAGGGGCAGGACTATCGGGCCATGGAGCCCTAGCATTCCGGTGCTTCATTGCTTACTTCTTAACCACCACCACCACTGTTTTACTTCTCCTCCCCGTTCTCCAACACCTTGTTCACCACCACCACCCCCTTACCTTGCTTCCCCACCCCCACCAGGCGCAAGTACGCCTCCTATAAGGAGCTGGCTCAGCGTCAGGAGCGGCGGCAGAAGGTGGCTGCGGTGGCCGACCACCTGGCCTACCAGAAGCTGGTGATGGGCAAGGGGCGCAAGCGGAAGCTGGGCGCCAAGGAGCTGCGGGAGGCAGGACTGGAGCCGGAGGCAGCGGGCAAGGTGTTTGTGTGGAAGCGTGAGCGGAAACGATGAGGAGCCAGGAGTACAGGAGGTGGAGAGAGGAAGGTGGTGGGGGAGGATGAGGGTTGTTTAGGGGTGGAGGGCTGCTGGGTTGGGAGGAGGTTAGGGGGTTTGCCAGAGGTTGTACACTTGTGTGCTCGGTGCCGGTATGGGCCTCTGTGGGGGTGCATGAGCAGCATGACGACGTGACGACATGTGGCTGGACCCGTGTTTCCTTGTGAGGTTGGGTTCTATTAGCTTGAATCGCTGCAGTGTTGGCTGTGTGTACATTTATACGTGGAGAAAACCAGCAGTGTATGCTTCGAACCGCTCATCCGTCTGTCATCGGGAGTGAACCGGCATAGTTAGTCCCAGTAGGCAGCCTGCCCGCATGCGCTTCTTGACCCCGGACATCATTTAACCGACTTCAGAGATGGGAGACGCAGCATTGGCTTTCAACAAACGTATGTGGTTACACGTAATGCGCGTATATACGCATCCACCTACCTAGTATTTGATGCACCTGAGTGCCAGCACGCAAGCCACTCCAAAAGGCTTCAGCGAACCGTCAACCAGCATTTATTGGTAACATGTATATGCAGTGTTGTCTGCTGTCTTATTCCCTCGGCTACCATACCACCCTATCTTGATTGCCCCATCCTGAGCCCAATGCTCGGCACGTACTTTCGAGAAGCATGTCTGCCGACCTGCCCTATCATGTCCTTATGGGTAATCACAGTCCGCGGTATTTCGAAAACAAAATTTACTCAAAAGGGGCGCGTGCCCAACCCCTGCCGCTGACCCCATACTCTCCGTACGTCTATGTCAGATCCAGACGTGCCAACATGGCACAACCCTTCCGTACCCAGATCCCAATCCGATAACTCCCATGCTGCAACCCCTCGCTCCTCGTATCGCGCAGTCCCAACCTACCATCCGCTCCTCAAGCCTCCCAACCTCCCTTCCTAGCAATCCACTCCACTCTGCACCCTACTCCTCACGCCTCCTCCCACACCCCGCATCCAGATCAATAACCCTATGCCGTACACACCACCCGCAGCTCCTCGCTCCCCCCCGCTCCCCCTCACTACCCCTCACTCCTCTTTACTCCCCCTTCACTCCCGCTTGTCTAGGAAGTAGCCCACCGCCGCGTAGCTCGCCGCCACCGTCAGCACACGCGGCAGCACGTACGACAGCACGGGCGCATGCGCCGCCGCCTCCAGGATCAGCCCGCCCACACCCAGCACAATGAGCACCGAGTTGATGGGCAGCTTGGGCAGCCCGTTCTCGCCGATGGTCCAGCCGGCGCCGCTGCTGGCGTCGTTGGTGGTGTCGACCACCTTGATGGCGGTGGGGATGAGGCGGGTGAAGGGCACGCGGATGGCAGCTCGGCTGTCAGCGGCCTTCTTGGCGTTGAGGACAGTGCCCTCGGGCGCGAGCGTGGTGGGGTCGACGGAGGGAGCGGAGAGAATGAGGGTCATCATGTAGGCCACGCCGGCGGCGGCGCCAGCGGGCTCCGCGAGCAGGGAGAAGAGGATGTTGAGGCCGGGCAGGGAGTGCAGGACGGCATCGGCGACGATGGCGGCGCCGATGGGCAGCGCGCCGTCCACGGTTTGGATGCGCTCGATCTCCTTGTCCTTGTTCTCCGAGGTGTAGGTGGTCACGGCGGCGACTGCGGCGCCGGCCAGGCCGCTGCCGATGAGGTTGAGGAAAAGGTTGGTGTCACCGGCGGCAGCGGCCACACGGCGGCGCTGTGGCAGGACGACGGGGCGCGGGCCGAAGCGCGTGGCAGCGGCGCGGGTGGAGACGGCGGGGCAGGTCTTGGTGGCCAGCATTTTGGTGAAGCGCCTGTGAACATTTTGTGATGGGATGGCGGTTGGGAGGGCGCGGAGGAAGTTCAAGGGATATGGGTAAGACAGGTTGATTTATGGCTTTTGAACGTAGATAAGGTGAAGGGAATGTAGCGCCTTAGCCGGCCACGATTTAGCTATTTGGCAAAGGGCTATGGCGAAACGTATTGGCTATTGGGACTGCTCCGCCGGGCTAAGCTGTGGTGATATTGTGCCTGTAGATCCAGATGTGTTCCGAGGCCGTTTGTGCTGCATACAGCGCCAGGCAATTGCAAGTTCGGGCCAAGCGCCCTCCGCCTCCACTACCAATCGGACGCTTACTCATCGCTCCTAAGAGATTCTGAGACGCGCGTGTACTTACAAGACTACCTAATGAAACGCGGCTATTGGCCAAGCGATAATGCTGCGGGGCTACAATATGCTTCTCACCTGTTGCCAATTAACAAAGTAGTCGTGTAAAGGAGGGCTTCGCTGCTGGACACACAGAACTAGTGCAAGGTAGGGGTGATATGACCACTCCGGTATCAAAATCGCAATCGTATTGCGAGTCCCGGGGAGATCTCGTAGCCGTACGGAAGCTTTATGGTTCCTGGCCAACTGCTCTGCCCTTCTACATGGTCGCGAACTGCTATTTTTACTTCATCTAACCACGTGCCTAAATCTTGCAGCAATCGTCGTGACGTAAGTACCAACGTGCTAGTTGACATGGCGCCATGGCCTATGTTGAAAGGGAACATACGACGCAAGCCCTGCTTATGCTTGTCAATGCTTTTATAGGACTTGATCGTTATGGTAAGCGGCTTATCTACTGTCGATGCCCCAAACTTCAGTGAACCATGGGACTCCTGCACGTTGGTGTATAAAGAGTGTTCTTGACATTGACTCTTGCGTAGCACTTTAAAGCAATATGCTCTTTGAAGCAACCTATGTTTTTTACTTGTTGATGGCGACTACTTGCCGCGGATTGATAACAGCTGGATCCATCTGCAGATAGCAGATGACGTTAAAAGTCAACCCTGGCAAAGTGAAAGCGCTGAACTGAATTGATACATGCTCGTCAAACCGTGCATGATCAACTGTGCATGATCGAACACTTGTCATAGTCAACATAGCGGACTCTTTCGTGTCACGTTACATCCAGATTGCGGCGAAACCCAGATGCGCACCCCACCACCGGCCGGCCGTGTGACACACGGACGCAGGCCGCCCTACGCCGCACTGGTCCAGGCGGCCATACGCCCCTAGCGCCACGCAGCCGCCAGCCACCCAGCAGCCCCCCGGCTGCACCCAGCATGCCGCCAGCTCGCCGCCTGGCGGAGGGTCCCACACAACACCATGACCGCCGGGGTGCCCCGCATGTGCTGCCCGGAGCAGCACCAGCGTACCGCTTAACGGTACGACTTCTGGAACCGGGCGCGGGCGCCGCGACCACCGAACCTGCGCAGTGTTGGTAGTAGGGGAGGTCAGTAAAAGCGTACGCAGAGAAAGCATGTCAGGCATGAGGGCACAGCAGCCACGAGGGACAGAATGTGATGTATGCGACAAATGATCTAGCGGCTACCCTAGGGGCCTTTGTTCGCTTTCAGTCAACGCTTAGCCACAAGGACGCCTAAGTGTCTCAACACAGTCATGGAACTGCAGTAGCCGGTCCCGCCAACAAAACGCTATTTTCCTTAACGTTCCCATGTTCGTGAACCCAAAACAAAACTACCCACTTCTTGGGCTCGCAGCGGCGGGGATCAGCCACCAGCAGGGTCCTGTCGAACTGCAGGAGGGCATCCTTAATCTGCTGCTTGCTCTGCTCGTCCACGTACTTCTGGTAGAAGGCAACCACGGCCTTGGCAATAGCCTGGCGCAGGGCTGCGGGTGGCAGCAAGGGAGGGGGGTAACGTGGGAGGACGTTACCTTCACTGCGAAGCACTTCAAAAATTGCGGCGCATCCAATGGCATGCATAGTTGACGGGTCAACAGGCTTTAGTAGGTGTCAATGGGACCATGGCTGTGTTATTGACTCCGGCCATAAACTGCATAAGCTCTGCTAAATAGCGCCTGCTACAAGTGCACCACTGCTTCTATGCGCCGGTGCAACCATGCTGGCTCTCCAAGCTGCCCCCTGCCAACAGCATCGCCATGAGAACAGCGCTCCTGAAGATGCCTGCTGTGCCGATGCGCCCTGCCGAAAGCCGTTTTCCGCTGCTGCCGCATGCTCTGTGCCGGCTGCTCTGCCGCCGGTACGGCAACTACGTGCCTGCCGTGTGCGCTCCTGCTGCAGTTCACCAAGCTATCCCCCCACGACGGCGCATCCCCCGAGGCGCGTACCAGAAGAATGCAACCTTCCCACCCAGCCCCCTTCCCCACCCTACAATACCGCGTCCCACGCACCGTAGATCTGCGACACGTGGCCGCCGCCCTTGACGCGCAGGCGGATGTCCAGGTTCTTGACCTTCTGGCGGCCAATCACCATGATAGGCTCGAAGACCTTGAAGCGCAGGGCCTCAGGCTGCACCAGCTCCAGGGGCTGGCCTGCGGGTAGCGCAATGAGGAGCCACGATCGCAACGGGAGGTCGTAAGCTGGCGGCCCGTGGAGGATCATCATGGCTGATACCTAACATGCCCTTGCTGCGCCTGAAGCTGGCTCCCAAGACAATCCTGGACAGGTCCCAGATCTGAACTGAGCGGAGCGTCTCCGGCTGACTATTAGAGGCCATCCCAAGCTGGGCTGGGGCTGTGTTCACGTACTCCACCAGGCGCTGGCGTAGTCAGGCAGTTGCTGCACGCGGTAATATGGGGTCTTGTGCCCCAAGCCTCCTCCTGCCTCAAGCCGCTGCTCACATCGTGGCTCGCCACCGGGTGTCTGTGCTTTACTACGAAGCCCCCGGACTTGAGAGACCCAGATACGTGAGCCTCGTCCTCTATTACGAAAGACTTGCTTCTGAAGCAAGGTGTTTGTCAACCATATATATTAAGCAGAAAATCGGCATCCCTTCCCAAGTTGCAAAGAGTTCGTCCGCCGCCCTGCTGCGACCATCGCCTCCAAGTGCTGATGTAGACGACTAGCTTCCTCGCCTTAACTAGACTTTCTCTGTTGTATCTGCTGCCCCAAACACAGGAAGGACAAGTGCAACCGGCGCGTTAACGGCACTTACCATTCAGCTTAATGAGGCCGCTGCCCTGCTTGCAGTACGCCACCGCCACGGCGGTCTTCTACAATAGTTCAAAGAGAAAACACGTGCGTTCAGCCGTGGACGGGGCTAAGAAAACATAGTCGGCCGCCGCAAAGGGACAATCGGCTGAGTGCATACTGCGAGCGAGCGAGCGTACCTTGCGGCCGAAAGTCTGCACCGACTGCGCTCCAAGTAATCGCCAAGGTGTATCAGAGAGAGCAGCGCGGGCGAAAAGCCGTCAGCAAATGTTTTGGCGGCACCGCCGGCAACTATAGCATGTAACATACCTGCGTCGCCATTTTGGCAGCCTTTCTATACGCAAACTGCGGAAGAGAGAGGCCTTTGCGTAGCAAGGTGTGACTAGTACCCCACTGCCCAAGGCTCCAGGGTGGCCGCATCCCTTTGCTCTATGAACAAGACAATGCACCGCAACAGGTTCAACTTCAATTAATTGTTCGGCTTTGAATGGTTACATTTACACTGGCTAGGATAGGGGCAACGAGTATTAGCATGTTGCGGACTGTATGGAAGCGAAGCACCTCAGAGACTCCGTGTTCCCGACATACTAAACGGACCATTAGACCGGCTGTATGGGCAGCAGCGAGAATACACCCGATATCTCTGGCGTGCAAGGTTTTGGGGGTTGGGCTCCCTGCAAGCGTGCGCCATGTGCTTTGTACCGAGCCCAATCTTCGCCAGACGCCAGTCTCCGATGCGACTACAAGTAAAATTGGTACACTTCCTGGCTTTAGCGACGCAGATTATGCGTTCATGGCAATGGCGCTGGATGAAGCTCGTGAGGCAGCAGCCGCAGGCGAGGTCCCTGTTGGAGCGGTGTTGGTGCATGACGGCCGCGTCTTAGCGCGGTCTCACAACCGCGTCCACTCGAGGCGGAGCCCGCTGGCACATGCGGAGATGCTATGCATCGCTGCCGGCGCAAGCAAGCTGCGTGCCTGGAGGCTCCTCGGCACCACGTTGTACGTGACTGTGGAGCCGTGTCCCATGTGCGCCGGGGCCATCATGCAGGCGCGCGTGGGACGCGTTGTGTACGGCACTCGTCAGCCGCGCCTGGGAGCAGATGGCAGTTGGGTTCAGCTCTTCCCAAGCAATCCAGTCCCGCAGGGCGGGGACGCACCCAGCGAGAGCTCTGATATCGTTAATAGTAGAGCTGCTTCTGCAAAGGCAGCTGGTGGTGCAGAGTTGGATCAAGGGTTGGGGTTGCAGGGGTCGTGGGGACGCCGATGCAGTCCATCCAGAGGAGCAAGCAGTGCTGGCATTGGGCTGGTGGGGGTTGTCGGTGTAGGTCGCGGTGATGGGAGAATCGCGAAGGAAACTTGCCAGGAAAACGCGTGTTGCAATGCGTGTAACGACGACGACACCGGCGCTGATCCGACAGACGAACTCCACATGCTAGATGCTGACGATGGTGCCTATCATAGTTGCTGTGCTGAGTCAAACGAGAGTGAAGACGCCGACAATCTTGCGAACAATGGGGCTTCCTTGCAAGCCTTGAACGTGCCGCTTGGGGCTGGGCTTGCTGGCAGCACGCCGCCCGTTGAGCCGCTGGGACGTCACCCCTTCCATGGCAGCATCCGAGTGCAGGGAGGGTGCAGGGCGGAAGAGAGTGCACAGCTGATGCAGGCGTTCTTTCGTAGGCGGCGTCAGGAGGAGCGGCTTACTTGGGAAGCTGGGTAGCTGTGTGTGTGTGTTAAGAAAACTGGCCACATGTGTGTATGGCTGGATTTGCAGCAGACCGGGTGGGGCTGTGGCACGGGTACTGGAAGGCAGGTTGCTGTCTTCCGGCAGTTGGACGTCCGTTTGGGTGTCAGGCTTCTTGTATCTCTTTGTTGGCAACTGGGTTAAGACAGGGTTGGGGGAGAGGTGTTTTTCCTTACATATCGAACATAGTGATAAGCCAAGTCCAGGCATGGTGTTCATTTGCCATCCTGCGCCTGCTGGACATGTGCAGCAGGTGCGGTACTACCTGCTGTGCTACACCGGTCCACCGTGTGCATGCAAAGCACACAACACATGCATCACGCACATGGGTATGAAACCAATGGCTGTGAATTGCCTATCCTACTCCAGCTCCTGGCTTACGGATGTGTCACGTGGCTCCTTGCTCTGCAGCTCATGTAAAATACATTATTGTACTTATGGACGCAGTTCCCTTTTGTACATCTACTTCGAAGCCATTGCTTCAAGGAAAAGGTGCCCACCCTTGTCTCCGCACTTGTTTGAGGGAGGGTCCAACGCAAACCCTGGTCTAACCTTGTCCCACCTTGCCTTGCCCCGTTGCCCAGTAGCGTGACCGGCAATAAAAAGGGCATGGCCCCCACTCTAAGCACCCCACCCAGGCCCAGGCCCAACACCAATGTAGGGTATGTACACATACTCGACCGGCTCGGGTGGACAGCATGGCCAGCACAGTTACGCGGCCGCTGTGCCGCACGGTACGTTCCCAACTGCGATACGCTGCAAGACACGCTACAAGATGCCGTACAACACGTCTTCGGAACACGTTAGCTATCTGCTACCCGCCCCATGGGCACACTGTTTTCGGAGCTCTGCCGCTGCCACAATTACAACATATAAAAGAATGCTCCATTCCCCACTACCCTACCGCATGCAATCTGGATCCTAATAATCCTTCATGCCCGGCGCTAAACCCAGCGGCTACCGTGCCCGCCCCACCTCCCGCTCCCCACCCTCTTCCAGTCTAATCTTCCATGGTCACGGTCAGCATTCACGGCCAGCATCCAACACAGCCCACTTCCAACACCCTCTGGCCCTTACTACCAGCCCACCGCACGAGTCGGGCCAAGGGACGTGTAACCCAGTCCTCCACGCGCACTGCCTACCACCTTGCCACCTCCCTGCCGCCTCCCTGCCCCCTCAGTACCAGTCCGCCGGGTTGTCCTCTGCCGGCAGCCTCTCCACGAAGGGGAAGCTGCATGCGCGGTGGTAGCGCGAGTTGGCCTCGGGCCCCCCGAACAGACTGCTGGAAGCGCCGATGTGCTGCACCAGCGACCGGCCGCTGTCAAAGGAGGCCACGCCCATGGAGCCCAAGCAGGTCTTGAGCGGCCAGTCCTGGGAGGGAGCGGGAAGGGCAGGAGGAGGAGGAGGAAAGAATAAATGAGAAGCGCAGCAACTGGAGCCCAAATCCCAGGAGAGGAGGGAAAAGGGAGGGGTAAATGGTTTGTTTGAAAGGAGAAGCGGAAGAGAGGTAGGCCAGCAGGGCGTGCAGCGTCTGGAAAGGACGTAGCGGCCCCCGCCCACCCTTAGCCGTACAGCTCGTCATACAGCTCATCCGTTCCCTCTCTTTACCCCTTGCCGTACACGCGCCCCACCCACCTTGTATCTGCGCTGCTTCTCGTACTTCTTGTCCGTATACTGCAGAAAGCACTCCGCCAACCGCCGCCGGAAGCGCCCGTCCGAGAAGTACAGCCCCTGTGCGCCCCATCGGTACGCCCGCGGCTTGGCCTTGTAGCCTAGGTGCCGTACCATGTCATCACTGCTCTGACTGTCATCCGCGGCCTTTCCGCTGCCGCTGCTGCTGCTGCTACTGCTGTTGTTGTCATCCTGGCCCTCGCCGCCAGAGGTGACGAGTACGGCACCCGGGCCGCCGGCGGCGGCGGATTCGATGGCGCCGCCGGGCGCGTAGCGCGCTGCTGTGATGAGGGGTGCGAAGTCGGTGGCGGTGGCGTTGCAGGTCTGCGCGTGGTGCTCGCGGATGGCTGCGGGCGGGCCGTACTTGCCGGAGTGCATGTAGAGCTTGATGACGAAGGGCTTGCCGCCGGTGCGGCGGGCGGCGTGGGTGGCCACGGCGTGCATCTGGAGAGGCGATGAGGAGGAGGGAGGAGAATTCAAACGGTTCATACCACAGGTGAGGGAAAGGCATTAGGGAGAGGAGGCGGCGGCATCTGGGCGCTAGAGGGGAGATCAGGCAGGGAGAAGAGGGTCTAGGGTACCGTACTGTAGGGGGCTCACGGGTTCGGGCTCTAACAGCATGAATTTCTCGCCACCCCTGCCCTTCGCGACTCCATGCAATCCCTCCTTGACGCCCCACCCACGGGACCCACCCTCCACCGTAGTTTACCTTGCGCGGGAAGTCATCCACCAGCCACACATCGTCCTCGAGGAACACAGCCGGCAGGTCGCTGCCGCCCCCGCTGCCGCCACTAGCACCGCTGCCGCTGTCATCGCTGCCACTGCTGTCACTCTTGTCACTGTCGTTACTGTCACTGCTGTCGCTGCTGCCGGCCTCGGTGGGGACCGCTGAGGGCTGCCCCGGGGCGCCCGGCACCAGGTCGGGGGCGCGGAGCAGCCTGAGGGAACAGGGGAGCAGCGGGGGGCAGCAACCAAGCGGTGGGGCCAAGGCGTGGGGGCGGCGGAGTTACTGACCGATCTCCCAGGGACGCGCTGAACCGTCCCCTCAACAGCCATCTTATAACCCCCTCCCAACCATCACCAGCTCAGCCCAGCACCACCACCAGGACAAACGCTGGCACTACTTACTGGTAGAAGGTGTTGCGCGCGCGCATGGAGTTGGATGCGCCCGACATGTCGTACAGGCTGACCCGCACGTGGCTGCCCATGTGCGCCAGGTTGTGGACCAGGCTGAAGTTGAGCAGTCGCGCGTCGCTGAGCAGCAGGTGCAGCGCGGAGGCGTGCAGCATGGCGCCGCTGGCCATGAGGCTCACCAGGCAGGAGGAGAAGGTGGCGCCGTACTGAGACCTTGGGGTGGGGAGAGGTGGGGCAGCAGGGGTGGGTGAGGAGGACGGAAGAGGTGCGGTGGGGCAGCAGGGGTCAGATAAGAACTGAACCACGGAAACACTGACTCTGATTGTAGTATACCGCATAAGCAGGGACCGTAGTATAAGCAGGGGTTGAGAAGGTGGTAAGGAAGGGGCAGCTGTAGTCCCTGCCGGGCCGCGCACGTCAACCCGCCAGCCCAGTGCGTTTTCCGGTCCAGCCTCTCGCCCGCGCAACGCAACCCTCCTGTCTCGCCCCTCCTGACCCCTCTGCGGGGCAGGCGCGACTCTCTCCCTCTGCGATCTCCCTCTCCTACCTCTTCCCTCCCTCCTACCTGTACCCCGAGCTCAGCGCAATATCGAACTTGAACTGCTCCAGGGGCGGCACCACCACCTTGGGCTCATCGGGGGAGGCGGAGGAGGAGGAGGAGTCAGCAGCAGCCTCGGCTCCCTCCTCGGTTGCTGCAGCAGCAGCAGCAGCCGCCTCCTGTTGCCGTACTCGCCGCTCCATTTCATCGTCCTCCTGCTGCAGCTGCTCGGTATCAGCCGAGGAGGAGGAGGAGGGCTTCTTAGAAGAAGAAGATGAGGAGGAGGAGGAGGAGGAGGGCTTATCGGCGGTAGTGGATGCGACTTGCTTGCGGTTCTGCTTGGCAGACTGCATCTGCCTGGCCACCCCCGCAACAGCAGCAGCTGCTGCAGCTCCATCACCCCCGGCGTCACCACCAAACTCCCGCAGACGTCTACGCCCGCCAGCCGCCTGAACCTCCCACATCTGCTCCGCACCCGCCTCCTCCGCCTCCGCCTCCTCCGCCCGCTGCTCCTCCTGCTGCTGCAGCCGCTGCAGCTGTGCCAGGAGCTCCTGCAGGGTCGCAGGCTCCCGCCCGTCGGGACGGCCGCAGCCCAGTGCCGTACGGAGGCGGTCTGTGGTGGTTGAGATGGCGGTTGCGGTAACGGTCATGAGCTGGCGGTCGGACGGGCGCGGGCCGCCGCTGAATCCTAGCTGCACCGCTGCAAACAGACCCAGCAGCATTCCCGTGAAGCAAAGCGGGACCAGGAAGGTGCGGAGGGGCGAGGAGGAGGAGAAGAAGGAGGCATGGTGGGAGGCGGAGGAGCAGGAAGGGCTTCGAGGAGAGGGAGGTGGCGAGGAATTTGACATGGGCTGGGTCCGCTGGGTGCTTTGTAGGCGGGGTTGAGGAGGGTTGAGGGAAGGGCTGAGGGGCTGAAGGGGCGTCGCGAGGTCCCGAGGCAAGCCGCGGTAGTAGGGTACTCGGCGAGTGGTGGTGCCTCAGCTGCCGCGGTTGGCGACTGGCGTTGCCGTGTTGCAGCAGCAGGCGATGAACGCAGCAAGCCACTGATCCGACTGCGGCGAAGGGGAAGAAGGGGCAGGAATGTATGGTCGCAACTGCCGTTGGAAATTCGAGGCAGTGGCAACGAGTTAGAAGCCAGGTCTTGGTATATGAAAGTTTGAGAGTAGGCAAGTTGTTTTGCAGCGAGCACGATTGTGCGCAGGGAATTAAAGTCAGGGCCACGCGGAGGAGCTGGTGGAAAGAGGCCAGGTCGGGGGAACTGCAACGTCTCGTGGCATGTTTCCAGGAACATCCTTACCTCAACGAAGCTTGAGAGCTGGCGCACTATGCAGTGTATGAGCGGGCGCGAGCATTCTGCTTTTATGCTTTCCATGAGTCCCAGAAGGAAGTTGGCGTGTGTCTGGCAGGCGAGACGACAAGCACGAGGCAAGGGCGCTAGGACAGAACACTCGGACGCGACGGTCTTCATCGGCTGTAACTGAAAGCCAATCGTAAGCGGCGACGAGGTTTCGCGTATTGACAGCTGGTTTCTATGGGTAATTGCTACGATGGCAGATTGTCGACGACACGACCGTTGTCGATGGCAATGTCGCATGGAGTCCGGCCCACGATGAGCCTTGCGATGGCGACGTGCTACCATGGGTACAAGTGAATTGAAACTTATCACCATGACGACGATATCGGGAGAATCCGCAGCATAATTTCCCGCCTACCAAAGCTCGCACTACCGGGTATGTCGTACGTTAATCCTAGTAGCTCACGTGCAGAGTTCCTTGCGAGATGTAGAGGGATACGTTGTTGTTCAGCATCACCGTTGAGGTTTGACCAAAAGGCTTCGGAAGACAGGTTCTTTATTTCGTTTTGAAGCGAGCTTAGGTTCCGTCAAACATTGATCTTTGCAACGCACTTCATTATTCCATCTTTACCTGACAGCGATATACATCACCACCTACAAAGGCGATGCGCCTTCGGACCTACCACGCCAGGGCTCAATCCAGCCCATGCCAAAGTCGCGCCCCACGCGTAGTTAGACCAGTTGCGCCTTTCAGGGCGTTAATCTCGACATGCGGTATCAACCGCGGATCATGGTTATGTCGGGCGGGACCTGAAGGAATATCCGGAGTCGCGCAGCCGGCTGCGCAGCCGTCGCCGCTTGAGGAAATCGCAGCTGCCGGGGACCCCGAAACCTTCGCCACAAGCACCGGCGTAGTGGAGCCCGTGGACGAGGAAGAGGCCGGGGTGGGTTTCATTCCCAGGCGAAGACCGCGCGACGTAGCCATACCCGCGACCCGCGACGATAGCCCGGCCCAAGCACACACAGCAGCCACGACTACGCCACGTCGCCTCCCCTCCCCCTCTCTCTCATCACCCCGCCCCGCCTCATCACCCCCACCCTTCTCCTCCCCTCTGCCGCCCCTCCCTCCTCACCCTCCGCCGCCCCTCTTAGATCGACTTCCTGGGCGAGAGCACCGAGGGCGACCTGCAGATCCACCTGAAGGACTCGCTGCAGCACGGCAAGGCTGACGTCATCAACGTGTTCGGAATGCGCTCGCTGGATGACATCTACGAACTGCCGCTGGCTAAGCTCAAGGCGGCAACACAGGTGGGCAGGGTGGGGGCGCTGGGGAGGAGGGGTTAGGGAGGTACGGGGAGGCGGCAAAACACAGGTGGGGAAAATCATAGAAGTGGGCGGGTGGAGGCTAGGGAGGGGCGGGTAGAGGGTAAGATGCAAGCAGGTGGCATACCTGGCTCCACCATGGGTTGCAGCAGGGGTGCCGACCTGCCAGTCCGCAACCTGGGTCAGCCAAGCGGAGTTGGGGGCGGGCGAGGAGGGAGGGTCGGGAGGGGCGGGTGGGTTGTAGGAGGCGGCTACGCGGATGGGCGGTGCGAGGCCCGGAGCAGTTCCGGGAGCAGGGCGGGTGGGGGGCAAACGGGTTGGGAGCTGAGCATGGGGCAGGTGGGGGTGTGAGCGGGTGTGAGCCGGGTGGGGAAGAAGCTGGGAAGGAGCCCGGGAGGACGGGGGCGGGGACAGGGGCAGGTGAGGGGTAGGCTGAATACCGTGGGTGGGCTGGAGCGGTACAGCTGGGGCCGGGAAGGGAAGGGAAGGGAAGGGAAGGGAAGGGAAGGGAAGGGAGGAGAGCAGCTGGGCGGCGCTGGGGGCTGTAGTCCGGAGGGCAGTGGGGCAGTGGACGAGAGGGGGAGGGGCGCGGTACATGGATGGGGGAGGGGTGTAACAGGGGGAAGTACGAGGAGGTGGTGGGCTCGGGCGGTGGCGAGGGTGTAACCGGACGCTGTACGCAGAATTACTGCCGCTAAGGCTAACTGAGCGGGGAGGGGGCCACCGAGGTCCGGTAAGCTCTTGAAACGGGGTCTCATCGCTTCCCGCCCTCCGTGCCGCCGCTGCCGCAACAGCTCCTCACCCTACCCCTCCTCTCCTCCCTGCCCCTCCCTTGCCCCTTACCCCCCTGCCCCCCCTGCCCCTCCCCTCCCTTCCAGAATGTGTTGGACGTGTTGGATGTGCCCGAGTCCTTCCCCGAGGGCAACCCGCAGCGCGCCATCTACTGCAGCCGCACACTCAACCTCAGGTCCATCAAGGCTATAGGTGGGGGGGGGGGCGGCGGCAGGGGGGAGTGGAGAAAGGGGCGGGAATGCGGGAGGGGCGGGGAAAGGAGGGAGAAAACCCTTGTGAAGGAGCGGGAAATGAGGGGACGGAGGAGAGCAGGGAGCCGCGGGGAAGGGGAAGGAGGAGGAAACTGACGAGCTGTGTGACACGGACTCACCACGGGGTGCGTACATGGTAGGGCGGGGAGGGGGGAGGAGGGGCACCCCAGCACCACCCAGCTGGCGTTGGGGGCCACCCCAGAGCTGCAGGTTGTGGCCCCCCAGGCTGCCGGGGCTTCTGGGACATGCCTGCTTGCTTCACCTCTTTCTCCAACCGCCTCTGACCTCCCTCCCGCCTCCTTCTCCCTTTGTTTATCCCCCCTCCTTGTAAACCGCCTCCCTGGGCCCTACGGACGCGTGGCCACCTTGCCTCACCCTCCCCCCACCTGAACACCTCCTTTGCCTGGGCTGCTGCGGTGTGCGGCTGCACTGCTGCTGGCCGGCAGGCTACGACATGGTAAGTGGGTGGGTGGGTGGGGGGCGGGTGGGTTTAGGGTGGTGGGTGGTGGGTGGGGGGCAAGCGGCGCTTGTGGACCTGCAGCGGTGCAGCACAGTGCGGCACGGCGGCATGTGGCATGCTTCCTCGGAATCATGTGGTATCATGTGGCACAAGGGCGCATCACGACCAGACTCAGCCCGAGCAAACAGCAAAAGAGTAGCCGGCAACAAGGAGGAGCGAGCTCAGCTGAAGTACTGCATGCAACCCTCCTCCCCCACCTATACCTCTACCTCCCTGACTACCTCTCTTCCATGCACCAGGCGCTTGTCACCCCTGCTTTGCCATTCTCGTCCAACACATTGGGTCTTCTTCTTCCCCCTTCCGCCTCCCCTTCCTCGTTGCTTCACTTTTCATTTATTCTCCCTCCCCTTCCCCTATCCAGCCTCATGCGGAATCTTCATCCCTATTAACCCCCTCCCCTCCCCTCCAGGACTACACGCTCATCCACTACGACGTTAACGCCTGGGAGGGGCGCGCCTACGAGTACGGTCTGGAGACGCTGCGGCAGCAGGGGGTGCCGGTGGACGGTCTGCGGTTCGACCCCGACCTGGTGATACGGGGGCTCATCATGGACAAGGAGTACGGCAACCTGATCAAGGTGGACAGATTCGGGTGAGAGGAGCGGGGGAGGGAGGAGGAGGACAGAGGAGAAGAAATAAATGAAAAGTGAAGCAACGGAGTGGACGGAGGGGAGAGTGGGAGGGGGAGAGTGAGGGTGGGGGGTGGGAGTCCTGCTGCGCCACTCCTGCCCTCCTGATCCCGAACACGTCCCCCCCGGCGAGCACTAGCTCTCCACTTCGTTCAGCCCTCTCGTCCCCTCGTGCAACCCATGGTGGAAGCACGGCCATGCGGCTAATTGGCTTCTTCCCCTCATGACCCTGCCTCTTCCTCCCACCTGCCCCCCCCGCCTCTTCCATTATATCATTCGAGTATTCCTACAATGTTTTCCTCCCTCCCCTCCCCCCCCGCCCCCCAGTCTCGTGAAGCGCGCCATGCACGGCACGCGCATGCTGAGCTGGCAGGAGATCCGCGAGCTGTACGGCAGGGAGGTGGTGAACCTGCGCAACGAGGGGCGCTGGGTGTTCCTCAACACGCTCTTCTCGGTCAGCGAGGCGGTCATGTACATGCAGGTGGGGGGGAGGGAGGGCAGGGTGGGGAGGGGTAAAGAGGTAACAACTAACTGAGGCAACATGTGAGCCAGCCCGACCCGCCCAGCCCGAATTAGCCAAGCCAGTACGTGTAATGGACTTACCGTAAGAGGGAGGGGAGCGGAGCAGGGCGGGAGGAGGTTAATGAAAAGTGGAGCAGCGGAGTGGGGAGGTGGGAAATGGAACGCTAGGAGGAGAGGCTACATCTTGCCGTCTCTCGCCCTGCTATACCTGCTGCGGCGCCTGGTATCGTTTGTCCCTCAATGCCCCTGAACCCTAAATTCTCCTCCCTGGCCCCCGCCCTCCCCTCTCCCCCTCCCCCCGAACCCAACTGCCGTACCCCAGCTTGTGGACCGGCTAGACCTGGGCATGTTCCAGGTTGGGGCGGGCAACATCAGCTACCAGGCGCTGTACGGCATGGTGAGCAAGGCGCTGTACCGCACACACGTGGAAGGCAAGCTGAAGGCGGAGATCATAAAGGTGTGGGGGGGGTGGGCTGGAAGGGGTGGGCTGGAAGGGGTGGGCTGGAAGGGGTGGGCTGGGAGGGGTGGGCTGGAAGGGGTGGGCTGGAAGGGGTGGGCTGGGAGGGGTGGGCTGGAAGGGGTGGGCTGGAAGGAGTAGGCTGGGAGGGGTGGGCTGGAAGGATCTAGCAACTTGTAATAAGGTGGGAGGGGAGGATTGAGAAGTTAAGCGCTGGAATCCCGCGTAGCCCGACTATGCCGTGAGCGCAACAACAGAAGCTACATGTGCGCCCCCACCCTCCCCTGCTTGTCAGCTGGTTGGTTGTTCCCTCCCCTTCACCTCCCTCCCCGCCCACCCCGCTCCTCCCTCCCCCCTGCCGCCTCCCATCCCCTTCGTCTTGCCTTCACTTGCGGTTTGGTTCTTCATTGACCCTCCTAACTGGTATTTCCTTGACCCCCCCACCCCCTCCCCCGCCCCAGGCCCCCGAGCGCTACGTTGAGATGGACCCCGAGATGGCCCAGGCGCTGCTGGACCAGCGGGACAGCGGCAAGCAGCTGCTGCTCATCACCAACTCGGACTTTGAGTACACCAACAAGGTGGGGGTGGGGGTGGGAAGGGGGATTTTGGCCCTCGGGAGGGAAACAATAAGGAAAGTGACGAACTGAATGACGGGGCTTCACCATGGCTTCTAGCGGGTGGGGAGGGCAGAGAGGGTGGGGAGGGCAGGGAGGGTGGGGAGGGCAGGGAGGGTGGGGAGGGCAGGGAGCGAAACCAAACCCGCATGACACTGCAAGCGGGGTGCATGCAAGGCCTGCAAGGGAGAGCAGGAGGCGATGGGGGAGCAGAAGGGGTGCTAGAGCACGGTGTGAGGGGGTTAACGGCGAATCACGGTTAGTTGCATGCATTGATCAGGGGTTTTACCGCCCGGGTTGCCACTAGCAGCCCCGCTCTCATCCTTTTCCCTCCCGCACCCTTGCCCCCCGTCCGCTCCCCTGACCCTCACGGCATGGTATGTCTTGCCCCCCCTCCCACCCCTCCCACCCCTCCACCCACCCCTCACTCCCCACCCCAGATGATGTCGTACGCGTACGACCCCTTCCTGCCCTCCGGCATGCGCTGGCGCGACCTGTTCGACATGGTGATCGTGATGGCCCGCAAGCCCGACTTCTTCAACTACAACATGTCGCTGTACGAGGTGGTGACGCCGGAGGGGCTGATGCGGCCCGTGCTGGGGGCGTGCAAGGGGGGGCTGTACTGCGGCGGCAGGTGGGGCGGAAGGGGAGGAAGGGGAGGTGCAGGAGGGAAGGGGGGGGGGTTGGGTGTGTAGGGTTGACGAAAGGAGAATGGGGTGACGTTTTCCGGTGTCCAGCCAACTCGCTCCACTGCTTCGTTAGTAGCGATCCACATACTACTCTTTTCCTTCTGACCCCGCCCCTCGCGATTGTGTCTTGTGGATGTCCCACCTAACCTCTCCCTCACTCCTCTCCCCCCTTCCCCCTCCCCCCCCCCCCAGTGCCCGCATGGTTGAGAAGGCGCTGGGTGTGGAGGGGGACGACCTGCTGTACGTGGGGGACCACATCTACACGGACGCGGCGCTGGCCAAGATCAACTTCAGGTGGGGGGGGCGTGTGTAGTTGAGCAGAAACAAGAGCAAGCAGTTGGGATAGGTGGGGAGGCGCGTGTGTGCGAGTGTGTGAAGAAAACTGCGCTGTGTGTATGTGCGTGTGTATGTGTTGAAGAGCAACTGCGCACAGGTGTGGGAGCATGAGGGGTATGGGTTTGGAACAAAAAGTGGCTCGTGGTCTAACCGTGGCCCTTCCGCCCCCTCCTGATCGCCCCATCCTCCCTCTCAACCCCCTTCCCCCCCCCCCCCCAGGTGGCGTACTGCCCTCATCATCCGGGAGTTGGAGCTGGAGATCGACGCGCTGGCTCGGGGCCGCCCGCACCGCGACCAGCTGAAGGAGCTGATGACCAAGAAGGAGCTGATCGGGGACGTGTTCAACCAGCTGAGGCTCAGCAGACAGGTGGGCGGGGAGGGGGGGGGGGCCCGGGGAGGGACGGACAGGCGGGAAAGGGGAAGGGGAAGAGGGTCTCTCCGTCGCGTTGGTTAGTCCTCCGAATGCGCTCACTGCACGAGTCGGGATTCGGGATTGGGACTCCGTTGATGCACTTATCTATATTCCCCCCCTGCCCCTCCAGCGCTGGGTTCACGGCCACACCGCCGACTCCAGCTTCGACGACGAGGAGGGCATCAACGAGACGCTGGCGCAGCTGCTGATGGTGATGGAACACCTGGACGACAGGATCGGTGAGGGGGGGAGGGAGGAGGAGGAGGAGGAGGGGGGAGGGGGGGGAAGATTAGTTGAACTCTAGGGAAATCTCGCATGTTATTGCGTGCCATCGCTGTTGCCCTTGGGCAGTTGCGCCCGCTTTTCACCAAAGGCCACAAACCCTGACACCTACCCCTTCCGCCTTCTCTCCCTTCTCCTCCCCGCCTCCTTCCCCTCCCCCGCCTTACAGGCCCCATGCTGGAGCGCGACGGCGAGCACTTCAACAAGCGCTGGGGCTACCTCTCGCGCGCCGGCCTCAACGACAAGTCGCAGCTCAACCGCCAGATCGAGAAGTACGCGGACATCTACACCTCCCGCGTCTCCAACTTCCTGCGCTACACGCCGTACAGCTACTTCAGGTGCGACGGTGGTGGAGGGGGGTAGAGAGGGAGGTAGGGTAGAGAGGGAGGGTAAAAAGGGGAAAAACTGACGAGCTGTATGACGAGGGAGGGAGGGAGGGCGTGTGGGGCTGGGGTGTGGGGTATTGGTGAGGTGGTGTGGTGTGGGCTGGGTGGAATCGGACAGGCGGTGCTGTCTGGCTGGTACGAGGGTACAGGGCGGCATACGGACGTAAGGACTTGCTACGAGCCTTTCTGCTCTGGATGCAGACCTGCAGCTGCATGGGCTTGCTCCCTCGCTCCCGCCCACTCCCCGTGTTGGCCGGCCACCATGTTTGCACCCCCCCTTGTTGAAGCCTACATGTCATACCACTCGCCGGTTTCCTCCCTTTCACCCCCCTTTCTCCCCCCCTTCCTCCTCCCGCCCGCCCAGGTCCCCCTCCCAGTCCCTGGCTCACGACCGCAACCTCACCCGCTACTACAACACCATCGTGGCCGCCAGGAACGAAGCGGCTGCCGCGGGCGCCACCGGCAGCAGTGCTGACAGCACCCCCAGCAGCCAGCAGCCCCAGAACCACCACAACGGCTTTGGCGGCGGTGCAGTGGGAAGCGGGTCGTACTCGGAGGACAACAACGGAGGGGTGTTTGCGGGATTCGAGGAGGGCTTTGACTCGGACCCCGAGCACGAGCAGGACGAGTGCTGAGAGGTCGAGGGAGGAGGGAGGGAGAAGATGGAATGGGCGTGTAGGAATGGGCGGTAGAAGGGTGTTGGAAGCATGTAGAGAGGGCGTTTCCTCCCGGAGGAGGAAGGGCAGGGAAGGGGAGGGGAGGGAATGGCGTTGCACTGGGACCGAGTGTGCCAGGGGCTGCGGGAGAGTGGCAGCAGGGTGGGTAGGCTGGTGGGTAGGTAGACCATCTTGGACGTATTAGGAAGCCAACACGGGTCCGGGATTGTGACCCGTGGGTCAGTCGGCGGTAGAGCAATGACACACACACACATATGGCACAGCGTGCGACATCACTGACGGGGGGCTGGGAGCCGTGGGAGGGATTCCAGCCAGGGGGGGCCCAGGGCTTACCGTAGAAGCTGAAGAAGGAGGGGGTTCATGCGATCGCTCATTCGTCGTTGGTTGGTTGGTCGGTTGCTGTTAACTAGCTAACTGCCCTTTTGGGTCGGACCCTGAAAAAGGAGACCAGCAGCACTACTGTGGGGCCCAGAAGGGCCCACGGACATGTCTAGCACACTTATACACGCGCATTTCGCGTTTTGGTGGGGAGCGAGCTATAGAACCCTTGTGTTTGCTGTTAGTTATTTAGGTGTCCTGTGTGGTACCGGTATACGGGTGCGTGTGTGTGTACGTTTCGGTTATTGGTTGGCAGCTTTTAACACCTTGTGGCAAAGCAGGACGCTACTTGACAGCGCAGATGTTGGTGCCACGTCTTGATAGCCTCCCTTTGGTTTGTTCCATGTATGATTGGGCCGTTTTTATGGCCGCTCATGTTTTATGTCTCGATCAGGTGATGCTGGGTGGTTAGGGTGGTTAGGATTGGTGTACGGCAGTCGCCTGATACAGCGGTGGCTTTGCACGAAGAAAGACAGACTTGGCGTCTGTTTCTACGTACCGAGGCGGTTTACATGGCTGTCGCTTCTTGATGCTGGTTGTCTATAATCTTTACAAGCCCCAAAGGCCACGACTGGAAGCGTGTCAGGCTTGCGGGCAGGCCGTATTACGATGGCGGGGTTCGCCGGTGGGTAGGCGTTTGGCAGTGTATCTTGAACACACGTTAGGGGCAGAGCTCTGAATTGGGGGCGGCCCTTTCACAGCAAACGTTGGGAGCTCGGGACAGGAATGACTAGAAGAGACACAAAGATGGTTCCCGTTTGTTTATGTCTACACAGGTATAGCTGGTTTTGGGTGTTTTGCTTGTAGCGTTACACTGCCTCCGAGCTGCTCCGGGTAAGCCACTCATCCTGCAGGCCTCAACACCCCTGTCCAATGCGCAATGCCACGCTCATACAAGGCACCCCAACAACAACACCCCAACGCTCCAGGGAGCTTCAAACACACACTACACTCGCCCTGATCTGACCTGCTCGCCAGCTACCCCTGCTACGGTACCCCGACTCGGCCCTCCTCAACCCCCCTGTTCCAGCACACCAGGGACAAGCCAACCGACTGCGACATGTTGCCGGCAGGTACGTCCGCCTCCGCAGCCGTCTGCAGGCACCACCGCCCTCCCCCCTACCTCCTCGTCATACGGCTCATCCGTTTCCTCCTTTTATCCCCCACCTCCTGCTTCACCGCTCCCGCTCCCGCCAATGCACGGTACATGGCTCCCTCTTCTTCTCACTCACCCCCGGGCTACCGCTACCGCTGCTGCTGCTGCTACCGCTGCTGCTGCACGTACTCCGCCTCCGCCCCCATCATCCCCAGCAGCTGCACCAGGCACCAGCCCAGCCGCTCACACCTCGCCTCCGCATCCGTACGGCCCGCGCGCTCAGCCACCAATGCAGCTTGCGCGGCCGCCAACTCGGCTTTCAGACTCCGTACAGTCTCCGACTCCTCTGCCGCCGGCGCCGCTGACTGCGGCTGCGGCTGGGTGTCCATGTGTTGTTCGTGCCGCCGCTCGGGGCCAGCTAGTGGTGGTGGCGGTGGCGGCAGTAGTGACGGCGCGCGATTTTCTTGCTGGAGTGCGGCAACCGCCGCCGGACGTGATGCGCTGCTGTCGTTGCCGCCAGGCGCCAACTCAGGGTGGAGCGGCGGCGCCTCCACAGATGCGTCCGGCGCACCCGCCGCTGCTCCTGCCTCTGGCCCTGTTGTCATTGCCGCTGCCGCCGCCGCCGCGCGTGACGCCTCCGCGGGTGCTGCTCCCGCCGCCTCCGCCTCCGCTGCTGCTACTGATGCCGGCAGCTGCGGAGCGGGCGGCTGGGGGGCCTGCCTGGCTGCCAGCTCCCGCCGCATCGCTTGCATGGCCTTGAAAGGGGGCACCGCAGGCGGGGGGGAAGGCAGCGTTAGGCAACGCGTCTCTCACCCCGCAGCAATCTCCCTTCCCTTTCCTCCCTTTCTTGCCCCCGGTCCGTCTGCCGCCCCACTCCCAGGTGCCCCTCCTCCCTCTGCCTCACTCACCACACTGGGTATTCTTCTCCACTCCCCCCGCCTCAGTCCCTTAGTCAGTTAGTTGTTTCCTCTTTACCCCCCGCCTCCCCCCGACCTCCCCCACACCCCCTCCCGGGCCCCCACCTGCTGTGTGTCGCGCAGCCGCCTCAGCTCCCGGCACCCCCGCCCCGGCAGCAGCACCCGCCAGCGCCCTGGGAAGGCACGCAGGTCCACTCTGGGGGCGCCGCTGCCGTCTCCGTACTGCAGCGTGTAGGTGCCGTACGGCGGCTGGTAATTGGGGGAGCGAGAGCGGGAGGAAAGGGAGGGGGAGCGGGAGAGGGAGGTGGACGGGCAAAAGACGGTGGGTAAGACGAGCAGGCGTGGATTCGGGGGTTGGTCGGGAATTGCGCACTGAACGGTATGGTGGGGTATTTTCGTATTTATGGCAGCGGCAAGGGCGCGGGATGAGGAAGGCGAGGCGAGCCCTTCTTCGCAGCAACCCAACCAACCCAACCGATACAACCGCGTGCATGCAGCACCTCTACTGCACAGCGGACATCAAGTGATCCTCAGGTACGCCCTTCTTCGCAGCAACCCAACCAACCCAACCGATACAACCGCATGCATGCAGCACCTCTACTGCACAGCGGACATCAAGTGATCCTCAGGTACGCCCTACTTCCGTATTGGTGTTTTCATACCTCGCCGCTTCCGTTCGTCATCGTCTCCGTACGGTCGCCTCGTCCCTCGTGCGACCGACCCATGGGTCCATCAAGCCCCTTAGACGACCCGTTCCTCCCCTCTCCTCCCTCTTTCTCCACCACCTGCTGCTGCTGCTGCTGCTGCTGATGGGCTGGCGGGGACACCGTCACTGCCGGCTCTTCGTACGACACAACAAGCGCGAAGATGTTGACCGCGTCGCCGCCGTCGTTGCCGGATCCGCCGCCTCCACCGCCGCCGTTGGCGCCGCCAACCTCCATCTGCGGCGGCAACGGCTCCTGGCCGTCTTGCATGTGACGCAGTGGCCTCCGCCGCTGCCGCAGCGGCCGGTGCGGCTGCTTCTCCTCCGGGTGTGTCTCCGAGCCCTGCTGCTGCTGCTGCTGCTGCTGTTGCTGCGGCGGCGGCGGCGGTTGCGGCGGCAGCCACTCCCGCGGCAGCAAGATGTGCAGCAAGTGACCTACCAGCAGTGGCCCTTCCAGACCGCTGCCAGGGCCGTCGACCCACATCCCTCCAAACTCCCCAACTAAGCCCTCGCCACCGCGGGCGTCGGCGCCGCCGCCGCCGCCGCCGCCGGGATCGCCTAGGTTGCCGCCGCCAGCAGCTCTGCCGTACTTGCCGACGTCACCGCCGCCACCGCCACCGCCGCCTCCGTCATAGGCATCGGCATCAGCATCACCGCCGCCGTCGGCAGCATGGCCCACCCTTTGCGGGTGCACCTCCCCTGATGCCCCGCACCCGCCAGCCGGCGGGGGCTCCGCTGCCTCATCCCCCAGCTGCTTCGCTGCAGCGGCCGCTGCCGCCGCTCGCAGTTGCTGCGCCATCGCCTGAGCGACCACGGCACGGTACTTCCGCCCCTGGGCCGTCCGACTGTCCCTGCCGCCGCCGCCGCCGCCGCTCCCCCTCGCCGCCCTGCTGCCGCCGGACCGCTTCAGCGGCTGGGCTTGTACCGCTAGCGCACCGCCGCCGCCACCACTACCGCCGCCACCGCCATCGTTGATGACACCACCGCCGCCGCCGCCGTCGGAGACAGCGGCAGCGGCCTGCGGCGCGGCGGCGGCGCCCTGAGCCTCCGCTGCCACATGTCCGGGAGCGCATCCCTCCTGCTGCACCTGCCGACCCGGCAGCAGTAGCGGCGGTGGCGGCGGCGGCAGGTCGCCGGCGTCAGCTGGAGCACACGTTAGGGGCGCGTCGGGGGCTGACAGAGCAACGGCGGTGTTGCCGCTGTCGCCGCTGCCTCCGCCTTCGTCGCCGCCGCTGACTACTGCTGCTATAGCTCCCCCGACAGCCGCACCACCCGGACTCGCAGCAGCCCGGTCGGTGCCAACACGTTCAGGAGCGGCGGCGGCGCCGTCAGAAGGAGCAGCGGCAGCAGGAGCAGCGGCAGCAGGAGCAGCGGCAGCAGGAGCAGCGGCAACCGGGGCAGCGTCGGCACCTGTCACAAGAGTGGCGGCAGCGGTTGCACTTACCTCAGCAGCGCGCGCCGCCGCCGCCGGCGTCGTCCCCGCCGCCCTAGCCACCGCATCCTCCTCCTTTCCGCGCTCTACTGCCTTAGCCACCTGATGCGCTAGCTCCCTTTCTTCCTCACCTGCTCCCCTCCTTCCCTCCTCATCCGCTCCCTGACCCCTCCTCCTCTGCCCTTCCTCCTCGTCCACCTTGTCCGCCTCCCCGTTCTCCTCCTCCACCCGTTCTAAGGCAGGACCCAGCTGCAGCGGCCCGGCCGGGGGCCAGCCGACCCGCCCGGCCATCCGGGCCAGCGGTCGCGGCCTCACGCGGGTCAATCCCACTCGATCGACGTGGCCCTCCACCCCATGCCCATGCGGCTCACTCCCCCGGCTCTGCGGCTCACTCCCCCGGCTCTGCGAATGCGGCGAACCCCCATTGCTTTCACCAGCCCCGGGAGCGCCGGTGGCCCCATGCTCCTCCTCCTCACCAGCCGTATCCTTCTCCTGCGTCGCATCTGCTGCCCTTAACACAGCGGCTGCTGCTGCTGCTGCTGCCGTCATCACCGCTTCCTCCCGTTCCGCTCGCTCCACACCCCCTCCCTCTTCCCCTGCCGCCGCAGGTCCCACTGCCGCCGCCCCCGCCCCCGCCTCCGTCACCCCTGCCTCCGCCTCCGCCGCTTTCTCCTCCGCAGCCTGCTGCCGCCCCTCCTCCTCCTCCTCCTCCTCCTCCTCCTCCTCCTCGCCCCCTAGGACCAGACGCAGCTCCAAGGGAGGGGCCTCATGCGGCCAGCAGCAGCTGTCGTCCGGCAGTGGGACATCCGTCAGGACATCTCCTCCCGCAGCTGGGGCGGCCAGAGCTGCAGCAGGGGCGGCCAGAGGGAGCCCCACCCCGGCACCACCACCAGCCCGCAGCATGCACCCCTCCCGCAGCTGGGGAGCTGCTGCTGCAGCCGGGGGTTGACCTGACCCCACCTCCTCCCGCTGACCCTCACCCTGCCCCACCTGCCCCAACGGGAGGAGCGGCAGCGCGGCGGCCTCGTCATGGGGCTGATGGGGCTCCTGACCTCGGGCCTCCCCTCCTCCTGGTTGCTCCTCCTCCTGCTGCCACTCGCCTGCCTGAACCGCCGGCTGCTGCTGCTGCTCCTGCGAGCCCTCCTGCTGCTGTTGCTGCTGTCGCTGTTGCTGCTGCTGCTGCAGCCTGTCAAGTAGGCTCTTGCCGCTGACTGGCGTGACCACGCGGGCGCGACGACGGCTCTTGCCCCGCTTCGGCGGTTGCTGCTGCTGTTGCGGTTGCTGCTGCTGTTGCTGAGGTTGCTGCTGCTTGTGTTGTAGGTCTTGCTGTTGTTGCTGCTCGTGTTGCTCAGCTACCAGTACTGCTTCTTCCTCTTCTTGCTGTTGTTGTTGTTGTTGTTGTTGTTGTTGTTGTTGTTGTTGCGGGTGTTGTTGCTGCCGACGCCGCCGTCTGGTCACCCGCGGCCCGGAGAAGCCCGCATCCCCGCCCACACCGGCGGGGGACGTCCGGGGTACCCTGCGGGCCCCGAGACTGCATGCAGCCACAACGGGGTGGGGGAGGGCCAAAACACAAAGCAGCACGGCAGTCGGAGGTACGAGAGGTGCAGCCAGGGGTTCAGATCGCGCTCAATGCAGGCCAGCAGTCGTTATCAGCGAAGAGAGAGCACTGGGCACTGCGTGGCTTAAGCAGCGTTTGGGGATAATAGCACTGGGGACGTGGGGGTGGGGGAAGAGATGAAGGAAAGCGAGAGGCCTAATCTATCGCCATTATATCTGTGTAATTGGCAGTTGTCAAAGCCCCCTACTACAGCCGCCACCCAGCCAAACCTAACCTGCTAGGCGGCGGCGCCTCGCTGCGCGGATCACCGCTGCCAGCCGCAGCGACCCATGGGTCAGCCACCGCAGCGGCGGAGGCCATCTCAAGCTCATGGTCATTTGCACCAGCAGTAATGTTGTCTCTGTCCCTCTGATCAGCCATCTCCGCCGCTTCCCCCGCCGGTGCCATTCCTGTCTCCACATTCCCGGTCCGCTGCGTTGCTTCCTCCGCTGCTGCTCGCACTGCTGCCCCCTCCTCACAGGCCGCCTCCTCAGCCTCCCAGCCCTGATGTAGCACCTGCTCTGCACCGCCGCCCGCTGTTGCCTCCACTTCCATCCCTGCAATCATCATCACCTGCTGCTGCCCAGGCTGCCCCTCGTCACGCTCTTCCGCTGGAGGCGTGTTATCAGCCAGGTCTGCTGCTTCTCCTGCTGCTGCAGGTGGCGTGTTGGAGGCTCCTGCAAGGCGGCCCTGTAGCTGCACAACCGGGTCGGCTGCTGGGTCAGGTTGAACCCGCTGATCATTAGGTTGCGTCTCAAGCTGAGGTTGGGGCTGAGGTTGAGGCTGGAGTGAGGCAACAGCAGCAGCAGCTGCTGGGGTTGCTCGGAGGGCAGTCGGCTGGTCAATCGTTTTCGGCGGTGCGCGGCGCCTCCTCTTGGCAGGCGGAGGTGTCTCCAGCAGTAGTCCTGCGCCCGGGCCTTCGGACCGGAGTTCATAACGGTGGAAGTAGGGCGCGAAGAAGGTTGATACTGGCGTCTCTGCAACTGCTGGTGTTGCTGCTCCGGCTGCTTGTGGTGTTGCTGCTGCTGTTGGTGATGTTGCCGCTGGTGATGTTGCTGTGGGGTCGGGTGCGGGGTCGGCTGCGGTGACTGCGGATCCGCGCCGCGCGCGCTTCCTTTTGCCGGTCTGCCCCGCTGGAGGCGACAGCGCGTCTGGCATTGTGCAATATGGCTTAGCCGAAGGAGTGTAAGACGATAAACAAATGAGTGGGTTCTTGGTATATATTTTCTTCACATAGCCGTGCGAAGATTTAGTCCTATGCTTCGACCAGGCGCGCGACTATTGCTACTAGAAGGTTTATAAGAAGCCCTGCTTTGCACCTGCAAAATTTAGCTTGCAAATTGCTTTTCGTGTTATGCGCATCAAGAGATGATGGCTTGCTACACAAAGGGCTTACGCACGAAACCTAAGGACCACCTTCCAGCCCAATCGCAGCGACCCGTGGGCCACAGCGTCAAACCAAACCTCTCTCACTCGGCCCAAACCTGTCAAGAATCCGAGTCCATGCCTCCTACATTCGCACCAGCAGTTCAGTACGCGAAAATTCCATTCGAGGATCGTGCCAGGTTTGCTGCACAGCTCAGCACGACACGATTACATGTACTTCCTCTTCCTTTCCACAGACAGCGCTCTCCGCGGCTATCCATCCACAGCATTCGCCCTGCTTGCAATCCTCGCGCCTCCGCGCCTCTGCCGGCAGACCCTGTAGAGGTGGCACGGACTGCATGCGGCCTCCGCCCGTTGGCGCCCTTGCTTTCGCGGCACCCGTATGCTCACTTGCCCAGGACCCGCTTGCGCCCCTGACCCCAACACACAGCCAGTGCAAACCAGGCCTGCGCACTATAAAGGACACCTAGCATTACCCTCACACTACCGGTGCCCCGTTCGGTTGCATGTGTGGGCGCTGTGTCACGGCGCCAGCAGCCCCGGCGGCAGCACTGCCACCCAGTGCTGCTGCTGCTGCTGCTGAGTCATTACTCCATCGCTTTCGTACGGCACCCGCAGCAGCGCCTCTAGCCGTAGCCGTAGCAGCTCCTGATGGCTGTAGCGCAGCGGCCGACCCATGGGTCTTTCTGCGTTACCGCTCACGCCTGCAACAGGGCCACCAGTAGCACCATCTGCCGCAGCAGCAGCGGTAGCAGCAGCAGTAGGGGGGGAGCCGACTTCGAGCCCTGGTTTGCTCTCATCCGGCAGCATGGTCGGTGACCCCTGCTGCTGCGGCTGCTGCTGCTCTGCGTGCTGGGGTTCCTCCTGGTGTTGCTGCTGCTGCTGTTCCGCCTGCTGCCTGCGCTCCCGCAGCAGCGCATCCTGCTGCTGCAAGAGGTACAGCACATGCAAAGACGACCCGGGGTCAGACGGGTCGCGGGCTGCCGCTGCACCACGCGAGCTGCCGCCGCCGCCTGCCGCAGCCGCCGCCGCATCCGTCCCACACTCACGCTGCCGCCCGCGCGGCTGTTGGCCGCTCTTGCCTGGCTTTCCGGCTGCCCCGGCAGTTGCCCCTTTCGCTGGTGCCGCTGCCGCCGCCGCCTTCCCTTCCCAGACTCCACATCCGTCGGCCCCCGCGGGTGGAAGTGGTGGCAGCAGGGTTCCGAAGCAACGAGCCGCCGCCATCACCGCCGACGCAGCCTGCTGCAGCCTTGCTTCGGAGCCGTCCGTGCCACCCAGCGGTGGCAGCGCCGGCGTCGGTGTGTGTGTCGCGTCGGCGTAGCCGGCGGCTTCATCCCCGCGCATGAAACAGGCACCTGTTGTTGCCGCTGCTCGAGCCGCCGCCGCCGCCGCCAAGCCGCACACCGCCTCAACCAAAGCGCAGGCCGCCTCACCGACCACTAATGCCGCTTCTGAGCCCGCAGCACGGCTCCCTCCACCACGCCTGCTGCCGCTGCTGCTGCTGCAGGGTACCTCCGGTGTTACGTCTCTGCCTCCGCATGCATGCCCACCGCCTGCTGAAGCCGCAGCCACAGCGGCCTGCAGCGCTTCCTGTGCCCTACCTGCCACTGCTGCAGCGCCGGGAGGTACCTTGCACGCGGCGCACGCAGCTGCCCAGCAGGACTGCGCGGCTTGTACGGCGCCTGGCAGCAGCTGCCCCTCTTGTGCAGCGGCTGCATCGCCAGCAGCAGCAGGAGCAGCAGCAGCAGCAGGAGCAGAATGAGCCGCAGCGGCCGTCGACGGTGAGTCGGCGTCCTGCTTACATGTCCCCTCTTCCGACGACGCCGGGAGCGATGGCGTTGGGATGGCCGTGAGTTGCGTAGCAACGTCCAACGGCAGCGCGCGATCTCGCGGTCCTACTTGGCCGTTACCGTTACCGTTACAGTTACCGTTATCGTTGCCAACAGCTGCATTGGTACTCATTTGCTGTGTCGATGCCGACGACGGCTGTCGGCGTGACGCGACCGACACCCTCCGCCTGCTGCCGCTGCCTCGTCCAGTGCGGCCTAGATAGACTGCGTTAACAGCCATCAGCGCGAGCATGTCATCATCGTCGTCATCAGCGTCCTCGACAACGTCATCCTCATTAACGTCGCCGCTGCCTTCACCCGCACCCCCGCTGCCGCCGCCGCTGCACCCCGTGGCTCTGTCACCAGCCGCCGCAGCCGCCGCCACCACCCGCCCCTCTGCAACACCGACACCCACGGCAACTGCAACGGCCGGCGAGGAGGGTAGCGAAGTAGCAGCGTTGCCGGAGCCGTCGCCTCCCGTCGCCGCCGTTGCTGAGCGCACCACCGCCGCCGCCGCCGCTGCAGCCGCTCCCCCTCCCTGCCGCCAGTCCGGCTCCCTCAGCAGCACCCGCAGACAGTATCCGAGCAGCCCAGCAGCGCAGTGTACACCAGCCAGCGCCGGACCGCCCCAGGCAGCGGCGGCATGTTGGATGCGCGCGTGAGCCCCCTCTGCCACGGACAAGGCAGCGGCGGAAACTGGTTCGCCGGCACCCGTGACAACCGCCTCCGCTGACCGCAGCTGCCGCAGCAGGGCTGACAGGGCGTCGGTCGCGCAGGCGCGGCCCAGAGACGCCAACTCCTGTTGGGCGGCGCGGGTGGGTTCATGGTGGGTACACGGAGTGGTAGCGGATTCCGAGGGTGACCCCAACAGCTCTAGTCGCAACCGCTGCGGCTCGGTCTCCTACCTGGTCAAAAGGCGAAAACCCAAGGAACCCGCCGCACACTTTCCAATCCTCTACCTGCGCAGGGGCTTGTCCCTTTCCTTCCTCCTGCTCCTCAAACCCCCCCAGCTGCTCTAACCTCACCCCTACCCAGTACCGCACCTGCAGCTCCTGCTCGCCCCCCTCCAGCGGTAGCGCCTCCTTCCCAGCTGCTCCCGCCGCTTCCGCCGCCCTCACCGCCCGGGCGCACAACAGTGCAGCAGTGGCGAGAGCGGAGGCGCCTCCCGCCGCCCGCAGCGCCCTCCCTGCCAGCAGCGGCCGCCCCGCCAGTAGGGCATGCAGCGCCAGGGCCTCGGGCGCTACCGGCCGGCGTGGAGGTGACGCTGGCGGCTGCGGCGGAGGCGGTGCTGACGGCAGCGGCAGGGGCGGCGGTGCAGCAGCTGCAGGAGCCCCAGAAGCGACAGGAGGGACCGTCTGCGCCGGCTGAAGAGGCTCTGACGGGGCTGGATGTCGGTGCTGCGGCTCGTGCTCCTGCTGTGGACCTTCCTGCCCTTGTTGCTGCCCCTGCTGCTCCTCCTCCTGGTGCCCTTGCCCCTGCCCCTGCTGCTTCGCGCCCCCCTGCTTGTGGCCAGTCTCTTGCTCTTCCCCCTGCTGCTGCTTTTCCACGTGCCTCTGCTCTGCCCCCTGCTTCTGCTCCTCCACCTGCTTCTGCTCTTCCCCCTGCCTCTGCTGTTCCCCCTGCTGCCGCTGCCGCGGCTGGCTTCCCGGCCGCTGCCCTGATGCCAGCATCTGCCCCAGCAGGCGGGCGAAGGCGGGGTCCTGCTGCGCCAGGCGGCAGCGCGCCAGGGAGAGCGCCTCCCGGTGCAGGCCGTGGCACCTAGAGACGGCGGGAAAGAAAGGAGGCGCATGGGGTAATAGAGCGGACGACAGGCTATGTAAGCAGAGGAGGGGTGTGCGGCCGGTCATGCAGGAGGAGAGGGAGGTGGCATGCCAGGCAGCGGGCAGCAGCGGTGCATGGATGGGTAGGCATTGAGACGGATAGAGCGTAGGAAGGGTGCAACGAACGCGGTGAGGCGCCTGAGTGAGCAAGGGCCCGGATCAGGCCACACATGTAGACACCCGGAACGAGCGGAGAGCTTACATGTAGAGCTGAACAGCCTGCCACACATCGCCCACTGCGAGCAGGTGACATGCTGCCCAGTGAAGGTGACCTCCTCGAGCCAGGCGGCTAGCGCGCGCACGCATGGCTTCGGACCATACCGCGTGGCCTGTGGGCAGGGTTTGCAGTGCGGAACGGAGGAGGCGCTTTGAAGTGGATGGGAAGCGGGGCTGATGCACGTGGGAGTGGTGGGGGAAGGGAGGCCGCTAGTGGCGTAGTGAGTCTGGGATGCGTGTGCGACGACTGAGCTGCGTTGGACTGCTATGTACGGAAAGACGTGTTAGCTTCCAGTCGCAAATCAGGACATTGCAGGGCCAGCGCTTATAGACAAGTACCAAAGAGATTGAGGCGATAAGCTGTGTTTAACAGACAATGGCTAACGGTAAGGCCAATGGACATTTCCCTTGCCTGTACTTGGCGCCGCAGCAGCAAGCTGGGACGTCCAACCGCCACAACTACGAAGAGTCTCCCATGCTTCCAGATCCTGGCCTTTAAGAAGTAAATTCACTGCGAGAGCTGAATTTGCCACAGCCATCTGCCCCCTTCCAACTACAACTTTAAAGATCGAAAATGACGAAAAGGAGCACAGCCTCAGTTTTCCACTGGCATTCATATACTCATGAGAAATAGGTTTGGTCGTTGCGCCGTCGTACGCCGTCGTCCGATACCCCGAGCGGTTGGGCCAGGAGTTTACGGTGTAAGCACCAATGCAAATGTATCGGCAATCTGATTTCCTTTTCTGAAGCTCATGCGAGCTGCCAGAACGGCTTCCCTTGCAGCTTTCCGTCGACATCCAATTTTCGTGCCGCTGGAGCTTTCAGACAACCTGCTCTTTTCGAGCTCAGGGAGTGCGTGTCAGGGCCACAAATTGAAAACCGCAAGCATGAATCGGGTGCGCTTGGAGGTTGCAGACGAGCTACTACCGCGCGCAAGCCCTCAGGGAGCAGGGCCTGGCCCGCAGCTGGTGAGTCGGTGGCTGGCTTAGCGCACGATTAACCTTCTTACCAACCTTAGCACCCAAGTGTGACAATGCAACAGAACTGGCTCGCTCAGGGGTCTCGGATTAACACGCTTCCGGGCACAGGTTTTGCCCAAGCCCACCCGCCGCTACCGTCGCGGACTTTGCAGCTGGGGTAACGTTGTCACGGCTTGCACCCCCTTGCAGCTCCTCGTAAAAGCATGCTCATAACGGCGGTTGCAGCATTTGGTGGTGCCGGCATCTGTCTGTTTGTCGCCTGTTCGTCCCATTAACGCCTATCCTCGTCGCCCCTCACCAATCACCCACGGCACATGTGTACAGCGCGAGCACCGTGCAGGGCAGGGAACGCGCACAAAAAGCAACCTCTGGCCATAGCGGGTTGCTAGGCAGGTAGCAGCCCTCGCTGTACCGTACCCGTCAGGCAGTCAGCCCCGCTAATGCACCCACTGGCTCACAATAACCCCCGCCGCAGCCACCCCCGTGAGCAGCAGCATCGCCGGCCCACCGGGGACCAGTTCCACTGTGCGCACACAACCCTCCGTGCCACTGCTGCGGCCACCGCTGCTGCCGCTGTTATCCCAAACACCCCGCATGCTACCTACGCTCCCAACGCTGCTACTGCTGCTGCAGCCCACGGCGGGCGTCGCCGTTAACGAGTCGTCTGCTGCTGCAGTGCTCGTCACTGTCACTGTTTCCGCCGCCGTACTGTCGTACTTTCCGTACCTGCTGGCCCATGCCATGGCGGCCGGCATCATGCCGTACAGCGTCATGACGCCGTACGTACCCGCGATGTCCAGCGCCGCGTAAAACATGCCCGGGGAGGCCGTGGACAGCAGGATGGGCGGCAACACGACGAGCGCGAACCTGTGCGTGGCGGGGGCCAACAACCGGGTTGGGACCGGTACTCCAACAAGCAAGCAGAGGGGCATGAGGACATATACCGGTAGTCCGGTACGGTGGGGTACGGTAGGGATTAAGCAAGGGGCACTGACAGCGGGCATAAGGATTGGCGTACGGCCGCTGACAGGTGACGGGTAATAACAGGAGGCACAAGGAGACACAGTATGTAAGGACAAGTCATGCCGGATGCCGCCCCCTACCTGCCCGCTCGCGGCACTGCCGCCAATGGCTTGAACGCATCGGGCAGGAAGTCCGCCGTCGCCAGAACAAAGCCAGTGAAGGAGGTGGCGATGGCCAGGAAGGAGAACGTCTCCACCAGCGGCGCCACCACCGGTCCCCCGGAGCGCTGCAGCAGCACCAGCGGGTCCATCGCCGCCTTCATCTCCGCGGCGGAACGCACCAGCCCGCCTCCTCCGCCGCCAGCAGCAGTAGCAGCGGCGGCAGCGCCAGTCGCGGCGTCCATAGCAACTGAGGCGGCTGCCGCCGCCGCAGCTGCCACGTTGGCGGCCGCAGTAGCGGCGGTGGTGGGGTCGCCGGCGGCGGCCATGGCGTTGGCGGCGGCTGATGTCGCCGCCGCCGCCGCGGCGGCTGCAGCGGCGGCTGTGGATGCACTGTCAACCGGGCTGGAGGCTGCGGAGGCCGCAGTGGGTGCCGCGGAGAGCTGCGCTGCGTTGACCGCCAGGTTGTTGAGGGATCCCAGGATGGCCCCGTCCCATACCAGGTACATGCCGGCGGGGATGAGCACGCCCAGGATAATGGATGTCCGCACCTGGACCCATGGGTCACACGCCACGGTCGCACGCAGCGCGGGAACGCACACGGTATAACTCTGGCAGCGCTCCTGGACGCGTGAACCTCCCTCTACTGTATAACTCTGGCAGCGCTCCTGGACGCGTGAACCTCCCTCTACTGCCTGCCCCGTATGAAGTTCCGTACTCAATTCTCTCCCGCAGAACCCCCTGTTGTCCGTATTCACCCAACAGCGCCTCCAAGACGTCGGACGTGCGCCACGCACCAGCTACCGGTACGACTTCACCGCCAGCCCTACCACCCATTCCGTACACCTCCTCCGTGACCCACATCCCCGCCCATTTGGGTCAGCGCCCTCCCCCCCCCCACCTTGCGCACATCGCACTCCAGGTTGTGCACCACCAGGGGCACCATGTTGTGGAACACGAAGGCCAGGGCCAGCACCGGCAGCGTGGGCGGTACGGCAGACCAGTTGGCGGCGGACAGCGCCGGCCAGTCGACGTGCGGGCCGGACACGGACAGCAGCCCCTGCAGGGGTTGGGAGAGGGCAGCGAAGGCCAGGGAACGTGCTGAAAAGACACCAGCTACGACGGAACAAGGGGAAGGAATGCGAGTGTGAAAACATTGGAGCGGAGAAACGCTAGGAGACATGGGCCATCCGTCCCACCCAATGGGACCCTAGGAGACATGTGCGGATAGCCCATACTCATGCAACCCAAATCTGCCTCGCACTCGCCTTATGCATTACGCGACCTGTGCCTCAGCCATTCCAACCCTCCCTATCCCGCCAACCCACCACGAATGCGGCTGCCGCCAGTCCCAGCAGCGCCCCGTTGACCGCGTCAAACTGGCGAGGAGTGGTGACGAAGCACATGCCGCCAAAGGTCAGCGCAAACGCCGCTGCGCCCGCCAGACTGGGCAGGTGCGCCGCATCCGCCACCATCTGGCCCGCACGAGCTACGTCTGCGGGAGTGGGTCCATGAGGCAGCGGCGGCGGCGGCGGCGGCGGAGGGAAGGAGAATGGGAGTGGAAGCGCTTACGTTTGGACAATGTGCGCTCATGGTGTGGTGAGCGCAACGTTACGTGTGCTTGGCGTTGGCATTGGAAACCGGCAGGCATCTGGGCGTATCGTAGATTGCCGGGCGCCTTGTCGATCCCAGCGTTCGGTTGATGGTGTCGCCGAACAGCTGCTGCCAGGGATGGGGAACGACAGGCCTGACCCACATGGCTCGATGGTCCCACGATGCCCCTAATCGAGGAAGCACATAATGAACATTACCGATAAGCCGATATAGCTGCCCGTGTGGTGCCCTCAGCAGCCCAAATGGCTCGACCCAGAATTTCTCTGGCCCAGATTGACACTCAAACATGCCTTCACGCCCGACCCACATGCCACAAGCAGCGCAAAGCTGTGGAAGGCGTAGAGCAGGGTGGCGGCGGAGGCGCCCCCGGGGCCCAGCGTCTTGGCGGCCAGGGTGGGAAGTGTGACGTTGGCGCAGCCGTACCGCGTGGCCACGTGGATGTGCACCTCTGCTAGCAGCAGTCCCGTCACCGCAGCGAAGGCGGCGCAGCCAGCTAGCGCTCCGCTGGTGGCGGCGAAGCCCGAGTCCTAGAGTGGAAAGGAGAGGAGGAGAGGGATGGGTGGACGATAGCGCACGAGGGAGCGAGTAGCAGTGCTTGTTACTGGTTGTGGCGCAAGGGTAAACCAAAGCAAGTCTGTGTACGTGAACGTAGCAAGGGTGAAAGTAACCAATACGGTCTTATGGGGCGAAGCTGAGCATAATTTAAGCGTGCTGCATGAATGGAGTACTTGGGTTTGCGAAGCGCTTGTTTGTACCTGTGTTACAGCTGGGAGGGCGAGGATCCCTGCGCCAACCGTCGTTCCAGCTACCAGAAGCGTAGCACCCCAAAGTGAACCTGGCTCGTGCCCAAGCGTCCGTGGATTCAGGTTGCTATATAACCTGGGTGTTAAAGGTAGAGGATCTGAGAGCCCTTGCGCGACTGAGCGAAACGCATTTGGGTGTTGCTTTAAACGCTGGTGACAGCCCTGCCGTCCCATCAAACGCGAGTTGACTTTCTCTCCTGAGTCTGGTAAAATATGCGTTTGCAATATGGGCTTCCCTCGGGGCAGAACGCCTGCCAGAAAAGGCTGCCTTTGCCCATGTGTGAATGAGCGGTGGATGTTAAGCGTCATTGCTACTTCCTGCTGTAGGGATGTCCGTGTACTCAATCGTTAAGCAGACAGTTCGCAAGTAAGCAACCCAAACTGTTACGACAAGTCATCCGCAGCTGTCGATATCACCCACAAGGCGGTAGGTGCGTGGACATGGTCTCGGAGCGAGACCAACTAATAAAACTTCGCTAATCGCTGTTGTCGTCGCCACCACACCCTCGCCTATCTCCAATATTAAGCAAAAAATGGCAATCCAATGGCACATAGGCCAAGAGGACCGCAAAGGACATGCAAGAAACCAATTGATGCGTTGGCCTAGTACAAGCAGCTAAGGTCAAAGTCCTATGAAATATATAAGGCACACATGCAATATCTATGTCAGCATCAGCCCTTGTCCCACCCGTTATCCATAAGCCCATCCATGCATATCGTAATGTTGACTCTTAATGCTAGCGCTCACATCCCAGCATGCGATCCGCGGCCACGAGCAGGTTGGCCTTCAGTGACCCTGTCAAATCAAACAACCCATTGGGCCCTTGCTCGGGGGGTCTCTGGTAAGCATCCCCAGCCTGCAGCCATGGTCAATCAAAGGGTCAGAGGAGCGCGCACGGCCTATACTTGAATGCTTATTAGTGATATGCTCAAAACACCTCACTGGGCGTCCACAGGCCCCCACCTTGGTTAAGATTGGACGCGTCTTAGAACGGTCCTGGGCGTTCAGCGTGCTGAGCGCACACGCTGTTGCCGGTAGCTCGGCCTGTACAGCAGCGGTGACCGGTCAGGTACAGTGAAACAGGATCTGGGCCAGCATGGTGACTGCGCTAATGGAACCCCACCGTGGCGACCATGAGTCTGCTTCGGCTTCCCCAGCGTCAGTTATTGGCTGCAGCCGCTGCGGTGTCGGCAGGTACAACTGTACCGGAGGTCGCACCGAGCCAGCAGAGCGGCAGCGGATGGCAATACCTGCAGAGGCACGTTCCAAACACAATAAGATGCTGGGTCAGGTCCCTCCCCGCCTTGCTGTGGGGTTCTGTAGGTCTATGATAGTAGCGTGCATGTGAGCGAGGCAACCGCACAAGCACACCTACCCTGCGTTAGGGCCTGCTGGGAGGACGGCACGCTCCGCAGGTCTACGATGCGGAAGTAGTCATACGCGAGCTTGGCGCCATGCTTGCGGGGAATCGAGCGGACGTCCAGGTTCCTGCGGGTACAGGATTTGGGAGGAACTTGTGGGATGCCGTGTGGTAAGCATGCAGGGTACGGCAAAGGCGCAGGCCTTAGTAACCCGGATCACCCAGTTTATTTTATAAGTGACTTTGCTTGACATAAAGGTTGTCCTGTCTTACCAAGCCTTTACAACGGCGATGGCAACCGGGAGGTCATTCAAGGAGAGCGCTGACCGATCCTCGCGCAATACCGCGTCAGCCTGGTTGCGAAAGCCCAACAAACCACCCCGCGCCTCGCAAGTCTCTATTTGGCGGTACGACTTGCTAACTTCATACTCAGCGTTGGCGAACAGGCTCTTAACTCGGCGACCGTCGGTAACAACGGCGACGAGTTTGAAAATAGTTTTGGCGTGCGCAGGTGCATCAATAGTTGCTGGGTGTACTGTATTCTGTCTCAGAATGCTATCCAACGAGAACAAATTTGAGTTCCGTGACATTCCGGCATGTGGGTCAGAGGAGGCTCAACTGTCCATCGTAGGAAATTGACAACGTGCGTTGGCTGTGTAGCACAAAATAAAGCTAGTATATGCCTAAGTAAATTCAACCATTACAATTGAAAACAAAGCATGGATAGAAGCTTAGTAATGCGAAGGCCTCCGTACATAATACCGCCGTTCTCTTGGGCACTTGCGCGCTGTGCCGCTAGGCGGTAGTGATGTTTTCAAATGGGCATCTTTTTTCCCTGAAATTGGCACTTGACCTCCTACTATGTTGTGAGGGCCTGAATTGGCTGCTTGCCCTCAAACCGCCTTTGGGCCGGTTAACCCTCTTCACTGCAGACTCTACCTCTATCACGGCTGAACGGGTACACTATGATCCTGGCGCCCAATTGGCTCTTCAGGGGGGACAAACCTAGCTTGTAGGGTTTGGCACTGTTGTCGTGCCTTACACGCCAGGCCACATGAGGTTTGTTGGGCGACAGGCAGCAGCACGCGACGTTCGATCGACACCCTCGGGTCTGATGTATGGGACTTGTCTCCATTTATTTCCTGTTGCTCGCAAGGGCCCTCGCACCTGTTAGCCAGGACTTAAGACTGCGTGCCTCATGCCCCTCTTTCATTGCACGCTGATTGTTGCTTCGTTGCTGCACTTGTACGAACGGCAGCTTGTCTACGACTACCGTAGGATACCTGCCCAGTAAGTAGTCGCGGACCTCGCGGTTCAGCTCGCCCAGCTCCTGAGTGGCAGCATTGCCACATTCAACGCATCGTTTAGTTCCACGTTGGCGTTGACGTTGGTATCAATATACGTTCAAAGTTAGATGTCTGTCGGCGCGTGCGTACGAGGCAAGGTTTCCCGATTATCGGCTCGTCCGTTGAAATCGCCGAGGTCCTCGAGGCATGCAGGTCGCGGGCAACCAAGTCCCTGGAGTAAACAAGAAGCTTGGGGCAAGTGCCTCTTACTCTTAGCGCGTGTGCTGGCACCTGTTGCTGTCTGAAGTACAGCAACAGGTACACAAACGGCACAAGCAACGGCCCAGTTAGTCATGAGGCCTGTCAGACAGTTGTAGCACCTTCCCATGTTGCTAAGGGCTTATTACGTATTTTCGTATTTGCCCAGAAGCTAAGCAGCAGAATAATATATATCAATACATTCACCACTTACTTAAACAACACACCGCACACCGGCTAGTGCGGGCATTGCAAGGCATCTCCTAGTACGATACCCCTGCCTAGCAACACACCAGCAGCAACGAGGTGCTTCTTTCAAGCAGGAGGAACACGACTCATAACGCCAAAGCGCCCAGCAGGCCCATGTTATTGTCCACAGGGGGTCACGCTGCAACCACCATGCAGCAGCAGCGCTTCCTCGGCACCGCCCTCCTCGCCCTGCTGCTGCTGGCCTCCGCCCCTCCGCTGGCAGCCGGCGCGGTGTCCACCTTCCGCACGCTCAACTTCACCTCGCCCGTCACAGCGGCGCTGCTGGTGGTGGTGCCGCTGACCGACACCTACCTGGGCGCGCAGATCAACAGGGGACGCAAGGTTAAGAACACCACCGTGCTGCTGGACCTCGCGAATAACAAGGTGGGGAAGGGAGAAGGAACAAGTACTATGCTGTGAAGTACACTGCTTTGACATGGTGAGCATCTTTGTGGCAGCTCTTGATAAGAACCCCAGGGTGGGTAAAGGAGGAGGAAAGGAAGGCGGGGAAGGGGGTAGGTGGAAACACTGCTATTATGACACCGGTACACCATGCATGCCCCATGCCCTGGACAGCGCACATCGCTTCGTCCATGCCCTCCTGAAGGCATGAACACCCAGCCCATCCTGCATGTCGACCTCTTTGTCTTCCCCGTCCAGGCCACCCCCCGTCCCTCCATCGTCAACTCCTTCTGCGGCGCCCCCGTGCTGCTGCCGGACGGGGACGTGCTGCTGGTGGGCGGCCACTACGGCCAGAAGGGCACCCCCCTGCTTGACGGAAGGAACCAGCTGCAGGTAGGTGGGGGTAGTGAGGGAGGGGCGGGTGGGGGAGGGAGGAGTGGGACAGAAGCTACTGGGAACAGCTTGCATGCATGCGTGCCGGCGGTGGGTAGGTTGACTTCCTTGCATGCGTTCGGCGCATGAAGAAAGGTATCAGGAAAACACACACGTATTGCGGCGCACACTAGCCGTCCAAGCCTGGCTTACCGTTCCCCTCGCGCTTCGCTTCTCCCCCTGTTCCCTCCCCCTTACTTGTCCATGCTAGGTCCTCAACCGCACCACGCTGGAGTTCTCGGTGCTCCCGCCCATGAGGTATCAGCGCTGGTACCCCACCGTGGCTTCACTGCCCAGCGGAAAGGTACGGCAGTAATGACGATAAGGTGGAACATAGGGAATGAAGGGGTTCCTGGCTTGCCTGACATCATTCCGACCGCATCCAAGCAAGCCCAACCTCGCCCCTGTGGCCCCCTCATCGCCCAGCCCCATTGCCTTCCCCACTCCCCCCGGTCAGGTGATCATCGTCGGCGGCACTCCCAAGCCCAATGTGGGCAAGGTGCCACCGTACGCCGAGGTGTTCGACCCCGCCCGCCCCACCGCACCCACTACGCTCTTCAAAATGCCGCCCAACTTTGTCAAGTTTGCCGGCTCGCAGTGGTACCCCTTCATTCACACCCTGCCGAAAGGTGAGGGTAGGGGCGGGGGCACGTGCTTCTCACTAATGTACATGTGGGGCCATTGTAGGGCAACCATAAATCCTTTTGTAAGCAGCAACTTGATGCAGGAATGCAGGATGGCGGAATGCCGGTGTCATCTACTCGTACACAATGCCTACATGCTTCCTGCACCTGCACCTGCTCCTGCTGAATTTGAACCCCACCCAGGCCACCTGCTGTGGTGGGGCGACCGCGGCGGCAGCATCACGCAGGGCGAGACGGAGCAGGTGCTCATGGACCTCCCGCCGCTGCCGGACAACTACACGTGAGCGGCTTTCTTTCCGTCGGGTGTTGCGATTAGCGCCTGTGCCTTGCACTTGCTGAGGGCCTAGCAGGCTGCTTCTTGGCGTTGTTTGGGTCTCAACTTTACCTGCTCCCTGCCCGCCTCTTTTCACCCCGCCCCCTCCTCACCACCCCCCAGCTTCCACACCATGTACCCCGCCACCTCCACCATCGTGCTGCTGGCGTATGGCCCCGAGAACGGATATGCGTCCACTTTGATGATCTTTGGGGGCGGGGTAAGTCGGGGAGCGGTAGATGCATGCAGGAGAGAGGTGGGGCAGAGGGGGGGTAAAGAGGACAGCCGGCTGCATGCCCGCCCGCCCGCCACTTGGCTTGTTTGACCGCTTTCTCCCACAACTACGGCCGTCCCTCCTGACATGCCCTCCCGGGGCCACCTGCCGCCTGACGTCCCCCAGCGCGAGAACGACACCGGAAGCCCCAACGTCACCTCCCTGGCCACCTCCACCTCCCTGCGCCTGGACCTGAAACCATGCAATACGACAACCAGTGGTTACTGCACTAGCGGGTAAACAGGGATGGGGCAGGAGGGAGTCGGCCGAGGCTTTGGAGAAGTCGTGTTGCGGCCTGCTGATGCGTGCATTGTGCCCCGCCACCGCTTTACCCCCACGCCTTCCGCCCTCCTCCTACCCACCAAACCCCGCAGCTGGATCCAGGAGGAAATGATGGGTGTCCCGCGCATCATGGGAGACGCCGTACTGCTGCCTAACGGCAAGGTCGTTATCACCAACGGTGCTCAGCGGGGTCGTGCTGGCTGGGTGACGGGTAGCTACAACAGTGGCTCCGGAGCCTCGCACCCCGCCAACACCGCTTTGCTGTACGACCCATCCCGCCCGCTCGGCAAGCGCTACAGCAAGCTTGCCTTCAACCGTGTTCCTCGCATGTACCACTCCACGGCCTGCCTGCATCGCACTGGGGAGGTGCTGGTGGCGGCGTGCGACGCCTGCGGAAACCTAACGGGAGTGGTGGGTGATGATTGCGGCCAGGCTGGGACGGGATCGGAGGAGGGTGTACGTGCGTAGCGGTGCTGTACTGCAGTTACCACACCTGCGGTACTGACAGCAGTGCCCGGGGTTTGCGATGCGTTCCCCCACCCTTACCGCCCGGTATGAATTACATTACTTACCCGCAACCTCGTCCCCTCATTCGCGCATGCATGCACGCGCCTCCTCGCCTTCCCCCGCAGACCGCCGCCATGTATCCCAACCCGCTACCGGGCTACCAAGAGGCGCGGCTGCAGCTGCTCACGCCCAAATTCATTGCGCCCAGAGTGATTCGACCCGTGATCAGCAGCTCCCCCGCCCGCATCACCTGGGGCAGGTGAGTGAGTGAGTGCGTGGGGCCCCTTTTGTCGCAGCTTGCTGCTCAATGCAGTCTCTTGATTGAGGCCACCCGCATAGGCACTTGTACACGAAGGCTCTCGACCACTTCAAAACGCTTCTGGCGCCCCTCCTTCACCCACCGCCCCCACCACCAATCAACAGGTCCTTCTCGGTGTCCTATTACTTTCGTTACGCGCCGGGCATCATCACGGGAGCCTCCCTGGTGTCCCCCTGCGCCCGCACCCACTCCATCGGAATGAACAACCGGGTCATTAACCTGCAGGTGTGTTGAAAAACGGGTCGCGAGTAGGAACGGTCTGCCATGCACGCTGTGGGTATATACTCGTAAGACGGGTGTAAGGGCGGGGCGCCGTTCGGCGCACTGGTTGCTTGGCGCATGGTAGAAGATAGCGCACAACCCATCACCCACCGGTACCTACCCTTACAAGTTACCAACCCTGCTGCAACCCCTCCCTCCCTCCTCACCATGCATGCAGGTGTCCGCTGACGTCGTCAGCAATACGGCCACCGGCGAGCGGCGCGTGACGCTGCTGGCTCCCCCCGCGAACCTGCCCGGGCTGTCCCCGCCCGGCTACTACCTGCTGTTCCTGTTGGGCCCGGGGTCCACCTACAGTGAGGGAGCCTGGGTGCAGCTGGGGAACTACTGAGGGAGGGAAAAGAATGAACCATGCGAGAGGGAGGGAGGGGGTATGGTAATAGATAGGCATGCAAGCTGGAAGGAGGAGGGCCTGATCCCAGCTGTGCCAGGAGGCTGAGGCTGAGGCTGGCTGCACGCAAGCTACGGT